ATGAAACGAGGATAGGGGCAGAAGAAAACAATGATTTTGAGCTGAGTGAATGCCGCGGTAGCTTGATCGTTCCAAAGGAACACTTTGGTCGCCTTGCTTGTGAGAGCGTAGAGCGGCTTGACAATCTTGCTGTAGTTGGAGATGAAGCGACGGTAGTAGTTGGCGAAACCACAAAACACTTGGACGTCGTGGACTGACTTTGGTTGAGGCCAATTGATGATGGCGTTGACCTTGACGGGGTCCATTGCAATGCCGGTGGGAGACACGACATAACCAAGAAATTCGACCGTGTCGACGTCAAAGACGCATTTTTCCGCTTTTGACGAAGAGATTGTGCTCGTCGAGAACCTTGAGAACTGATAGAACATGTTCAGTGTGCTCGTCCTGCGTTTGGGAGTAGATGAGGATGTCATCAAGATAGCAGACGGCGAATTTGTCGAGGAAAGGTTGAAGCACAGTGTTCATCAACGTCTGGAAAGAAGCGGGAGCGTTGGTAAGTCCAAAAGGCATAACGTTGTACTCGTAGTGCCCGTAACGAGTCTTGAATGCGGTCTTCCATTCATCTCCCGGCGCAATACGCAGTAAGTTGTATGCGCCGCGGAGGTCAAGCTTGGTGAAAATCTTTGCATGGTGCAATTGATCCAAGGTTTCAGAGATGAGAGGAAGAGGAGCCCGATTCTTGACGGTGATGGCATTGAGGCCGCGATAGTCGATACAGAGACGCAGAGACCCGTCCTTCTTTTTGACAAAAAGGGCAGATGCGCCAGCTGGACTTTCGGAAACAGAGATATTGCCGAGCTTGAGCTGTTCGTCCAAGTATTCCTTGAGGATTTTCAGTTCCTCTGCACTCATGGGATAAAGCGCCGTCGAAGGAGGCGAGGTGCTCGGGAACAAAGGAATCTTGTGATCGTAAGCAGCATTATCGGGAAGGCGGGCAGCCTGAATCTTCGAGAAGATGCGGAGAAGGACGTGATATTTGTCCGGTATCGCGCGTAGCAGGTCTGGCTCGACGTCGGAGTAGATGTCGGCGAGATCGATGTGGAGAACATCGTGAGTTTTTGCTAGCCGGGCGAAAGACTTGAGCGACACCATGTGGATCTGCATGACGTTGGCATTGACTGGAGGAGCGGCATCGTGTTGGACAGGCGATTGATTGATGTGCGCCTTGCACGAGGCCGGGAACTGGACTGTGGACGCAGACCAGTCGATAACAGGATTGTGCTTCGCAAGCCAAGTGGTGCCAAGAATGAGATCGTAGCCGGAGAGCTCGGCAACGACGAAGTGGTGGCATTCTTGGTGGTTACCAATGGTCATGCGAAGGGGAGACGTGAATTGAGAGGCAGACTCGAGTTCCTTGCCCGTAAAGCCTTTCAGCGGGATTGCGCTGTCAAGGGTCACGGTTGGGAATCGGCCTCGGGCCACACAAGCTGCGCTGATGAAGCAACTTGTTGCACCGGAATCTAGGAGGGCAAACGTGTCAAGGGAACTATCACCATGGGAGATGGTAACAGGCAAGACACTTTGCGGATGAGACGAGAGAGGAGGCAGAGAGATGGAGAAAAGACAGAGATTTGCGCTATCGTCTACAACAGACAAAAGCGAAGGCGCGTGAGGGTCCTGAATGGCCCGGTCCCAGGAGTGCCCTACTGGTTCCTGCCGGGTCCATTTGGGGACTGCCGAGGCTTTTTTGGACACTTGTCTTGCCAGTGACCTGCTCCACCACAGTAAACGCAAAGGTCGTCCTGGATGCGTTGTTCTTTTCGCGCTCGCCTCTGAGCGGGAGTCAAGGGCCGGAATGTGGCGGAGTCGATTTCCATCGGCTGAGGCGCCTGCGACGTCGAGGCAACAGGGCGAAGGCGCTGCTGCAGAGGTTGATAGGGGTGGTCGCGTTTTGCGACTCTGGCGAGGTCCGCAGTGGAATTGTTCAAGCGCCTTGCGAGATTCTCGCGCTTCTGGATACGCGACTCCACCTTGACAACCTGCTGCGCTAAGGCCGCGTAGTTGTTGTCGACCACCTCGTCGAGCTTGAAGAGGGCCTCGGTGAACTTCTCGTTGAGTGTGCCGAGAAGCATGTCGCACTTGGTCTCCTCAGTGATATTCAAGACCAGAGTGAGACGCTCGAACTCGGCCAGGTGGACGCTGACGGAGGTCTCCTTTCCTTGCTTGAGGGTGGCGAGCTGCTTCTTTGAATCTGACACGGGATCGCGGACTGCAAAGGACTGGGTGAGGGCGTCGAGAACTGCATTGGCATCTGGCAGTCCAGGAAACGAGATGAGGCCAGTAGTGGGGTCCGCCACTGCACGCGCGTCGCGCCACTTCGCCGCATCGCCTTGGAGGAGTTGGAGAATCCAGGCGATGGCTATGCCCTCATTTGGGAAGAGGTAAGGGCAGGCCTGCATCTTGAGGCGACAAGATGCGGCGAAGTTGCGCACGTCTTGACCAAGAAGATCGGCGTCGAAGGGTTTAGGGTCCGCGATCTTGACGGCCGTCCTGGCCCAGTTGGCTGCTGGTGTGGGTGCAGGGACGGGTGGTGAGGCGGCTGCTGAGGCGGTAGCAGCTGCGGCGAAGGCTTCGAGCTGTGCAATGCGCTGCATCATGGTCTCTTGCATAGCAAGAAGAGCTTGGCGAGAGGGAAGCCCGTCGGCCTGAGGCGAAGGCACATCAGACTGGGCGGAAGGTACGTCGGGGACTGACGACATACTGGAGTGCCTGTACAAGCTTTGTTGAGTTTACAAAGTGTGACGAAGGGCGAACAGGACAGGACGAATGCTTGTGCTGAAGACAGGACTTGGGCGAGATGTAGGGGACAAGAATAGAAATTGTAAATTAAGGAACAAGACAGCGGAAGGCTGCCTACTTATGTCTACCAGGTACGAGCATGAGAGCGGATGGCGATGATGGGGATGGAGCCCACGGGAGCCGACTCTCAGCAGGTGAACAGTGAAAGAAGAGGGGAAGCGAGATTGCATGAGCCCAGTGGAGATGTCCGAGCTGCAAGATAAGGAAGAGACAGAACAAGGGACGACGTGGTAGACGTCGTCGACGAGTAAGAGAGCGAGTAAGGACAACGTGACAGAGCGTTGCCGGAAGCGGGGAAGCTAGGCGCGGGACGATAGGCAACGTGCTGAGGTGATAAGCGTCGTTGAATGGCGGAAGGTAGAAAAGCCGCGATGAGTTGCTAGAGCATGTGGTGCGGGAAAGTCGGATGCGAGGTTTAAGGCTGCGTGTTCGTTACAAAAATCCCGAAGCTCAGTCATATCTAACACAATTGCCATCGCAGCCGATCCGAGCTGAGAAATTGAGAATATTCTTTCCTTCTTCTTCTAGGCCTAGGAAGACTCCGTGCTCCCAGCTACGACTCATACATATGTGGCATTGGGCATACCTTCTGAGTCCTAGGGGTGGCCATCTGCAGAAAGTGTGGTTTGCGAGTTGACACGGCCCACATGGGTATGGCCAACACTGCTCTAATGTACGCAACAGGGGCCTACAGGGCGCAAAGTCACGGATACGCTACTAATTTTGCCCAAATTGACTCAACATAGCCACAATCCAAGAGGAGATCGTCGAAAAAGGTCTATTATACCTCGACCCCTGGGCTTTTGACACCACCATCATATGAACCCTCGCAATTTATAAAGACAGCCTGTCCGCACTGCTAGCTACACTCCCAGGCTCATCATCCTCTACAGTATCACTAGAGTCAAAGGCTGACCAACAACGTACGTAATACTCAAGTGAAAGAGTACGGAGAGATAACGACCAGGTTCAACAAGACTATCAAGTTCACACTGGATTGTCAACACAGACATGAGAGTTATTAGCTTTTGGGTCTCAGGACTGTTCCTTCAAGCTGTGCAGCTTGCTATATATTTATCGATCACCTCGATGGCTGAGGCAGCCGCAATTGAGTAAGGATCCACGCTATCGCACAAAGTCCTCCGATGGCTAATTGTCTTAGACGTAGAGGCTGGCTGGATCCTTTCAGCTATTGTGGTACATGCAATTGCAACAAAAAGAAATGCAAGTTTTTATGCCCGGACAAGTGTCTCCACAAATAAGACACCTCGATGAGTAAGGCAACATATAAGGACGATCGCGTTGTTTTGGTGAGACCTATTCGTAGCCTTGCTGCGCAGGCTTCTGTAGCTTACAACTTCTGCAGATCGTTGCTAGCCATATAACTACATCTGAAGCAGTTATGAACATCATGAAGTCACACTTGCACGGCAGCTGCTGAGCATACAAGATTCACCGGTTTTACTGTGTCTTTGCAGTTGACCGCCTTATCTTTACCCGTGTCGAGCGTGCTGAAAGGCAACCGCGAGATCAATTGCATTTCCAAAGTTTTACAGAAGGGTTGAGCAATGTAAGTTGTCGTCTATGTGTGAAGCTTCCTTAATAACCTCAGCACAATGTTGAATGAGCGCCGTAGAGGGGCAAAGGAAAGCAGAGGCGACAGTCAAGCCGAATCTCTAGTTGGTGGGCAAGAAAAAGTCACGCGACAGCTGAGCAACTTCTTCCTTGAGTGCAGCAATCTCCGGGAACTTGTCGCCCTCGCCAAGTGTCTCCTTAAAGTCCTTGAGCTTCTTGCCAGATGCGGACGCATTGACCTTGAGCGTAATCTCAACAGCACGATCAATGAATGCCACAACCTGCTCAAATTCCTTTGCCTCAAATCCACGCGTCGTCATGGCAGGAGTGCCGAGACGCAGACCATGTGGGATGAGCGCAGACTTGTCTCCAGGAACAGTGTTCTTGTTGGAGGCAATGTTGACAAGCTCAAGGACACGCTCAACACGCGCACCATCAACACCCTTCTTTGTCAAGTCAACGAGAATCAAGTGATTCTCTGTACCGCCCGTCACGAGATCGTAGCCACGGTCAAGGAAGGCCTTGGCCATGACTTTACTGTTGTCAAGGACTTTTTGCTGGTATGCCTTGAATTCCGGTGTCGCTGCTTGACCCAAAGCTACAGCCAAGGCTGTGATAGTGTGGTTGTGCGGACCACCTTGATGTCCTGGAAACACCGAAAAGTTGATGGGTCCTTCCAAGTCATACTGCACCTCAACGCCCTTCTTGTTGACGGAACGCGTTCCCTTGCGGTAGAAGATCATGGCACCACGAGGGCCACGAAGGGATTTATGCGTAGTGGTGGTGACGAGATCGGCATGGTCAAAGGGAGAGGGAACAACGCCTGCAGCGACAAGACCAGAGATGTGAGCCATGTCGGCGAGAACATAAGCGCCCACCTTGTCGGCAATCTGGCGCATGCGTGCATAGTCGATAAGTGCAGCATAGGCAGAGGTACCAGCAATAATAATCTTCGGTCTGTAAACAGAAGCGAGCTTCTCGAGTTCCTCGTAGTCAATCAAGCCAGTCTTTGGGTCGACTTGGTAGGGCAAGTTGGAGAAATAGGTTGAGACGGCAGAGATATTTTTGGTGGGTGTTGCGTAGCCGTGCGAGAGATGACCACCACTAGGCAAGTCAAGACCCATGAGACGTTCATGTGGCTTCATGAGTGCTTGGTAGACGTACAAATTCGCAGGTGAGCCAGAGAGCGGTTGGACATTGACTCCCCACTTTGCTGGGTCCAGTCTGAATGCCTCCAGTGCACGACGCTGACATGCTAGCTCAGCCTGGTCAATGAACTCATTACCGCCGTAGTATCGCGCTTTGGGGTAACCTTCAGAGTACTTGTTTTGCATAGGTGAGCCCAATGCCTGCATGACAGACTTTGAGGTGAAGTTCTCTGAGGGAATGAGGACGATGGAGTCTCGCTGACGGATCTTTTCATTCTCAATGATGTCGTAGATTTCCTTGTCGGTTTCCTGGAGGCTGCCTCCTAGGATGGACTTGGCCTGTGCATTGAGCGCGTAGGATCGAGCAAGAGCCGGGGCCCGGATACGCCTGATTGCATTGCGTGTTGCCAACATGGTTTAATGGATGTTGAGAAGAGGAAGAAGCAGCTGAGGGCCGTACAAGCTGGCCTGCAAGTGTTTCAGCTGTGCAAAGACCCGAGCGTGTTGCTGTCGCTGTTTTAGCTAATCGCGATCTTGCATCTGACAGCGCGCGAGAAAAAATATTTTGGCGAGATGGGAGGCGTGAGATTATTCCCCCATCTGCTCACAGTCAGAGCGAGAAGCAAGGACTGCCTCTTATACAGTGTACTTACGGCCCTGAACTTAGTCTTGTCTCGTCGCTGGGCATCTGCTCTTGACCTTGATTACTGCTGTAGCTCGTCGCTTGACTGGATCTTACAACACGCTGCTCTAGCTTGCAAACCACCTGAGCAAGCATACAGCCAACGAGCCCTATATTTGGCATTCTGCTCAAGCTATTTGCGCCCCTGAAGGGTCTCTAGACGCTCCCTACTAGCCTAGACTCATTGCGGACAGAGCCGACGTCAGGTCAGCTTGCAACACGCTCTGGCCACCAAAACCGCGTTTGCTGCAACTGTGCCCTATTCAGCGCCTCCCTTTGCGATCCTTTCGGTGCTGCCTGATGCAGCGCTGACAAGTGACAACTCACCCTTGCCAACTTTCGACATTGCAAAAAGGACACCGGCATGGAGGAGATGGATGCAGCCGGAAAGCGCATGCTGAGTCAAGCACTCAAGATTGCCAAGGCCGCCGTTCTTATGGACACCGAAAATGAACTTGAGCCAGCACTACACGCTTATGAACATGCGTGTAAACTCCTTCTTACAGTCATTCAAGGTGATGACTGCATAGGTGAGACTTCATTCAAGGCTACGCATCGCATTGCTAATCTCTTAGGCAACGATAAGCTGAAACTCCAGCGTATTCACGACACATACGCAGAACGTGCGGCCTTGCTGCGACAAATGAATCCAGCTTCACACAGCTGGCGGCCTGCAACGCCGATAGCAGATGACAGGCGACGCTCAAACTCGACCGTAACAACAACCATTTCTGCTCCACCGCTCAGCGCTCCGAGCAGTAAGGGCAGCATTAAGCAAGTCGATGGCGCAGAGTCAAACACCACACCGCCGATGCTCCATGCGCAACCAAGTCCAACGATTCCACTTGTACGCACAACTTATGTCGAATCACCCACGCCGTCGCCACTGCTAGACTTGCGTCGACCGTCGGGCGCGAGTATCCAAGGCATGATACAGACGCCGCGATCCATTGAACGTCAGGCATTTCGTCCCCTGATGACACGAACCACTACTGAGCCCGTTCCTGCTTCCACTACGACCGGCTCGGTAGCCATGCAAAAGACAACGAGCGCGACGAGTGATACCTCCCCCAAAAGAAAGCTACAGGATCGTTTGCAAAACGGTGGGTTTGTGTTTGGCCAACGTTCTCGCAGACCTAGTCAGCAGGATGTTGAGGATAGTCTGCGCACGCCAGTGCAGTCTTCCGTCTTGCCAAAGTCTCTCGATGTGGATGAAGCGGATTCGTCGGTCCCGGCATCCACGACGGATCAATTACTTCAACCTTATATGCTCTTCTCGCAACTGCGGCAGACATTGGCGTATGCAGGTGCGGAGAAGATAGCTGTTCAATTGACGCCTGCTCTACAAGTATCAGGCGACATTTGGCGTCAAAAGGATTGCAAGATAAAAGCTGAAGAGGAAAAGATTCAAGCCTACGATGGTGTTGCCAGAAGTTTACGATCACTTTGTCTTGTTGAGGAAGCAGGACAACCGATTGTTATGGCGGCATTGGGGCAATTGGAAGCGGCGCTCATTACTGCTCGCGCCATTCTTGCGAAAAAGCTCGGGGATCGCTTTGAGGGCTGTCTCAGCTATCGTCAGTATGAAGGAGGCAAAGCACCTACACGCAAAATGTCTTCCGCATCAAAGGGTCTTACCAAACTCTTGACGCGTCGAACGAGTTCTTCATCGGGCTTTCCCATACCGAGCAGCTACTACAACAGCTATTCCATATTTGGGGAACCAAAGACTGATACGCATGGCGTTTCTGTACTGGCTGGCGATGATCAATTCGAAGGTCGTCATCGGCTATACCAAGCAGTCCTCTCACAAATCTTTGATATGAGCCAAGTGCTAGCGAGGTTGAATGAGTCGATGGATCCGGATCAGATGCAGGTGAAGGATCTGCTGCGCTTTGAGCAATTGATGCGGCATGCGGCGGATTTCTTTGGCAATGTGGTGATACGTCTCTATCTGCATGATATTGGCAGTCTATTGACTCACAAGCTGAGCCAAAGGATGGCAATTTAGCTAAGAAGTAAGAAGACGTAGTTCATGCTTGAATTTTGGCTGAGTCAGCAATCTCCACGGCCCTGAAAGTCGCCATCAAACCATTTCCCCCGCCCAACACCATCATCACACACAACACCGGCCCTTTCTCTCTGACTCACAACGACTGAAACACTCAACGATGGCGCGATCATCATTCAAGGACGTAAGCGCCCCTCTTGCGCCCGCTATCATGCGTGCGCTCTCGTCGCGCAATGCTTAAATCGCGTTACGGCGCAATCTTGTTTAGGCAAAGCACTGACGCGCTCTTCACTCTAGGAACATCCATTTGAGAAGCGCAAGGCTGAAGCAGAACGTATTCGACAAAAGTACATTGATAGAATTCCTGTCATTTGCGAAAAGGTAAGGCGCGCCTGTTGCTTGAGAATCTGAGGTGGCGCACACTCTGCGTGCGCTCGATGCATATTTACATGCGCTGCCTCGATCTCAGGCGACTTATCAGTATGCTCCCATGACTGACATGATCACAGGTCGAGAAGAGCGATATTGCTACTATTGACAAGAAGAAGTACCTTGTCCCGGTGAGTTTGGCTAGCGCAAGTGGTGTTCTGATTGCGCGCGACATGGGCGCACTCATGCCACTAGGTCTGATGTGACAAACGCTAACAATCAAGGCTGATCTGACTGTCGGACAGTTCGTGTATGTCATCCGCAAGCGCATCAAGCTTTCGCCAGAGAAGGCCATCTTTATCTTTGTGGATGAGGTACTGCCACCGACTGCCGCGTTGATGAGCTCAATCTATGAAGAGCACAAGGATGAAGATGGATTCCTCTATATCACGTATGACATGTGCTCTTATGTTCATTGCATTGCTAACAGGGGCAGATACTCTGGCGAGAACACCTTTGGCCATGAGCTTTGAAACTGTGAAGAATGTCCAGCTATATTGCTGTCACTATGCAGTCCAATTGCTCGCGGTCGCCAGTGCCTTTACTCTACGTCTGTCTACGCCTGCGCCATGCTTATTTCCCCAGTCAGTGGTCATGGCGCCATGTCTCTCCTAGGGCCGGTTGCCTGCTCCTCCCCTGCGCGTGCTTTTTCTTCTCCTTCTCCAGTATTAGTATAGGAAGCTTGTGGCTCTTTGATGAATTGTGCGCCCATCTGATTTCTGCACTTGGATTTTGAATTTTGAATTTTGGGTGCGAGGGGCTGGACAGCAACCACGACCATCTCCCTGCTCACTCTGCTCGAATATTCGTGCTTCTGCTTCTCTCTATCGAACATCTCTTTTCCTGCTCAAGATGGCTGGCTCCATCCGCCGACATGGCAATTGCTTGTGTGTTCCCCTTCCAGCGAAGTCTGTAGAAACTTCCGCATGCTCTCATCCATATGCTGCTTTTCGCTCCCGCTAGCGGAGTACATGCTGCCTTGTGTATGTCATGAATGCGGATGTCTCAGGGCAGCATTGTCAGCAGCGACGCTATAGAAGGACTGATGCCCCATCGGCAAGGCCTGCTATTGTATTCATCTTTCGCAACACTCAAGCAACTACCTGCAACGAGCATCCTCACCAGGACTCAATCACACAGCCTCGCAGTGCTACATCAACTGACGCCCTTCTTTTAAACACTTCTTCAATTCTTTGCAAAGATGCTCTTCAACATTGCCCTCTCATCCGCCTTCATTGCAGCCGTCGCCGCTGCACCACGACCAGCGGAAAAGCGTCAGGAATTCATCGACGTCTACGAGACGGTCGATCGTGTTGTTGCTACTGCTTGGCAAACAGCATGGAAGACTGTTCCTGGTCAGCCCATGCCAACACCTGTTGCACAGACACAAGTCATTGTCAATGAGGTGCATGCAGAGTACTCCTACTCCTCTGGTGGATCCATCTACGCCATCCCCACAGTTTTGGCAGATACGCTGACATCTGTCGTGACGGCCGTTCCTACCTACGCATCTAGCGTCGACAACATTGTGCAAGCACCCGCACAAACCACCATCACCAACTCCATCAACCCGAAAATCACTCCTCTCGGTGCGAATGTCGGCACACCTTTGACGACAACCTTGCCACTCCGTTCCGCGTTGATTGGAGGGTCGACTGTTACGTTGCCTGCTGCGACATTGACGTACTATACGCCAGAGGTCAACAGCCTTGGTATGACCCAGTCTGCTGCCGCTGCAGTCACGCAAGAACCTGCAGTCCCTGTGGCTTCCATTGCATCGACTGCACTTGCCGTCAAGGACCAAGCCGCCGCTTCGACACCCGTCGCTGCAGTTGCACCTGCTGCCACCTCGGCAGCACAAATCCCAGTCGTCGCTGCACCTATTCCTGCAGCCACTACAAGTGCCGCCCCTTCACCTGTTGCTGCTGCACCCACGACCCTCACTTCTCCAGTCGTCAACAACCCAGTCCCACTCTCCAATGCAAACCAGGGCGATTTCGTCTACAACGTGCTTCAATCCATCAATACGGTCCGTGCCGCTCACTCGGCAGCTGCCTTGCAATGGGACGGTGCACTCGCCTTTGACGCTCTCAACTATGCCCAAACCTGCACATTTGATCACTCCACTGCTGCAGATTACGGTGAGACACTGGCTGCTGGTACCTCCACCGATCCTTCCTTCTACATCTCACTCTGGGCCGGTGAAGAAGCACTCTACGACTACAACAAGCCTGGTTTCTCCACTGCAACGGGACATTTCACGCAACTTGTTTGGAAGGGCACGACGAGTGTTGGTTGTGGCTTTTCAAGTGGGTGTGGATCAAGTTACCCATACTACCTTGTTTGTCGATTCAAGACGCCCGGTAATGTCCTTGGTGGCCAGGGCGATACTCAGTACTTTACTGAGAACGTCTCACGCGCTTAAAAGGGCATTTGAACTGGTAGTTTTGTTTGGCATTTTTGGTTTAGCAGGCGAAAGCATAAGTTGATATACATTCGTAGTGATTTGAGTACTCATATATCTTTTGATTGGAAAGAAGGCGCTTCGAAGCAGATGCAGAATGCGATAGATCGTGATGTGAAGCAAGACTTTGTACGCCAGTGAATTGAAGTCCGCCTATCTCTTCTTGTTCTTTGCAGCACGCCGACCTTGTCCTTTTGGAGGGGGTCCTTTACCCCTTCGTTTCCGCGCGTCCACATCCGCCTTCCTTATCTCCTCCGCTTCATCCACCAGTCCCAACTCCGGGAATGCTCGTATAATGGTTTGGAGCTTGACGTTTTCTGTTGGGTAGTAATCGAGTAGTGCCGGTCCACGTAACCGTTGTCGAAGGATTTTATTGCCGAAGCGTTGTGCGGTTGGATTGTGGACGCGATTGAAGATTGAGCAAGAGAGCTTCTGTAGCGCTTGAATGCGTGCTATCGGAGCTGCCATGGCTGTGACGAGTGTTTCTTCCAAAGTAGTCTGGTTGATGGTGTCGAGTTGTGTGCAGCTCTCACGAGATGCCGCCGACGACCTCAAAGTTCAAACTCAGGCACTCAGCTCACAACCCAATCTATGTCTCTGGTACTTTCTAGCTAAGTCGCTCTGACACAGTTGAGCTAGCAATGACTGCTGATAGCACTCTCGACTTGGCAGATATAAAAAGTTTTTGTCCATGCAGGGACACTGAAATTGAAGAGCTCCATGCGGTTCTCACAAATGTACGCGCTTGTCAGCTTCACGCTCCTTTACTGACCAGTTTCAGCTACCACGCCCAAGCAGCTTACTCGTATATGGGCAGCATCAGACTTGCAAAACGCGCCTGTTGAGCACTTACCTAGCTCAAGCGGCAAAGTCAGGATTGTCGCATCTACAACGGGTAGCGAGACTCGATGTCAGGCAATGCATTACGCAACGATCGTTTTACGAGCGTACCATCGATGAGATCCTTGGAACAACAATCATGTACAACAGAGACGGGAGGCTAGAGTCTGACTCGGTGGCGATAGATAACCTGGATGCATTCCACAGACGGCTCGTGCGAGTTTTAAGCACAGATGATCAGCAAGATACAATCATTGTCTTTGATCACTTTAGTCTAACGCAGTTCGACAACTCCGAAGCCATCATGACGATGATTGTGGAAGTTCTCCAGTCATGCAAGGGTAATGCAACGGCAATCTTTGTCGTGTCGAGATACAGTGATGTGCCACGCACATTATCGCTACCGACCATTCATTTTCGATTATACACGCCAGCGGACATCTTGACTATCTTGAAGCAAGACGCTGAGCGGGCTTACGAGCAGGCCGATGAAGTTGACTCTGCTCTTTGGCCAAGCATCTGGCAGCATTATTGCCAGACGATCTACGGCACCTTTGTTGAGCTCGTGGGCCATGATTTGCAATTATACAGACTACTCGCCAAAAAGCTACTGCCTGCATATCTCGAACCTGTTCGTCAGGGTCGTCTAGAAGCCACCAATCATGTGCAACTCGCGAGAGCAGCTCAAGCCGCCATGGCGAGAGAAGCTTGGATCACGGAGGAAGAGCAAATCACAGAAGATCAATCTGGTCTCACTGTTCAGCAGCGCAAAATGGCCCATGAAAGTGAATTATCGGTGAGCACACGCTATTTATTGGTTGCTGCCTTTCTTGCGTCTTATAATCCAGTGCGAACAGATGTCATGTTCTTCAGCAAAGGTCGAGGCCCTGCAAAGAAACGCAGAGCAGCTGTTGGCAAACATGCAAAAGCAGAACAATTGCCTCAAAAAGTACTTGGCCCAAAAGGCTTTCCTATTGAGCGTATGATTGCGATTTATCATGCCATCTCGCCAAGAACTGTCCCTGACGATGTCACAATCGACCAGCAGGCAAGTCATCTTCAGTGCTTGTATCAAAGTTAACCTTCAGATTGCCACAATTGCTTCGCTGAAGCTGATACAGAGAATTGGAAGTTCATCAGCTGACTTGCTCGACGACGGCAAATGGCTCGTCAATATCAGCTTTGACGCAATGCATCGTATTGCACAAAGCATCAAGTTTGAGCTATCCAAGTTTATGGAAGTCTAGGCTGAATACATGGGCACTTTCACCATCGACCGTCATGCACTTGGTCGAGTCCTCGGGAAATACTTCAAGGGAAGATGGCGTACCTGGGATCGTTCTACGATCGAGCAGCGTTCCGTCAATTGACCAGAGCTTCAGTCCTGTTCTTCTTTGGAGCGACATGATGCGTTTGTCGTCAGCCATGAGTGCAATTTGGACATCCCTGGGGTCTTCATGCTGCGCGCCTCCTGCGTAAGTGATATAGCTTTTTGCTCCAAGTCTGAGGTCAAACAAAGCCAAGTCTTGCAAGCCGGCTGCAAGAATCTGATGGCCGTTTCCGAGTATTTTAATCTTACATATGCCACGAGGTTGATATAGTCGCTTTGTGATATTCAGTGGTCCGAGTGGCATGCGCAAGTCGACCAGATCGAGCGCGCCACTACGACGTCCCAAGGCAAGCACGTTGTTGTCGAGAAATTGAACATCGAGAACATCCTTCTTCAGCGGTTTAGGTGCAATAGACGCGTTGAAGTCACCAGTCCTGTCGATTGGCAGCACATAAAGAACGGATCCGGCAAAGCACAACGTTCTAGAGTCCGGCGAGAAGGCGCCAGCTTCAACATGACCATCAGCTTGTTTGACTTGAATTTGCGTGACACCACCGTGCAGACGGCCCGTGAATAATGCTACGACGCTCGGATCACTGGAACATCGTGACGAACCAGCCCAACGTGTGCCATCACCGCTAGTCACTAGGCTTGTGTAGTGATCATCGAATCGGTTGTGGACCCTAGGTTCCCAAGAAGAAGTTTCTCCAATGGGGTTGATTGCGCAGGTCGCGATTGCAGGACCAAATGCAAATACAGCATGGCTACTGCACCCAAAGAAGCGAAAGGGTACTCGATTTTGGCCAGCGGGTAGATTGTAGGGTGTAGCATGCTTGTTGCTGATGACGTCTTTGATAGACCGAGGCCAAGTGTCGTTTTGGGTTCCTGAATTGCCAGCTTGTCTTGCCAGTAGGGAGCCCACGGGTGATTGACGCCAAGATCTGCTCGGTAGGCCTCCATGCAAGACCTGATAGCTATGCCCAATTTGAAGTGTTTGCGTCTCTTTGTTCATCCTCTTTTCTTCGACCTTTTGGCGTTTGGCTTTGATGACATTTGAGTACGTATGAGCAGTCGAGCCTCCAGTAGATGAAGCGTTTTCTGCATGTTGACTTGACGAGACTTGAGTGGATGGTCTTCCGAGCGAGGCATGTGCGAGCTTGAAGTATCTGTTGCGCTCAGCATCATAGTAGTACCCAGGTATATCTTTGGGAAGCATGATATCTTGTCATCTAGCCAGCTCACGTTAACAATGAAGATGTAGCTGATGTCGAGATCTGATCGTGAAATGCTCGAAGACTCCTCAGATGGCACAACTAAGAACGCATTCTTGAGTGGTAATATATATTAGAAACGCATATGAATGGCTGTTCATGCTTCCTCAATCTCAGCCATCTTGGTCTCAAGCTCGGCCTCAAATTTGCGGAGACGTGTAATCAAGCGCTGCTTCATGATGGGATTGATGGCACGGTCAATTTCCGCCTTCTGGTTCGCAATGACTTCTTGCAAACTAGCCACTCCTTCACGAAGCACCTTTTGTCCCGTCTTGCGCTCGATCTGCTCTTTTGAAATGTCCTCATCTTCGTCTGAGCCAACGTCACTACCGTCGCTTGAACCTTCTTCACTGGCGCTTGCAGCCGCGTCAGGTGTCGCAATACCAGTAGGACCCGGCGTATCTCTGGCTAAGGGCGTACCATAACCAGATGCAGCGGGCGAGTCCAGAGCTGCTTCCAGTTCTGCAGCCAGGTCTTCGTAATCTGAGCCTTCCTGCAATTCCATCGCCTCGTCAACATCATCATAGCCGTTCTGACCATGCTGTCCTTCTTCGTCTGGCGTCTGAGACTGTTCACGACGGAGCTGCTCCTTGTCCATGATGGTGTACGTCGTTTGCTCAGCTCTCGCGTCCAGCGCTAGAAGCCGATCTACTTCCTTTTCAACCGTTTCGATCGTCTTTGCAGAAGCACGTTTGCGAAAGCGGCGTTGTCTGACATAACGTAAAGGCGGAGTCAGACCATGTGGGTAGACAAAGTCTTTTGGCTGTGTCGGTATAGCGACGACTGTGTCTTCATGAGAGATGCGGTCACCGACGAGCAGCATTTGGCAGACGTCTGCGACCTTGTATATATTCTTCTTGTCAAAGGTTTTGAACGTCTCAGTGATGGTGGGCAAGTCGACAAGCTTGGCCGCAAAGAGCTTGTTCTGTACACGCACAACAGCGTTGCGAGGGTCCTTGAATTTGATCGAGACGCCTTCCATTGGCCCTTTCGCCTCGATTTTTGAGCGCACATACTCTGCTTCGGCTCCAGGCTTGAAGCGTAATATCATATGCGTCTCCACAAGCGGATCTTCTTCTCTATCAGACGCCTCAGAGTCATATCCGTGTCCCACAGTGAATGTCTTTCGCAAGACAATTTTGGATGGGTTCGCCTTTTGCTTGATGCGTAGCTTTTGCTGAACGGGGGTCTTAATCTTGAAGCGGTTCAGTTTGATGGGTGCAACAGGACCTGCAGGGACTGTCGCTCCAGCTTCAATCGGCTCGACATGAGTAGCGCCTGTCGCGCTATCGCTTGCTGTCGGCCCTTGTGTCTCCTCGCCAGGTGCCTTTGGCGGCTTGATTTTGATCTTAAACATTCTGCGGTCGCTCCCGCGTTGATTCTTTCCTAGCCAGCCCTCCTGGAACCAGCTATATGCGCTGCTCCATTAGCTGCTTGGTTGTGTGGTCTGCCGCTTCTGTCGCGTGAATTCAAATCCTCGAAAACATGCGACTTGCACACCGCTAACGAGCTATCCATGACTTATCATGTCTGACGGGGAACCAGCAGAGGCGCCTGGTGAGATTCTAGACAAGCAGCTGTATAAGGAAATTGGCAACTTGGCCTCGTGGACCGTCTCGAGTGAGAAGCCCGGCTTCGAGATTGATGTTGTACGTGACGACAATCTGGACACATACTGGCAGTACGTCGCGTGCTATTTAGGCCATACACAACGCTGATTTGGCAGATCCGATGGGCCACAACCTCATTACATCAATGTACATTTCTCGAAACGTGTACTGGTCGAGGTAGGACCGCCATTCTCAATGCAAGGCTTCTGACATGCAGTACCTGAGCATCTACCTACGCTACGAGCAGGATGAGTCCTACACACCATCTAGGATTCTTTTGAGATCTGGGACTGGCTATCATGACTTACAAGATGTTGTTGTCCTGGATTTGGACTGCCCAACCGGCTGGAAGCATGTCAATCTAGGTGAACATGGCAAAGATGGGCTTCTAAGGACTCATCTACTTCAAATCTGTGTCATTGCCAACCACCAGAATGGCAAAGACACGCACATCAGAGCCATCAAGGTATTTACGCCAAGAAGGTAAGCCGGATGATTCACCTCGACTTGACTAACGGCAAGCGATGCTTTTGATGAAGAACCCCTGCCATACACAAGCAAGGCAATGACTGAAGCGTTCGGGATCAGATAAACTCATGCAGCTATTCTCCTGGAAAAGAAACCTTTTCGCCAAGCATAAATAAGAGAACCTAGCACACCGACCCGCAAACCCAGGGTAACGACGATTGCTGGACGCACGGCAGAATAGTACTCTCGGATAGCCACGCCCACCCAGTCCATATCTGCATCATGCGTTAATGTGGCACGCTTGATCTGCCTCGCGGCCTGACGTGCACGACGTGTCATGAGGTACAATACAACGCGCAAGTCCCAGGCGCCAAAGGTTGGAAATTGCCATGTTGCGATGCTTGTATGGGGAGGGATGAGGTCGAGAAAGTCAGTGAGCACAGAGAGTGTCAGTCCCCAACAGAGCAAGTTGATGCCATTGGCTGAACCCTCGGGAACAGATTTGGTCGGGTCAAGCTTGATGGCGGCGAAACGCATGCGACCAAACATGGGAGTGGCCAGTTTCTCTGCGAGCCAGCCGCCTTGACGCGCCAAGCGGGTACTGACATCAACGTACTCAACCGTCCTCGAGGCGAGTGATTGCAAATTGTCCAGGGATACCCAGTGAGCACTGCTTCATTAGTTTGGGTATCTCGTGTTGATGGACGTACGAGGCAACCTCGGTCGGCTGAATAACAGGCACAGGCAAACCCGGCTGCTTCAATACATAGACATAGGAACACAAAGTCATCAGCATGTGTGTATTGAAGCTTGTTTTGACTTCGCGTTGATCAAGCGAGCCAATATGTAACGCATTGTCATTTGTGAGGTCTAATCCGACCTCTTCCAACGTCTCTCGACGGGCAGCTGCCTCGTCAGTCTCATCGGCCTCGCGTTTACCGCCAGGCAAGGCAACGTGAGCAGTCCAGCGATCACCGGAACGACTAGCACGTTTAATGAATAGCATATGCGGCTCAGCCTCAGCAAGCCAATCTTGGCGAGCTAGCTCATCGAGGCTAGATACAGGCTCAACTTTGTGATTGATACTAGAGGAGCCACGTAGCTTCCAGCCAATGACGATGGCTACACTTGCACGCTTCTTGCAGTAGTCAGGTGAAGCAAGCAGGCGTTCACGACGACCCTTGAGCAGTTTGAGGGCGTCAAACAAGCCACTGTTCACCTCGGACATCTATTAACGATGAAGCTATAGAGATCAGCCTAGATTGTAGGAGCACAGGTAACGACAGGAGTGGTATGGTCTGATCAGGCGATTCTCTCGCGTGAATTTGCGTTGAGGTTGAATCGACAACTGCAACGCACACAGGCGAAGTGTGGCGAGCACGTACTACAAGTCTACAACCGACCAAGAGCATGGTCAAAGTTCTGACCTGGAATGTAGCTGCACTGAGACCTCTTCCTCCAAAGCTTCCTGGCGGGAGTCTTGCCAGCTTCTTTAAAGCTCAAAAGGCCGACATTGTTTGCCTACAAGAGACCAAGATTGCAGATTACTCAAAGCTTACCAAGGAGCTTGCTGTTGTAGATGGCTATGAGAGCTTCTTCAGCTTCAGCGGAAAGGGATATGCTGGGATTGCTACTTTTGCTCGACGCGGATCTGTAAAGTGGTGGACCGACAACCCATTCAATGTCGAGATTGGCAGTGTCAAACAGAAGGCTTCAAAAACACAGGTGCTTGAGGATCCTGATACAGCAGTAGACACGTCCATCGGTCGCTGTGTTTTGACTGATCACGAAAGCTTCCTGTTGCTCAACATCTATGCTCCAAATGCCGGGCGTGGACCTGAATATCTTGCGCGCAAGTTCACCTTCTACAGCAAACTAGAGCAGTGCGTTGCAAAGTGGCAAGCAGCAGGACGTTGCGTTATTGTGACGGGAGATATCAACACCGCTCATTCTGAGCTTGACATTTACAATCCAGAGCGGTTTGCCGAGACGACAGGGTTCATGCCTGAAGAACGTCAGTGGATCACAGATTTTTTGAAGAAGCAGAACATGAGTGATGCCTTTCGGCGTCTACATCCTGACAAGCGGAAGTACTCATTCTGGGATCAAAAGCGCGACATGAGGCCAGGAAATTATGGCTGGCGGATCGATGCCTTCTACTGCTCAGATAAGCTCTTTGACACCGCTGAGAAGGACGTTGTCGAGAGCGATATCCTCAATGATGTCAGGGGATCTGATCACTGCCCAATAACACTCTCGTTGCCGCATATACAGCTCTCGAGCGAGCTCAAATGCAAAGACGCCAGCAGCAATAGACCGGAGGTGAATCAAAGACGCATCGATGGCTTCTTCTCGAAAAGCGTCAAAGGTCAGGGTGCGAAAACTGCTGCGAAGCGCGAGGCAACGACAGACGACGAGAATGAGGATAAGAAACGACTCAAATCATAGCTACACTGTTTTTTTAGCAGTCAAGTGTAATGAGGCCTTTGCATCGTCTTGCAACAGCTGAGAACGTCGAACAAGCCTGTGCCATCTGATGGTTTTTGATCCCGCGCTCCTCGGCATCCCGTGGCGAAATGATTGGCTGACTTACCACGAGGGAGACACTTTGCCAAGACCTACCATCCTTTGAGCTGCAGGCTGTGGCCGGTGTCTGAGGCAGTGACTGCCAGTGAGGCTGTGGGCCTACCTCACAAACATACCCAGACTGGCTATCTCCTGTCGGCCGTCCTAGAAGACCGTTTATGTTATTTGACAGTGGCATGATCTGAAGCTACAACTGCTGCTAAAGTGCACTCCATCATTTGTTGAGGTCAGGCCCGATCCGAGCTCAACTTTGATTGTCTTTGTGTGACGGTGGGAGCTGCGTCCTCGGCTGCCTTGGCATCTGAGGCCAGTGCTGACGCTCTAGGTCCTTGCTCCAGCTTTCCCTCTCTTCAGTGTCCTGATCATCGCTAGCGGTCGAAGTATGGCCAACATCGATGCGAAAGCCATCGTCACAGTCATCTTCTTCATCATCTCCATTGTCTTCATTCTATGCCCTGTACGCATACCTAGAACGAAGTACAGCATCAATCTGGCAACAGCTCCCCCATTATGCGTACTCATCCTGCTTGCCTCGACATGCATACCCATATCTGTCGTTTGGGATGGCATTCGTGGTACAGACGGTATCAAGCCATACAACATCATGATCTTGTTCTTTGGCTTGGCATACATGAGCATTTCACTGGATCTCACTGGTATTCTGCAAGCCGCTGCCTTCTGGGTCGCCAACAAAGGAGGCAAATCTGGCATCAAGCTCTATACCTACTTCTTCCTCATGTCTCTCATCCTGGCCGTTGTGCTAGGGAATGATCCAGTCATTTTGTCCGGCACGGCCTTCTTGGTATACTTCACGCGTGTTGCTGAGGTCAAGCCACTAGCCTTTCTCATTGCAGAATTTGCTGCTTGCAACTTGGGCTCCATGGTATTGTTCGTTGGCAATCCGACAAACGTCGTGCTCTGTGAAGGCTTTGAGCTCGGGTACCTGGACTTTACTGCCTGGACAGCAATCCCTTTCATCTTCACCGCAGTGGCAGGGTACTTGACCCTCTTGCTCGAGTTCCGCAAACACATCCCAAAAGAGATTATCGCACCAGATCTCGACCCAAGATCGGTGTTGATTGATCCTTTTGGAGCAAAAGTCGGTGCAGCACTGATTCTCATCTGCTTGATTGTCATCATTGGCGTGTCGTTTGCTGGTGTTGAGGTTTGGGAGATTGCTCTTCCCTTTGCTTTAGCGAAGGCTGTGTTTGATGTCAGCTGGGACTACTATCGCTTCAAGAATGCCAAGCTGCCAGATAGTGTTGTGGCTGAGAAGAAGGCAGCAGCAGAGGTGCCTGATGCCCAAAAAGCGCGAGTCAACGCTGATGGCGACATTGCAATGACGGCCATGTCATCCACTACCGCCAATTCGCCAGCGTCATCGCCATCACCGGCACGTCCAGCGAAAGCAAAAGACTGGCGAATGAAGATGCAGGAGCGCTACTTCTACCTCAAACGACGCTCGCCGACATCCTTTACAACTGTTGAGCGTCTTCCATTTCCATTACTATCTTTCACATTCTCGCAGTTTATGCTTGTTGAAGCATTGGTGTATCGCGGCTGGATCGACGTTTTTGCAGGATGGGGCGCAAAAGTCCTCGTGAACGTGCCTTCCACCATCTTCTTCATTGGCGTTGTCAGCATCTTGCTTTGTACATTTGCAGGCACCAACATCTTGAGTACTATTCTACTCACCAAAATCATCAAGCAGATCGAGGTCACTCATGTGCTCTCGGAGAAACTTGTCCGGGCAGCATCGATTGCTCTTGCAATCGGATCCAACGTCGGCGCCATTTCCGTCGTCTTCAGTGCAAGTCTCGCTGGTCTGCTCTGGACGGCCATCCTAAAGCAAAAGAACATCCACCTGTCATCGCCCGAATTTGCGAGATGGAATTTGCCAATCTTGTCCGTTGTAACGGTCCTTGGCTTACTTGTTGTCTGGGCAGAGATCGAAATCTACTACACTTACATACACAAATGATATGGCCTTCATTCCTTTGATGAATAGAAGTTCAAAGGTTAAATTGACATTGGAAATTTACATGCTGCACATCGCAAAAGCGGCCCCCCTCTCGTTGTATCATCTCCCCCGTTTACATGACGATACAATCTTTTTTGCTCTTCTTTTGCTTGCCATCAGATGAAGTCGAATCTCCTTTGCTTTGGAAGGATGAGAACCCACTTTTACTACTCACGCCGGTGGCGATGGATGCGCGCGTTCGCCCATTCGAGACCTGGCTGTTTTGACGCGTATCTGTCTGCTCACTTGATGCAGACGCAGATCCTTGCTTGGAGCCCTGTTTCGCATACACAGTGACAGAAGGCTCAGGTGGTCCGTGAATACGACTGCGTGTCGTGACTTCCCCGCGAGAGTACTGGATCTGTCTCGCGAGTTCGAAAAAGGCCTCTTCGACATTGATGCATTTTTTGGCACTCGTCTCAAGGAATGGGCAGCGCAAGCCGTTTGCGAGTCGTTTGCCATCTGCCACGGAGACTTCACGGTCTGCATCTCTGTCAGACTTGTTGCCAATGAGGACAAGCGGCATGGGCGCTTGCTCCTTGATACGGCTCATCATATCGACGAGGGGTAGGATTCTGTCAAATGAAGCCTTGGAACAGACAGAATAGACAAGCATAAAGCCTTCGCCATCCCTAAGCATGTTAGTATCATTTGTAAGGTTACGAGCCCATACCGAATCCACTGATCCCGGATGAATGCGTACTCCTCTTGGCCGGCAGTATCAAGGATCTCCAAAATACACTGCTTCTCATCCACCAAAACTTGTTTTCTGTAGGAGTCTTCGATGGTTGGGTCGTAGGTCTCAACAAAGTGGTTGAGGCACATTTGCAGCGTCAACGCTGTTTTTCCAATAGATGGCTCGCCGAGGACCACTAGCTTGTACAGTTGCATGCGAGATGACGACGACATGATGTGTCTGGCCCAGCGTCCTGAACCAAAAGAGTCGTGATTGTCTTTACGCGGACTGTCGCGCTCCTGACTAGACTAGATGAACAAAGAACAGAGGCCCTTACAGATAAGAGGGATGTCGCGCCGTGTGCACTTCAAACGACCGAAATGGTGTTATTTGTGTCAAAAGAGGATGAAGAGAGTGTGAGTGGGGAGAGATGGGTGGTTTTGGGTCGCAGTCCTTGGGCCGTCAGTGTGAGTAAGAGTGATCTGTCGCTGATGGGTGTCTGTCGTCCGCCAAGGCCGTCACAGGGAAGCAGCAGACGGAGCGCGTTCGGGCTTCCCGTCACTCTGAGGCAGCTCGCTCTCGGTGGCCCTGTCTGTAGTCTGAGGCTGTAGACTGTGCGACCCAACTTGACCCAACTTGACCCAAGGCGCCCACCCAAATTCGAGCTTCACATTGCCCCGCCTACAAACGGCTTCTACACACAGGCCGAGTGACTGCAGCAAGGCGACAAGGCAGCTGCTTCGTGACTCGGTTGATTCCACTTTGACACTGATTGACAGCCCTTGACAGGCTACTTGTATATGCCCAATCTTGACTTGTGTCACCCTGAACTCACCCTAACCCATTTCGAATCTCCTCTGCAGCTGAATCAGGCGACCAAGTCTATGGCACCGGACACAAGGCCGAGTCTAGCATTAGCAAGCCTCATATTCACGACACCACTTTGTAGCTACTTACTTCTTTGCAGCACTTTATGTCTGCCTCTTCAGACGCCCCGAAAGCCTAGACATCTGCTTGCAAAGGTATGCAAATCCTATGCCCGCACGCTTAACAGTCGTTTGGAAGCCGAGATAAGTGATCGTAAGTATGCGACCCGCGCGATGTGTCACTTGCGGAACCAGCTGCAGGTGGCCGGAATTCAACCACCATGACGCTAATGCATCTTCTTGGAATCGATCATATGCTGCGCATGAGCACTGGCTCTCGCGCTAGTAGAACCTGTAGAGGAGTCGAGGAGCTTCACTCTACCAATTTGCAAATGGCTACAATGCTACAGCCTGGAGAGTCCTCGTTCAACCAAAAGGCGACCTGTTCTGCTCCAGCGCTTCAAGTCTCCGTTGCCTCTCTAGCTCTGCTACCGCCATGATGCATTGCTAGTCACTGCCATGTAATGCGCCCTACGCTAAAATCTCCACCCAGGTCAGTCAAGACTCTTGGCCGGAAAAAGATTGCTTATTGCCTCTCCGACAAGCTCAGCGATTTGCCCTCGGACCGGCCGAGTACCACAAGGTCGCTTCGTCTGTCAAGCTCTGAAGGATACCTACACACCATGTGCAAGCTTCCTTGTCGAGTCGCTCGCGCTCGACACCTTGTGCGCTTGAGCAAGCGTCTGTGAACTCGGCTCTGGCGACGACATCTCAACCTCAGTCGTCTCCGACGAGCTCACCGACGCGATTGTCAGCGGCCGGGGACGTCCCTTGACGCTTTGTTCGTCCCGAGCAAACTGCCGCACCCTGCTGATAGGTGCTGGCATGGACGACAGACCAGAACCATACGTCACAGTACGTCCCAACGACCCTTCTCGAACGCTTGCGAAATCTGCTCCACGAAGATCATTGTCGATGGTGCTTCCTGCTAAGGTAGTCCGTCCCTTTGGTTGATGCTTCTGGATGAGCCATCGAAGTACGTCAAGCCACAGCTGATGGTCATCGCGCGTCTCGCATGTGAAGCGAATGGATTGATCGCCAGAGAGTAAGAGGAGGGATCTATCATGCCCGTCAGCCATTGTGCTTGTGTCTTCAATGTCCAATACTTCTTCAATCTGGAATCTGCGAATGCCAAGTTGCATGCCAACTGCAGGTCGCGTGAAAGACCAGCTCACTGCCATTTCGGAGAGACGCAGCGCGACAAAACGTCGGTGACGGACAGGTTCTGCTTCCATTCCGCGACGCCACCTGAATAAACCTGGCCGTGTCTTGCGAACATACTTGTACATGTACGTCCCAATCATGCACTGTGCAATCATACGGGTCATTGGATTTGTTGTGGAAGCCCGCACCACCTCTCCAATACCGTCACTCGAGCTCACAGACGAGGCCACAGATCTAGTTTCGACTGATCCTATTGGGTATTTGAAGCGTTTGAGACCCATAGTGAAAGACTTGGCCTTTCTCACCTCCAGCTGGTTGCTGAGGATGCTAGGTGTCCCCACCGATGACGCAAACTGACTTGCAGTTGCCGCAGTCGTCGGCAGTGCCAACAACAATGACTGCACACTCTTGTGTGTTACTGAGCGTGTTCGATTGGAAACCAGCATGTCAAGTGTTGGGACTGAAGCTGGGTAATTGAAGCGCTGCTCCATTGCTGTGCTCTCATGTCGCTCCGATCGCTGATTTGCTGCTCGGTCGATATCTGGTGCTGTGAGCCAGTCCAGCATATCTTCGCGCATCTTTATGAGGTTGAGGATGCCAGAAGATGCAAGGCTGAGGCGCTCGGTCACCGGAGAGGTCTCGGCATCCACCACTCCTTGATCTGTTTGTGTTCCGACAGAGATAGTGACCCTTGGGATCGCTTCATCAAGCAGAACAGACTCAAGATGAACAGATTTACCTACAGCCTCATCCTGTGGCTCTGGTGCATCTGCGCAGAGTCGCGTGCTGTCCGAGTCGCTGGAGGCGCTCGAATCAGCGTCCTCTGCCGCTAGGTCCACAAGTTCTTGCCACAATGAGTCCACTCTTGCAGGAACCGTAACGCTGATTTTTGATTTGGGTCGAACAAGCCGATTGTGCTTTACAGCAACCTCTAACCTCGACTCTTCAGCTGCTGAGCCGCTTGGTGAGTGTCTCGCCCCTCGAGGAGGGAAGGTGAAGACGCTCGACTCTATGCGGCGATGAAAGGTTGTTGCGGCCGTATGCACTTCGCCCACAGAATCATCATCGGCGCACGACGCAGTGGAGGAATCGGATGATGATGGTCTTTGCTCATCAACATCTGCCTTTCCATCGCACTGTTCGGACAAGGCAGGTGCGTTCTGCCGATACAATGCCTCAGTCTGAACGTCTTTGAGCTCTGCTTCGAGCTGCTTGACCCTTTCGGCTTGTTTGGCGAGCTCACTGTTCTGCTGTTGCAGCCGTCTGTTGGCCTGAGAGAGTGATTGCGTTGTCTGAGTCAAGTCTTCCGTCAAGCTTCCAAGTCTGGCCTCGAGCTCTTCTTGACGCACCCTCTTCTTCTCCGTCTCTACTGACAGCTGCTTTTGCACCCTGATGAGCTGCTCCTCCGATCTGGCCAAGTCTACGCAGACTCTCTCGTAGTGGTTTGTCAAGTCTGCATACTTTGCTTGTGCTGCCTCAAGCTGTGACTGAAGCTGATGGATCGCGAGCAAGAGTTCTTGTTGCAGCTCAGTGTCTATTCCAGCGCTACTCTCCTCTGCGTCGCCTTCTCGGCCGATATGGCCCTCGTGGGTAATGGGAACATCTCTCCTTTGTCTTCTTCGCCTGCTGTTGTTCACTGCGGCAGCCGCACTAGGTCTTGGTAGAGTATCTTGCTGAGTGTTGGACATGTCACTGACTGCTGCCTGCAGAGTCGTGTCCATGTTAACCTGCTGAGTGTATTCAATAGTCTAATCCGGACCTCTCCTGCGGCCTTGCTTGCATGCGACCCTGGCCCAGAGCGTCGATGTTCTTCCATTCAGGGGTAGAACTAAATTACCTCGCATCATCTTTCTTTAGTCACATGAGCAAACATCTCCAAAACAAACTCATCGAGTCTAAAGGCTTACACGTATACGACATATCACTACAGCTTAGATCCGCTCTGTATGCCTGCGACTGCTTTAATCACACCTTCATGCAATTGCATTGCTGGGCTAATGTCGACTTCTTCCAGATGGCTTGCACTGCTTCCCCCCATCTCAAACACGTATCTCTGGCGGTTTGACGCGCTGTATTGCGGCCATACTTGTGTGTTTGCTGGTTCACCCCTTGCCGCAAACGCGACCCACTTGTCGACGTAGTCTTGGGCAGTTCTTGCTTCCTCCGCATTGGCGTCATTTCGCCAAAGACCAGCTGTTTTGAATACAAGAGGCAGCTCTGACGCATGATGAACACCCCATCCAAACTCTCGCCACGACGGGAGAATAGCATTGCTCCTGTACAGGAAGCACTTGACCTTACCGGCTTTCGATAGCCGCTCGATATCGAATACGACTGGTCCCTCAAACAGCTCGTTGTGAATCATACGCGAGGCCGGATGCGACTCGAGATCACCCTTGTGCTGTTTGGCATCTCCGATGTTTGCGTAGACATGTGGATAATATGCTGCCGCTGCGCCATGTTTCTTGACAAATGAATCAATTCTTGATTGATCGTCGTGCATGCCAAACAACTGGGCAAAGATAAGACCTTCGTCGGTACAAACCCCAGCCATGAACGACTCGAGTGATGGCACAGTCTCGCCACGGTCGAATTTGGCAGCTGGGTGCTCAGTCCAGATGGCATTAGGCCCTTGCTCTTGGCATGCGGAGAAGATCAAGCCGGGCATCTTGTGGAGGAAACCCAGCAAGTGCTTCATGGGAATCTCTTTCGCTCGCCTTACGCGTTCAGCCTTGTCTTCAGAGACAATTCCAAATGACTTGAGTATCAAGTTCCAAAGGGCTTCGTGATCGCGAATGTTGAGGAAAGACATGGTTCCTGTCCCTCCAGATTGAGCAATGGCTCTTTTGAAGATTGCATCGCGACCGACACAATGATAAACGACACTCGCAGCACCTGCACTTTCGCCGTAGATGGTGACATTGCCTGCATCGCCTCCAAATTTGCGAATATTGTCTTTTACGAACTTGAGTCCAAGCAATTGGTCCCGTAGACCATAGTTGCCAACGAGCCCGTCATTGTCTCTCAAATCCTCCGTTGCAAGAAAGCCAAAGATGTTGGTACGATAATTGACGGTGACAATGATGACTGGCTGAGAAGCATCTCTGATCACATTAGTCGCATCATAGATCATGGCACTAGCGGAACCATCTTTCCAGGAACCTCCATACAGCCAAACCATGACTGGTAGGTCATCTCCTTCCTTGGCACCATCAGGTGTGTAGATGTTGAGCGTGTAAATATCCTTCTCGGAAATGCCAAGATGCAACCGCTTCAAGAAGCCATCAACCTTTGCCATACGTTGGCCCATTACGGCGGGTAATTGTGGCGTAGCAGGACCATATTCGAGGCAAGCTTTTGTAGCTGACCACTGCATATGCGGACGAGCTTGTTCCCATCTGCCGGCCTCGCCATATGGTAGTCCAAGATACTTGACTACAGGCTTTTGATTGCTTTTTGGCTGATCAGCTGTTGATTTGTCGGATATTACATGCGTATCTACGAAGCCAGACACTGGTCCGAGCGTTGTTTGTATCGTGGCCATTGAAAGAGGTAGCAGACGGTCAAGGTGCACATCGCGAATGTCAAAAGGGTGAAGCGCGGGGTAGAAATGTTCAGATGGCGAGAACTCTTGCTTGTGAAAGGCTTACCCCTATACCCCCAATTCTTGTATTACAGCTAGCAGTACACTTCTAAGTTTACAGCCGATCTTGACAGCGGAGGCATGTTGAGAAGTTGAAGCAGCCAGGTGGTCTTGCTGGTCTCATCTCACACGGCCAATAGACAACGTCACGAGGCGACCAATTTGATGCCTGCCGAATCTCTGATGATTTTGTCGTGCATTTGCATGGCTGGTGTCAAATCCGCCGCTTCCAAGTGCGCCTTTTCGCTACCTCCATTTTCAAAAACATAGCGTTTCCGCTCTTGGGAAGTGTATTGTGGCCATACACTCTTTGCTGCAGGCTGACCTGTTGCAGCAAACGAAACCCACTTGTCGACATAATCCTGAGCAGTCCTGCCTTCTTCAGTATTGTCATCATTCCCCCAAAGGGCACTCGAGTTGAAGACAAAGGGAAGCTCTGATGCGTGATGAACACCCCAATCAAAGGCGCGCCAGTAGGGGAGAATCGCATTGCTTCTATACATGAAGCATGTGACTTTGCCCGTCTTTGCCAACTGCTCCAAGTCAAACATGACCGGACCTTCGAATAATTCATTGTGAAGCATGCGCGCAGCTGGATGCGACTCCAAGGCACCCTTGTATTGGCTGACATCGCCAATATTGGAGTAAATTTCCGGATACTGGGCAGCGGCCTCGGTACCATGCCTGCCAACAAACATGTTCGTCGTTGTCTGATTACCGATCAAACCAAAGAGATGAGCGAATACAAGACCTTCATCTGTACAGACACCAGCCATATAAGATTCCAAGGACGGTACGACTTGGCCGCGAGCAAATTTGGCAGAAGGATGCTCGTTCCAGATAGCATTGGGGCCGTCTTCTTGGCATGCTGCGAAGGAGATTCCAGGGTTCTTGTGCAGTAAGGCAAGAAGGTCATTTGTTGGGATAGCCCTAGCTTGTTTGACTCGCTCGACTTTGTCATCCGCGGTGATGTTGAACTCCTTGAGTACAAGTTGCCACACTGCCTCGTGCGCCTCAAGCTTCTGGTAAGACATGGTAGCCGAGCCGCCCGATTGAGCAATGGCCCGTTTGAAAATTGCATCTCTTCCGACACAGTGATAAACCACACTTGCAGCACCTGCACTCTCGCCATAGATGGTGATGTTGTCACGGTCGCCGCCAAATTTGCTGATGTTGTCGCTCACAAATTTGAGTCCAAGAAGCTGATCGCGCAGGCCATAGTTGCCCACAAGACCATCTTCGTCTTTCAGATCTTCTGATGCAAGGAATCCAAAGAAATTGGTGCGGTAGTTGACGCTGACAATGATGATGGGCTGTGGGGATGCACGAATGACATTGCTGGCATCGTATAGCATTGCTCCCGCGGTGCCATCTTTCCAACTTCCTCCATAAGTCCAAAACATGACTGGCACATTGTCACCTTCCTTAACACCCTCAGAAGCATAGATGTTGATGGTGAAGATGTTTTCCTCCGACATCCCAAGGTGCAGTCGCTTCAAGAAGCCCTCCTGAGCAGAGATCCTTTGTCCAATGATTCCTGGAAGCTGAGGAGTCGCCGGCCCATATTCAATGCACTCTTTTGTCGACTTCCAAGGTGTAGGAGGACGCGCCTGCTCCCACCTGCCACCGACACCGTAAGGAATTCCGAGATATTTGATTACAGGCCTCTGATCGCCCTTGGCTTGGCCAGCAGTTGACTTCTCAGAAAGCACATGCGTGTCCTCGAATCCAGAAACTGGACCTAGTGTTGTCTGTACTGTAGCCATTGTCACACACAAGACAGGTAGTTATGCTGTGTTGTCTGGATCTGCTCGCGGTTGCGATTGTTGAAACGCGGGGAACACCACACCACTGCCGCACCAGGCTCTCCGGCCCCGCTCTCGGAAAGTTTGCAGATGGACAAACTCGAAAATAAAGGCAACCACGTCGACGTCAACTTCTGCATCTACACAACTTCGTATCTACAGTATGCCTAGCAGCTCGAGCTTGTACGCATGAATAAGCGCAAAAGAACTGCTAGTATATCTCCTCCCCCGATGAAGACTCAAAAGGTGCTAGACAGCTACACATCACCACTCAGGACTAATGCACTCTTTGAAGCTGGCCAAGCAAAGCTGAATCACGTATCGAACACGTCTTCATCGGCGTCTGCCGGCGCTTCAAACACTTTGAAGCGCACGATCAAGCTCATCTCGTGGAACTGTGATGGTTTGAACAAGTACCTCTCGCCAGACAACACGACACTTGACAAGTTCATCACGCGTCGTGGTAGTCCTACTCGCAACACGGCAAAGACAAGCTTCTTGACACAGTTTCTTGCTCAGCATTCGCCAGATGTTTTGTGTCTGCAAGAAGTTCATGTGTCTTCTAGCAAGCGCGCCTCGCTGTTGAGACGCCTAAAGAGTGACGCACCAAACTACGAAGCCACGTGCTGCTTGCCTGCTTCCAATAAGCATGCTGGTGTAGTGACGCTGTGCATCAAATCACTTGCTGTGAAGCATACAATGGAAGTTGATTGGGACCATGAAGGTCGAGTATTGATCCACGAACTTGATGGGTTGACTTTGTTCAACGTATATTGCCTTAATTCGTCAGACCATCCTTGGAGAGATGCTACAGGTACGATCAAGGGCACAAGAGCCGAACGGAAGCGACAGTTTCAACGCCTGCTAGCTCAAGAGATGCTGTTACAGTCCGCTGAGCAGCCTGTTGTTGCACTTGGAGACTTCAACATCAGCCGATTTGCTTTGGATGCAACACCAGGAACCTTGAGAACGCAGGAGACGCATGTCAAGAATCGGCGCGAGTTTAATGCGCTATTTGGCAAATTTGTTGACCTCATTCGGGAGGCACATCCGTCTGCGAGGAAGTACACGTGGCATTCACGCACAGGCACATCAGAAGCCCGGGTAGACTTGATTTTGGCATCTTCAGACGTTCAGAGGACTGTATGCGATACTATGGAGTCTGTTGGACGTGGCCAATCAGATCATTCGCCGTTGTTCGCAGCCATCTTGATCCCATCTCAACAAATTTCGGGCCAACTCTTCGACCAGTGCTGAACTGTGCTTCACTCAGAAGACTCTGCTATACGGCTTGCTCTGCGTCTGTCAGGCTCGCTCGTGCTTCAAATGAGCAAATATTTGTCCGCTTGTCATGAGAATCGTCGCTTTCTGGCAAACACAAGCAAATTTGGCGCAAACACGTCAAACAAAGAACAAAGAAATCGATGGGATAAAGGAACGAGCAATTCCCCATCTCGCAAATCAGAACCATCAAGCAAAGCGGCTTCTGCTCACTAAAGCTATCATCGAGTCGGCTGGTCCAAGTACTCACAACACTCTTTTCAAGACACAACAAACGGTCCTTTCCATCACAAACAGCCTCACGATGCAGTTCCTGCCAGAGTTACTCATGTTTGCCCTCAGCAGGTAAGTCCAAGCACTCCATCATATCAGTCTACTGACTAGAGCGTGGCCGGACTTCCGACAGCTACGCAATCGTCTGCTCCGGCTGCAACGGGTGTGCAAGCCCTGCGAATATTTCATGAAGTCACCACACGCACGATCTCAAAAGTTGAATGTACTCCCAGCCCCAAAGATCCTGATTGCAAGCCAATCAAGCAAGACAAGCCAATCAAGCAAGACAAGCCAATCAAGCAAGACAAGCCAATTAAGCCGGTCAAACCGATCAAGCCTACCAAGCCCGTTCATGACCTCATTTGGAAGCAGAAGGATCGAAACATTTTGCAGCACAAAGTCAAGCCCCCTCAAACCCAGATCCAGAATGCCCATCCGCCTACAAATCAAGTGACAACACAGTTGTTGAAATCGCCTTCTAGTGCTTCATCGCATGGAAGCTCCAATGCGGCGGCGGAGAGTGACGCTGCATTATTTCTCAAGCTGCATAACGACAAACGCGCTTTACATATCAATACAAGTGCTGTAACTTGGAGTACAGAACTTGCCGAAATGGCCTCGAAGCACGCCCAAGCATGTGTAAGTCTATTCAAGAACCAAGTGACCTTTTAACAATTAGATCTTTGAGCACCTCCAGCCCAACCAGTATGCCGAGAACATCGCGTTCAGAGAAGCAACCATCAGCGATGCAATCGACGATTGGTACAATGAGATCAAGCAATTCAATTTTCAGAAGCAAAGATTCGATGAGGAAACAGGGCACTTTTCCAATATGATCAGAACCGGCTTGAAGACCATGTATGTTTGAATATGCTCCTGTTCTTGCTGACACAAGTGGCTGCGTTCAACATTTCTGCTCTGATATGAAAATTGAGGGCAAGTCTGACCAAGGAAGGTTCTATGTTTGCGAGTATGATGGGGATAGCTCTGACCTGCTTGTACAACCTTTGATCCAGCGCTCGTAAAGTGCTCATTGGATTGCTTTTTTTGCTATTTTGATACTTGAGCTATAGTTTTAACATGAGTGATCTGGTTGCCATATAAATTCGCCTCTTCATGCAACTCAACTGGAACATTGAACGGATCGCGATTGCATTATGCAAAGTACATGTGCTTGCAATCGTCCTGAAATGCGTCAATCCTCGGAACTTAAGAGCAGAACAAACCTAAACGGTCACGGCCTGGAAAGCTCCTATACGTATACGATGCACATGTCATCGCAAATAGATGCGCACGGAATTACCAAAGCCGAGCGCTCATTCTGACATAAGACGAAGTTGCCCTTTGTCATTGTAACAAGAGCTATGTGTTTCCAATGAAACCCCACTTGTAATTCAAGAGATGCATGTATGTATGTGAAAAATGTTGTCGATGCACCAAAATTATGTCTTCACTGACAAGATCTGACATTGCTGCCATTCGGCTTTCAGCCAAAATTTGAGAAAATGACTTGGCGACTGCAGCTGCTGTATTAAATTCCTCAAGCTGCAGCTGATCATACAAAAATTCCGCTCATTGTCAAACGCACTAATTCCATATCTTTAATCTTAGTACTACTTTCGTGAATAGAACTTCAGGTTTGAAGAACCACCTGTATAAGATGCTTCCGTTCTCTCTGAGCAATCATTCATGTATATGACAGCCACTGCGACCGTCTGGCGGATGAAGTCAGACACAAAGAGCTTGTTGTTTCGGGGGGCGACATTGGGTTCAGGAGGTGTCTGTTATGAGCATGGACTCCTGAAGCAGACTGAAAATAGGGTGTAAAAATTGCGGCGCTGTCAACTTGTCCGCTAGCTATGATGAATAGTTGTCTTCTGGCTCAATGAGCATACGATAGGGACTCCGAACAGATCTGATATGCAGTTTCCCCTGACGTAGCAAAGGAAAGCTTCAGTGCCGAAATAATGTCACCAGTGACTCACCACGCGAGAATATTCAGCAACATTTGCTTCTGCATGCCTTGGGTATGCCACGTAGCCCCAGAAACAGACAGCAGCCGTAGCAATCGGCACGAAAATGTGGCCGACTTTGTAATAAACTCAGCTGCAGGGCGCTCGATGCGATTGAGAGTAGAAAAAAAAAGAAATTGCAAACAGGAGACATTGCCACGTGGAGGTCAAGTAAGATTGCGACTATTTAAGGTGCATCAGCGCAGCTCAGGATTCCATCCACTACACGCCAAAATGTTCAAACTGCTGATCTTTCTGCTCTCTACATGGTAAATCGCAAGGAGCAACACATGCACTAGCCTTGCTAACCGCACATAGGATCACCACTACCGCAGCCCAACGGACTATCAGTTCCCCGAGCTTAGGAGTCATGGCACGATGCGCTATTCAGACTTTTGGAGCTTCCAACGCCATGGTTTTGCCATGCAATCAAGGTACCAACGCTTGTGAATCCCTTCGTCCTGATCATCGTCAGAATTTGGGTCGAGCCGGACCTATCGCAACCAAACCTATTTCAACCAAGTGACAGCCTCAATCACGATTTATTTACCTATACCCCTAAATAGCAACAAAGTCTTGTTGACTACAAGCATCTTTTTGCTATAAAGATATCAATTCACATCCATTCGAGTGAAGTGAGCTCGATTGTGCTCGAGTGCTGAAAAGTACTGTCATAATGGGCTATCTTGGCAGCTGTATACTAGCTATAGCTATACTTCCATTCTCTATAGCTGGCTGCAGCTGCTCGAGCTGAGCCTGCAATTGTTGGTACGCGATCGCGATCCTGCGCGGTATGCTCTTGGCGTTAGATCGGGGGCATGCTCAACAGCATAGAAGACGTCTTGGCTAACATTCGTGAGCCAAGGTAGAGAGAGATGCTTGCGCCCCCACTTATTCAGTTTCAGAAGTTGTTCACTAGAAGGACTGCCTAGCTTTAGTCCTGTTGCAGCCGCAGCGGTCATGTCATAGCCACTTGCTGCTGCAACTGCAACTGAGCCTTCCAAGAGTGCGTAAGTGAAGATTTCAATTCCCGATCAGGGCAAATCCTTTCAAGCAACAAAGCTATGCTCAGACGCAAGACTTCCACTGAGGGAGTGCGACCGCATAGGAAAAGGCCCGACCAGGCAAGACATTTGTAGCATACTGTGATAAGTGGCCTTCAGGAGTGTTGCAATTATCGTGTGCCTGTACACATGTTTCACATGCAAACCTATAATTGAAAAATGGACCAAGTTTACTTAAGACGGACTGACTGGCCGGCTCCCTTCCTCTCACGCATACGTGGCTCAAACTGCGAAAAACAATGTCTCAGTTTCCATTGTTCCTCTTGGCTACCTTGTAAGAAACGATATACATTCGGCACTTAGACACTAACATTCATGCAGGATGAATATTGTTGCGATCGCTGCTCGACAGAACACTCTTCAGCGGAACGTGAGCATTGCTGGTCGACACGCCATTTTCCAGGCTTCGCAAGTCGTTTCCTCCACTGCAGCTATTGCGTTGCCTTGTAACCGAGGCTCCGGCGCTTGTGGCATACTGCCTAACATTACCAACATTGGCACACCAACTCAAGGGCATCACTGAAACCATGAAGAAGCTACTTTTCATCAGCAACATGAGCGTTCAATACATCTGCAGCTGCAGATCCTTCATACTCCAAGTATCACTAGCACCTTTTCATATTCCACTAAGATCTTGTGCATCAATCGCTGTGGCCTTCAGCCTTGACAGTGTTCAAGGGCATAGCCAACTCACAGGCCTTTTGCAAGTCAACAGGAGCAAGCTTGAATTGCAAAGAGAATGAGGGAGTCTTCGTAGACAACGTGGACCAATACAACGTATGCCGCCTCGAGTCACGTGGCCATCCTTGTGCGGCAATACACTACGCATGGAAACCAGTGTAGCATCGATCAATTGTCCACGGCCGGCTGGGCTGTCAGTGTCAGGCTGTCAGCTTCCAAGGTCCTGGTGCGAGTAGCGCCTAAAATAGCAACACGTAGTCTCACTCAATCGTCTGCAGCTCAAAGCAGAAATAGTCAGAAGCAGCCTCTTCAAAAAGATGTCTTCAGCTAACACCTGAAACAAAGTCTTCCTGCAGAATTGAGGAAACGCGCATTACAACATCGGCCGTCATCGTCTCGGGGTGAGAATATACTGCCGCAATGTCAAAGGAAATTGCTAGTTTGAGGGCTTTTGCACTTGCTGCCTAGCCTTTAGGAGCTCGAGGTATGGGTCGAGTGATATTGCCGATTGTGGGACTGAAGGCTGTGGTTGGAGTACACGAGAAGTCGATCACTGCATATGATGAACAGTGGATTGATAAAGATTAGGTTGACTTCTGGTAGCTTTATTAGAGGCTTATTCCATGAGATACTTCGCGAGTCGTGACGCATGGTCAGTGCGCGTAGCAGACCAAGCCTTGTAGACATCCAGCTAGCACCAATGGCTATAGCTACAGTGGACTGAGTGGAGCAGGCACGAGAACGTGGACGCTTTGCCTTCGAGCACTCATATGTCCAAACCTGACAGCATTCTGAACATTGTTTGTTATCAAGACGCATGGTCGCCATGACACACATGACACTTGCCCAAAATGACTATGCTTGCAAGCCAGTGTGCGGACAAATTTCGACGAAAGGAGTGACTTTGCGTAGCATCAGCCGCTGGCTGGCCAGCCTAGAAACAAAACAAATCGCGCATCCTGCAACAGTCTTTGCCGTTCCAGCTCTGGTGCAGAAAGTATGCCAAGAAGATGATCAGTCATGTCCAGTCCGCCACATGGCTACTGTCTCAGAATCTCAGCCGTCCGTTCAAAAGGGCGCAAGTCGTTAGACTCGCCAACCAACGGACCATTCACCTACCAAAACCCAGAGATGCGATCAACAGCGCTTATTCTCATAGTCTCTGCGTAAGAGCGCCAAACAAAGACACGCATCACTGACCAATACAGAAACTTTGGCTTCATTGCTGGTCGCCCCAGCCAAGAAAGTCCTAGTCGCCCCATGCTACCGCTCGCTGGCTTGCTTCAGGCTCTCAAGGGCCTGTCTGCCATTCCTGTCTATTCCAAATTCCGCCTTGATGATGGTCTCCTTGTCGGCAACAAAACCGGTGGCATTAGCGCACAGGTCAACAAACAGGTTAAACACAAAACGAACGGTCGTGATGATAGCTGGATCAAATAGCTCGGTGAAACGTTTGCCGGATAGATGCATCGTCTCTTGATATTCGATCCATCAGAGGGAGGCAACGCGATGCAATGCCTCTTGTTGTCGAATTCTTTATCATAACAAAGCCTTAGGCCCTCGAAGCTTTTATTCCTCTGCAGTTTGACTATTGCTGAGACGTGAGCGATATCACGTGAGCTTGAGCAGCATTTTGAGCATCATGACAGCTTGTTTCGCACCTACAGTATAATTGATGTGAAGAAACCGACCTGTGCAGAACTCTCGTCACTTCTGACTTTGATCTCGCTTATTGTGATCAGCACACGCCCAGCCCAATGCGGGCTCCTTTTTGCCTGATGCCGTCCTTTTTGCAGCGCGTACGGCTGCAGCCCACCACAGCTTACTCCATGATCGTGCTAGATATCGCGCACGACTATGTCGCTGTTCGAGGACTTCCAGCACATGTCGAGAGATTTTGCCGTGTTCATCAAAGTGAAAGTGGAAAAGGCCAGTTGTCAAGGTGGTTTGTCGAGAGGCCAATGGGCGAGAGGTATCATTCGCAACGAGGCGGAAGCGAATAATAAGTTTCTGTTTGGTGGGTGCAAGACGCTCGAACTTAATTTGACTTGCGCTCGAATTGCGGTCTACAGCAGCGTCGGAGAGTGACTCATACGAACCAAGAAGCTGCTGTGTCTCTATTGCAAGAGAGAGCGGCGCGTTGTCCACTGACGAAGTGCCAGACAGCGAAAAGTTTGCTTGAGTTGTAGATGGACCGAAGAGCAAATTGACACACCAGCAGCCGATCCGCGAAGCAGTCATGTAGGCAGACAAGCCGCGAATTTCTGGGAATGGGACTTGTAGTGCCACCGGCAATGGTATGGGACCGATGGATCGCATTGTGGCAGGCAATAGTTCAAGCGCAATATTGGGCGATAGAATCTCAGTCGGGAGATGACCTTCTTGTAGGAGAGCCGGCAAGTGTGCTGTAATGGTCTCGAGTGTCTTGCCAAAATTGGCTAGATTGTCCTGCTCGGAGGGTTTCCCGGCATTTGGTTCGTGTCCGGGTCTCGAGTTGCTCGTGAAACTACCCAGAGCAGGTCTGAATGGCGAGGACCCAGACGGCTCGTGGTGCTCTGGCTGTGCAGAGTAGTGCGACCAGCCGTTCAGCGGGGCATGGGTGGCAAGCAGTCTCGGAGAATCGAGGCGCCTCGTGGCCCCAGCACATAATCGACAAGCATAGGTATTTGTAACTCTGGTAGCTATATGAGCAGTGTAGCTAGCTCGACTCAGCAAAGAGCGCTTCATCACCAGACCAAGCGCACAACAAAGTAGTTTCGAGCTTGTCCTGGTCATGGTCATGGTTGCACTTTCTTTCGAATTTCTTGTGGCGACCAAAACGACAAACGCGACGAACCATCACAAGAGCAGAAGCGCGTCTGGCATGACCGTCGCCTCTCTCTGAACGGCGCAAGATCAAGAAGATACCTCGACGATGGCAGGCGAAGGCGAAGAGCTAATCAGAGCAAAGGTTCAGGTAAGACTTCCTCCATTGCCGCCCATTGCCTGACAAGACAGATCATCTCACTTCAAGCGCAGATTGCGGCGGTGACGGACCAGGCGCTGGGTGCGTTGCAGGAGAATGCGGCATTGTCGCGGAGCTATCATGCGCTGGAGGAACAGCTTGCAGCAATGAAGGCGAATAATGCTGCCGACGAGGCGAAAACAGCAGATCAAGCAGAGCTTTCTCGATTACGGGCACAGGCCGCCGAACAGAGCGAGCTCATCCAGCGTATGCAAGCAAAGCGGCAAGTTCCTGAACAGAAACTTGGCTTGGCAACGCCAGTATCACCTGCGTTGCCCGCCGAAGAGAGTGCGCAGTACTGGAAACGCAAGTACGAGCAAATCGCAGATTACAGCGAGAAGGTCAGGACACGCTTTCGGGATCACAGAGACCGGTGGAAGGACTGGGCGGAGCAAGCAAAAGTGCATGAGAAAGAACGTGTTGCCAAGCTGGCTCGATGTGAGATGGAGATTGCAAAGCTGAAGAGAGATGAACAACATGCAAGTGCGGAAGTCAAACGACTACAAGCGGCATTGACTGAAGCTGCAAGACGAATTGCAGATGATTCTGCTTTGTCGCGATGCGATGTGACCAAGTCGCCGATAAAGCACGCCGAGCATTCATCCAAGATCTCGTCCGAGAAGCGGGATCCTCTGACTGTTCTTCCAGTCAATGCAACTGAGGAGAGCCAAGAATCGCTCTCTCGCACAGCAGGCAAGCAAATGAGCTCTGCGACTAAATCTGCCGATCTACCAGCACCGAGACCCGCCATCAGGAAGGCGTCGTCAGAGGAAGAAACACAAGACAATGGCAAACCAACGCCCGGTAAAAATCGCATCATCATCTCTCTCCCTGTCGCTATCAAGGATGAGCCTGCAGGATCTCCGATTATTTGCTGTTCGCCCTCTACCCCTATCAACCACGAACCTGCCCTTCCGAATGACATTACAGCCCACGCAATGCAGTCTGGCACGCCGAGTAAGCACAAGCGCTCTCGAGAGCAGGTGAAACAAAGTTCTTCGACAGGAAAACGCCTCTGCGTCTCTGGTCATGATCAACCAAACTCAAAAGCCATTGATGCTCGACGGACCTCATCATTTGAAATCCCAAGCAGTCCTCACAAGCAACAAGGATTGGGTGATGTTCGTCGCACACAATCATCGGGTTCGCTGGTCAACCCACAGGAAGACTCCAAGCGCGTGCCTCTCTGGCAAACACTGCCCCAAAAGCGTTCTCCATTGCGACTCCCTCAACAGCCGAAGAATATTGGCCGTTATGCATCAGCCGCTAAACCTACGGGGCAGCTTGATTTCAGTGACTTCGCTATCGACGCAGAAAAGAATGATGGTGTCAATTATGCATTTCAAGAGGCGCTGCGTGGTAAGGATGCACGAAAACAGGCACATGCAAAAGATTGTCCATGTTGCGCGGACTACTACCGTTTCGCTGGGCCATTTCCAAGTCAATCTGGACCTATTTGGCGTGCGAAAGAGCCGGATGAACCTGAGGAACCTGTCATGAGTGATGCTGAGAAGATGAAGCAGCAAATGAGTCGACATCGAGAACGCTGGGAGAAGGAAAAGACACCAGAGTTGCATTGGCGCGTTGACTTTCCTTCCACACAGGAAGTAGCAGAGGAGGCACGTTTGGCGGAGGAGAGGCGTGTACAGAAGCTCAAGGCAATGGAAGAAGAAGCTTTGAGTGGCAAGGGCAGGATTATCTTTAGAGAGTCAAAACAGCCCCGACCTTCGTCTCGCAAGCGGGCCAGGCGTGTTCGTGAATAGCTTAGTAGATCATGGAGCATAGGATATGACATCTATTCTCTACACAGCTCCACTACCTTGCCAGAAGATAGACCAAACAGATATAGCATCGAGTCGAGCTCACCGAACCGTATCCGTGCAGGGCTTTCCCGCTGAACGAGCTCCTTCGCATGAATGGCAACACCAAGACCAGCCGTCTTGAGCATAGGCAGGTCATTCGCTCCATCGCCTACTGCGACAGTCTGCTCAATACGACATCCAACTTCCTGTTGGAGCTGCAGCAAGAGCTCCCTCTTCCTCTCGCCATGAACAATATCACCCTCTGTTGTGCCCGTCAACCTACCTTGGTCATCCACAGACAGCTGATTGGCAAACATGTAGTCAATGCCGAGCTCCTTCTGTACATAAGCAGCAAGCGGAACAAAGCCACCCGAACACACTGCCGTACGACAGCCCATCCGCTTCAATGCCCTCAACAGTGCGCGTGCTCCTTTCGCAAAAGTCAGACGTGCACGAATTGCAGCAAAGGTCTTTTCCGCTTCGAGTCCCTTGAGCAAACCGACGCGCGCTGCAAGAGACGCAGAGAAGTCTAGTTCGCCATTCATGGCACGGCGTGTAATGTCAGATACTTGATCACCGACACCAGCGTATTCTGCCAATAAATCAATGCATTCCTCGTTGATGAGTGTCGAGTCCATATCGAAGACAACGAGGCGAGGGTAGTGTCGCCAGCAATCATCTTTGCGAACAATCAAGTCTTCCTCAGTTTGTTCAAGTAGCGTTGATTTTGATGGCGGTGTATCTGTCCGGACTTGAAAGACATTTGGACCAAGCTGTGTGACGGAGCCTGATGAGGCGATTGTATTCAACAGGGAGCCTGAACATCGCGGACTCCGTATGGAAGTGACGGCATACATGTTGTTGTTGTGTCGCATCAGTCAAGTGTGTAGATGAATTCTGAAGTCAAAAAAGAACCGCGACGGAGCAGCAGCCAGCATTCAGTATATCGAGAGAGTATTATGAACAGGATAGAAGTAGAGAAGGATACAGTACAGAGGAGAGCGATACACAGCAAGATCATCGTCGCTTCGGTTGTTGCTGCTGCATGTTGGCGTTCGCCAAGGTATCCGTTGACTGGCTGAAGAAGAGCCTCGCGTCCTTGGTGCCGACATTGACAATCTCATAAAAGTTGCCGCGCGGCACGGTGAACTGCCCGCCCTTGCGCAGCTTGAAGATGACATCGTGAATCTTGACCTGGACATAGCCCTGGTAGATGAAGAAAAACATGGTGTTTTGCTTCGATGGCTTGACGGGTTTGCCCTCGCCAACAGGGATATCCAAGACACCAGCTGCAAAGTGAGGTTCCTCTGAGAGCGTCTTTTGGAAGAAAATACCTTGTCCCACCACGGGCCGAGGATCGTACATGGCTTGCGGTATCGCCAATACCTTCTTGACCAACGCATCCGGCTGCTCGAAAGACCGCACATTCGCTTCAACAATGATGTGTTCCTCCTCCTCATCTTCATCTTCCGGCTCACTGGCAGAACTCTCATCCTTGACTTGATTCGCCCGCCGTTTCTTTTTACCATTCGCGCGACCTTTGCTGCTGGCCCTAGAGCGACGCACTTGCTGCGCGCCTTCCACCAAGTCAACATGGATGATTTCCTTGACCTCAGGCAGTGAAAGGCCCAAAGTACCACCAACCGACTTCCGTCGTTGACCCCTTCCAAAGACCATCTTCTCACCGCGCCAGAAGGCAAGAGGGGGCACCTTGACACGCGTCGACCGCCGCACACCATCATTTTGCTCTGCATCATCTGAATCGTCATGCGTGATGGGTTCTCGCCATTCTCGTTGCGGCGATTGTGTTCGACCATCACGCGTTCGACTCGCTGCGCGCGATGGACTCAGTGACGCATGCCTCGCTGGCGCCTTCTTTCTTGGTGACTTCTTCGCTGCGGGTTTCTTGGTCGATCGTCCGCGTTTGCGAGGTGCAGCATCTGATTCATGATCCGTTGCAGCGCGCTGAGCAGACTTGCTGCGTTTTTTGTTGCTAGCAGGAGACTTGATGGGTTCTTCTTCATCTTCATCTTCTTCAGCTGCACTGTCGACAGACCTCTCAGCCTGTTCGTCTTCTTCTTCTGCTTGCTCTGCACCTTCATCGAGTTCCGCTCCATCATCGATGTAGTCTTGATACATGGGTTCATCGTTGGGAGCCTCATACTCAACATCATAGCGTACATCGTCGTTTTGCGCATTGGGCAATGGATCCGGTTGCGCAAGGTCTTCAAAGGCCTCTCCTTGAATTTCCGCCATCGTAGGCGCATCCACAAATTCGTCTGCTTCTTGCCCTGCATCGTCATCTCCATCGCTTCTCTCGGTTGCTTGCAAGGCTTCTACTTTACGCTTGCGGTCGGCCTTTGCGCTCGCCGACGTTGCAGCAGGCGACTTTGAAGACCGCCGAACAGCGATAAACCTAGCAGGAGCAGCTGGCGTCGTCTTTGTCACAGCCGCGGCAGCAGCAGGTGCGTCCTCTTCTTCATCTTCCACATCCAGGTCGCTTCTACTGAAATCCAACTTCCTTGCGACTTTTGCCAGAGGTTGTACGCCAGGCGTTGTTGCTGCCCGGTGTGGGTTCCTCAATGGACTCGCTGGATTCGAAACGGCGTTACGAACGCGCAATGCCGGAGAATTGAGATGCGTCTTTGTGGGTGATTGGGAATGTCGATTGGGTACTCGTACAGAAACTGGCACGGCTGAAGCTGCTTGTGATTGTCGACGATGCGACAAGGTGGCAGTAACATCTTGTGCTGAACCTGGAGAGGGATCGGTAAGCCGTGTACGCACCCGTGCGAATTGCAACTCACTCGCTTCAATCTCCATTTCTTGCTCATTCGAGCCTGTACTCGGCCTAGATCTGATTGAATGTGCTGAATCAAGGAGATTGCCTGCAGCAGCAGCGGCGGCGGCCTTTTTCTTAGCAGTAGCGGGGGAGAAGAAGGCAGAGAGATTCTCCATGCCATCTTCATCGCGCGTTGTATCGTAGATTTCAAGACCTGTGCGACGTCCCTTGACACCAATGTCGGTGACGTTTTGTGCACCCCTGCCGCGCCGTTCGGCTTCGCTGTAGCGCGCTTGTGAGTTTGGCATGGTTGTATGCAGCTGTTCTCTTATGTTTGGATGAATTGATGATGGCCAAAACAGAGATTCAAGGAACAAGCAGTGATACTAGTCCCTGATGCTACTCGCTGAACAGCTACTGGCCTCGGGCGTGTGAGCCGATGGCGGCCTTTGTTGGATGTCGGGTGTTGTTGTTTGTCGCTGTCTGTCTTGTTGTTGTTTTCTGCGGGCAGAGTTCATTCCTCCGCTAACCCTGGCACTCTGTCGAAATCCACTCAACTATTCAGCTGAACTCAACTATTCACTGCTTAATAGTGCTTATACACTGGCTGCTCTCGACCTGCTCATCTGCTGATTGCTCTACTGGCCATTAACTACCTCTGTTCAGCTTGTCCGCTCAGTTTAGTACATCTAGCCAGCTGAATCACGAATTGAGTCGCGTCAAGACGCGTACCTGGTCAACCCCTCAATATGGATGCATGGATGCCTACGTCTGTGACTTGCTCACAAGCATCCAAAGATGTCTCCTATTCCTACATCACACCTATACCTGCTAGTATCACTGCCAAGACCGGCGTAGAATGCATCCTCGGTGTCGACGAAGCAGGGCGTGGTCCCGTTCTTGGACCTATGGTCTATGGTGTTGCGTACTGCTCTGTCGACTATGCAGAGAGTATCAAGCAACATGGTTTTATGGACTCGAAAGTACTGGATCACGCAACGCGTGTTGACTTGCTACACAAAATGGAAGACACGCAGCATGTCCTCCAACAAGAGATTGGATGGACAGTGCGTGTCATGTCAGCAAGGGATATCGCCGCGGGTATGCTACGTCCGTCTGCGCCGTACAACTTGAATGCACAAGCCCATGACACGACCATCCAACTCATCCGCGATGTTCTGGCACAAGGCGTCAATGTTCGTCAAATCTTTGTGGATACCGTTGGGATTCCTGAAAAGTATCAGCAGATCTTGCAGCGTGCGTTTCCGATGGCCCAAGTCACTGTGACGAAGAAGGCGGATAGTCTGTTCCCAATTGTCAGTGTTGCTTCTATTTGTGCAAAAGTGACACGAGATAAGGCGTTGGAAGCAAGTGTGCCGGCCGGCGAAGTGGTTGTTCCTACATCAGAGACGGTCAGCAAGCTTCGTTCAGCTTCACCAGAAAAGCAGGTCGAATCTGTTCCTGCACGTCGCACGTCACCAAGAAAGGCCAAATACACGCAGCCAGAGCAAGAGATGGCAGACGAAGAAACGCAAGATGCGGCAGAGACTGTCCCTGTCGTAGGGACATGGGGCTCCGGCTACCCAGGCGATGCACGAACGGTGGAATGGCTCAAACGGCACATGCACCCGATTTTCGGCTGGCAAGGTGGGTTTGTGAGGTACTCTTGGGCCACTGCAAAGGATATGCTTGAAGGCACCTCAAAGCACGTCAAGGACAAAAAGGCTGCCGTGGAAGTAATCTGGCATGATGAGATTGTGGAGGAGGTTGAGCACGGACAAGCACGCATCAGTGATATGCTCCAGGGCAAGAACAAGGGTAAATCTGCATACTCTGTCGAACGCTATTTCGGGAAGAATGCAACAATGGCCATGTTTTGAGAAGCAGCAAGGTCATGGTGTTTGCCCCTCGAGCAAGCGTGTTCGTTCGGAAGGCGTTTGCTCAGCCTGCGTTGTTGCTGTTGGACGCCCGTCTTTCGTGCGATGAACAGCGCATGCTTCTGTCAATGTCCTCAAGCAGTGCAGCACGGGCTCTAATATATGCGGATGACCTTTAAGGAAGTACGTTGCAACGCCAGCAATGATGCCCAAGACAGCTGCAATCATCAGTGGCATCGTCAGCAGAAACCAGGAAGGCATCTCATCTGTGTTGTGCTTTTCTGGTGGAGGCTGAATTGGCTCTCTCTCGCCTTCGATACGCAACAGCACAGAACCCATCGTGGAGGACATCTTGATGGCGGATTTGCCATTTCCATACATACCGTTGACCACACGCTGTACCCAAGTCAGTGCATTAGGGCCAATCACGGACACAGAGCCATGTTTGCTTTGGAGCGTGTAGTGCCCACCTTCGTTGCCTGAAATCAACACTTGCAATGCACCATTTTTGGAGACTGCATCGAGCTGTATTGGCGTAGGAATCTCGACATCCAGCAAAATATTTCCGGCTTGAGAGTTTGCTGAGATACTAGCGAGATGTTCTTTGTGACTAAATCCCGGATCTACTGCCCAGACACCCACGTCGATACTGCCAGTGATTGTACGAAGTGAGACTTTAGCATCAGGCGATCCACCCAGTTTTGCAATGATGGATCCCTGCTGCGTCTCGAGTGTCGTCTCGTGCCCAAAAATCTCGCTACCTTGCAGCACGATCGCACCGGATGCAGTTGTCATGGCGACTTTTGGCGAGGTCAATTCCGTGTCTGTGAGATGGATGTGTCCTTGCTTAAGGGATGCCGTCACTTCACCAGCATGTAAGCCGCGAGCGTGTTGAAATGCCAAAGTACCCTGGTCAAGAAGCACATCGAGCTGCTTGACAAAGCAATTGGTAGCATCAAATAGCACATCTGCCGTTTCTGATGCAATCGTCAAACCTTGCGTGTACTGAGGAAGCTGAAGGAGGATTTCGATATTGATGCAAGAAGGCTGAATGAGATCGAGTCCACGACCATCCACCACAACCGTCGCCTCATTCTCTTCGATGGTGAGCGACACTGCATCTTCCAGCTGCTTCTCCGTCGCTTGCAAACTGACAGAAAGCCTGACTTGTTCCTGCGCCCAGCTCGTCACGCGAATCAAGGACTGCACAACAATGCGACCATGAAACTGCTCATCCGTAGCAAGCTTGAATGGCACATCTGGCCTAAACCTGACTGGTTGCAGGCTTTCGATGGCGCTAATGCGCTCACACGCTTCAGTTTTTTGCTGGTGTGCAGCGAGTGTGTGTGCTGTCCAGGGAAATGCAACGAGTAGCCAATCTGGCCGCATGGTGATCATGAGCGAGACAAAGGCAAGCAGACTGATGTGTGTGATGAGATAGACCGAGTGCATGAACGGAGGAGGGCAGCGGTGGAAGTGTCGACTTGCTCGTTCGATACATTTCAGGGGGACAAAGCAGGCGACGTGACGTCCATTTTCGGGCCGAGTGGATGGCAGCACATGTCGTGCATTCTGTATTGTAGACTACGTCAGAGCCCTTGTTATAAGCTCATCAAACAGCATTGCCGACAACTGGCTCCTTCTACAGACTACTTCTTGCAGCTTTTGAGGGTTGGTCGCTGCTGTTTTCTCTTCCCCACAAATCGGCAACAGGCGACAACGACAAGCAACAAGCAACAAGCGACAAGCGACAGAGACCCATGCCATGGCCTCAGGGCTCTCGCAGTCTCCTACGAGCGACTCACAGATCAGTCCATCCTACTCATTCACATCGCCAACAAATAATGGCGACTCACTTGGACCATTGCAAAAAGCAGCCTGTCTGGCATGTCGCAAGCGAAAGATCAAGTGCGACAAGCGGTTCCCATGCAGCGCATGTGTTCAATCGCGCATAGAATGTGGCTTCATGGCCAGCAATCGGACTAAATCTCGCTCAAAGGTCTTGTCGCAATTGCGTAATGCACCGGTAGAGCTGCAGATAGAGATGTCTCGGCAGGCACTCGCAAGTCAGCAGACACCGCTTGGTCTGGATCTGAGGCTGTTGTCACCTCCGTTGGTCAAGAGCTGTCAGCAAATCTACCTGCAAGAGTCCTATCCCATCAACATCATCATGGACCACGAGAGTTTTGTGAGTTTGATCGAGGGCTATGAAGAACAGCCGAAACGTTACGCATTGCTTGCGGCCATCTGTGCAACGGCCATCTACCAGTGTACGGACAAAGAGCTCTTCACGCAAGAAAACGAAATCTCCTCAGCGGTGGTCATGTCGGATCGGCTCATCAAAGCTTCCTTGCGTGCACGGCACATGTTTGACTATGCGAGCAAGCCAGACCTGCGTACTGTTCTGACTTCCTTCTTTCTCTGTATCGCAACATTTCAGCAAAAGCAAGACACACGCGGATGGTTCTACTTGAGAGAAGCATGCACGCTGATGCAAGTATTAGGCATGCACCTGGAATCCACCTACAAGACAATGCAGGCTGGGCCAGACTCAATCTTCCGCTGGCGGCTGCTATACTACCTCATCAGCGTCTCTGAACGTGCATGCTCCATACATCGCACACTACCCGTCACGCTCGACCACTCCATTGTCTTTCCACTCATGGACAATAGCGACCCTGAGCAACGCGGTTTTGTCATTCTCAGCGACCTGTTTACACCCTTTGACAGAGTCTTTTCGACATATCGCGATTCAGGCTTTCTACCCTTTGCAGACCCAGATGCCTATGTCCTCAACTTGCATCGTCTCGTTACGCAAGCGTGTCCTGATTATACATACTTCATCGACTTTCCAGGTCCAAAGCCATTTCCAAAAGCAATCATTGCAGATTTGCTCGTCAACAAGCAATGGCTCCTCATCAAAATCTATCATCTCGCCATCTCTCAATCACTCCTCACCTATCTGCCGCCCGAAGCAGACCTGGGCCTCCTCTACCCAATTAAAGTGGCGCGCGAGTTGCTCGACATTATTGAACTCCTTGGTGGCGATAGTTTCGAGATTCATGGTGGCAGTATGTTGGAGAAGTTTTACGATATCGCTTCCATGCTTGCGGATCTCGTACAGATTGTCCCGATTCCACCAAACTCGCCAGGCGCTGAAATGGCTCAACCGCTGGCTACACCTGGACTCGGTGGAGCTAGTCGACAGGAGAGTCTTGGTGATCGTGGTCAGACGTCCGTCACGTCACAGCCACGCACGGCGCAAGGGTTTGGTCCAAATGACCTCTTATCTGCACTTGTGAAGCTCGTCTCACAACTACGCAAGGAGCATAACCCGTACTTACCCATGTTGATGGCAAAAGTCCATCAGTGCTTGCAAGTTGGAGCCACAAAGCCAGAGCAAGTTCACAGACAGCCGCTGTATGAGGCCATTGGCTTTGAATTTGACGACTTGTTTCTGAGGTTTAATTCGGGAGACAACACGGACGCGTTGATGTAATCAGTGTAGATGCTAAATGAATGATTTCGTGGTCAGTGAATGACTGTGAAGGCGTGATTCAACTTCAAAATTTCATATGTCGACGAACACACCACGACAACTTGCTATACTGATGAACTCTTCTGAGATCCGCTCATTGCTTTTATTGTAGGCTATCGATCCTATATTGCTCTCAAAGAAGATGCTCAACGGCGCTGTATGGGAATCAAATAGACTGCAAGCTGCAAAAGTACCCTTATTGTCACATACCTGCTGAAAATGGTGCAATATCAAAGTAAGCTGACACCATCTGGTGCGACGACGCGAACTCTGCAATGACAAATGGATATGGCGACACCCGCTCTGTGGTCTACATAAGGGCCGTGCAATGCCGCTCTCCACAGGCATAGCACATCCCAATGGCTCCCTCAATTGCCTTTCAACAGCGCCCTGAGCAGCTCATCGAGCCAGTTCAAAAGCTTTCCCTCGCCAAGGCAGGTCAGAGACCCGGCGTCATTACCTACTCTCAGGAAGTCTTAGACCGATATGAGCCAGAATTTGACCCCGAGATCACCTACCCGCCTTATGAACTCATTGACCACATTGATCCCGGGCACAAGGCAACGGGCAAGGCTATCGAAGGCGCGACATACACCAAACTCACTCCCAAACTCGGCACTGAACTCTCTGGTCGTCAGATCTCTTCCTTCAGCAATGCAGAAAAGGACGAACTTGCCTTGCTCGTTGCTCAACGCGGACTGGTCATTGTGAAGGGTCAGGATTGGGCTGGGATCGGAACGCAACAACAGATTGAGTTTGCGAGCTACTTTGGTAGATTACACATCCATCCTACATCCTCACACATCAAGGGGCACCCAGAATTTCACTTAGTCTCGCGCGGATTTGACAAGCCAGAGTCGCAGGACGATGCCATCCATGCTGCATCTGCACATATTCAAGAGGAGATTGATTTGGGCGATTCCGTCTCGTCTGTGTCTTGGCACTCGGATGTCTCCTATGAGTTACAGCCACCTGGCACAACTTTTCTGTGGAATCTGCTGAACCCTGAGGCCGGTGGCGACACTGTCTTCAATTCGCAGGTGGAAGCTTACAATCGTCTCTCTGAAGGCTTCAAGAAGCGCCTCGAGGGACTTTATGTGACACACTCTGCCTTTGAACAAGCAAACCAAGCGACTCAACGAGGTGGTGTCGCACGTCGCAAGCCCATCATCTCACAGCATCCACTGGTCCGCACCCACCCCGTCACGAAGCAAAAGGCATTGTACGTTAATCCTCAATTCTCGCGACACATTGTCGGCTACAAGAAGGAGGAATCAGACGCGCTTCTCAACTTCCTATATGATCACATCGCCAAAGGTCATGACTTCCAGGCGCGTGTCAAATGGACTGACAATGCCACGCTGGTCATTTTCGATAACCGTGTTGTGGCTCATTCTGCGCTCTTGGACTTTTCCGCAACAGAGAGACGCGTCATTGCTAGACTTGCTCCTCAAGCTGAGCAGCCTTTCAATGCAGATGAGCAGAAGTGAAGGAGATTAGGCTGCATGTAGAATGAATATTGGATGATAAATCGCCAACAGTGTTCATGAGCGTGAATGTGTGACATCTGAACAAAACTCTCCCCGGAGTCAGACGAAAGCAACAGCTCAGCGACATTGACACCTAGCTATGTTTCGGAGAGCAGGCTATGCGGCGTATTGCATGTCACGTCAAGCTAGAGCATCAGCGTTATGTGCTACTGCAACTGCTGCAGCAGGTATAGCATTCTACACGCTTCCTAGCATACAACGTACAGCGAGTCGAACACTACACCTCGACTCGCCTCTAGAGGTCGACAACCGCGCCAAGTCCCTTGGCAATATCACTGATGAGTCAAGCATGCGACTACGAATGGATCGATTTGTGAAGCAAAAGCAAGCAGAAATTGTTGCTGCTTTGGAGCAAATTGATGGGCATCATTTCAGAACAGATCGCTGGGAGCGGAAAGAAGGCGGGGAGGGCATCTCGTGTGTTTTGCAGGATGGCACAGTGTTTGAGAAGGCAGGTGTGAATGTTTCTGTGGTGTATGGCAAGTTACCACCAGCTGCTGTTGCCAAGATGCGTGCTGATCACCGTGGACTGGCAGAGACAACGGTTGCCTTGCCCTTCTTTGCTGCTGGCCTCTCACTCGTTGTGCACCCACATAATCCAATGTGCCCTACTGTGCATCTCAACTACCGCTACTTTGAGATTGAGAATGAAGACGGCACACCGCGTGCTTGGTGGTTTGGCGGTGGTTCAGACTTGACGCCCACCTACCTCTTTGATGAAGACGCGATTCAATTCCACGCTGAATTGAAAAAGGCCTGCGATAAGCATGATCGCAGCTACTATCCGAAATTCAAGAAATGGTGCGACCAGTACTTCTTTATCAAGCACCGCAATGAATCTCGTGGCATTGGTGGCATCTTCTTTGATGACTTGGAGGATAAAGACCCCGAAGAACTCTTCAGCTTCGTTAAAGATGCAGCGGATGCATTCTTACCCGCCTATGTACCCATTGTCAAGCGTCGGATTGCTATGCCGTTTACAGAGGAAGACAAGCAATTCCAGGCGATCCGTCGAGGCAGGTACGTTGAATTCAACTTGGTCTATGATCGTGGCACCCATTTCGGTCTAGCGACACCCGGTGCACGAATCGAGAGTATCCTCATGTCCTTGCCATTACACGCGAGTTGGGTCTACCAGCACGTTCCTCAGGGTCCACGCGAGTCCAAAATCATGGAAGCTTTACAGACACCAAGAGAATGGGTTTGATGCCATCCAAAACACCCCTTACTAGTGTACAAAGTCATAATAAAGCATACTCTACCTGCAAGCAATTGCTTTCCCTATGCGCGATGGGCAGGCTCAAGAAGTTGTCGTTGTTGTGCCAAGAAGGATCTAGGGTTTGCTCGCGTTCGCTGCAATGACAAGTTGCTCTGCGTCAAGCGTGATGAAAGATCATAAAATGCTCGAGCAACAAGGACATTCTCTTGCCTCAAGATTGCTTCAGTTTCCCTTGCCTCTTGCTTGACTTGATTCGTCTCTTGAATTGCGCGTTCGAGTGCTGCCTGTAATGTGGCGACTTGCTCACCTCCCGCTGTAGATCTCGCTGTTTCCACCTCTACACGCAATGATCGAATCAAATCATTTTGTTGTCTCAGGAGTGGCTTGACAAGGGAGACTTGCCGTTCAGACTTGGCAAGCTGGTTTTGGTAGTAGGTTGCTTGCTCTGACAATGAACGCGCGTCTTTAGAGGATTCGCCCGTGAGATCGGCAATCAGTGCTTGTACTGCAGTATTGGCTCCGCCTCGTGCTGCATCGTGCTTGGCGAGCTGTGCAGTGCATTCGCGTAATTTGGCTTTCGCAACGGTCAGCTCTTCCTTGGTTCTTTCGAGCTCTTCGCTAACTGCAACGTGTACAGCTGTTTTATCAACAAACTTTTGAACACGCTCCTTGGCCGCGAGCATGATTTGCTCACGCTCTCCTTCTGGTAGACGATTGAGGACGAGTTCAAGCTGCGTAAAATTGTGAACGAACATAATTGTTAGACTTTGCGCATGAGCTTGTAGCTTGCTTCTTTCTGCATAGAGAGCACGCAGGGAAATATCGTTTGTGTCTAGATTGGTCGCTGTTGCAGAATCGCTTTCCAGTGCCACACAACGAGCTTGTGCTTCAATCAGGGCCTGTTGTAATGCTGCCTCCTTTTTCGCATTCGATGCGATGATTTTCTTGAGTGTGGCGATGTCTACTTGACACGCATCAAGCTGTTCCCGTGCAGCCGATAATTCCATATGCGTCATCTCCTCGCTGAGTGGCGTACCGTCCGTAGATGCTTGTGTGCTGGTTTCCTCAAGCAAATGCATACGTTTTGCCAAAGCTGCTGTCTGCGCAACAGCTTTAATGCGTGCTTTCTCAGCTGCCTGAACTTCGACTCTGGACTTGTTGAGCATCTCCTTGGCAATCTGTAGCTGCTGTGCATGTTGAACTTTGAGTTCTTGCATGTGAGCTTCTTGGCGATTGAGCTGGGCTTCTCGTTCTTGGAGACGTTTTGAGCCCGCTGTCTGCTTCTCCAATTCTGCAATGTAGGCTTCTTGTTTTGTTGCACGTTCCTCCGATTCCTTGAGCTTCTGCTGCATCTCGGTCCTATTGTCAGCTGATGCCTCTCATTTTCATCAATCAAGCATACATGGCCTCTAGTTTGCGCTTATACTTGTCATTGACCAACTCAACACGACGATACTGTTCCTTGATTCCTTCCATCTCTGCCACATCCTCCAAGAGCTTTGCGACGTGCTGTGCACTCCCACCGGTTTCTGCAAGGCGTCGTTCAAGTTTAGTGACATGCTGTGCTTGTTCTTCACGTTCTTCCTCGAGTGTTGTGATTTGTACCTCAGCTTGTTCAAGGAACCGCTTCAGTTCTGTATATTGATGCTGTAAGAGTGCTTGTTCGGGGGTAATTCCCTCTGTTGCATGGGTGTTTGCTTCTTGATCGACTTGTGCAATAGCTGTTTTGAGTTGTGCATTCTCGTCAGTAAGAACAGAGAGTGTTCGTTGGAGTGCACTGATTTGTGCTTCGTGAGACGATGGTCCAGGCGTGCTTGACGATGCAAGTCTGCGTGAAGCCGGTGTTGGCGACTGCAGCGTTGTTGTTGATGCAGTAGGTCTTCCCGCTTGCTGTACGTCTTCAATAGCCTACAAAGGTCAGTCCATCCTGCTAATTATCCGTATGGCAAGGTTCGTCGTACCTGTGTCAAGAGTGTCTGATCTGTCGTGTTCAGCAGTGCAATGGCATCGACATACACGTCCTTCCGAGGACTTTGCACAGCAACCACCAGCACGAGTCTGAGTAGTTTTGTCAAATCACTCGCTGCTGCACCATCTTTTGCAATACGTTGTAGGTTTGGTAGATGAGGCGTGATGCCTGTTTCTGGTAGTTGAATGCCTCCTGTTTCTTTGAGAAAGCGTTGCATGAGCTTGAAGGCTCGTTTGAGCTTATTCAGACGCAGAACCCAGGTTGTACTGGATTGTTGTGTATGTCTGTCTGCTGCGAGTGTGCTGAAAGCATTCGGATCGATATCGAAGAGGCATGTGCAGAGGAGACTGCCGTCTGCAAAGGTATCGAGGGAAGCATGTGGGTAGAGCTGTTGCAGCCAGTGAAGCAAGGCCGCTGCATCTGCCATGGAACTAGCGCTCTCGTTCTAGCAAGCAGTAAGAGTGTCTCTAATGTACAGCGCGATGGAGTAGAGAGCACGGGAGAGCAGCGAGGGGACGAGGACTTGTAGGAGGATGTCGTTGTGAGGGAAGAGCACAGACAAAACTGGGGATGTTTCAGCGAGGCACAGTCTCACAGATGTTCAGAGAGATGGAATAAAGGGCAGAGCTTGCTATGGGACGTTCATCATCATTATCAAGAGAGGCAGATGGCGCTAGACGAAGTACAGGTAGTGGGTACTTGCTGTCGACTAGGCGGTGCCACTGCCAACCTTGGGCGACACTGAAATCACCTGGTCTCGCTCAACTGAGACATAAGCGTGCTTCTGCTTGATCTCTTCCATGGTCTCTTCAGGCGCAACCACACTGAAGCCGTTAAAGAGCAGCTTGTACTCGTGTGTGATTTCTGCGCCAACTGAGCGCAGCAGGGTTCTGATCTCATCGACCGTGCTAAGGGCAGTGTCAGTGATGGCGCATGAGCATACGCTGGAGACTTACGTGGTTGCGATCTTGTCTTCAAAGGTGACGACGTAGCTGGGCCATTCTGAGTGTGAGCAGATCTCCTGGAAGAATGAAGGAAGTGCGCATACGGGACTTTGGACGTGCTACTTGGTTCTTTGTAGGTGCTGCGAGTGCGATGGATGCATATGCGATCCAGCAGGCAGAGAGGAGGGAGACGATTGAGAAGCGCATGTCTGTAGGATTACACTTCTGCTGCTACTACACTGCTGCCAGCGCTGGAAACTGACAACTGTTCACTGTTCACTGTTCACTGCGCAACTGCCGCACGTGAATGAAACGACCACCAGAGAAATAGAAGACATTTAGACAAACAGCCACAGCTAGACTTAGTAACAAGCTAGCTGCACAAGGGACAACACGGCGCATGGAGGCCAGCGACGGAGAGATCGAAGACGGACCTATCGCACAACCCCTCCCACGAAGGCACTACTCGCGCTCACCACGCGGTCGCAGACAAGACTACCGCCGAGACTCACGGTCCCCACGCCGCAGGTCGCGTTATGAAGAAGATCTCGCTTCTCGGAGCAGTCGCGGTCGCGATGGCCTGAGAGATCCTTCACCAGGGCGATCGGAACTGGGTTCCCATGGAAGACGGACACCACCGCCATCGACCCTGAATGCTGCTGGTCGGCCTAAACGAGAACCGCGCTATGGCGAACCCACCGTGCGTGATGCAAACACAAAGTCAGATCGAGAACGTCTTGCTCGTGAAGCAGAAGCGCGTGCTTATAAAGAAATGGTGATGAAGAAGGCAGGAACAAAGGCAAGTTCACCTGCTGCGTCTCCCACCACCGCCAGTCAACAAGCAAAGCGTAGTCCTGCACAAGCGAGTCGTGGCGCTAGCTTTGAGAAGCCTGGGAGAAGTCCATTGCCTGTTCAACAGCGTCCACGTTCACGGTCGCCAATGCGCAGACAACGCCATTTTTCACCACCGTCGCATCGACGAGACAGGAGTTCACCGCCTCGACGAGAACGTAGTCCTCGAGCACGCTCGCCGCCTTATGGAAGTCGACGTGACCGATCTGCAGATATGATGCGTAGCCGATATGAGCGGTCGCCTCGATCAAGTTATCGAGCACGATCCCGTTCACGCTCGCCGAGACGTTGGGAGAGAAGCCCGCGTAGAAGACGACTGAGCCGGTCAAGAACACCACCCTCTAGACGTTCTCGATCACCGCGACGGTCGAGGTCGCCGGATGATCGGGCATTGCGACGACGTGGGTCACGCTCGCCTCATCTTTCTCTATCGCAGCGTACACAAGCGAGTACTGGGCCGACAAGACCTGCTGCTACGCCGCCTACACAAGCTCCTGCATCCTCGACAGGACATGTCAGACCACCGACGTCTGTTCCTACGCTTATTACGAAACAGAGTACTTCTCCTGCCCGTCCTCTCTCGCAATCCCTCTCAAGTCCTATTCCACTCGGTCCAAAAGTCACCACTAACCATGATCGCATCGTCCCTGCACCTCTTCGCAGAACAGGCAGTCTTTTGCACGGTAGTCAAGACGCAGTATCCATGTCTGCGCCGCGTGGTCCACGTTCTGCGAATCTATCACGCGATGCGTCGTTTGCATTGGCACCAACGAGTCCAGCACATGCATCAGTCCCAACGCCAGCAGTAGTATCAGTAGCGGCGACTGCTGTGACTGCACCGACTCCAGAGACACTTGTTCGACGCATGCCTAACTTGACAAAAGCCATTGATCAGGAACTAGCAGCGTTGCAAGAGGCGTATACACAGCTCATGTCACAAGATGCTGCAAAACAGGCAGAGAAACGAAGTGCTGTGCGTGGATGGGTGAGAACTGAGCAGGAAGCGAGAAGGGAGGCGTATAAGAGTACACTTGCTGAGGAGAGTCTCGGTGGGTTCATGGGATCGCGCGTTGCTTTGTAGGGTGAGGATGTGACTGCTACTATTGGGCTAAAGTGCGATGACGAACGAGCGCTCGAGGGCCTTCTGTCCAAGAGCCCATCTACAAGCTCAGTAAACGAACGCCTAGCTGTATCATCATGGCCGCTTCTGTAGACCCATCCCTGCAAACACTCGTCGTGCTGGAAATCCCCAATACAACAATCAGCCAAATCTACGAAGGCGACACCCTCCCGCTCTCAGACAGGGCCACTCTACAAGTCTCCATTTGCGACTCCTTCCTTCTCCTCAAATCTGGCGAAGTGGAAGTCGTCTTGACGCCTGAATCAGCAGTCTACAAGAAAGGTGCATCATCTTATATCGTTCCATGGGATGCTGTACCCGGTGCCATTTTGGTGGTCGAGATCCCTCATGCGCAGCAAGAAGCGCGTGACTCACTCGATACGTACTTGGTGGATTTCACATCCATGCCAGCGCCTGAAGCAGGGCTCAAGAACAAACTTGCTTTAGTCAATACGGAAACTGGAGAGATTATGGGTGAAGTGCCGATTACCCCGGAAAACATTGCATCGCTTGAACAACAAAACACAGGTGGCTCGACGTCCAAGGATCCAGTGGTGATTGATGTCAGTGACAAGACGGGAGACTTGCTCGTCTCTTCAGCACTCGCAGATTCTACCATCATCAAGTACGCCAATAGCGTTTCATCAGGTCTCGTCTACGCCTCAGCAACTCTTGGCCGAGGTCTTATTTCAGGCTCTGAATGGATCAATAGCCGTACACAACCTGCTACAAAACCAGTTGAATTCTCACCAACAACGAAAGCAAGTGCGCGCAAGATACATTCCATGACGCAAGGCGTCGCCAATGTCAGTAGTAAGACGGCGAAACAGATTGAAGCACTCGGTGAGCGATTCGGTGGATCTGTACTGGGTGGCGGTGGTAAAAAGAATAAGAAGCAGCAGGAGAAACTCGGTCCCGATGGTCTCCCTGCGTATGATGATGGCAAGAAGAAGAAGGGAAAGCCAGGATGGTTGGTACACAGTGCTATGGGCGTAATTAGCGTCTTGGACGCAGCAGACACCGCTGCACGCTCTCTTTTACGCGATGCATCAACGTCTGCCTCGAGCGTCATTTCGCATCGTTATGGCGACGAAGCAGGCAATCTCAGTGCAACATATGGAAAGAGCGTGGAACACTGCGCACTCGTCTTTTTCGACGTCAAGGGAATTGGTAGGAAGGCACTCATCAAGAGCACGCTGAAGGGTGGTATCAAGGCGCGTATGTCAGATGGTACGGAAGTGGTGTTGCAGAATCATGTGGATGAGAAGCCAGCAGATGGTGCGACGAGTTCGGCGGGTGTGTTGGGAGCTGGTGCTGGTTCATCTACTGCTGGACCATCGCAAAGTGGGCCTCCAGGCTATTCTGATGCGTCTGGTGCAGGAGCACGGTATGGTGATGACAAGAAGCACTGATACTCGAACAGAGTACACGCCTTCTTCGAGCCATGCGATGTAGGGCTTCCTTGTCGACGGTCCCAAGATCGTGAGACAAACTTGGACATCTCGCGGCTCCACTTCGAATGTACTGTACATGTAAACACTGTAGAGCGACAACCCTCGCTTGTGTCTAGACCATCGGGTGTGAAGAGCTCCTGCAGACTCGTCAACATGTCATCCACCTCAGAATCATCTCTGGTGGCATCGCTTGAAGAGAAGCCCAGCTTTGCAATGGATCAAAATTCTACCCTTCATGATATGACAGAGCCGAGTGTCACAAAGCCCGGGCGTGGTCAGGTGGAAATACACCCAGAAGGAGACGTATTCTTGGAGGTTGGAAAGACTGATGCTGACGCATACGCATCAAGTCGATTACAAGTATCTTCAGCTTTGCTCAAGCATCATTCACGCATGTTCCGGGCCATGCTCTCGCCCTCTTTCGAGGAAGGCACTACCTTGACAGCTAATGATCAGATCACAGTTACTCTCTCTGACGATGATCCGGCAAGTGTCGAACTTCTCTGTGCTGTGATACACAGCAGAGGTGATCTTGTTCCGCTTTCTGTTTCGCTTCAGGAAATGAAAAGCATTGCGCAATTGGCAGACAAATGGGATAGTCATGGAGCATTGGTTTGGATTGCCGAGCTATGGATGGCAACCTTGATCAAAGAAATGTCCTGCGAGACTGATGAGGCCTTGCAGCTACTCAAAATTGCAAAAGACTTCAAACTACAGAATGCTTTCGCAAACGTCTGCAAACATATATTTTTCAGCATTCGCTTGAGTGTTGATCTCACCTGGTCTGACTGGAGTGATCACGAACTCAAAGAGTGTATCGGTAAGGCGAGAAAATCACGAGCTTTCGACTGACTGAGCAGATGAATTGCGTTTCAGGCGCAAGGAGGCGCATCTGCTCATTCTCGAAGCCATACAAACTCTCGTCGACAAGACTCACGGCTCAGACCCTCACACCTGCGGCCGTGGCTATCAAGCTGCAGCAGTATCTGTAGTGAGGCTGCTTCACACACAATGCTTTTGCCCTGCCTCTGAACTCCGCGAGAGGTCGCTCGAAGAATTGCGGGAGGCTTTACCAGAACTGATGCCGGTGCAAGGAACGGCTTATTTTCCGAAAGAGTGTCCGTGCAAGACAGTGTCATGGTATAATGCAAATTTGAGCTCGCAGCACAGGTCAGTCAGTCAGGCGCTCGATCGCGCTTGGGAGCAGTTTGAGAAGGTCAATACTGCGTGGACAAGGGACTGGTACACCAAAGGATGACACCCAGCTCATGATTTTGCCATCACGTCTATCGAAAAGTGTTTTGCTACCAACAAAGCGCCAGAATCTGCTTGAGGTGGCTTCTCCTTGTGCTTTGGATGGATTCCGCGTCTGTGGCTCCTGCATTGCAGCATATCAAGTAGGACGAGAATTGAGATGTTGAACACATGAAATAGCAGTGGGTGTTTCTCTTTTCCCTTGTTTCTCGGCAGCAGCGTCCAATTGGCCTTCCGTCCCTCGTATGCTCTGCCTGCGGCCGCATTTCGCTCATTGGCAGACTGCAGCTGTAACGTCACCTTTTTCCCCCTGAAAGCTCGCTGTTGACGATGTCGCGGTGGCAATGGCGATGTTGCGGCGGCAATGTTGCATCCAACGTAAATCAGCTTCGATCGTCACCTGATGCCGCACCACGACTATAAGCTGCTTGCTTTGGCCGTCGTGAAGGATACGCATACCCTTGCCAGCCCAAAGACATGGTGGAAACTGCTATCCAGGCTGCCTTCACTGGGCCAGTCAAATCGGAGTCCAAGACACCCTCGAATGAAGTGGCGACTGTTTTAATCGACCCTACCGGGGACCTCATTCTCGAAGTACGAGAAAGGGATGGTCTCCAAGCTTCGGCCATTCGCGTGTCGTCTGCTCTCATGGCACATCACTCGGTTGTCTTGCGTGGCGTGCTCGACCCGGATTTCAAGCTTGACGCCAGCTTGGACCCTGAGAATCCAATGACGCTGACTGTCAAGGGGGACCCCTGCGAGATGCGCTTGTTGTGCGCTGTTTTCCACTGCCAACATGATGAAATTCCTGTCAAGCTTGACTTTGACATGTTGAGAGCGCTCGCTCGACTTGCCGGAACTTGGCAATGCCGTGACGCATTCAAGCGGTTTGTGCAGCTCTGGCTCCTGGCTCTTCTGGAAGATCTCATGGAGAAAGGCTTCATTGAGGAAGATGGCTCCTCTTTCTTCAAATCCGCAGTGAACTTGATGTCAATCGCGAATGCTTTTCAACTTGGTGAGCCTTTCTGTCTCAAGCTTTTGCACAAGTGCTATGAACACTTGCCTTTTCATTCTCACACTCTCGGCACTGGTTCTTGCAAGTTGTCGACCTGGGAAGGTATGACATCTGAAATCTCAAACGAAGCACAGCTAATTAGCAAGAGAAGATGCGAAGTGTTCATCTTGAAGCAAAATTGATGATTTTGGAAGCAATCAATCTCTGTGTTGAAGGCCTTAAAAAGCGTGATGAGTTTCAGCGATGCCGCAAGAAATCTCGTTGCAGCGGCCAGCTACTCCCGCCGGACCCAGACCCCCTGACAATGTTGGAAAGCGCTTCACTTTATCCTGCCTCTGCCATCTCCAATGAGTCCATCAGCTCTCTTTACTCCAAGCTGCCCATCATCAGCATGCTCGATAGCAGAATGTTCCGCTGCGAGTGCCAGTCATGCGGGCGATTTTACTACTGGAATTGGGACAATGAGCCTCACTACGATCGCATCAAGAAAGCTTTGGTGAAAGCACAAGCTCTATTCAAACACCTTGAAGTCGAGTGGCGTCATCACTATACAAGTGATTGAAACGCTAAGCTGGCGTCCTCGCACCCAAAGCGTACAAATCTTGAGTGTCACGATGCAGTCATCGCAAGAGCAACGACATAATATACTATTCCTGTCAGCAAATCAACGTATCTAGCATCCATAGCCAGTTCACAAACCATATCAAGCCACACCAACAACATTGATGCATGGACTACACATTTGCTACAACCTTTTTTTTTCCTTTTCAGTGATTCGAGACTTTCGATGCAGATGCCATACAACTCGCCACAAAAGTCCAAACAAGCTTCGCCCTCACCTGGACGATATCCTCCGGCAGCACAAAGATGGTTGTCCCTAACTTCCTTGCAATACTGATTGCCAGACGTGCATTACTGATTCCTTCTTCCTCGCTTCTGCCCTCGGCGACAATATCGTAGTCGACATACGCTGGGTTGACACCAGCGAGCATGTCGAGCATGAATTTACCCGTTCGAATAGACGGGTCACTAAAACTGCGGATCGTCGAGCGACCACCGGCTGTGGCATTGGCCCATTTGAGGATCTGTTGATCGGTCACTTCACCACCCATCTTACTTGCAAGCTTCTTGAGGGTCTCTGTCAGATCTTTTCGCATGAGTTGCCAACCAATGGACAAGATGGAGAGACGATGACCATCCGTGATATCAGCACCTTGAATACCCACCAAACTGAAGCGATTCTGCAGACCCAGATCCACGGCATAGTTTGTGTTCTCCACAGCCTTGAAGCGAGAGAGTTCCTTGTCTTGGGGTCGTTTATTGGCTTGACGCCAATTGACTGCACCTGGCTTGATCTTATCGTATGCCTGCAACAACACAACACCATCGCGAACATCTTCAAACAAGTTGTGCACAGAAGGATCGATATCGAGCGAATTGAGCCATAATGTAAACACACGCGCTTCACGCTCACCTTCAGCGTCAAAGTCTTCAATTTCAGGCTTCTCTGCCTCTTCAAGTGGTTCAAGACACGGATGCGTGTTGAACAAATTGGCCACAAATGCCAAGTTGAGTTTTGGATTGCCTGCGACCATGGATTTGGCAGTCAAGTACTTGCGACAATCAATCTTGTCTGCATTCTGCAAGACTTGTTCAGCACGTTGATGCACATCTTTTGTTTGCAAGGGAGCCCGTGTACAGTGTTCTGGTTTGAGTTGAGCGAGCAAGACGGTGTAATTCTCGCCATCGGAAACATCTGAGCTAAAGTTGCCGACTTTACGGCTCCAACCCGCTGCTTTCAGGTGGTAGTTGAACCAACGCAAGAGGATTTGCTCAGGTGGCAGCCTGAGAAACTGTTCGAGTGTCTCATCTTCATCCAAGAGTCTGTACAATTCTGGGTGCAGTTTGATGTCAATCTTGGAGAGCAACCCACGTCGAATGATTTGCCAGATAAGACCGAGAATGAGATGTTCACTGCCTTCCATGATATCTTGCGAACCAATGTTGACGACAGAGAGACCCAACGACTTGGCACTTGCAATCACAACATTGTTATTTTCAGTCATGGTGAAATTGTTGAGTTTCTTGGTGCCCTTGGCTTTGTTCAGCACACGCTCATCAATGGTATCGGGGACAGCGTCATTGATGAGTTTCGACAAGACGAGACCGTCTTTGCACTGATCAAACATCTCGAACGTATCGGTCGCAAAGGGCAGACGGTCGCCGATATCAGCATCACCGGCCAAGACGCCATTGATGTGTCTTGTGAATTCAGTACGTTCATCGTCATTGATGGTGTGAGAGATGTTGCTGTTGGAGCCACCGACTTTGATCTTGTCCTTTTTGACCTCTAGCTGGCCCTTTGTCGTTCCTGCTCGCAATTTAGAGATGAGTTCGACGTAGTCGTCTAGCTCCACACGACCCGTTGAGTCGAGATTGCATTCTTTGAGAGCTGCTCGGACTTCGTCGTAGGAAGTACCGCGCTCAAACTGCTGACACGCCTTGATGATGGTCTGTTGGTCGACGGAACCTTTATCATCGATATCAATTTTACTAGAGCGTCAGCGACAAGCACTATTCATGATGTCAGGACGTACTTGAAGTTGTTGATGAGACCGTAGACGTCTTCTTGCGTGAATTGGGGATACTTCCGCTGAAGCTTGCGATGGTTAGCTGTTGCGCATTGAGTGTCAATGGGCGGGTTACCTTGATCGCATTCATTGTCAGAGCCTTTCCTGTGGTGAAGCGACTGGCTGCTCAGTCAAAAGAAGGCAGGAGAGGTGCACCGAGGAAAGCAGCTGTCGGTGTTGTGGGTGGTGGTGGTGCTGGTGCTGGTTCGCTTTCGTTGCTTTTCGCTGTGTGCGATGACGCAGAGGACAAGGAAGCGAGCTTAGAGGGGCCTGGCAAGGATGGATATGGTCTCATGAAGGCTGGATAGAAGGGGCCCAGGCATGATAGAGAGTCCTTAAGTACAGACAGGCAGGCAGCAACAAAGCACGCAAGATACAAGCAGACATTTTCCGTGTAAAGGCCAGAGACCACCAGGCATCATCTCTCTTCTCCCTGCTCTCTTTCCATCAATGCATTCCCTTAACAGCACTTTGAGCCTTGCTTGTCGGCCGGTGCAGCAGTCATCGTGATCCGTTGTCCGTCCCCAGGTCGCGGCCCATTCTCTGCCGGGTCCAACGCCTTACTCGACACCAAATTGTAAATCTCCGTCAAGATACTGTGGAAGGCACCCTCGACGTTGCTAGCATCGAGTGCAGATGTCTCAATAAAGGACAAGTTGTTCTCTGTCGCAAACTGAGTACCTTCCTCTGTTGGCACGGCACGCAAGTGTTTCAAATCACTCTTGTTGCCAACAAGCATAATCACAATACTCGTATCTGCATGGTCGCGCAGTTCCTTGAGCCAGCGCTGGACATTCTCAAAAGTAGGCTGCTTGGCGATATCATAGACGAGTAGCGCACCAACAGCGCCGCGATAGTATCTACAAGTCAGCATGTTTGGTGCAGTCACACATGTTCGTACGCAGAGGTAATGGCCCGATAACGCTCCTGGCCGGCAGTATCCCAAATCTGTGCCTTGACAGTCTTGCCATCCACTTGAATACTGCGCGTTGCAAATTCGACGCCAATCGTCGACTTGGACTCGAGGTTCTGGGCTATGTTAGGTCCTGTGTATCTTGTCATCCTGGAGGCTTCCTTACAAATTCGTTGCGAGTGAATCGGCTGAGTAGGTTTGATTTGCCGACACCACTAGAAGACGCATCAGCAAAACACTTTAGGGGCAAGAAAGAGGATCAAGTCGCGTACCTGTCACCAATCAGAACCACTTTGAACAAGAAATCATACTGTAAAGAGCCGTTAGTCTTTCGAAGCGCACAGCAAGAAGGCAGGGAAGCATACTTCATCTTCGCGCGACATGGCTTGTGTACTGTCTGGTTGTCTCTTGAGTTTGTCTGACGAGAGGAAGCGGCCTGGTGATGCTGCTGCTGGTGGTGACTGGGCGCTGTTGCTTGTTCGTTGAGGCAAGTTCGGCTAAATTCTGACAGCAGCAGAACAAACACTCAACTCAAGTTACTCAAGAGACTCAACTGACTTAACCATCATGTCCATTCCATCTGCTGCCTCCTGATTTCTGCTGCCATGTGCATGACTCAGCTAGCATGTCTCAAGACGACTCGGACTCCTCAAGCCACGTCTTCGAGGTCGAGACCATTCTAGCACAACGCTATAACAGACAACACGCACGCATTGAATACCTTATTAAATGGGCCACCTATGATCTATACGAGTCCTCGTGGGAGCCAAAAGAAGCACTTCAACAAAATGCAGATGAAGCGCTCAATGACTTCAGAACCATTTGTGCGTTGCGTGAGCAAGGCGAGCTGGCAGAGTTTGATATTGCCGAATTTGAGGAGAAGCAAGCGCTCTACCAAGAAGCGCAGCGTGTGACTTCGAGTGGATCATCCGTGCATAATGTTGATACGGTCTCTCGTCCTTCAGCTACGTTCAATTCGATACTGATCGACTCGGACTCCAATGAAAGTGATACACCTCTCAAGAAGACCACGGCTAGGAAGGACTATCTGTCTGCAGAGTTGTCAGATGAAGAAGACGACGTACCACTCAAGGAAACCACTTCCATCATCAAAACTCCCAGTCGTCCACTCAAGATCCTACCAGAGCAACAACCTGCCAAACCAACCTATCCAACGCAATTTCAACGGTCTGTTCTTCCCCCCGCAACCTCTATTCCAGCCCAGCAGCACAAAAAGCCAACAGCACTGAGTAAAGAATTATCTAAAATCCGCTCTTCTCTAGCTGCTAAAGCTCGTTCTGAAGCCCAAGTCATTTCAGCTGTCAGGGCACGGAAAGCGCTTTCACCTGAAGTAAAACGACCTGGCGCTCCCGGCAGTGCTTCATTGAAACGTAAACTGTCTCAAACTGGATTTGAGCACGCACAGATACGTGAGGAGGAGCAGAGGGATGCTTTACAACAGCCTGGCATTGGCGATGACTTTGTATATGAGCAGCAGTCCCTCGCCACACCACAGTCTCCGGCAGTATCAAGCCATCATCATGAAGCGAAGGTGTCTCCGACTTCTGTTGCAGTACCTCGTACATCGCTTGAATTACCTTGGTCGGTCAGAGCAGCTAGGCAGGCTATCTCTCCGGACAGGTCGCGAATGATGCACACATGGAGAGTACCTCTACACACCCAACCATCGGCAAGCAACTCGCCCAACAGACCCCGGACGGTGCAAGGACGACTTCCGAAGAGTCCAGAGGCAGCAAAGAGGTCACAGGGGGTAGCATGCTCTCCAGCCACTTCGAGTGCTCCATCGAAACCCATTGTCAACAACATGTCACAGCACAGAGAGCCGTTGAAAAGTCCAGTAGCCGCAAAGCAGTTGCCTCCAGATCCGGCAGATTTTCAGGCAACATCAAGTGCCAAGTTGCAGGAAATACACCAATGGTCGGAGTCGCAACCCCAAGATTCCCTGGCAACGGCTCCTTATACAAGTCTATCAAATTCGTTGCGCGAGCAAACGCGTTCTCCTCGACCTGGCCCTCGTGTCGTCATCAAGTCGCAAAAGCCATTGCTTCCGCAGAACTCTGTCGACACACAATCCCCTCGTCATATTGAATCTACATCGGCAGTGCCGTCGCATCAGCAAAGCCCAACGACCACGATCTTGCAATGTCCTGACTTGCAATTACTCTGCATCACAGATCCTGATGAGGGGCCCGTTGATTTTGGTCGCTTTCAAGTCATGAACCTGCCGCCCGACTCGATTTTCATGGAAGCACCTGCGCCGTTCCATGCAGCGGATCCCGGTGCCGTGTACGAGATGACGACAAGAAGTACCTTTTCAACGCAAATTTTGGTCGACGCTTTAGCGAAAGAGGGCACGCGATGTTGCATCGCTCCCCTTATTCCCGTTCCCACTACAAGTGATTCGATCAAGAAGTATTGCCGCAGAGGTGTCTTTCTCTTTGAAGACCCAAATTTTGTCGGTCTCTTAGTCAATGAGAAATCTGGCGCATTCAAGGCAATTCGAACGCTGAGCAAGCGTCTATTCTATGGCATGGTTGCTCATCCACCTACCCAGTACTACTTCATTTTCGTCACAAAATCACCGGTCACAATGCTACCGGATCATGACGTGCATCGTATTGGCCTCATGACTGAACTCGGCGAGCAAGCGCATATTCACAGCATGTATCAAGCGCTAGGCCCTCCACTAGCGGCCGTCGATCAAGGTGGTGTGGTCCACCTCGAAGGCCCTCGAGATCATCCCGATGTGCTTGCTGTTATGACTTTTCTCGAAAAAAGGGTCAAGTTGCGTCCTCACTCATCCATGCTTGACTCAATGCTAATGGCTAAAGCACAACAACAAACTTTATTTGTGCTTTTGCACAGTAGTGTCTTTGCTCCACCGTATCTCATGTCGGCTTGCAAAGGACTGGCTCAGGCTAAAAGCGACCGCACAGTGCAGTTTATCGTTTTTGGAGGAACACCGTCGACCACGACAGCTGACTCGAGCAACGAAAACCTAGCATTGATTCAGAGAGGACGCTCGAGAGGGACAAAACTTTACAAATGCGAATTTGCAGGTTGCAGCCAGACGTATACGACTAAAAATGGTCTCAAGTATCATCACAACAAGTTCAATCACGACGAAAATGATCAGCGAGATGACTTCAAACCGCTTAAGTGCTATCTTTGCGGCAAGCGGTTCAAGAGCCCCAATGGCGTCAAGTACCACATGACACATCAGCATCCGGCTCCATCGCATCAAAACGCACTTGAAGCCTGCTGGTCGCCACAGACTTCTTTCTCAGCACTTGCATTCCCAGCAGCAATCACGCATCCTGGTTCGCCAACACTTCGAGAAAAGAGTGCATGCCATATCCTTGTTGAACATCATGCTGCCGACTTGACATCGCTCAGGGCACTTGTCAAGCTCTTGGGAACGAGCAGATTCAATTGGCACATTTACATCTCGCCAGCGTCGCTCAAGACTGCAGGGGTTTTGTCGTACAGGCAAGATGTTGTGGCAAAGGAGACTTTCGAGGCTGCTTATGAAATTCTTGGGGAAAAGGATGACAAGGATGCCTTGTACCAGCCTCAATCGGCAGAAGAAGCCAGTTTGTTGGGTCAACTTGTTATTGAACAATGGATGCAGCATGGTCGCATTCAAATCCTCGATAACGTCGATTGTGCAGAAGCTGCTCCCTCATGGGATCCTCCACAAAATGCTAGCGGACGAAATGTATTGCTACTGCGTGATGCCATCTCAATGGCTGCGTGGAAACAAGTCAGAGATTTTCAAACGCATCGACATACATTGGTCTTGGCGACTTATGAGAGATCCCTGGAAACTTGCTCAATGGCGGAAGGGATCGAAGCAACGACGTTGGTTGAGCTTGGAAGGTCATTTGCACGATTCCAGTAGCCTTGTTCATATAGCAAATAGCATGAATGCAGCATAAAGAAATTGTGTAAAGATCGAAAAACATGTCTTGTTAAATGGCGTATGGCAAAAAGCAGGAAAGAGCACTACAAAAGAGTTTAGATGGTCCGCCAGCGAACTGCATGAGGTGGGTGCTCGGGGCTGTGCATACTCTTACAAACGAAGAGTCGATGAGGGAAAAATTGAAAGACAGGGCAAAGACCATAATCAGTGCGTGACCTGTGAGTTGAAATTTCGTGAATGAAGTCATATTGAGACGCATGGGGGACTTTATTGAAAAGAGCGCTGACGCCTGGCGGAGGGACGTTCCTCGTCGTGCTTTAGCAAAGGTGGCGGTGTTGGGGAGCCACGTGGGCTACTCTGGTAGTCTCCGACCTGCTGCTGCTGTTGCTGCTGTGTGCGATACTGCCGCACAAGTGCATGCTGGGGAGGCTGTTGATGTTGTTGCTGCGAGGCAGAGCCATGACTGAATGCATCAGAATTCTTGCCACCGCTGCCCGGAGTCGAGCCATTGAGGGGAGACTGTAATACACGCTCAGAAGCATGCGATGGTGGTGCATAGTCTTCATTACGGTCTTGCTGCCCATAGCCATATCGAGGCGGGGCATTGAACTGACCTCGCTGTTGCGAGGATTGCTGCAATGGCGGTGGTGGTTGATGGTAGGCAAACTCATCATCTCGTCCATCCGATACAGTGCGATCACGCTTCGTTTTACCGCTCAAGGGCGACTCCAAGCCAAGACCAAGACGCGCTCGAGGACTGCCAGCACGTCCTATATCCAGTCCTAGACCCAAATTGGGAGCAGAACCAGGCACAATGGGACTTTGCATAGGGTGCTGTCGTGAGGGACCATGATTGCCGTGTTCATCAGCCGGCTGTCCATAATCAACAAAACGCGGTGCACTTTGGCCTCCTGCACGATGTGGTTGCTGAGATTGGCCTGCATCAGCTTGCATATCACCCGCTGCACCACTCTCAGCACGCGTACCATGCAGCTGGTAAGCCATACGGCAAGACGGCGTCTCCTCAAATATCTGAGGTAAGCCGCCCGCGTGTTGTTGAGATTGTTGAGGATGTCCACCTACTCGCGCTGCTTGCTGTGGTGTACTAAAAGCCATCTGTTGCTGCTGTTGTACCCAACTTGCTGCCACGGAAGAAGGACCCTGGCCCATGCTCGCTGCATCGCGACTATGCTGACGACTGTGCGGTGTAGTCCCTTTTGTTGGTGAGCCATTCGGCGTTTGTCCAGCCCAGCGAGTCATTTGAGTGGTCAAATTGGGTGTACTGAAGACCTTCCCTGTTGAACCACGCGATTGCGTGCGTGCATGAGAACGAGAGCCACCAGGCGTTTGTGGTCCACTGTGCGTTGAAAAGCTGCTACCTGCTGCATTACTGCTAGCAAGACCAGGCAACCTCATCTCGCCCATAGGCTGACCGTTCTGATCAAAGACTGGTGCATGACGACCACCCGGCGATGGCAGAGCTCCACGAATCTGCTGACTGCGTTGACGTGCATGATGCCCGTTCAGGGAGGCTACCGCCCCTTGACTCGATCCAGCATGCTGCATAGCCACAGCAGGTGGTGGAGGAACGCCATTGTTGACAGAGGCATGATCAGCTGTCAGTGCGACAGAGCTGCTCTCGATACTCATGTCCTCGTTCTCATACGACATCATAGATGGGTTGCGAGAGTGCTGAGTGGAGTACATGCGCTGCGTGTCCGGCTGTTGCCCGTATCGTGGGCCCATGTATGCTGCACCGGGATGTTGCGAAGGTGGTCCACCGCGTGGCATGTTGCCGTCGCCATTGGCGAGCGAGGAGCCGATGTACGGCTGCTGCATGTGAGAAGGCATATATTGCGGCGCAGGCGGCGTCTGAGCGGGCGTACCCGGTAGACTGTGCGAGCGAGCTTGCGACTCGCTTAGCGGAATATGTGTATTGGGCGATGCTGTCCAGTAGTCGCCATTGGTGGATGCGCTGGATGGCGGTGTGAGCGTTGGAAGAGATCGGTCAATGGGTGTAGGCATGGACAATGCGCGATGCAGAGCAGCTGAGGAGGGCCGTTGATCGTCTCCATCAACGGACGTTGCAGTAGATCCTGCAGCTACCCCTTGCCTCTGTGTTGCTGCAGCAAAGACGGCAGCCGTTCGAGCATAGTTGGCTGGGTGCAGGAGGAACTTCTTGATGTCTTGCACAAAGAGTGGATAGAGAGCATCTGTGATGGCGTAGCGATTGGCCAGGTCGAGAGCTCGGTCAAAGGGAATCCTGGTTGTTAGTCAAGCTGCTGTAAGTCAGATGGAGGTCATACCAAACACCCTTGAGGTGCATCGAGCCGACTTTGATCACTTTGCGGTCGGGCTCATTTTTGAGGATGCCGTCGCGCTTCCCTCTGCTCATCTGCGCGACGTTGAGCAGCTTTGTGCCATTGATCATGTTGTCATCTGCTGGTTAGCTGAGTGTCTGTAGATGATGGTCGCTGACCCTCTCTTCTCGCGACAGTGACTTGTAGCGCTTCAACCTGAAAGCACAAAGTCCCTTCGTCCTCCCAGATAGTCGTTGACACTCTCGGTCGTCCACCAGGCGGACACTGCTGCCCAGTGGGATCGAATGGCAACGCATCAGGGTCCCGTGGATATGCAAAACCCTGACCACCCACGACAACCCCTGAGGAAGGTGGCCCCGATGGATGTTGCTGACCAGCATGTGCTGCCAAGGCTGCAGCATGTGCGGCAGCTGCCATTTGAGGGGGTGTTTGTGTGGGTGCAGGCATACTACCTCCATGTGACACAGACATGCGGTGCGCGTGCAGGGGCGGTCTGTCGAAAGGTAGCATCGGACCGCTAAAGCCAGAATGGGAACCCGCATAGCCCGGGACATGTCCAGATTCGTCATGCCATGGCTGTACGTGCGCAGGGTGAGCAGGCGCCTGCTGTTGGTGTTGATGCGGGTGCTGTTGGTGCTGCTGATGCTGATGTTGCTGCTGCTGATGCTGCTGCGAGTAGAGTTGTGCATGCTGCTGCTGATGCTGCTGCTGCTGCGCGTAGTGAAGATAGGGGTCTTGTTGGAAAGGCGATGCTACATTTGACGCGTGATGGTAGGTGGAGGGATGAGGTGCATGATGTAGCGGATGGCCTCCGTCGCCAGGATGCCCGTAGCCAGCGCCATGGACGCCTGGACGCGGAGACAGCTGCTGATGATGCAGATGAGGATGAGTATCGGTGCTCATCGTGCTGTCCGTGGAAGAACGTTGGCCGGTAAGCCCTGATCAGCCGGATGCGTCGTCCAGAGGAACCAGAGGGAAGGCCGTTGGGCTGCCTTGCCTGCCTGCCTGCCGCAGCTGCCTGATACGCCTCGACGAAGCTGAGATGAGGGCGATGTCCCGGCTCAGGCTCGTTGGTGCGTTCCCTTTTTCGTCCTTTTCCAAATTCGCGTTCCACGAAGAGAGAGAAGGACGCTTGCACTCGCTGCTGGCAGTGGGCCCTGCTGCGATCGCGTGCAGAGGGGGACAAGAGATGACGGCCGTGCCTTCTCGCTGCTCGCTCGCCTGCTTCTCTAGCCAACACACACGTCTAGCCCGTGTGCCTGGTGCTGTCGGGTGAGCGGAGGAAGGTATCGGGGGTTGGCGTCGGTTTCCTGGCTCTCAAACTCAATCTGCAGACTTCCTGACGAGTCAAAGGCCAGCTACCCTGAGGTCCTGGCTGAGGAGAGAAGGACCAGAGAAGCAATGGGTGTGAGACTACAGCTTACTAGGAGGAAGGGCCCGAGGCAGGCTGATATATAACTAGATTTGCACCAGGGCCGGGTGACATGCCCTTGTTGGCACACAGAGGTGACAGAGCATCTTCTAGGCCTTGTCTCCGTGCTACCTTGTACGCAGAGGCCAGACAACTTCTCCCGCTATAGTCAGAGAAGTGTGTGCCAAGACCTGCTCGAGGCGACCTTCCCATCCACATGGCAGTCATGGCTTGTCGTCTGCTATACTCCGTACCGTGCTCTAGACAAACAAAATGGCGATGTTTGTTCATGGACGTGGTCGCCCAATTTCGAACATTTCGAGGTCGGCTTTGGGTCATCTTGGGTCGAGTTTGGGGACTTTTGGATGATGAAGCACATCAGGGAAAGTATGCACTGCGGCCGTTATTGGCTTGACCGCAGCTGCAACTGGGCTTCCTTTAAAGTTTGCCATGGCGCTGGGCAGCTGCTTCCCATCCAGTACTGCCTCCATCCATGGCCCAAGCAGTCAATGTGTCCATACATCCCCTGACCCTTCCAGAAGCCTGTATATGTCCGCTGTGACTGCCAGAGACACCACGCATTCGGCCGTAGATCGGGGTCCAATCACAAAATAATTTTGTGAGCTCATGAATCATGGATGGGCCCCTGAACTTTCCTGAAATGGCGGCCAAAGCGTCAAAGACCACTCAATTTCATGGCAGGAAACAAGTCACAGCGCACGCACAGAGTCGCTGCTGACGAGGGCTGTTTTGCAGACTGAGAGCTCGTTGAAATACTCAATCAAAGCCTTGTGAAGCTGTGAACTTGCTTCGGATTCATTGCAGCACAGAACCAATATCACACTACCTGTCAAGTTTCAACTGTCCCCTGAGCTACCACGCGCCCCAATTCGGCTCCCACATGTCACAAAGCGACTCTCGACGCACGAGGCTCACAATGTAGTATTGGTCAGACGACAGCCAAAACATGGACAATGCTGCAGTAGCCATAGACAGACTTGAACAGGAAAGTGATATTGCATTTTTGTACGTACAGCATATGGCCATGGTGACCTCAGATTAATCACTCTCGTCGTCCTCTGCGAGACTGCCATCATCGCTGGGAGCATCGCTTCCCGATCCACCACCGCCACTCCCTGAATCATCTGATGCGTCCTCGTCAAAGTCACTGTCGTCGTCGCTTGCACTCTCACTGAAGCTACCGGCCTCTGAACCAACAAACTCACTACCAGACTCGCTCTGATCAGAATCCTCAGCGTCAGAGTCATTGGCAAGGAACGCCCAACCACCCTCTGCAAAAAAGTCAGATGGATCGTCATTGACCGTCTTCATGATGGTCGCCCAGTTGAGGTTGAGTGGACCTTCAGACGTCACAATGTCTGTTGAGTCGAGCCACTCTTTGACATTATCTAGCGACGACATCGGAATCGTGTTGATATGCACAGGCGGCTTTGTAAAGTCCTTGAAGACAAAGACCATGTCAAAGTTCTTCAAACCAAATTGGATACGCTCGAGATGCGCAATCTCAATCTCACTGAGTGTGACCACGAGGAAAGGCACATCCGTCAAGTGCACAAGACAGTCGGTTGTGGGCTGCAACAAGACATTCGACCTGAACGGTACACCACCAAAGCCAAGCTCTCTGAATGGAATGTCCACATCAATACGCCCTTCGCTTGCTTCTGAGATCTTTTCACTAAAGGCACGGAATTCCTTATTGAGCTTTGCACGGTTGCGACGTTCCTCTTGTTCAGCCTCAAGCTCATCCTCGTCACCATACTTGTACTTGCGTTTCCTATTGGCAGTCTCGTCAAACTGCACATCAGATGCCTCGCGGTAGAATTGAATATCCTTTGCTTTCTTCTTGCCAATCATGATTGGGTTCTTGAGGTGCACATGAATGATGACCATCAATTCATTGTCACAAGGTTGAAAGAAGAGGTGCTTGATGTTGGAGAAGAGAATGTCGATGCGATGGTCTGAACGCACCGGGGATTGATAGCGCAAACCGTTTTGTTGAATCTCAAGTTCACCCGTGACACGTTTTCCATCCAAGCCTGGTCGAACAAAGACATCGAGTAGCTTTTGAGGACGACGATTCTTGACTTCAATCAAATTGTCCTGTTCCACGACGTCAGCGAGTTCCTTGCGCTCAGCTTCTTTCTTAGTAGCATTCTTCTTCATTTCTTGAATCTCCTTGGTGATTTCAGACATGCGATCCGTATCCGACGAGCGGAAGGTCAAGCTGCGAATGAAGTTGGCATTAGGGTCCTCGAACGGCGTATCGTCTTTCCTGCCAATGACCTGGCCTGGTGAGATGAGGTTGATGCGCAGGTACACGAAATCACCTTCATCATTCTTCGATACATTCTTGATGACATTGATGTGGAACGGCACCGGTCGACCAAAGATGGGGACAACGATACTCTGATTACGATGATCAATGGCAATCTTGAGATCACCCAGCGATGAGGGCAACTGCGCTTCTCGACGATAAGACTCAAACTTCTTGACCGCCACAGGCGCTTCACCAGCACCTGTTGTTGCACCATCTGGGAAACGCTTGAGTCCCTCGGCATGCAAGCGCGCAGCGAGCTCCTTCTGATGCTCTTTGCGTTTCTGATCATTCGACTCAGTGACAGGACGTCCGACACCACGCGTTTTCTTGGGCAGAATGTTGCTAGAATCTGTTGTTCGAGCAGCAGCCTTCTTGGCAGGTGCTTCATCTGCGTCGGCATTGTCGTTGAAGAAGAAGGATACATCCGTCTTGGCTTTGGGTGCCTCAGTCAAGACAAGTGCCGGCGCATCTGCTTGGATCTTGATGGTATCAACAAGCTGGAGACTGTAGACACGCGACTCGGGTGTCTTGCCCTTTGGATTGTCAAGGTTGGTGAAACCGAGTGCGAGGTTGAGAGTCATGTTGGCACTCAAGACACGCGCATTCTTGGCATTGAGAATGAGGGAGGTATCTCGAAAGTCAATACCAATACCGTTACCGATGTTTTTGCCAAAGTGTGGCTCGAGCTCGGGATACTTGGACTTGACAATATCAAGTACGCCGGCATAAAGATCTTTGATGACGGTGCCGGGTTTTGCTAGTTCGAGGGCTTGCTTTTGAAGGCTGACGAGAAAGTCGTAGTACTTGGTCTGTTCCTCTGTTGGGTCGACAAAGTACGTTCTGCCGACATTTGAGCAGTAGGACTTGTATCGCAAACCCAGCGTGCAGAGAATGACACCACCGTGCAGTCGCTCTTCGTTGGACATGGCAGATGGTCGCAAATCATACTTGCCACCAGACTGAATGATCGGTGTGTAACACCACTCAAGCTGATCGGCGTCAAAATTGGGGCCAGCCTTGATCTTTTGCACAAATTTGCTGTCCTCGAGGACTTGCTCTACCTTTTCAGCGAGTCTCGAGTGTGTCACTTTGCGTTCCTCATCCACAATGCGTGCCATTTCCTCGACGAAAAAGTCAGAGAGGACTGTAACGCTCGATCGAGCGGCAGATTTGATGTGGCCGAGCTCGTTGTTGTCCTTGATCGCCATGCAAGGCGAAATGGCAGCAGAGACATCCACCTTCTCTACAGTAGCCTCTTCAGATTTGAAGGCCGCATTCCACTCATCAATCGCCTTGCCGCCGTAGGTGTCTTTGGCAAAAATGCCCATCTTCTTGCCGTCCTTGAGCACGCCGACAAGCTTCTCGAGCAGTGCCTGATTGGCTGCCTCATCTTTTGTCTTTGTCAAAATCTCGATCGGCACAGGACTGCTCTTGCTGAGTCCAGTCAAGTGCTTTGCCTTGCCTGCAGACGTGTAGATGTAAAACTTGTCCTGCGTCAAGAGCATGGTGGTGGCCGGAAATTCATAGCCAAGCAGCCATGTATGCAACGCTGCCGTCTTTTGATATGGGTTGTCCTCATCCGCAGTGCCCATAATGGCAAAAAGGGAGCCGACGCCATTCCAGGCTGACTCGGCTTGCTCTACGTTTTCCTTCCATAGTGACACGAGCTTCCCGAGCCTCTCGCTGAATGAGGCGGCGTCGATCGTCACGTCCGCCATCTTCTATGTAGATGTGCCCTTTGCGTTACTGGGCCCACTTGCTCGGGGCGATGGAGAAGGGTGTTGCAACTGGCTTGTTCTTGTGGTCGCGTCTCTCTGGTAATTCGCGTCGCTGGACCCGTGCGAAAAAGACGACAATTTGGGTGAAGCCAGAGATGCATATGCAGCGAGTACATATATCGGGTGACTAGACCAGAAACAGCGTGCAGCTACAAAGGGGATGCGCACAGGCTCGAAGAAGCAGAGGATCCAGCTGCTTGACGAGCTTAAGGATGTGCTGCAGGCTAATGATGCATTCGGACCCAAGGCAGCAGAGGCGCTCACAAGCGACCTCATCACAACGTCCCTGCTCTTCTCAACTGACAGGGACTCAAAGCGACGTATCATGACGCTTGCCGCTCAATTGATGAGTCAGGCACCGCAGTCAACTACAACTACAGTGCTAAGAGAGGTCGAGCGAAGTAATCAAGGGACTGGGGCAACCACAATTGCTTCCAATGCTCTGATCCTGGTACATTGGGTTTGCGTCTTACTTGAGTCTCCGGAACTACCAGAGGACTCTTTGTCGGCGGTCATTCAGTATCAGGCGATTTTGCTTGACCAATGCAGTATTCCCGGCACAAAGGAAGGTCTGACGCTCTCTGCTAGACGACGAACGAGGGCTTGTCTTAAAGCATGCCTGGCTCGAGACGGGGCGGAGAAGACACTTGCACAGTATGCATCTGCTTTGCTTGGCGCATCCGCTTCTCCTCGTCATGCCATATTGCTCGGCCAATTGGTTGAGGAGCTACAACCATCTGCATCTGCTGCACTTTCGGACCTGCAGGGCCAATTGCTAGAATACTATCTCAAGACATTCCTTTCATCAAAGACTGCAATCAGCAAACATAGTGCGGAAGGCTTTGCATCGGTGTTTAAGAGTCTATCGCTCGAGACTATCTCAGAGGATATCGTGCCAGCTCTCATCAAAGGACTTCTCAGGGCACCTGAAGTGGTAGCTGATCCAACCTTGACGGCATTCATCAAATTTGCTCGTCCTGGAGATGAGAATTGCTCTGCTCTTTTGGCTGATCGACTTGCGAAACCATTGCTCGGCGTCTACAAAAGCTCAAATGCCAATACGAGAGCGAGTGGGCTTGCAGCCTTCAAGACGCTATTGTCTCGCACAGGGCTGTCGATTGATGAACTCATCTCACAGTTGACAAATGCCATGACTGCGGATCGTCCAGGCGTTGACCAACGTCTGATTATTGTTCAGACTTTGCAAGCTGTCCCTCTGACGGCCTCCAGCGCATCACTCCTGCTAGACGCATCGGCGACTTTACTAGGCAAAGAGAGCGCCGAACCCGTACAGTTGCTCTTGATTAGCTGTCTCTTGCATGCGCTCAGTCATCAACAGAGCCAAGGGCTAGAGGTGCCTTCAAAGGCGAAAATACTCATCCGACAAGGATTGCAGGACAAGAAGGCAAATATCAAATCTCAGTGGGTCTGTGGATTGGCTGACGCAAATGTTGCACAGCCTGGTGTGGTCGACCAGGTCATTCAGTCGCTTGCCACTGAGTTTTTGGCGGTGTGGCAGGCAGATATTAAGGCACCATTACAAACGCATCAAGCAGGACTCATTATGAGCACCTATGCTCTCACCCACCTGCTTCTAACATATTCTCAACGCTCGCCAGGAGGTTTGGATTCATCTTTGCCCATCTTGTGCTAATTCTAGTTTTGCCAAAATCATTCCGAGAGGCAATTTTCGCCACCGAGCCATGTTTTGTCTTCTGGGAAAAGCTCTTCAGCAAGCTCGCCAAGGCTGAAGAAGTCAGGTGGTTGCATGCGCTGACGCAAGCAACAGCTGAGGTATCGACTGAAATTGAGTTCTCGCTGATTGCACAAGCCTGGGCAAAGGTAGTTCTGTGCCTCGACTCACAATCTATCGTCAAACTCAAGCGCTCCACACTTGAGCTTACCCCAGAAAAGATCAAAATCCAATCGCAAAGTATTCTTGATAAGACAATCGATTACGCGCGCCAGCCAGTCAAAGACTCTGCTCAATTTGCACGCTATGTCGCAGGTGGTCTGAGAGCATCCATAGCTGGCCTTGGTGACGCATCCTTTTCAGATGCAGCATTTAAGGACGATCTGTTGATCCGCATGCTTGTCATTGCTCACATGCCGGCTCTGAAGGAGCAATTATCCTGGGTCGATCTCATTCAGTCTGCAAAAGGCGACCCAAGTGAGCTCGCTCTCAAGCACACAGAAGAGTTGTTTGCGCTCGCGTTAGAGAGCTTGGAGTTTGACCGCTTAGAAGCCTTCTCTCAAATGACGCTCGCTGCACTTAATGCCATCACGACTCTCGCATTCATTAGTCCTACGAGCACGATTCCGCGCGTCGTTCAATTGATCCAAGGGGATCTTTCGGAACCACTTCTCCAACTCGACGAAGCGGCAACAGGTATCTGGCTAGCACCCGAGGGACAGACGTATGTCGATGTGCTCGGCAAGACTGAAACTGCAGCCATCAAAGTCAACAAGAATTCAAAAGACTGGGCAACGCAGGAATGGGAAGCGCAAGTAAAGCAGCAGATTGCTGCACGGAAAGCTCTCCCGCGTACACTGCCGAAAGATGAGAAGGCAAAAGTGGAGGCACAGCTTGAAAAGGAGCGACTTATTCGCCGACAGGTTTCCAATGAGGTCTTTCGTCTGCGTAGAAGTACAGCATTGATCCGCTGTCTCAATGTGGGCACTTTTGTTGAACCGCGTCTTTGGTTCATCAAGGTCATTGCAAGTTTGCTTGTGACGCTGAAATCGCCAGCCTCGTCTATCCTTCGGAGTCTACTTGAAGAAGTCTATCTCGATTGCGCGTCGCTCGTCAGTCGACTTGGCCCAGAAGCGCGACTGGTGGGTCTCGCGACACTGAAGACATTCGAAGACTCTGATCGTACCGAGCGTCACGATCTCGTCAATCGAGTACTGTACAAGTTGCGATTCGAAAGTGAGCAGAGCCCGTTCGACTATCTCTCCATCGCATACTCCTTGCCCTTGATCCACGCTGTCCTCAGCCAGCAAGGAATCGCCTGCAAGAATGACGAGCAGATCGAGGAGCAACTCTTTTTGTGTCTAGAGTGGTACAACTTCAACAGCGCCCTGTTCACAGAAACCGATTTCGATCGGAAAGCCTGCATACAAGCACTCGTCACAGTCCTGGAGACGCGCCCTCTGCAAGGTGCAGAAGCTAAACAAGCCTTACAAGCACTTCTTGATGTCATGGCCGAGAACGCCAATGTCGAAGAGCTTCAACTTGTCTGCGATTATTGCTGCTCATCAGATTCGAACGTCCGGCTTGCTGTCCTCCAGTGTGCTGAGCCTCTCAATTTGTCTGAACTCAACTTTTCACCGGAGCTCTGGCTTGCAACGCACGACCATGTTGAGCAGAGTGCACTAATAGCGCAAACATTGTTCAGGGAGAATGCTATGTCTGCTGGTAAGGACACACGGAAACGTACTTTACCATTCCTCGAGAGTCCGTCAGCATTCAAGCGTGCATGCGCAGCTCGGGCTGTGGCGTCCACTGTGCAAATGGAACCAACCGCTATGGGAGAAACGCTTGCCTACCTGTTTGAACTCTATGTGGCTGACGCAACTCCGCCACCACCAGAGATCGATCAATTTGGTCAAGTCAAACAGGTCGAGAGTGCGAAAAAGTCGGGCGATGTGCGTGTCGCGGTTGCTTTAGCGCTCTACGAGCTAGCACCTCTGTTACAGTCGGTTGGGGACGTTGTTGCTGTCTCGCAATTCTTCTTCAAGCAGACTGCTGCAACTTCAATTCCGTTGGCCGATCCAAACAGTCAAGTACGCAGCGAAATGCTCAAGACGGCAACTCGCATTGTCGAGCTGCATGGCGCAAAGGCTGTCGAACAGCTACTGCCAGTCTTTGAAAAGGGACTTGATTCTCATGGTGCTTCTCAGGAAGCTGATTGGACGCGACTGGCTGCTGTTGTGCTCTTTGGCTCCGCGGCCGCCAACTTGAAGCACAGTGACGAGCGTATTCCTCGAGTCATTGAGCAGCTCATGGCCACGCTCAAGACTCCGAGTGAGTCTGTCCAGCTAGCAATTGCCGAATGCTTGCCTCCACTCGTCCGCGCTGTACAAGATCAGCAAACAAGTATTGTGGACGAACTCTTCAAACAACTGACAAGTGGTGCTTCATACGCTGAGCGTCGTGGTGCTGCGTATGCTCTCTCTGGAGTCGTTCGCGGCTACGGTATCCCTATTCTCAAGACGGAAAAGGTCATGTCAAGGCTCGAGTCTGCCATGATGAACAAGAAGGAGTCTAAGGCTCGCCAGGGTGCTCTCTTCGCGTACGAGTGCTTCGCGCAGCTGCTGGGGCCTCTTTTTGAACCATATATTCGCGAGATTATCCCACTACTACTGCTCACCTTTGCGGATAGTTCTGCCGAGGTACGCACAGCGACACAAGACACCGCCAGGACAATCATGGCGCAAATTTCTGGCTTTGGCGTCAAACTGATTCTACCCTCCTTGCTGTCAGGACTCAATGATACTCAGTGGCGCTCGAAAAAGGGCTCTGTCGAATTGCTTGGCGCAATGGCGTACTGTGCTCCTAAACAGCTTTCTATCTCCTTGCCGACAATCATTCCCAAGTTGACTGAAGTTTTGAGCGATTCGCATGCCCAGGTACGCAACTCTGGAAACGATAGCTTGCAAGGCTTCGGTCAAGTCATTCAAAATCCCGAGGTACAAAGTCTCGTGCCAACATTGCTCAAGGCTTTGAGTGATCCCAACTCCAAGACTGAGAGTGCTCTGGATGCAATTTTGAAGACCTCTTTTTTGCATTACATTGACTCGCCCTCGTTGGCCCTCCTCATGCCCATTCTCCAGCGTGGCTTGAATGAGCGGATTGCATCACAGAAGAAGAAGGCTGCCAAAATCTTTGGTCTCATGGCGTCTCTCACAGACCCGAATGATCTGACGCCTCATCTGTCTACGCTGATGCCATGCTTGCGAAATGTTATGGTCGATACAATTCCGGATGTGAGAGCAACTGCAGCAAAGGCGCTTGGTTCTTTGGTTGAAAAGCTCGGGGAACGCAACTTTCCCACAATGGTGGATGACTTGCTGGACACTCTGAATGCTGATGTTGCTTCAACAGACCGCCAAGGTGCTGCACAGGGCTTGTCAGAAGTGCTGGCTGGCTTGGGACTGGACCGTCTTGAAGATACACTTCCTCGAATTCTACGCGACTCTCGATCTCCCCATGCATATGTGCGAGAGGCATTCATCTCTCTGCTCATTTATCTGCCAGCAACATTCGGCTCGCGCTTCTCCCCCTACTTGTCACAATCTATCACACCTATCCTTGTTGGTTTGGCGGACGATTCTGAATTCGTGCGCGATGCCTCGCTGCGCGCTGGTAAGATTATGATTGCCAACTATGCCACGAAGTCTGTGGATCTCATGCTTCCTGAATTGGAGCGTGGCATCTTCAACACTACTTGGCGCATTCGTGTTTCATCCTTGCAGCTTATTGGCGACTTGCTCTTCAAGGTGTCGGGCATCACGACATCTACAAAGACCGACGACGAAGATGAGGAGGAAGACTCTGTGGCGACAGAGGCACAGCGCAACGCCTTGATTGAAGCTCTTGGTCAGGCACGTCGTGACCGCATTTTGTCGAGTATCTATATTGCTCGCTTCGACACATTTGCCATGGTCAGATCTTCAGCAATCAATGTCTGGAAGACACTTGTGGCAAACACGCCCAAGACTGTCAAGGACATTCTGCCATCCATGATTGCCATCATTATTGAAAATCTTTCGATTGACGATGACGAGAAGCGTGCAGTCTTTATTGAGACACTTGGGGATCTCATGCGCAAGAATGGCGAAGAGCTTGTCTTGCAGCTTCTACCGGCGTTGGAAGAAGGTCTTCGCTCGCCTAGCGCAGCATACCGCATCGGTGTTTGTGTGGCCATGTCTGAGCTCATTTCGAATGGTACAAGCGAACAGCTTGAAGGTGCAGAAGATGCTTTGACGCGTGCTATGCGCCGCGTTCTCATCGACGACAATCAGCATGTTCGTGCTGCCGCCAATAAAGCATTTGACGCATTACAGAGCAAATTTGGCAAGCGCGTTGTGAATGCAGTGCTACCGGAGCTGCTGATGATGTTGCAATCAGAAGACAAGGCTGAAGCGGCACTTGCAGCCCTTCGTGGCATGATGCAAGCACGCGCACAAGTCATCTTGCCCATCTTGATTCCTACTTTGACAAAGGCGCCTCTCAGCAAGTTTAATATTCGCGCGATCGCTAGTCTGAGTCGTGTGGCGGGTGCTGCATTGACGAAACGTTTGTCTTCGCTTCTATCTTGCTTGCTTGACTCTGAAGTCTCCGGCAATGAAGCGGAAGAATCTGGTGCTGCTTTCGAGAGTGTCTTGCTATCAACACAAGACGCGGTTGAAGCGATTGCAAGTATTATGAACATTATGCTTGACTTCGCAAAACACGATGACCACAAGAAGCGTGCTGCGGCATGCCGACACATGGCAGTGTTTTTCACAGAGAACAAGCTCGATATTTCGCGATATGTCCAAGACTGGCTTCGTGTCCTGCTTGGCCTCTTTGCAGATTCAAGTAACTATGTTGTCGAGGCAGCCTGGTCGGCACTAGATGCTTTGACCAAGTCACTACGTAAGGAGGAGATGGGCGGACTTGTAGCGCCGCTGCGTCGAGCATTGCAATCCGTCAGCGTCCCAGACACAGACTTGCCGGGATTCTCATTACCAAAGGGTCTCTCAGCTGTCTTGCCTATCTTCCTGCAAGGACTCATGCAAGGTAATTCCGATCAAAAGGAAGAATCTGCCTTGGGTCTGGGTGATGTGATTGTACGCACCAAGCCTGAAGCACTCAAGGTGTTTGTGACACAAATCACTGGTCCCCTCATTCGAATTATTGGCGAACGTTCTTCCTCCGATATCAAAGCTGCCATTTTGTTGAGCTTGCGATTACTGCTACAAAGGATTCCAGCATCGCTCAAACCATTCTTGCCACAGCTACAACGCACGTTTACCAAATCCTTGGCGGATCCTATGGAAGCTGTTCGTGTGAGAGCAGCAAAAGCACTTGGTACGCTGATCACGTTACAAACGCGTGTCGATCCACTTGTTGCTGAACTTGTTACTGGTGTTCAAGGGGGTGATGCACAAGTTGCTGAAGCAATGTTGTCTGCTTTGTTCCAAGTGGTTGGTAAAGCTGCAATTCACATGTCGACTGCTTCAAAGCAAAGCGTTGTTCAGCTAGTCAAGCAGTTGAGTACGGGCGGTGCCGCTGCTGCTAGTGGTTCAAGCGATGTGAGTGGCCGTAAAGCTGCTGAATTGCTGGGTGTCCTGTTCAGGAACTTGGAGGATGATCAGGCCAGGGCGCTTTTGGGGGATCTGATCCTAGTTACACCACCAACACGGTTCAGTATGGTCGCACTCAATGGGTTACTTGTTGAATCGGCCGACAAGATTGCAGAGTTGCCTGGTTGTCCTGGCGACATTGCGACATACGTGTGCACCGCTGCACAAGATGCAAATCCGCAAGTATCCGATTTAGCCATGTTGGCTGTTGGTAAGTGGTTACTCAACCCACGCTACCATCGAGACTACCAGCACGTCAAGCAAATCATGGCCTGTCTCGCTAGCTGTATGCAGTCCCCGAAATCTGCATCAACGGATACGAAACGACTTGCGTTGGTAGATGTCAATGCCCTTGCTCGACGCTACCCAGAGATCGTCAGACCGCATGCTGAAGTGTTACTGGAACCCATCTTTAGCACCGTGAGGGATCCCGTGTTGCCAGTCAAATTGGCAGGTGAACAGGCATTTGTCAATGTCCTTGAGATGCCAGCACAGGAGACAGCCTTGCTTGATGGGCTTTTGGCAAAGTTGGAGCATCCTGCAAAGACAAGGAGTATGGGTGAGTATGCGAAACGTGTTGCTAGCAAGATTGCTGCTGCACAGAATGAGAAGGAGGCAGCTGGTGTACCGCTGCGTGATGATGATATGGATGAAATCTTTGGTGTCAAGGACGAAGACGAGAATGATGCTTAGACATGCAGCTTTTATAATTGAGAGAAGTTTGAAAAGAAATGGATAGTCAACTACTTGGATGTACGAGCAAATGTGAAGGTCAGATGCATGCGAGATAGATTTGTACGAGCAAAAGGATGAAAGGCCTGCTTCCAAACAGTTCAAAAATGGTCGAGGTCAATCGCTTCGCTTGGAAATGACTGCGCTTGGAGATTTCATAAGTCGTTGCAGAGGTCATAAGTGTCGTGACGGTTGTGTCACACGTTTGCTGTAGCATTGACTGCGTCCTGCGCAGTCGTCGATAGGGTCAATCATGAGAGGAGGGACCAACGGATTACGAGGTTTGTAGCTTCTAGCCACCGCGCAAGAGATCGCTTGCTGGATGAAAGGAAAGGTTGGAACAAACCTGGCGACCGATGGCATGCATGGGCACCTGTTCAGAGAACGCGCACGCTTCTACTGGACCTGTTTGACGGAGCTGCATGTCGCAGTGGCGTTGTTGGAATACACGCTGACTGGCTGGAGGTCGTGGTGTCTCTATCAATTCATCGAGCCATGCTTGGTGTGCCGCATAATCGAGTGGTGGTGTGGTGTAGCCATCAGTTGCTTCCCAGCTGCTGGGAGAAGATGAGCGCGATCGCTCTTCCATCAGCGTCTTGAGATGCCTTCTTTCTGGATACACGCAGGAAGCCAAGCGCCTGAATGCCGGACATGCAGAGGGGCACTCGTCCGAATCATCTAGAAGTGCTTCTGGCAGAGCAGATCGATACCCTACATCGAAAGCATACACGCGATTCTTCCAGTTTTGGGCAACAACATCATTTGTGAGATAGCTTGACGCATCCATACCTGACGCAAGCGGTGAGACGGGAGAGGCCGAGAAAGCAGACAGCTGTGAGCCTGCTGGCAGAGAGCCCAGTGGCGAAGAACCCAGCAGAGATGTCTGACTGTTGCTGCTCGTGCTGCTTTCATTGGATGTGAGTGATGATAAGGAGGTACGCTTGAAGGGGAAATAGGATGCATTTGCCATGTCACCTGGACTAATGGCATGGTTGCTACTGGATGAAGGAGACTCCTGGCAGTGCATGAAGACGCAACGCGATCCATACGGGCAGTGCCCTTGCTGAGCAAAAGACACACAGGGTTCCGTCTGCTCATCAGCATCTCTGCCAATCAGAAACAACACATCGCGACTTACCTTGTACTTGCAGTGTCGTGCAGAATCGCGCAACTCGCCAGGTCCATGGGCAAACTGACAACGCGTTTGATAGCGGCATGAACCAGATTCCTGCCAGTTCCTGCAGAGTTCCGTCTTGTACAACTTGTGCCTACTTGCTGGTCCACCAGAGCGTGTTGAGTGTGACGAGACGGGTGAGAGCAAGGGACTCATTTGCTGCTTGCTGGACTTTTCTTGCTTCTGCCTCTCGTCGAACGATTGTGTAGCAGCGCCTGCTGATTGAGAGAAGGCAGCATGTCTGGCACGCGCGACACTGATGGCAGATCCTTCGAGGAAACGCTTGTACTGCTCTACTGAGTACCTGGGTGCAAAATTGACTGAGACGCAGGATGGTTCAGCTTGGGTGGTGGACATCTGGGGGGACTCGCCAGCGAGTGTCTTGATGCCACGTTCTGCTTTGCTACGCGCTGCTTGGAGTGCAGTACTGGAGAGGGTGAAGGGTCTGTCTGTGTGAGACTGACGCTGGGGAACGCTGATGGACGATGCCAGCGTGGCGAGGACCGACATGGCTATTGTGTATGCGCGAGAGAGTGCTCCGTTGTGATCTGACGCTGCTTACACCAGGCACGGCAGCTGAGAGAGCCACGCTCGCCTCTTGGCAGGTAGGAGTCTGTCTGCTCGCTCGACGCAGCCTGTGGAGGGCGGTACGAGGACAATAGGCGTAGTCAAGTCAAGGAGAGAAGGGGTTTGAGTCTGTGTGGTGTGTGTGCTCTGTGGATGAAGAGAGTCGAGCTGGCGTGCGCTCCTTTATAGTAGCAAGAGCTGTCTGTGGTGATGTGCTGCAACAGTCAGCAGGTCCATAGCCGTGTCTGCCACCCTTGCCTGTCTGTCTGCTTACGAGTCAAGTGGCGACAAGCAGCTGCACAGCCTGCACCATACAGATACGCAAGGATGCTGCCAATGAGGATCGCTGACGATGATGAGTGCCTCGATCTGTGGACAGCTGCCATGGCGATGTCTTTCTACGAGGCTCGAGCACCGGGCGAGTTTGTAAGCAATGACCAGCGTGGGTTACACAAGCATAGACCGGGTCTTGACTGAGTGAGCACCATGCCTAGTTCAAGATGAGCAGACTCTGATAGCTAGTAGAGACACAACTACATGTACAGCACGACTAGAAATGGCCTCTCTTCCTGCTTCTTGGCAACTTCTGCAGCTTCCGTGCGCGCCGTGTTGTGAAAAGCGCGACCATCAACCAAGCAGCTACAAACCCACAACCACCGTATCTCACGGCCGCTAGCCACTATGGGCAATAAAATCGTCGGCATCGTCCTCGCCGTATGCAGTGGACTCTTTATCGGTGTCAGCTTTGTTATTAAAAAGAAGGGCCTGCTCAAAGCCACGGAAAAGGTTAGTTTGCAATCATGCCTCGAGGTCATTGTCAATATCGGCGCGCTGACACGGTGCATTAGAGTGGCAATATGGCAGGCGAAGGTTACGCGTATCTCAAATCATGGATCTGGTGGACGGGCATGACGTATGAAGAGTGGACCCCGGCAAGACTATGCAGCTAATACGACAGACTCATGATTGTGGGAGAATGCTGCAACTTCATCGCGTATGCTTTTACAGAAGCCATCCTCGTTACTCCCTTGGGTGCACTTGCTGTTGTTGTCTCGGCCATTGGCTCTTCCATCTTCCTCAAAGAACGATTAAGCTTTGTCGGCAAGATTGGCTGTGCCCTGACGATCCTCGGTGCAGTCATCATTGTGCTCAACTCGCCTGAACAGGTCTCTGCCACGACCATTCAGCAGGTCAAGCATTTCGCCATTTCCAAAGTCTTCCTGCCCTACTGCGCCATTGTCCTAGGTCTCAGCGCATTCCTGATTCTCTGGGCAGGTCCACGATATGGCCAAACGCACATTATGGTGTACATCAGCATCTGCTCCCTTATCGGTGGCATTTCCGTCGTCTGTACTCAAGGTTTCGGCGCAAGTGTCGTCTCTGCGATTGGCGGAACACCCAATCAATGGAACAATTGGTTCCTCTGGGTTCTCTTCATCTTTGTGATCATCACGCTTCTCTTCGAGATTGTCTACCTCAACAAGGCCCTTAACATCTTCAACACCAGTGTCGTGACGCCCATCTACTTCACCTGCTTCACAACCATGACACTCATCTCATCAGCAGTCTTGTTTCAGGGGTTCAATGGCAAGCCCGTGGAAATTATCACCGTTGTCCTTGGATTTTTCTGCATCGTCTGTGGTGTTATCCTTCTACAAGTCTCGCTTGCTGCACAAGCCAAATCCGACTCTGCAGTACTCAGCGCAGAACTCGATGATATGCACGATGTCCTGAGTATGAATATCGATGATGATGCACTCAACCCCGGTGCTGCCAGTATTCGTGGTGCTTTAAGTATGCGACGACTAGCAACACGTAAGACGAGTACAGCGAGTCTTGCACAGGCGTTTCAGCGTCGTCGATCGAGAGTCGCTTCTGCTTCGTCGTCTGTTGGCTTACCGCATCATGGGTCGTTGTTTACGAGGGATGTACAAGCGAATCAACATGTAAACTTACCACCACCCATGCCAAGTCTTCCTTCACGCTCCAGATCCCCATCACCCACCAATATTGGGCATGGCTCACATATCCGGTTTGAGAAGACATTACCGCCTGTATCAGCGACACAGTATGCATCACAGTATGACATACCAGAGGAATATGCTCTTGAAAGAGACTATGCAACGACAAAGTCAATGGGCAAGCGTGCATCAGGGCGTAGCACATCACCCATGCAAACCAGACATGACAATAAGCAAATGCCTCAAGGATTCAATGAAGCAGGTGGTAAGCCGGTTCTCAAGACGTTCAGTTTTGCGCGTGGTCGTCGAGGTATTGCAGATGAAGAGTCGGTTGGGTTATTTGAAAGTGCTGCTGGGCATGTTGCTGCAACTGCATCGCCTGCGCGCTCACGAAGTCGGAGTAGTGAAAGCAGGCCGCGTGAATCTCTGGATTCTGGGTATATCTATCATGAGGGATATGGGAATCGCTTCTAGCGTATGACATTGAAGCAGGTACAGTAGATGGTCTTGTAGAAAGGACGATGTAGAAATGGCCCCATCTGAATGAATCACTTGCGATGAACGCATCTCCAGACGCGACAAAACACCGGAAGCTGCAACGATGCACTACATGTACTAGAAAGAATGCATAAACGGCCAGGCGCCAGTATAGCGGGTAGCAGTTCTAGCAAGAAAGTCCGCTTCGATGCACATCACCCGAATCTACTCGTCTCAGATGATTCTGACTTTGGTGGAAATGCGGACGTAGATGCGTTGTTTGAGGCGGATATCGCTGCCCCGCATGCGCATGCTGCTAGACGGCATGCTGTCAAGTTGGATGGGTATAGCAGTGATTCATCCGATGATCAGGATGAGAAGCGTGTGGCGTCGCGAGATGCATTGATGAGTGAGGCTGGGCCGACTGATGGAACTGCTGCGAGGGTGTCACCTGGTTTGGCTGCTGCGGATGAGGATGAAGATATGTTTGCAGAAGAACCGTCAAGCTCTGCTGTAAAAGACAAGGGAAAAGGCAAAGCAATGGCTGATGCTGGCAAGGACAGTGTACGATTCCTGGCACTCGATGAGATTCCTGGGCAAGAATTCGAGGCGCGGCATGGCATGTCCGGGCGTGGTTATGACACAGATGGGTTTCCGGCGCATCCAGGACATTACAATCCAGATGAAGAAGAGTTGGGGGATGCTGCTGATGAAGAGGACGAGGAAGACGATGGCTCTGTGGATGAAGAAGTTGGTGCGCTGGGTCGGAAACACAATGCACCCAAGATGGATGCATTCAACATGAAAGCTGAGCTGGAGCACGGCCAATTCGATACGGACGGCAATTATATTCGGCAAGCGAAAGACGTCAAGGACTCGCAGGATGTGTGGCTCAAGGATGTCTCGAAGCGTGATATTGCTGCTGCTCGAGAGGCAATGATGAAACGGCAGGCGGAAGAGGAACAGAGACTGCAAGATTCAGACGAGCAAGCGACCGTCGGTACATTGCTAGGCGAACTAGTCTCTTACTTGGAAAAGGGCGAAACGTTGTTGGAAGCACTGCAACGATTTGGTGTGCTTGCTGGGTCTCGTCGCAAGAAGAGCAAGAAGGCTGCCAAGAGACAAACTGATGTTCAAGATGTGGCAACCATCAAAACAGACACAGAACAGCAAGCTGCCCATGCAATTGAGCGGCTTACGTTGCTAGCGAGTAAGTTGATGGGACGGATGCCGCTGGACCTCTACGAGCTTGAGCGGGAAGGACTGACACGAGCCTATCAGCGCGAGACTGGAGAGATACTAGCAGAGCAGCCCTCACGGACGCTGATTCAGTATGAAGAGCTGGACAAGCAATATGAGTTTCGGTATCAGGGGACAGAAGAGGTCTATGGCCCGTATGGCAAAGATGACTTGCTTGCTTGGCAAGAAGAAGGACAGTTCGCTGAACATGCCTGTGAGGTTCGTTTGATGGGCACAGAGGATTTCACCGCTCTGACCTCGAGTATCTGATGTATAGTCAAGTGCAGTGTACTTTATGACTGCTTCCTTCCCGTCCCCCGCAGCTGCCAGAGACGACTCGCGCTTCACCTTCAGGACACCGACATCCTCACTGCTCGGTCTGCTGATTGGCTCGTCGCAGGCAAGCTAGTCTGGCGCATACATAGTACTGGTATCGCTCCTCAATTCTTCTACAGTCCTGAGTCTCCGTTTGACTTTGAGTGCGCCTCAATCTAATTCGTCGTCATGGCAGACGCGCCAGGCAATAAGTCAACATGGACCGCGTACGCCTCCTCAAATCATCTCTTCAAGCACTCATACCTCTTCTAGCTTCCTCAAAAGTATTGCGACCTTCACAGGCGACTTGTCGGCACTTACAGCGCCTAGTTTCATCCTCAGTGGTACATCAATCCTCGAATACAGCGCATATTGGGCAGAACATCCCCAACTCTTACTGAATATCCAGCAGGATGATGCTGAAGCGCGTATGCTTGCTTGTGTGAAATGGTACTGTGCTACGCTCAAGGGCCAATTCAGCGCACGGCACGAGTCATCGGGTGGAGAGAAGAAGCCATTGAATCCAGTACTAGGTGAGGAGTTTCATGGATCTTGGACGATTGATGGGAATGTTGGTGAAACTGTCAGATTGACGGCTGAGCAAGTCTCGCATCATCCACCGATTTCTAGTTATCGCATCGCTGCACCCAATGGTATCACGCTACAGGGGCATAATGGACAGAAATCTGGGTTCAGCGGACGGACGATTGTGGTGAAGCAAATTGGTCATGCTGTGCTCAAAGTTCCCTTTCAGCAAGGTCAGGGGAAGGAGACGTTCCTCATCACACTGCCGCAGCTTGTGTTGGAGGGATTGCTCTATGGCGCGCCCTATGCTGAATTGACAGAGGTATGCAACTCTTTGTCAATGAATTCAGACTGACATTCAGAAATCCTACATTGCCGCTTCATCTGGTTGGACAACGGTATTTGAGTACTCGGGGGCTGGATGGCTTTCTGGCAAGAAACATACACTCAAGGCAAAGATATATCCACCGCAAGCCTGGGAGCAAGGAGAACCTGCAAAACATGTCGTTGAGGGTCAATGGACAGACACACTTACGATTCGTTCACAATCAAGTCAAGCATCAGACGGCGATTTGCCATTCGTTGAGACGCATGCATTGCCTCGACAACCCATTGCCGTGGAGCAAGTGAAGTCACCCTATGATTCACGCAAATTATGGGCTGGGGTGGCCAAAGCATTGAAGGAGCAAGATTTCGAGCAGGCCTCGAAGCTCAAGTCTGAGATTGAGAATGCACAGCGGCAATTGCGGAAGGAGGAGAAGGAGGCAGGGAAGGACTGGACACGCAAGTACTTTGAGAAGTGCGAGGCCTTGGAGCCTGAAGTGCGGGAACTGGCAGATAAGGTGAAGCTCCCTGATACTGGGTATTGGATGTACAAGGGCACACAGTAGGCAGCAGGTAAAAGACACGAATAGTAAATGAGCATCAAGGCAAAGAGTGAATGACGACGATTTTTGGCTCTCATTTGTAAGACATCTAGTCGCTCTGGACCATACCCTTGCCCTTGTAGCCTGGAGTGTTAGTCTTGTATCATTCAACAAGAGCGAGAGATCATACCTTCGGACGAAACACCTGAGATGGGCTCGGCATTTTGCTCCCGGAGACGCTCGTTCATGGCCTTTTGCTATTAGCTCCTTATCCAGAAACCACAAGAAAATACTTACCTCCTGGTACTCGCGGCTCATGGTCTTGGGTGCAGGCTGGGCAGTGGTTCGAATACCGTAGAACAGCACGGCGCTCATACCCAAGCCAATCAAAGTACCAGTCAAGACTTTGATCTGGAAACCAGGTGGGTGTGTCTCGGCACGAGGGCCATGAGCACCGAAAGCGATGAAGTAAGCAGCACGCTTCTCTTCGGGTGTCAATTCCGTCCAAGGCCCTTCCTGGCGCTTAGCAAGCTGCGACTGCAAATCGGCCTGTTCTTGAGGAGAGAGCGTGTCCCATCGCTTCTCGAGGTGAATCAAGGTTGGTGTTGAGATGGTGTGAGCTTGCCGGATGCTGCTGAGGCCTGCTGCTCGCAAGCTGGCTGTCGTGGAGGTTGTTCGGAGTGCGTTGCGGAGCATGACTTTTGTATTAGGGGGGACTCTGGATGAGGCCTTTATGATCTTTTCTCTTGAGTCGATGCAGGGAGACACGCAGACTGGGCTCGAGGGCTTGGCTGCTGCTACTGCTCTGCTACTTGCTGCTGCTACTGCTTGGTCTCTTGCTCTCTCTTTCTCTCGTTTCCGCCGTCGGGTCAGCCAGCACAACACGTGACATCCACCAGGAACAGGCTCGACTACTAGTCTACTGTTACTCCAAGTCTACAAAGACATCCTCATGCTTCAGTCTGCGATTTGTATCTAGCTCCACTGCTGCTGCTTCTGTAACTAGCGGCTCTTCTCTCTGCTCGCGGCTTCTTCTTGCCATCCTCTGCCCAAACAACAGGCTCAAATACGCTGATTAGCCTCGGGCACCTCAATTTGATTTGCCCCCTCTCTGCCATCTGCTCCCGTATACATGGCAGATTCGGTCACCATCCCTCAAGATGACTCCATCAACGGAAATGACGCCTTGCACGCTCCTCAGCCGCTCAGTAACGGTACAACCTCACACTTATCTCCCGAGGTACACATGACACAGATGGAGGTAGACCCGATTCCCAGCGCGTCTGAAGATCTCTCCCGCATCTCGTTAGATCCAGAGACAACAGAAGGCAAGCCAGCGGTGGTCATATCACGCGCCAAGGACTTTCGAGACGCGCCGTCTGGGATATGCTATGACGCTCGAATGCGTTTTCACAGCGTGATTAATCCACAGGATGATCACCCGGAAGATCCACGACGCATCTATCGCATCTATAGAGCCATTGAAGAAGCAGGTCTCACGCAATTACATGCACAAACGGCAGAAGACTCCAAGGTACTCCAACGCATTCCATTGCGGGAAGTCAAGAAGGAGGAAGTGCTGCTCGTGCATGACTTAAATCACTGGGAGTCGATGCTCGCTACTGCGAACATGAGTTTTCAACAACTCATCAACCTCGGGAGCTTATCGGATTCAATGTACTTCAACAATGAAACCGCGTACTGCGCACGTCTTGCCTGTGGTGGCGCCATTGAGACGTGTAAAGCAGTCGCTGAGGGACGCTGCAAGAATGCTATTGCCGTCATTCGACCGCCGGGTCATCACGCTGAGCCAGAATTCGCTTCTGGATTTTGCGTCTTCAACAATGTCAGTGTTGCTGCAAAAGTAACGCTTCAGCAATTTCCAGAGACGTGTAAGCGGATATTGATCCTTGATTGGGATGTCCATCATGGCAACGGTACACAGACTGCGTTTTACAAAGATCCAAATGTCCTCTTCATCTCTATTCACCGGTATCAGAATGGCACTTTCTATCCCGGTACGCCGTATGGCGATTTGGACAAATGCGGTGCAGGTGATGGGTTGGGTTACAACATCAATATTCCTTGGTCTCAAAAAGGTATGGACGACGCAGACTACCTGCATGCGTTTCAAAAAGTGGTGATGCCCATTGCGCGTGAGTTCAATCCAGACTTGGTCATCATCTCAGCTGGCTTTGATGCAGCTGTCGGTGATCCGATCGGTGAAAATGAAGTCACGCCAACCGGGTATGCACACATGACACATATGCTCATGTCGCTTGCTGGTGGAAAAGTGGTGGCCTGTCTGGAAGGCGGTTACAATCTCGATGCAATCAGTGCTTCAGCTCTTGCAGTCACACGCACACTGATGGGGGATCCACCGGCACGGTACACGGAAAGTATGCTTCCATCTCGTTCTGCACTGGAAAATTGTCATGCTGTAGCACTGGAGCAGAGCAAGTATTGGCGGTGCATGGGTCTTGGCCGGCCCTTCTACAAGAAGACAAATGGCAGCGGCTCAACAGAAGTGCATCTGCACGATGTGGTGCGTTCTTACCAAACAACAACCTTGCGGCAGCAGTATGGCTATATTCCACTACCGCTCCTCGAGGATCGCGTTAGTGCTTCTTTTGCCAATCAAGCCGTCTCAACACCTGATTTCTACAAGAAACGCACCCTCGTCTTTTTCATACACGATGCACCAGAAGTTTGGCAAGAACCACAGGCTTTCACAAATCAACACCAAGTCTCGTTGCATCAAGCAGTCTTGCCAAATGCGTTGCAGCAGTATACCGATTACTTTGCAAGCCGCGACTTTGGTGTAATTGACGTCAATGTCCCAGCGACACTGTCCGGCATTGATATGATGCCCATCTCCTATACTGTTGCAGATGAAACGGCGCGTCTTGCACGCTATATTTGGGACAATTACATTGAGCTCGCTGATGCTGAACACATCGTCTTCTTGGCAACCGGTGAGAGTTGTTTGGGGATTGTCTCGCTTATTTCAACGAAATCTGTCAAGCGGCGTGTCAAGGCTGTCATCAATGTGTATGGCAGTTTGCCATTGCGTCCACTGACGAGTGTGGAAGATGCATTGATTGAGTGGTATTACGCTCATTCACTATGCTTGACCACTGCCAACAATGAATGCTGGCATGGACCCAAGAAGCCAAAGCGCAAGTTTGGCAAGGCAGTCAGGGGTGAGGGTCTGGTGAGAGATACATTACTGGCAGAATCATATGAGCAAGTCAAGGCGTTTATTGAAGAAGCCATTGAGGAAGAGGAAGACGCAGGCGAGACGGAAGTGGAGGAACTTGTGTAGTAGGGACTCCAAATATCGGGATACACGTCCGACTGCCTGTATCTCGGTTGGATACGACACAAACGACTGCGGCTTTAATATTTTCCGTGGGATGTGAGCTTCTGTGAGAAGGACTGCGAGCCATACATGGCCCATGGATGCCTGTAGCTGCTATACGCACAATAGTAACAGTAGTAGAAGCAGACTATGCTCCCCTCGGAAGAGTCCGGCAGCGCAGTGAGCAGTTCAGATGGGCTGTCGCTGTGCACGTGAGAAAGTGTCGAGGACTCAACGAACAGAAAAGACAGCGAGAACAACCACCCCCATCCTCAACCCGAAAACCCCGGGATCTCCTGCAGCTACACGAATGATGCACGCCTCCCTCAGACTCGTAAGTTATCCTCATTCTGACCCATCCCATCCGCACGGCCCGGCCAATTTGTCCCGCATACCGTTGTGCATATCAGTCTTTATCGAGTGCTTGCAATTGCTGCTCGGCTTTGCGCTGGAACGCCTGCCTGGACTGGGGAACGTCGGCATAAGGTCTTCAAATGTCTAACGAACCACAGAGATCTGCCTTTAGGCCACAACTGTCTCACGTCCGCACCTATGCACAAGGAGCCGTATGTTTCTCCAAAAAGACCTTGTCGTGACCCCTTGTACTGACCATACGAACAGTCATTGAAGGAGACCTTTGCTGCACTCATCCCAAAACACCAGGAGTACGTCAAGAAGGTGCGTGCGGAGCATGGCCACAAGAAGACTGGTGAAACGACCATTGATTCAGCCTACAGCGGTATGCGTGGTCTCAAGGCTATGGTCTGGGAGGGTTCCGTTCTCGATGCTGAAGAAGGTATTCGATTCCGTGGCAAGACCATCCCCGAGTGTCAAGAGCTGCTCCCAAAGGCGCCAGGCGGCAATGAGCCTTTGCCTGAGGGTCTCTTCTGGCTTTTGTTGACTGGTGAAGTCCCCACCGAGGCTCAAGTCAAGGGTCTCTCTGCTGAATGGGCCGCTCGTTCTGACTTGCCCAAGCACGTCGAGGAGCTCATCGACAGGTGTCCTAATACCTTGCACCCCATGGCCCAGTTTGTGCTTGCTGTTACTGCACTCGAGTCTGAGTCTTCCTTCTCCAAGGCATACGCCAAGGGTATCAACAAGAAGGAGTACTGGTCGTACACCTACGAAGACTCGATGGATCTGATTGCTAAGCTCCCCAACGTTGCTGGTCGTATCTACCGCAACTTGTACGCCGATGGCAAGGTCGCACCTATCGACAAATCCAAGGACTACTCATACAACTTTGCCAACATCCTCGGCTTTGGCGAGAAGAAGGACTTTGTTGAGCTCATGCGTCTCTACTTGACCATTCACTCTGACCACGAGGGTGGTAACGTCTCTGCTCACACCACACACTTGGTCGGTTCGGCTCTTTCTTCCCCTATGCTTTCCCTGGCTGCTGGTCTCTGCGGTCTTGCTGGACCCCTCCACGGTCTCGCCAACCAGGAAGTGCTCAAGTGGATCAACAAGATGAAGGCTGAAATTGGTACGGATGTCAATGAGAAGCAGATTGAGGACTACCTCTGGAAGACCCTCAAGGCTGGCCAAGTCGTTCCTGGCTACGGTCACGCTGTCCTTCGCAAGACTGACCCACGTTACGAAGCACAGAGGCAATTTGCGCTCAAGCACATGCCCGACGACCCTCTCTTCCACCTCGTCTCAACCGTATACAAAGTCGCTCCCAAGGTCCTCACCGAGCACGGCAAGACCAAGAACCCATACCCCAATGTCGACGCTCACTCGGGTATCTTGCTTCAATTCTACCAATTGACACAGGAAGACTTCTACACCGTGCTCTTTGGTGTTTCCCGCGCTCTCGGTGTCTTGCCACAACTCATCTGGGACCGTGCACTCGGTATGCCCCTTGAGAGGCCCAAGTCATTCTCAACTGAGGCTTTGGAGAAGCTCGGCGCAAAGCTCTAGGCTTCGCATCTAAAAAAGTTTGATGATACTATAGCTCTGATAGATGCTAGATGCTAGTTGGTCATTCCCTCCATACGTACGTCTTTGTGGGTAGTTCTGTAGCTTCTGCCGTGGCCGTCATGGACGCTGTCATCGGCATCTTTACTCTGCTTGAGGGTGCCATGGACAGCTGGCGGTGCGATGCAGCGATGCTAGACCTGGCTGGAGGCGCATCTGGCCCAAAGTCGATCACCAGGCGCAGCACTACGCTCGACACCCGACACCGCCTTGCATGAGTCATCTATACTCAGGAAGTTTGTTCCTTGAGCTGCAATGTCTTTGAGTGCGTATTCACCATTTCAACCACGCTGTTAATAGGCTTCCCTGAACAATCCAGCTCCATGACCTTGCCATCCTTATACGTGACCTTAAGCAAGCCACTCGCAACAGGTGGGCTACCCTGAATGAACCGCTGCAGCGGCAATAGCTGCGTTGTGATTTTTGTTGGATTCGCCTGTCTTGCGGTTTCCTTGACGAGAAGCGTAAGGAAGAGCCGTGCTGATTTGCTGGACCGCGCAAAGGGCGAGAATGATGCAGATACCGCTGAGAGGTACTTTGTGAGCAGCATGATACGGCGTAACGGCGGGTATGCTTTCGTCTTGATGTGCTGCTGTCTGCTTTTGACAATTTTGAGTTTCCAGATGCCGACTCGACCACCACACCTGCTACTGCTAGACAGTACTCATGATGACTCCTGCTACTGTGAATATCGCTTGCAAGTGCTCTACGTGTCTCAGATGCCTTCTCATGACTCCCAAAACTCAGCTTCCTCCATGAACAACTCGCTGCTATAGGCAAACGCTGGTTCCTTGAGGAAATGCTCGAGCATGCGCACCATGACTGAGTCCAGCATCAGGCCTTGCCTGCAAGAGTACAAGATGAGGTCGCTCATCGCTCTCTCCAGGCCATCAGAATGTCATCAGCTATGTACGATACGTTGACCATGCCTTCCGCCATGTACGATACACTGGCCACCACTCCCGACCTCACGACGCTCCCTTCCATCTTCAACTATACGCCAAACCGTCCACCCACGCCGTTCCCTTTCTATGCGCCCATCTGTTTCGAGATGAGCAGCATCCTTCCTCGTCCTACAAGCGCTCCAGCCCAGGCACGAAAGTCCCGTTCCGCTTCTATCTCTTCGGCCTTCTTCACATCGCGCTCCCAGCTCTCCACCCCAGACACACCCGTGGAGCCTCCCGTCGTTCAGGAACCCATGCCCGTTCCTTTGCCTCACGCTCGTCCTTCTGTTCGCTTCCTGGAAAGTGCAGCAGCTCGACCAGTCGCTCCTCCTCCGGCCGAGGACTTTCTGACACTCCTCGAAAAGGCCGCTCGCAACTCAGTCGTGTACAAGAAGCATGAAGAGTCACTGAAGCGGCATGGCTTCTTTGCTCGAGAACCTCGTCATCGTTCACCCACCAGACTCACCCAAAAGGATGGCACCCAGCGTCCTCCAAGCCCATTTCCCTTCGCCAACGCCGCTCAAGCGCTCGCCGAGCCTATTCCCCCATTGTCGCTCGACGCTCAGGCAAAACCTGGTCGCATGGGTCTGGGCATCAATCTCTGCTTTGGCTTTGGTGTCGAGACGCCTCGTCGCTATCAGACATTTGAGGAGGAGGAAGATACCTTCTTCAACTTCTTCAAGGATACACACGATTGCGTCGAGGAACCACGTTGGCCAGGTGAACCGAAACGACTTGCAAAGCCATATATCTTTGTCTCGTCCATCTTTGACAATGTCCCTTTGCCAGTTGTGCGGAAGCGTTTGACGGGCACTGCGAGCGACTATCCCATTCAGGGTGAGTTGTATGACTTTGTGGCAAAGGGCACAGAGAGTGATGAAGGCTCGTGGGATATGCTCGAGGATGAATCGCCAGAGAGGGATCCAGCAACACTGCCAAGGCTTGGGTGCGACTTGGACGCAGGCTGGGTCGAGGTGAGTAACTCATTGCCAGACCTCAAGTGACGATGCCACAATACTGTTCTTTCTTATCGTTTGTATACCTAGCATTATTAATCATTGTACCAGTACCATCTTGAGTTATCTGCGCTTCAACTTGTACTCTTGTGGTGTCGTAGCTGTTGTATCACGCCAAAGCACGTCGAAGATTCAAGAGATGTTGATTATACTATTACTAAAATGTGAACTGGCACTTGCTACATAGCATCTAAACAGGAATGCGATAGCGGTCACTGTCATCTGCCTTGTACTCATACTCGCTGTCCGTCTTCGCCCAAGAACAACAAGACTGTTTGTCCTCCTCTTCCTCCACGCGCTTCTTGGCAGCACCTGCTGCCACGGCTTTCACTGCTTCATCCTCACTCTCGCCATCACTGAGGTAGAAACGTTCCTTTGCAGGTGTCACTGTTGGTTTCTTCCTGCGCATACGACCAGCAATCACACTCGGTAAGCTGAGGAAACTCCCTGCAGCTGCAGAAAAGCTCCAACAACCACCAGGCGATGAAGGTGTCGTGAAAGAGGTTGTTGATTCTTGAGCGATCGGTAAGACTGGTACCATGTCGCGGTAGAGAAAGCTGCAGTCACTGTCTGAGCTGCTGTTACTGCTGCTGCTATCAGCCATGTCATCCTCGTCATGCCCATCAGAGGAGCCTGAGCTGCTGTGTGGAGGTGTGAATGGAGAGCCAAGGACAGGCCGCATCGCGGATTTTTGCAGTGACTCATGTGAGCCTGATGGATGCGGAGAAGACCGATGCAGAGGACGAGGGCCATTGCCCACTGGCCGAGAGGGACCCGGCCGATCGGCGTCTTCATCGCTGCTGCTGTCATCCAAAGCGAAGCGCTGCTTGGCACGCTCAGCAAGCCGTACAGACGCAAGTCTTTGCCTGTCTCTTGGGTTCTTGGAGCGTTTCTGCGACACGGAAGAGTGCATCAGACAGCAGCGCAGTTGCGATTTTGCCGTAGATGCATCTGGGTAGGAGATGGAGAGGCTAGGCTCGAGAAGACACTTGTCCTCGATGTCGTCCAAGATGACAAGTTCTGCTGGCTCATCAAGGCCACCGACTGCTGCTAAAGCGGCGCAATGTGCCGCCCAGCGACCGACCTTCAAAAAGGCCTCTCGAGTGAGAATCGCGGTGATGACCTTGTCGATCTCAGCGGAGGAAGCAGACTTGATGGAGTGACTGTGCTGGAGCTCGAGCGCAGCAGGAGCAGAGTTCATGCTCAAGCTGTTGGAGTCGAAGGAAATCTCGGAGAAGAGCATAGTGATGATCTTTGGTTTGGATAGTGATGAGGGAGATGCAGCAGGCAGCGAGGCATCTTAAGCAAGGGAGCAGCATCAAGACAAGAGTCATCCTGTGTCGGCGAGGAAAAAGGGAAAGGGCCTAGCATGGAGGCCATCGCAGGCTGCTTTGAGGTGTTGTCCCAGAGCAGCCTGGCGTTGAGTGTTGGTCCACAGTTGCGTTGTCCCATCTGGGCAATTCTGGTTGCAAAAGTGCTGCATCAGATGGCCAGATTCAAGGGATGCGACGCTGCTCGAGGGGTTTCACATTGAACACTCTGGTAAATACTTGGAAATGATTCTGAGAGTCATTCAGATACATGGATTGAGTGACTCATCGGGAGTGAGAGTGAGACTCAGCCACCGTCCTCATCTGACGAAGAATTGGTCACCAGCGCTCATGCACATGATGGTCTTTGACTCAAGGGTACTCATGCGTTAAGATCATAAAGCAAGCATGTCCGTGTGTTCGTTCCAATCCCTTTCCCACAAGACACAATGATTCCTCGTCTCAGCAATTTGTTTGGTCTGCTTAACCCTCTGCACCGCTCAAAGGGTGTGGAAAGTGGATATCGCAGTCCTCCACCACCCTACTCCAGCCGACCCATCGTACCCAAAGTGGACGCTGATGGGTTCACCCCAGAGGAGAGGGCAGAAAGGCAAGCTGAATTCTTACTTGCGATCGAGACAAGGATGATGCAAACACCCAACCTCGGGATGGATGACGATGAGGATGATATTCCCCTCGGTGAACTCTTTGCCATGAAAGAACGGCATAAACTAGCTGTCCTGCTGGACTGGGTGTCGATTCAACGAATCATCTCTTCGTTGGACGCGTATGAGGAGCATGATACGCTTGCAAGGTGTAGGGGTGAGTACCTCATGCCAGATGAAGAACGCACGCAAGCTATTTGCCAGGCTTGGGCCGACGACATTGCCCTGCAACAGCGCATCCTTGCACAGTCGAGGAAACAAGACAGGCTTCCCAATAGGCCAGCCGGGCCTGTGTATGTGCCGCAGTTCAATAGCAGGCGGGAGAGATTGATGGATGCCAGAGACTTGGCACGACGATTGGAGCGAGCATTGCAGCAGGAAGCAAGTCATTGAAGAGACGTCAAGAAGGAAGTCGCAGAATACATGTTACATCTCTCCATCCATTTATACTTTAATAATAATCAAAGCTTTGCCGAAAACTCCTGGTGCAAGACAATCTTGGCCTTTTCACCCGCCTCAATGATGCGGTTCGCTGTACGATGCGCAATAGCCATCGTTGTGATCATCGGATTGACACCGGAGCACGTAGGGAAAACACTTGCATCGGCAATGTAGAGACCCTGTACACCCTTGACCTTGCAGTCGCTATCCGTGACACGACCCATACTGCATGATCCCATCTGATGTGCAGATCCCATGCTTGTTCGACCAGGGACCATACCTGCCTTGCGCACTTTGTCAAGCCAAGCAATGTAGCTTGGTTCTTGTGTGCCAAGCGGTGAGTTCTTGACAGGTCGGAAGCTTTCCACATCTTCTTGCGCTGTCGACAACTCATCGGCACCAGACGCCAATAATGTGTCGCAGAGCTTGATGACTCCTTCAAGCATAGACTTGCGGTCATACGCAGAAGGTTGGTAGTGAACTTGAGGCTTGCCTGTGACTGGATCAGGATAGACGTATCCTGAATCACGATCACGCGTGAGTGCAATGTAGGATGTGGCGTGAGGGTACTTGAGCCAGTTCTTCTTCCACTCCTTGGAGCTACGCCAGGGAATGATGGCGGAGTGGAGACCAGGCTGGTTCGAGACGACTTCGAGGTATGCGCCATGGCCTGAACCGTCCTTGTTGAAGGCAGCAAGCGAGACAGTTGTCAAGATACCACCTTCATGAGGACGCGTTTGCGCATCTTCAAAGTGGGCAGTGATGAATGAACATGGGTGCATTTTCAGGCCCCGACCAATCTCTGGGTCGTGCAAGCCGGACGCTTTGAGGATGCAAGGCGTGTTCAGGGTACCTGCTGAGATAATAACGCGTTCAGCACGAATAGTAATTTCGCGACCATTGTGCAGAACGAGGGCACCTTTGGCCACACCAGACTCGATGATGACCTTCTTCACGAGTGTGTCTTGCAGGAATTGTGCGCCATGATCCTTGGCATCAGACAACCAGGTAATCAGCCCACCCATCTTGTCTCCGTTGCGACAACCATGTGGACAGTGGCCACAGTAGTGCTTTGAACCACCTGTATTCTGTGGGACGGCATAAGCGACATGACCAAGCTTCTTGCTGCCTTCGAGCAACTTGGCATTGGCAAAGTTGTGCTCAATGTGGTCAGCTGAGACGCCCATACGGTTGCAGACGAAGTCAAGTGAGTTTTGGAATTCAGCGGTTTGGTACCAACCGTAGCCAGTCTTATCGGCCCACTCCTTTCGAATAAGTGCTGGTGTTTGCAATGAAGCAGACCAGTTGATGGTCGAGCCGCCACCGAACGTCGAGCCTGCAAGGACGGTCATGAATCCATCATCGGTAGAGAAGACGCCGTGATTTTCGTACATCTTGTCGGATGCCTCGTGTTCCTTCATGGGGAAGTCTGCTTGCGTGTAGGCATGCGATTTCTCTACTACCAGGACACGCTTACCTGCCTTGGCAAGTGTCGCTGCTGCAACACCGCCGCCTGAACCTGATCCAACAATAAGAACATCTGTGTAAATTTCTGAGGCATTTGGAGCAATGCTCAGGAACTCATATTCTGGCTGCTTGTTGACAACGGGAAGTGTCTTTGTCAAATCGCCACTATCATACCCAACAAACGACATGTCTGAGAATCGGACATAAATGGCGAGAATCAGGGAGATGGTACCTCTTGGCAAGCCACGAATTTTTTGAAGGAAAGAGCCGTAAAAGTTCTTGAGGGTAGACTCTACCTGTTCACGCGACATGTCAGAAATTTTGGTGATGCCATGGGTCATGACGAGCGCACCGAGGTAAGAGTCGAGCATGCTGAGGCCGCCACCCAATTCAAGCTGCTTCTCTCTTGAGAGGTGACATAAGTAATCTCGCAAAGCGGTTGTACGCCCTGCCGTTGTTAGTAATGCACGATACAGAAGGGAAAGTAGATGGATACGTACGAGAGTCATCAGAGAACTTTGACTTTGCGAATGCACGGCAGGCTTCAATGTCCTTGACGACGGCGGAACTGCGTGATTCCGTCAGCACATATTGCATCTCCTCCTCAGAGAGGTCTGCAACAACGGCATCAGCGATGATGAGTAGGATCTTGAACTGTGCCGGTGTGAGAGGGTCTTCTGGCTGTTCCATCTGTGCTTGATGGATGTAGATGAGGGAGCAGGTGTAGACAAGTAGACAAGGGCTGTTTCAGTTGTCCCCTTTCCCTTTGGCAGCTGTCGCTTGTCGGTCGCCTTCCTTCCCCGCAAACAGATCTCGACTTCGAGGTAGGAGGGAGCCGAGACAGTCACATATCACTTGTGCGTACCACAGTAGATGTCATCAGATTGAGAAGCACAAGCATGGTCAAGTGTCCTGAGGCTCATTTACCAAGACACTGCCCTCTGGACCTGGATTAAGTATACTGTTTCTCTCCAGGGTTAGGCTGATTATGTCATGCGCCACATCGAAGTCAACAGCGAGGAAGCAGCTACACCACCTGAGCATATCTGATCAAGGCCAGCGACAGCCAGCGCAGCAGCAAGAGAAGCAGGGCTTTCGAGCTCACCAGCACCCACCGTACCATGTCTTCCGCCAATAAGCTCGCCTCCCTGGACTCCTCTGTCGCCTCCTTCCAATTGAATAACAACGGCGGCGCGTCTTTTCAGAAGCAACAAGCGGCCCTTCACGGCGGAAGCAAAGGCAGTCATCCTTCTCGCGCCCATCAGCAGCAGCATGCCTCTGGCCAATCATCCAGCAAGCCGCGCAACACGCATAAGCATCATCGCAAGCCAGAGTCTTCCCTCAACCACCTCCTCAACTTCTCCTATACGCGCCCGTCGCATCAAGACCGACTGCCCGTACGCAGACAAGCGCGATCGACGCCGAGCTTTGGGATTGGCTCCGGCTACCATCCAGACGACAAAGCGCACTTCGTCAATGCGAATTACAGATTCGTGGTGCACCCGGCTGGTGACTATCGCGCCAATTTAGCACAGCCGGATCTGCCTGTTCCTTGGGAGAATGTCCTTCAGGTACTTGCTTCTGCACAGACGCAATGTAGCGCGTGTCCCATCTGCCTTGAAGCAGTCCCGATTGCACCGCGCATGTCGAAGTGCGGTCATGCATTTTGCTTGCCATGCATTTTGCGCTACCTTGACTCAGAAGACATCAAAACGGGCAAGACGAGCAGTAAATGGCGGAAGTGTCCAATTTGCTTCGATGGCATCTATGCAAAAGACTTGCGGCCCGTCAAGTGGTTCTTTGGGGAGGAGCCGGTCCCCAGTACTGGTGCGGAAATCACACTGAGGCTCTTCAAGCGCTCCTCTGGCTCACCACATGCGCTGCCGAGAGAATCAGGGACGATTGCTGAAGAATCAGTTCCTTGGCACAATCAGAGCGAAGCCCTTGATTATGCTCGACTTGTCAGAGCAGATGCCACTTACCTCACGCAAGAACGGGAGCGCGAAGTGGATGCTCTCTACAAGATGCGTATTGAAGATGCAGCTGCCTTTGGCGATGACGGTCAATGGATTGATACGGCACTTGACAAGATTGACGACTTGGCAACGCTCTTCGCAGATCTTGGCATAGCGGCACCAATGCCTACAGAGGGGCAAAAGGCAAATGTTGTGCGTGCACCCATTGCCTATGAAATGTCCGCTGATGCGCCAACGGCCTACTTTGCAGCAACGGCGCCGGTCGCTGTACCGCAACCTGCGCAAAGACAACCAGAACGCACACGCCACCAACCTTCTCCACCATCCTCACGCGCGCCTCGTTCTCGTAAGGGACAGGCGGATAATTCTCAAGAGACCCCGGATGCCTACTACTTTTACCAACCGAGAACAGGCGCACACGCGTATCTTGCAAGTCTCGATATTCGCTTATTGAAGCGCGCCTTTCAAGACTTTGAACATTTCCCAGCTGAGTTGATGGCGCGTGTAGAACATGTCACGACTGTCAAGATTGATGCTGATTTGCGTCGTCGAACAAAATACCTCTCACATCTACCACTTGGTTGTGAAGTGACATTTTTGGAGTGCGATTGGCAGGCACGTCTGCCTGCTGGTGTTTTGGAGCCCTTCAAAGTTGAATTGGACCGGCGCAGGAAGAAGCGAAATGATAAAGCCATCTCTGAAGAATATGCTCGACAGCGTGCTCAGAAGCAAGAAGACCGACGACAGCGTATGGCGTTGCATTCAGGTGGTCGCGCTTCATGGCTACAAGACAGTGCCGCAACAGAGGATGTATTTGACTTTGACGATGACTCGTCTTACTTTGCACGCAACGATACCAACACTTATGATGTGTTGCATCAGGCAGAGACTGCGTCGTCGCCGACGAGTGGACATGAGGTTCCGCGCTCCACAACAGTCTGGGGTACCACCGCTCCTGCACCGCTGGAATTATCTTCTCTCGAGCAAAACAATGATGGCTGGCAAGAACAAATTGCAAAGTTTGAGGAGGAAGCTACTGCATCTGCTGCAACGGAGGTCGGGAGTCCAGAAGATGGGAAGAAGGCACGGCCTATCAAAAAGCAAAAACCGAAAAAGCTCGTGCTGATGAGCACTGCGGGCGCCAGGCGCGTCTAATGATTCGTTCTTTATTCTGTTGACAGTAGACCCCCGTCATACAAGCGGTTCGTACGTATACTCTATCGAGAACAAGACATTGCCATCACAATTCACCTCAATGACGCCGTCTTCGTCTGTGACGCGGTTGTTGGTACTGATGAGTCCACCGGGCGCCAAGCTCATCGGCTGCGAGCCATCCATGCACCACTCAAGACCTCTGGAAACCGTCTTGACTGGCATGCTGCTGTACGGAAATAGTCCACAGTGAGGACCAAGACGCATTCTGGATACTTGTCCGTCTCTGGTGGAAATGCGATGACGACCAGGACGCAGCATCATGACAATATTCCCTTCATCGACCACGACAACTTCCAACTTTGAAAGCGATTCATCTGTCAGTGCTTGAAGTGTCGATAGCGTTTGATCTAGCCTGCCGCTCAAGCCGCCCAAGACAATTGTCTTCCGGTTCATTCCTTGACTAGCAGAAGCCTGAAGCCATCGCAGTGCTTTTGTAAAGTCTGTCGAATTTTGGTCATCAACCTCCACAACCTCGCATCCCTCATAAGTCTCATAAAAGTCTCGCGTCTCGCGCAGTATAGAGTCGAGGTCGCCTATGACAAGATCCGGGTGATGCTGAAAACAATTTGCCCAATCACGGTGGGACGAGGTGTTTGAAGGACAAAACAAGCGGTATAGACGGTCAGCTGCACCATCTGTGCAAATACGTGCCCCGGGTTGACCAGATGTCCAGACGTCCTCAGCACATGCTGGCAAATCACTGTTCAACATGATCATATCATAGCTGGGCATCAACTGATGTGGAAAGCCCAGGGCGCACAAATCATAGTGTTGCGTAGACGTCGTAATCTCCTCGTGGATCGACGTATGCGTTTGTACGAGTGACTTTTGCCGAGGTCCATCAGGATGGTCAAAATCGAGCCTAGCGAAAGTCGCGTATCAGCAGTATTCAGCAAAGCAGATGCCATTACCCTAGAGGTTGGCATCCACGAGAATCTTGACGGACAATTGCGCATAAGACTTGAAGAAACTGCTGAAGAGCTTGACGAGTTGGTCCACTAGTTGTTAGATGAGTCACGCAAACGGAAACATACCATCGTGTGTGCCACCTGTTTCGCGAATACTGTGCATGCTCAATTGAGGGTTGCCAAGGTCAATGGTCCGAATTCCCAGCTTGCCAGCAAGCATAGGGCCAATGGTACTGCCGCAGGGTCCGTCCTGTCGAACAACAAACAGTTGCAGCTTGACCTTTTCCAATTCTGCAATCTTTTGCATGAGCACGATTCCTGGTGCATTGGTCATGTATCGCTGGTTAGCATTCACTTTGAGCACAACACCTTCATTCAGCTTAGGCTTGTGCTCAGACTCGTAAGCGCCGATATAGTTTGGGTTGACGGCGTGAGCCATATCTGCAGACACGAGAAATGATTTAGCGCAACACTGCTCCATGGCTGTCAAGTTGTCGCTGCTTGCATTGAGCCTCTGCAAGACCGTTGGTAGGAAGTTGGAGTCTGCGCCTTGAGCAGAAAGCGAACCAACCTCTTCATGGTCGAAGCATGAGATGATGCGCGCAGACTCATCGCCTTCGAGTGCAGCAGAGTTTTCGAGTGAAGCAATCAGCCCTGCGACAGATGCAAATGTGCATCCCAGGTTGTCCAAGCGAGGCGAAAAGATGAGCTCGTCATTGAGCCCACCAAGACAGGATGGCTGTGTGTCGTAAAGAACCAGCTCAAAGTCATGAATTTGTTTGGCATCCTTGAGATGAAGCTCTGATGCCAATAGAGCAATCAAAGCAGGATGATGCCTGGTAGACATGTCTTGCAACGACGCGCCTGAATCTGTGCTCGTCGGCGCATTCATCTGTGCAGCGATGGTGCCCAGAATTGGCGTTAGATGCGTCTCCTTGTTGATCTTGAACGGGTCTCCTCGAGCAGCATCAAGATGAGGCGCCAAGTTGGGGATGCGCAGTAGAGGCTTCTCCACCTTGACAAGCCGCTGAGCAAAGGTGCCGTCTGCCTCTTCCACCATGACACGTCCGGCCAGGGACAAGTCGCGGTCAAACCAGGTGTGCCAAATTCCACCACCATAGGTTTCAATACCACACTGTAGATAGCCCTCAGCAGTTTGCTTTGAGACTGGCTTGAGCCGCAAACAAGGACTATCTGTGTGAGCGCCAACGATCGCGGCAGGATTTCCTGGCTTCCACTTGGAACCTAGTCCAAATGCAACAATGGAACTTCCATTACGAGTGACAAAGTACTTTCCACCTGGCTTTGTTGTCCAGGCTGATGCCTCTGAGAGCTGTTGGAAGCCTGCTTTTGTGAGCATCGACTTGGCCATGGCCACAGCATGGTACGGGGTCTTCAGTCAGTACGGCAGCATGCGAACAGGAACATACGGGCGACGCATTGAGAAAGCTGATGAACTCATGCACGAGCGAGCTGGGACTGGACATGGGTGCGTGGTATCCTATGGAACTGGATGGTCGTCGTCGTCGTTGTCGTCGTCAAATTTGGCTGCGAACAATTTGCGACGCGACCAGACCATGCAACAAATAGTCTGACTTGCCAGAGACGATGGTCAAGAAGGAACGCCGCGAGTCGATACCGGCCGCAGCACCTCCTGACAAGAAGGCCGCTCGCAAGCAGGTACCCGGCAAAGAGGCCTCGGAGCCGCTCAAGATGCGCAAACCCAAATACGTGCCTGCTCCGTCAGATTTCGACCCGTTGCTGGCTCAAATATACAGAGGCAAGGCCCTTACGGACTCCATTGCTACAGCGGAAGACAAGTGGCATCTTTTGCCGGCTTTCCTCAAAGTAAAAGGTCTCGTCAAGCAACATATTGATTCCTTCAACTACTTTGTCGACGTCGACCTTAAGAAGATTGTCAAGGCCAATGAGCGCGTTACGTCTGATGTCGAGCCTCGTTTCTACCTCAAGTACACCAACATTTGGGTCGATACGCCGAAGCGTCTGGAACCAGAAAGCATGGAACGCTCCATAACGCCGCATGAATGCCGACTGAGAGACTTGTCGTATTCTGCAACAATTTTTGTCGATATTGAATACACTCGAGACAACCAAGTGGTACGGCGGAAAGGCGTATCAATTGGCCGAATGCCCATCATGCTGCGGTCCAAAAAGTGCATCTTGACGGATAAGACGGAAGCTCAGATGGCGGAGATGCTCGAGTGCCCACTGGATCCTGGGGGCTACTTTGTTGTCAAGGGCACAGAAAAGGTCATTCTAGTGCAAGAACAATTGTCCAAAAACCGAATTATTGTTGAAGACTACAAGGGTATCGTGCAAGCATCCGTCACATCCTCGACGCACGAGCGCAAATCCAAATCCTATGTCCTCACGAAGAAGGGCAAAATCTATCTCAAGCACAATTCTATCGCTGAAGACATTCCCATTGTACTGGCGCTCAAGGCAATGGGCCTTGTTGCCGACAAGGAGATCTTTGAACTTGTCTGTGGACACGATGAAGTCTACCAAGACTTATTTGCCGTCAACCTTGAAGAATGCGCGAAGCTTGGCATTTATACACAGAACCAAGCGCTCGAGTACATTGGCTCCAAATGCCGGATGAGCCGGCAAAAGTCGCCGACCAATGGGCCGCGTCGCGCTCCTCACGAGGAAGCCATTGAAGTGCTTGCCAATATTGTTTTGGCACACGTCCCTGTTCACAATCTAGACTTCCGCCCCAAAATCGTCTATTTTGCCATGATGGCGCGACGTGTATTGATGGCCATGGCAAATCCAAAGATGGTCGATGACAGGGACTATGTTGGCAACAAGCGTCTCGAGCTGGCTGGCCAGCTTCTTTCTCTGCTGTTTGAGGATCTCTTTAAGACCTTCAACTCCCAATTCAAGGTCAACATTGACAAGGTGCTTAAAAAGCCTAACCGGACGCAAGCATTCGATGCCTTCAACCAGTTCAACATTCACAGCGACCACATCACAACCGGCATGATTCGAGCATTGTCCACTGGTAATTGGTCACTCAAGCGATTCAAAATGGAGCGGGCGGGTGTAACGCATGTCCTTTCACGGCTCAGTTACATTTCTGCACTCGGTATGATGACACGCATCTCTTCGCAATTTGAAAAGACACGCAAAGTGTCTGGGCCAAGAGCATTACAGCCTTCTCAGTTTGGTATGCTGTGCACTAGCGACACGCCAGAAGGTGAGGCGTGTGGTCTGGTCAAGAATCTTGCTCTCATGACGCACATCACCACTGATGTCGAGGAACAGCCCCTCATCCGCCTCATCTACTGCCTGAATGCCGAGAATGTCACCTTCTTTTCTGGCAACGAGCTCTATTCTGGCCTGAACCACGTTATTTATGTCAACGGTACACCGCTTGGCCTTACGCGCAACCACTTTGACTTTGTCAATAACTTTCGTCGACTGAGGCGAGCAGGCAAGATTTCAGAGTTTGTCAGTATTCATACAAACGACCACCACCGAGCTATCCACATTGCTGGAGATGGAGGACGAATCTGTCGGCCATTGCTTATCGTGGAACAAGGCCGAGCGCGAGTCACTGCCAAGCACTTGCGGCTCCTCAAAAGTGGTAAGCTGACATTTGAAGACTTTTTGAAGCGCGGCTTGGTGGAATACCTGGATGTCAATGAAGAGAATGATTCGTTTATTGCCATTCACGAACACGAAATCTTGCCTGAAACGACGCATCTCGAGATTGAGCCATTCACAATTCTTGGTGCCGTAGCAGGCCTGATTCCATATCCGCATCACAACCAGTCCCCGCGAAACACGTATCAGTGTGCTATGGGCAAGCAAGCGATTGGAGCAATTGGATACAACCAGCTCAATAGGATCGATACGCTGCTCTATCTCATGGTCTACCCTCAACAGCCACTCGTCAAGACCAAAACGATTGAGCTGATTGGCTACGACAAGTTGCCTGCCGGTCAGAATGCAACGGTTGCCGTCATGTCTTACTCTGGCTACGACATTGAGGATGCGCTCGTCTTGAATAAGGCAAGTATTGACCGTGGCTTTGGCCGATGTCAGGTATTCCGCAAGAGTATTGCTGTCATCAAGAAGTACCCCAACGGAACCTACGAGCGGCTGGGCGACCCAACCAATGACGAGGATGGCAAGCGCATCTGGAAGCACGCTGTCCTGGATAATGATGGTGCTGCAGTGGTGGGTGCACGCATCGAATCCGGTCAAGTCTTCCTCAATAAGCAGACGCCAGTCAATGCTGCCGACAATTCGATTGCCCTGACGCAGCCAGCGAGCTCGCAGTACAAGGCGACCCCAGCAACGTATAAATCCGGCGAAGCTGGTTACATCGACAAGGTCATGCTATCGGCCACTGAATCGGATCAAACGCTCATCAAGGTGCTTATTCGTCAAACACGTCGACCAGAACTCGGCGACAAGTTTAGTTCTCGTCATGGGCAAAAGGGTGTTTGTGGGTTGATCGTCCAGCAGGAAGACATGCCTTTCAATGACGAGGGTATCAATCCCGATATCATCATGAACCCGCACGGATTTCCGTCTCGAATGACTGTTGGCAAGATGATCGAGTTGCTTGCCGGCAAGGCAGGTGTGCTTTCAGGCAAGTTGCAATACGGTACTGCTTTTGGTGGAAGTAAGGTAGACGACATGTCGCGCATTCTCATTGAGAAAGGATTCAGCTACAGTGGTAAGGACACCATGACGTCTGGCATCACTGGTGAACCCCTGCAAGCATACATCTTCTTCGGGCCAATTTACTATCAGAAGCTCAAGCACATGGTTCTCGACAAAATGCATGCCCGTGCAAAAGGCCCACGCGCTGTGCTGACGCGGCAACCCACTGAGGGACGTTCACGCGATGGTGGATTGCGACTTGGTGAAATGGAGCGAGATTGTTTGATTGCGTATGGCGCATCACAACTCCTGTTAGAACGTCTCATGCTCAGTTCCGATGCGTTTGAGGTGGATATCTGCCAAGAGTGCGGGTTGATGGGTTACAATGGCTGGTGCACACACTGTGAGTCTGCCAAGGCTTGTGTCAAGGTGACGATTCCGTATGCTGCAAAGCTGCTGTTCCAAGAACTCATCAGCATGAATGTCGTTCCTCGGCTCGTTATGGAAGACGAATTTTAGTTTACAAGCATCATGTAGCGTGCATTGTTGAATGATCTAAATGGGTGCGTGTGGAATTGAACGTGTCGCTTGTCGTGTTGGGCGTGTCAGGCAGCGGTTGAGTCTGCTCTGATGGAGGGCCAGAGTCTTTGGGTATCCATCGCATGACCCAATCTCGAACTTCTTGCACACGTCGAGATTGTGCATCTACCAGCAGTGTCGGTTGTAAGCGACGATCTTGTTTGCTGATGGCATCGACGCGATATAGAATTGAGATGCGAGACTTGAATCGCCGCGTCTTTGCCTGGATCCTGCCCCTGAAGTCACTGAGGGAAATGTCTTGGAAGAGAAGCACGTCTCTAACACGACACTCTTGGGCGATAGACAGAGCATATACTCCCCAACAAGCAATCTCGAAGCCAGAAGCTGTATGGTCGCCCACCATGAGCCTGACAAAGGGGATCGGCTCCGTGTTAAACTTTGTAATCTTCTGCTCCATTACTGGAGGCGACAAGATTGCAGCCATGAAAGTGTACGCAATGGGAAAGCTCTCATGAATGCCAGGCTCATTCGAGGAAATTGGAGATGCCAGTAAATCTTCAAGATCGAGCACCTTGGCAGGATCAAAGCAATAGTTGACTGGTTGAGTGAGCAGAAAAGAAGTCAAGTTGGACGCAACGGAAGCATTCTCCTGTCCAAAAGTAGCATCTTGAGCAGCTCCTTCGACATCATTGAGTGGTACAAGATATGAATCATCAGCTGCAGGCTCTAAATCTTCCTCTGCTTGACTAGGCAGTTGCCGCCAAGCAGTCAAATTTGGCCGTTGTGATAGAGGGGCCCAGTCATTATCAATATAGCTCTCCTTCCAAGTTTCTTCCAACTTCTTTTGACTGGGCGCACCGAGGAACACGATGCTCCGCATGCCACATGTGGTAGCGTAGGACCGGGCTGCATGTCGAGTTGTTCAGGAGGCAGGCATTCAGATGCCACAGAAAGAGGCGAAAAGCGTTGAACAGGTATGCTATATTTTGCGAATGGGACTCGCCTGGACACATCAGGAGCCTGCAGAATACTGCTCGAGATTGATGCAATGCTATATGCTATAAAATTATTATCATAAAACGGCGTCGTATGCGCGCTTCCAAATAGACTTCTTCTCTGGTTCTGGCCTAAGCTGGATATCAAGGTCCATGCGCCCCGTGACCAGATCCACTTTGTTCAAGGGAATGATGCTCGTCTTACGCCACAACTTGTAGCCCAAGTACAAGGCTGCAAAAATGACAATACCGATGTAGGAGGTGATGAAGTTGGTTGCGCTCCAGTTGCCGCTCAGGAAGACCCAGAAGCCATTGAAGAGAGTGATGACAGATGTAACAATCATACCTATCCAAGCTGCGTATGGCTGGAAGGGTGCCTTGTATGGCAATGTATTCCTGTCTAGGCCTTGTGCTTTGCATGCGTAAAAGAAGCGCAAGTAAGAGACGCAGATGAAACACCAAGTGAGCAAGACTGCCACTGTACTCAAGCTGACAAGCCAGTTGAAGACCACAGTTGCACTCGCAGAAAGGTTGAGATATGCGAGGAGCCCGACGCTTGCAGTGACAAGCACGCAATTGATAGGGAGGCCGCGCTTGGTGACTTTTGTAAGGAAGCGAGGCGTCATGGCTGGGGACTGGAGGGCTAATGCGTAAAGTGTTCGACTTGCAGCATACAAGTCGCTGTTTGCTGCAGAGAGGACTGCTACCAGAATGACTGCATTGATGATATGCGGCAGTACTGGTATCTTGGCGTTGTTGATGAAGATGACAAAGGGCGATGCAGCGGCAGTGGCTGCTTCGTGACTTGCTGCAGCCAACTGTGGGCTCTTGTAGGGCACAAGCATGCTAATCACAAAGATGGACCCGATGTAGAGAAAGACAAGTCTGAACAAGACTCGCTTGAGCGCCTTGGGGATGTTCTTGCGAGGATTCTGGGCTTCACCGGCAGTAACACTCACGAGCTCTGATCCTGAGAAGCTGAAGGCACCATTGATGAAGGTGGACCAAAATGCCAAGAAACGACCGAGTGAGCCGGGGATATTGTTGTACTGCGCAAAGAGCCCTTGTTCCCAGTATCGAAAGCCAATACGATCCTTGGTCGGTCCTCCGCCAAGAATGAGGACTATACCGAGAGTGATCAGGCCAAGCAGGGCAATGACCTTGATGCCCGACAAGATGAACTCTGATTCACCAAACCAGCGCGTGCCCAAAAGATTGACGCTGAGCATAAGGATGTAAAAGACTGTGATGTAGACAACAATGGGTGTTTTCGTATCCCAATAGCTGACGATGATTCCGGCAGCGACGACCTCAAGTCCTTGTGCAACAGCCCAGCACCACCAATAATTAAAGCCTTGACTGAAGCCAAGAGCAGGGTCGACGAACCGCGCTGCGTAGTGAGTAAAGGCACCAGATACTGGGAAAAGGGTGGTCATTTCACAGAGGGAGATGATGACGCAGTAAACGACCAGGGCGACGATGAAGTAGCCGAGCAGACAGCCCAGTGGCCCGCCATTTTGTAGAGCAGTCCCAGATCCGACTATATATTAGTAAACTCGCCAAGCAGGCAGGCGACATACTGAAAAGACCTGTACCGATCGTTCCGCCTAGAGCAAGCATTTGGACATGACGGCCCTTCAAATCTCTTCGGACTTGGTAGCCAGGTTTTGCGATTGGAGATACATTGTCTGAGGTCTCTGAAGCATGAACAGAGTTGACGTCTGCAGCAGCAGAGATTTTCGTAGCTTGGAACTTTTCCTGGGAATGTTCAGCCATGCTAGCTAAGGAGCGTGTGTATTCAAGCTAGAGCGACAGTCTTTAGAGGTCTTGTGTGGGTCGAGCTTATACAGTGTGCAGGAAACGGGTTGGTCTAAGGCAGGCCCGGGCAGAGAAGATATGCAAAGTTCGAACGAGGGATTGCGCAATATGGATGACTTAACACGACAGTGATGAGTCTTTACCACATCTTCCGGCGAATTGCCTATAGCAGACGCTGCAGAGGCTCGCGAGTCGCGACAGTTGCGTGATTTTTTGCTTTTTTTTCTCGCGCCGAAACTTCGGAGATGAAATGACGTGGGATGACGGCCTATCTGAACGTAGCCGCTGGAAATACTTGGCGACGGGGATATATGGACTACTTAGGAAGTCATCTCTTGGTTCCGTCCCAATTACTGAGTATTTCTCTCGTCATTACATGTACAATTCATTACATCTCATACTTGCAGAGCTCCTAGGCCCCTGGCACTCGCAGGTAGCGCTCCAAAGACTGTATTCGCCTCCTGACAATGCGTCCTGCCAGCTGCTGTGTTGTCCGCATCGACGATCCAGGACACGAAGCATGCATCCACCAAGACACTCACCAATCCCTCTACACACCCGACGATTGTCCAGCCAATTGTGCCTGCGATCATACCGACCAGGTAGCCATAGAGACTGCTGTTTGTACCGGACCGCCGGGCTGCTTGAATCCACGCTGCCAATCCAAGACCTAGTGCTGTTGTAGCGCGTGCTGCAGACAACACCATCTTTGCTGTCCGATACGGCTGCCAATGCTTGCCTGGTTTGAGTCTTGGCTGAGCATCCATGATTCGTGCTGCTGTCTTGAGATTGACTGAGAAAATAGCCGCATACGTGAGCGTTAGCGGACTCGTCAAATTGACGAGCGGTGCCGAGAGGAACATGTAAGCCGCTAATGTGATCGTACCAGCAATACGTCTAGGGACGACAAGCAACGGCAGGCGTGTCAATAGACTGAACAGCGAGCTCGCGCAGATTGTGCCAAAGGACGCAGAGAGAGCGTGCCAAAGAGCCGCTTCTGTTGCTGCCTTTGGCGGCGTTCGTGGTTGATCATGCCGATGAAAGTACCACTGAGATGTGACTGCACTGATCGAGGCGCGCTGAATACCGCTCACGACGCCAAATGTCCAGAGATAGACCATGATGAAGTATGCTCCCAATGGCCAGGAATCACCTTGCAGTATCCACATACGATGGCCAGAAATGCCAGTCATGGTGCCGCGCAAAAACAAGCGCTCAAATTGTAAGATCCAAATGAATGTAAAGGCGAGGAACAGATACAATGTGCTGAAGCTGATGACCAGCAGGTACATATTTTGCTCGAGTATGCTGAATGCAAGTTTGATGATGCCAATAGCACGGCCAATGGCTGAGCGACGCGAGTAGACAGTATAGAGCCAGAGTCCGGCGAAACCTGCAGTGAGTAGACTGGACCACCGCATTGCGTGTGCTTGCATTTCATAGCCACCATAGTCGCCTTTGTATGACCAGACCAGGACATAGATGGCGAACGTAGTGAGGACAACAGGCACTGCCACAACAAGAAGCTGTAACAACGGCTTGACAAACGTGCGCATGGTCAATAGCCACAGCAACGAGACAGCTAGCGCGATGACTGTGTCCTTGATGATTGTACCCATGCCGCTCGTCAGCGCAGAATAGACTGTATCGCCCATTGGCGCAGTCGGCACATCTGTACGCAGATAGATGAAGAGACTTGAAGTGAACAGCGACGAAATCGCAAGCATGTAGAGTACTGCATATGCTGCGTCATGCTTGAGTAGCGAGTCTGAATGACTTATTGGAGCGGGAATGATAGACTTCTCCACGCTTGCCACCGAATCTTGTACTGATAAGCCTTGAACTGGGCCAGCAGATTCATCCAGTGGCACGCCGAATAGTACATCTTCTGACGCAACGCTGTGATTGCTTTCTCCATCTTCACTCTGGCGAAAGAAGGTAGCGCTTGGTTCGTCGTGCTCTTCATAGAACTCCTCTTCTGGCACCGGACTAGAAAGGATGTCTGGCGGCGCAGGTCTGGGAGGCGGCTGCCAACTGCTGCGCATCGCTTCGTGGTCGTCATGATCATACTCATCTGGATCCTCGTCACTATCAACTTGAGCAAATGCGCCGAATCGTCCTCGCGATGCGCGCAGCGCCATGGATTCGCGAATGTCCTCGCTGTGGTCTTGTGTTGAGTAGAATAGAGGCGCTTGCCGACGGGTCGTGAGCCGCGACGTCGATTGCTGTATCAGCCGCGATGTATCTATAGTCAGCGACTGCTCCTACATCATCTGAGCATCCATACACTCTGAAAACATGCCTGCGCCGTGTTGGTGTCAGTTTGTGATGACTTGTCGCGAGCAGATTGCGGGACCGACTCGAACCACATGTCAACGAGCCTGACAGTGCTGGCCTTTGCTCTCTTGTTTGCTACAGGCTACTTGCTCGGCCTTGTTACGCAAGATACATCCTATCCACTCTATCTGACGGCAAGGACTGCTCTTGACCGGATTTTGGCTTCGCGTATACCGCAACAGCTTGCTCTCAGTCTGGCTACCTTGTCTACTGCCTTCGCGCTCGTACTGCTGGTTGCTGATAAGCTTGCTACTCTAGAGTGTAAGGAAGAGCCATACAAGTCTTACATTGGAGCACGCGAGAACCTCCGGCGACGAGGGAGCTTCTGATGCGCAAATCGGCCAAGACACTCAAAATCTTCTGGCCGTCTGATTTGCTAGACACACATGACCCTGCATTGATACTTGGCTGGCGCAATGGCGATAATGACCTCTTTGTAGTAGATCTCGTCTCCAATGTCTATCGCCCTGGCCTCGAGAGACCAGTCGACATGGCATCGCTCGTCACCAAATACCCGTTCAGTCGCTTTTCGCGGTTTTGTGGCAATCAACCACTCTCTGTCTTGGGTCAGCTGGGCCACTCAGACAATGCTCACGACGAGCATGTCCTTCACTGTCTCATTGACCAAAATAGCATCTACCCTCGCTTCATCATTAGTCCTGGTGAACGCGGCGTACAGCTGTATATCTTTGATCGACCAGATCCACACAGAATGCAATACTTTTCAATGCTGCCCGTGCCATTTGAGCGGACTGAACATCAAGATCCTGATAATGCCTGGTCTTGTATGGCGTCCAAGGCGCACGAACACAGCCTAGCCCAGCTACACATCAACCAGATGAATTGTGCACGGGAAGTAGCCGCCGTGTTGCAGCAAAATTTACCAATTCTAGGATCACGGCGATACAGGAATCGAGCGCAGTCGTTTCATGAAGTGTTCAAAGAAGGTGCCAAGACTGCGTGGACTTCTGCACGCGCCGTATCTGTAGATGCTTACTCGACCGTGTACGAGACACTGGCTCCAAGTATCAGTCTCGCTTGCCAAACACTGATGCACGCAGAGATATGCACGCTTCAAAGCCTCTCGCACTGTCTCAACTCTGCTCCTCTAGGATCTGGGACATCGCCTCGAGATATCTCGGTTGCTGCTCGTGAGCTGGATTACCGGATACAAAAGATTTTGAGCTGGCCAGCAGAGTACAGAACTTTGAGGGCGCGCAAGCGCGATTGGGCTAGCATCACCTCTTACCATCCAGACTACATTCGCTTCTACAATGGCATGTGGTTGTTGGCCAACGATCTCATCTTCGGGGTCTACATTGCATCGATCTGCTTGAACAATCAAGACTACATTGCAGAGTATGTCTACACACTAGTAGACTCTTATTCAATTGAGACCAGCGGAAGGATGATGTACTGGCTCAAGAGCTGGCCTGCCGGTCTCAAGCTCAACAATGAGCTAGCCAGCTTTTTCGGAGACTTGTTTCTATGGCTGATTGGATCGTGGCATCAAATTCTCAAAGCAATTCGGCCGTTTCTACCTTTAGCAGTCCAATTCATTGGCATGAGTGGATTTTTGGGTGCATCCATCAGCGTGAGTCTTATCTCTGATGCATTCGGCCTCTTGACACTTCACCTCTACGTCTTTTACCTGACGGCGGCACGCATCTATGACCTGCAAGTCACAGTTTTACTGTCGCTCTTTCATCTCTTTCGCGGCAAGAAGCGGAATGTACTGCGACATCGTATCGATTCTTGTGATTATGATCTGGACCAGCTGCTGCTTGGTACAATCATGTTTACGCTGCTTGCCTTTTTATTTCCAACGGTGCTGGTCTACTATCTCACGTTTGCAGCGTCGCGCATTGCCATCAGGATTGGCAAGACAGGACTCGACATGGTGTTGGCTTTTCTCGTGCAATTCCCTTTGTTTGCGTGCCTATTACGTATCAAGGATGCTCGCAGACTGCCAGGTGGTATCCATGTCACACTGCTAGGCCAGCAGAGCGATGCACAAGTCTCACATCTGCTCATTGAGTCCAAGCCACTGCCGTTCGACTTGATCTTTCAGCCTCTTGTCACTCGGCAATCGCGCATCATGGGTTCGACACTTCAGCTCAAGAATCTGCTTGTTGCGACGATGAAGGGCAAGCTGTAGCTAGTCTGCTTTCTTCGGTAGCGTCATGTATCTCTAGCCAGGATATACGTTATTGCAATCTGTTTGATGCGCCCGGATCCTCTGAATGCGCCTGATCCTTGTCTTGATCTCTGATATGCTCCCATCTGAAAAGCGTAAGACGCGACAGGCACTGCACGCCACATGCGACAGAGCAGATAGACCTTCCTTTGCTTGCAAGCATGAGCCTGAAGCGACGGCGCTCATCCCCTTCTCTCTCTGATCGCGACTCGTCAAGAACATGCGACTGTAAACGCCAAAGACACACAAACACCTCACTTTCTTCCTTCTCCGACGAACTACTTTTGCAGATCTTTAGCTTCCTGGACGCTCCAAGCGTTGCGCAGGTAGATCTAGTCTCGCGTCGATTCAAGCAATTATCAAGAGATGAAGTCCTTTGGCGGGTCTTGTACGCGCGTGATTATGCTAGGACGTCAAGAAGACGAACAGGCAAAGCGGGCGTCAGTGCAGATGGGTCAACGTGCGAGACAGACAAGAAAAGACCTTCACAACGAGAGTTGGGCTTTGTAAGTAAGGAAGATCGGCTGGCAGAGAGTAAGACCTGGCGCAAGCGTTACCAGATACGCTCAAATTGGCTAAAGGGACGGTATCATGCGGTGCGGTCAGACGATGCAGCCGGCCGTCTTGTCGGATCATGGCGTGTCAAGCTGGTTGAACACAACTTGAGTGTATGTGATCCAGTAGACGGATTGCAAGGCTCACTCTTGCTGTCTGCCGTTCCACTCAAGGTACACGCAGCAGAGGAGAATCACCTCATCTTGCAGTATGCACAGACACTGCAGCTCGTCCAGATTGACAAAGTGATCAATGCTCTGCAGTTCAAGCTACTCAGTTCCGTCGATTGCACAATGGAAGACGATTTCAGCTATGCAAACGGTCACATGGCCACCCTGTCTGCCACTGGTCTCCTATGCACCTACTCTGTCGCTGTAGGCGGAGCTCGTCTCATATCTGCACTCAAAGGGGCCATTGTTGGCAAATCATCTCTCGTTGTACGCAAGCAAGGTCTTCAAACCCTTGTCAGTGTTGCATTCGTTGCGTATGGCGTCTTATCTGACACAGTCACTGTTCAGCAGCTCGTCTTCGAGAACGATCAGCACACTTCTACACGGGTAGCACATGTTGCTGCAACAACCGCTGGAGCCGGCTTCAAAACTGCTGTCCGCAGGTCGGAAGAGGCACTCGCGACACAGAATGGCAGTATCAGCTACATCCATCCATTTCTGCTCGTTGCGCACAGTACTAGCAATTTGATGACTTTGTACAAGGTTCACTCGGTGCCAGGAGAACCCTTGACCTTGTCAAAAGGGCGTGACTTGGTGGGAACCGGAGCAAGCATGTCGAGCTGTGGCGTTGGTCGACACTTGCGCATGGCCCTCGGCCTTGGCAAAGCTGGACTACATGTCTGGGATATTCAGAATGTCTACAGTAAAGCGATTCGTCTGTTGCCACCGGGAGATGGTACGTTGGAATGTGATGCAGAGACTCAGGCGTCAGCACCGCAGAGCACAGAGGATATGGAGATTGTGCACATCTCGGAAGACCGCGTCTTGCTTAGAGAAGCAGGCAGTACCGTGACGTTCGACTTTACGGTTTGAGCGTATGATCTTTAGTTTAGCCTTGAATGGCTTACCGCGAGACGAACCTGCTACGCCTACAAGACGCCTTACTGAGCCACCAGACCGAAGACATCATGCATATCATATGGGCTCTTGGCTAAGGTGCTGTCGGCGTCTGTCGCATTGCCAACTTGTCAACTGCGTTGTTAAAGAAGTCTAGAATTCTTATCCGAGTTTCGCCTGATGTCAACCAATAAATGAAGCACGCCGGCTCTGCACGCCCATCGTCGCTTTGTCGGGTGAATGTACCTGACGCACTTCCTACCAGTCTAGGCGCTTTAAGTCAATGACTCAGTGCTAGACTGCTAGTGCTGGCAGCTGCCGGCTCGCTTGGTCGTGTTTGCGAATCTACGACTGTGTGAGTCTGTGAGACTGTGACTCGGATGACTCACGGCCGTTCCTAGTGCGTGATATCATCTCGTTCTCCCATTGGCTCATCTCTTGATATCTGCTCGTGCAGCTGTCAATTTCGTGTTGCCCAGATTTGGATCTGCGCCAAGTGCGGACGAGCAAAAGCGCACATGCGCAAAGCGTACGCTAGCTTGCTGTCTACAATGGCCCTCCCGCTCTACGCCTATAGGCTCCCGGGGCGCAGGGCTCACGATCAGTGGAGCCGGATGACATCTTCTACAGCTCTCACTGAAGGCTGCATAGCCGCAAAACCCACTTTGAGCACAACCTCGAGCCTTAAACGAGATGCTCGAAAGCACTCTATGTCAATCCTCGTCAATGCTTTATAAACACGAAAGCTGCCCTCTATAACCTTTGTGATACTCGTTCAAACAACCAGCATGGTTCTTTTGTCTTCGGCTGTTGCCCTTGCAACACTTGCTGGGCTTTCGACAGCACAAACTTTCCAACGTCTCGGTGGATGTCCAACATTGGGCTGTATCTTCCCACCTGACCGCGCAGAGTTCTTGCCCGGTGTTGCTTTCGACGTTCGCATCGAGGTACACGCTCCGCAAAACGGTTCAGAGGCCTTCAACGGCGGCCGGCCCGACACCAACTTTACCCTGGCTATTGGCAAAGTTGGCCAAACGCCTGTGCCTGTTCAGCAATTCTTCAACATCAAGCAGAATGCTACACTGGAGCGATGGAGCTTTTCGTGGTTCGAGGATCTCTTTGCCCAGCAAAACAAGTCCGCTTCGCTCGTCAATGTTGCTGCGCGCGCCTACCGTTACGTCTCTATTGCCGAGCCTGGTCAGTATCAGGCTGTATTGACCTACTACAACGGCACTAAGACTGTTGCCAATTGGAGCGTCTTGCCAAAAATGAAGCCAAAGAAGCGCGCAAAGAATGTGATTCTGTTTATTGGTGATGGTATGACTACCAACATGATTACCGCTGCACGTCTCATTGCCTTCAAGAGCATCAACGGCAAGTACGAGCAGAGTGCTGATGGCACCTATGCTTCACCTATGGCTATGGACGGTTTCACTCACTTGGTATGCGAATCTGCCTGTCACAAACACTAACATTCAGGGACACCAAATGACACACTCGCTCGACAGCTTCATTACCGACTCTGCCAACTCAGCTACTGCAATGTACACTGGACACAAGTCAACAGTCAATGCACTTGGTGTGTACCGTGACTCTTCGCCAGATTCCCTCGATGACCCTAAGGTGGAGTCCATTGCTGAGCTGTTCAAGCGAAAGCGCGGCGGCCAGGTCGGTATTGTCTCAACGGCCTTTTTGGCTGATGCAACGCCTGCGGCGCTGACTGCCCACACAAAGGACCGTGGAGACTACCAGTCTGTCATTGAGTCCATGTTGTATGGTGCCAATGTCAATGGTTCCTGGTTCAACTACTCTTCCCCTGATGTCATCTTTGGTGGTGGTGCAGAGAACTTTATGATTGGTGGCTCTGTTAGCAATGCAAGCTTCTACTCCCAGTTCCAGCGTGCTGGCTACAGCATCCTGTACAACCAGACTTCGCTTGCGACTGCCAGCAATACTTCCAAAACGCTCGGTGTCTTCTCAAAGAGCAACATGGCCAAATGGCTCGACAGGAATGTCTACACGTCCAACCTGCGTGGCATGAATTCTAGCCCCAACAACAAGACTGGTGATGCCCTCGACCAGCCCGGTCTTGCCAACATGACTGCCAAGGCTATTGACATTTTGCACGCTCGTGATGAAGCCAATGGCAAGAAGGGATTCTTTTTGATGTCTGAGGCTGCCTCCATTGACAAAGCCATGCATGCGCTTGACTATGACCGTGCATTGGGCGAGCTCCTTGAACTCGACAACAGCATCACAGTGGCTATTGCCAAGCTCAAGAAACTTGGCATCTTGGAAGACACCCTCATCATCACAACTGCCGACCACGGTCACGGGTTTGATGTGTGGGGCAGCGTGGACACCAAGTGGCTGAACGCACAGCCAAATGATGCAAATGGACAACGATTGAAGAGGCAGGCCATTGGCACATATGAACAATCGGGTTTGTCTCAATACCTGTCTGCTGGCCCTGGCGCTGCTCCTGGGTTCCCTAGCCAATGGGATCCTCGTTACACATTGGCACAGGGTGTTGTTGCTCACCCTGACGTGCGCGAAGATTACAGTGTTACCAAGAATGTCACGGGTGTCGGCCTTCGTACACCTGCTCGTGGCGCACCTGCCAATGGATCCGTTTCTGGCTTCGTTGCTGCCGATAAGCCCAATGGAATCTTGATCAACGGCACGCTTCCTATCTCTCAACCACAGGGCGTTCACTCTTTGACAGATGTGCCTGTGTTTGCTAGTGGACCTGGTTCTGAGCTCTTTGGTGGAGTTTACCAGAATACTGCACTGTTCAAGCGTATCGCTTGGTCTTTGGAGTTGGTGTAAAATTGAACTCTATGTATCAAGACTAGCTACTATAAGTCTTCATCATCTAGAAGACAAGTTGCAAACCGGTATTGATTGGCTTCGACTTGCTTGTTTCGTGGCTCTGCCCCTGAAAATTCACGCCGAGCAAGCAGGACGATAGTCTTGTTCTGGGGGCAAGATAGACGAACAATATCTATGAGCTTCGGTGAGCTAAAGACTTGTATCCTTGGCCGCCACCACACATTGTTCTAATACACCATCATTGAACCTCGACGTGACCATTTCCCGATGCTCGCCCAGGCCACGTCCCCAAAATTCAGCAACGGATGTCGAGCGCAATACGGACTCATTTCATCTGACTCTTCGGATGACTCAGATGATGCAGAGGACCGGCACAGACTTGAGATGTGTTTGGACTTTGCCCAGATGATGCTGCTACTTTCGACTTCGATCTACATGATACTGCAAGTCGGGCCACTGCCGCTGATTGCGACGCATACGACAGACTGCGCAAGAAGCTTAAAGCCAATATTTGGAGGCGTCAGGGTAATGGAGACGACGACTCAGGGGGTTGTGCACAGTATACACGAATATACATATTTACCTAGACCTGAAGCTATCGTACAAGCATGGAAGTTCTTCGACTATACACTATTGACGTAGGGATGACTGGCCATTCAATGACTCATGAAGTCATGGTGAGGGATCATTGTAGGATTTGACCGAGCCGGTCTGAGTGGCCGTTGCAGCTCTCTTGCGTGGAGTCATAGTTTCTCTGCGAGGACTTTTTGTTTGCCCGTTTGAAACCTCTTGTAGAAGGAACGACGGCACTCATGGCTTAGATTGCAGGGTAAGTGCGCTGATACGGACGATGGGCTCCGCGTATTGTGCACTGAGGAGAATATCATATCATCGGGCCGATTGACATCATTGTCTGGCAATGATTTGTCGTCGTCGTCATCGTCGTCGTTGGATGGCACCAGCGGCGTTGGAGTGCTCTGACCCCGATTCCCCGGCGTGCTTGGCGCAGCATTCTCTTGAGTCCTGATCGAGGTGGTGGCTTCTGATCCAATTTATCCCTCTGCTTCTAATTGAGCTAGCAATGATTCTTTTGCTTGAAGTTTGTCCTCAGTTTTCTTGATACGCAGCTCAATGTCGGTCAAATGTGCCTGAAAAAGGGCGAGGATTTCCCCAGACTTGGCTCTGTGAACTCTTTCATGCAAGAGAAATGCTCGGCGCGTTGCATGACAAGATTCGTGTTGGCCACGTTGATGGCAAACTCGGCACTCATTTTCGCTTGCATTCTGGCGAAATCGGTCGTGGCGGCCTCCTGCAATGCAGCTTTGTGCGCTGCAACTCTTGCAGCCTTGAACGCTGCAGCTCTTGCAGCCTTCTCAACCTTTGATCGTTTGAGAACGAGTGCGGTGACTTCACCTCGACTGGCTTCGGCGTCGTTATCTCGCTCCGCCCGTTGTCTTTGTCGGTCTGCTTCGAGTCTAGCGATGGACTCCTGGTCCTCGCCCAATCTTCGCCACTTTGGCTGCAGTCGCAGATACTCCCAGCAATAACGCACATCGACTGTCTTCAAAGATCCAGTTTCTTCAAACTTGTTGATGGCAGCACTCATAACATCAAAGTCGTGGGCGCCGCTGACATTTTCCGCCGCTGCTCTTCGGTAATATGGAGCGAATTTCTTAAGTTCGGCTTGAATAAGCATGACTCGGTTTACGACGGCCGAGAATTTGCGTTTCTCCAGAGGAATGCCTGGCTGCCCTTTCTTGGATCCGGTTTTGCGCCTCGTGAACGGGTGGTTCATGAGTCATTCATCGTAAATCTTGCCGAATAGGATCTCTGCCTCCTCGTCTGTGCCGGTGACTGGACTGTGTCTGACCATAGCCGTACATAGAGTAAGGTCTTCACTGCCCGTCCATTGTGGTGCAGAAGGCATGATGCAGTAATGTGCACTGTTCAATGGGCTGCTGGAGATAGTCAGACAGCAGGCCGTGTGCTACGAGGGATGTCTGCTTGCGTGTCTGTGTGCCAGGGGTCTGTTGTTTGTTTGTTGTGTTACCGACGCGACTCGCATCATTCAATGATCATTGGTCGAATCCGCTTACTCATCAGCCCGAGTTCTATATATATGATTCCAGGTCATTTGGAATTCTTCTAGCTCAGTTCTACACTTTGATCTACTTACAGGCTACAGCTGAGCTTCTCAACTTCCTATACTCGACTTGAAGTGACAATCATAGAATCGCTCACAGCTTTGTTGCCTGATGAATATAGCCGCCGTCAATAGCAATCGTCTGACCGTTGATGTACGATCCGGCTCGAGAGCACAAGAAGAGGCATGTACCAGCCATATCCTGTGGCAGTCCCAGCCGGCCCATTGCGTTGTTTGCTGCCTTTTCATCTTTTGTGTCTGCAAGGATGAATTTCCTAAATGTCAGCAGTGTCTCTCGAGCGCCCTTCAAATGGATTCTCACGTCATCTTGCTGGAAGCATGTTAGCAGTGAGTCTGAACAACAGAGTGGGCGTACGATGGAAAGTAACCTGGAGACAACGAGTTGATTGTGATGTGCTTGGCCCCGAGTGGCAAACACAAACTGCGGACCATATGGTGAACAGCTGCCTTGCTAGTATTGTAAGGAATGGTATTGCTATCACAGGCAATGAGACCCATGATGCTGCCAATCGCAATGACTCGTGCAGGGTCGTCCACAGTCGCTGCCTTTTCCAGTAAAGGCATCATTTTCTGAATGGTGAAGAAGACACTCTTGGTATTCAAGTCAGTGACCTTGTCATAAGACTCCTCAGTCTGTTCTATGAGTCCCGCGCCCCAGGCTGCTCCAGCATTGGCGATACAGATGTGCACACCATTAGGCTCACGCTCGGTGATCTTGGCAACGAGTGCTTCAATGTTGGCCACCTTGGAAGCATCGCATGAAATAGCCACCGCTTCGCCGTATGGAGTCAATTCAGCTACTGCTGCATCGCACTGCTTTTGCTTTCGCGAAGAAATGTAAACTTTTGCACCATTGCGGACGAGCGCGTGAGCCATGTTCAAACCAAGTCCTGACGAGCCTCCTGTAATGAGAGCAACCTTGCCCTTGACATTGAACAGGTCAGAGATATTGAAGTTTGAGTAATCGTAGGACATTTTGGTTGGTGTCACTTTGCTCTAGATTTGGTTTTGTCTCCGGGACGAGTGCGGAGAAGGGTGCAGGGGCAACTCGGCCGGGGAAATCATTTGATATTGGCAAGCAAGGTCAAAGGTGCTATGCCAGCACAGCCAATTTGTTCAACTAGCCAGTCTTCAGTTGGCAGGCTTGTACTAGCTGCTTGCTATGATAATGGGCCAATTCATCGTTGTGCATGGGCCAAGGAACTGCGGTCTTGTTCTCACTGGTCAACTATGACGATCATCAAGAGTCTCGGGAGTTCGCCCACCGCCTATATAGGAGGACGCTGCCCGCTCTCCTCTTCCACCATAACAGACTCAATAGTCTAGCATGACCACATAGCTTTCAACAACTCCGGCCATGGGCATAAATTCGTCGTTCGGTATGCGTGCCACCCAGGAGTAGAAGCCTAGATAGATGATCTTGACCCCGGGAGTAACGTATAGCCGCGAGTGACCGTGATATCACTTATCCTGTACACGAGTGTGCAAAGGGTAACGACAACAGAGACGCATTGAAATAGCAGAATCAGTGAGTCGTCCAATAGACAGTCCGTGGGCATTGGCTTAGCGCTGTTACATCTCGTTCCTGGTGAAGAAACTTGACCGACATGTCTCAGATTGTCCAGTCCTAACTCGTCCCGTGTGGGTGGCACCTTGTAAGAACGCCAAGATCATTAACCTGGAGTGATCGTCATAAGTGAACTTCTTGAAGCGAGAAAGCAGCTTGCGCACGAGGAACCGAAGACCACAATGAATCGCTTTGCAAACTGGCGGGAAGGGAAGAGCGTTGAGATATTCGTTCGACAAAGTAACCAATTGATCCACCATTGGCACGGATGAAATCAGGCATCGCGAGATGGTATCCACGATCTGGCGCACGGTACCATCAGCTCCACTTATTCGCTGGCTCATTCAAACATGTCTCCTGCATCAAAGACTTAGGATCCACGTAACGGTCCTATCAAGCAACGCTCATTCATCGCTTCAACAGATAGAAGGCAGAGCTGTAAGGCGCAGGAACAATGCACTGCCAGATCTGGCGTGCTATGGGAAGCTAGTCGTTGAGACCTTGGTCGACTGGCAAGCGTGCCTTCTTGAGTTCACTTACGAGGGCAGCTATTCCTGAGAGCGAGCATCATATTAATGAGTTGTAGAAGCATTGGCGACACCTGGTGTTCACAGCGTCATGAGTAGCTTGGTATGGTCTTGTACGAGTAGCGCTGGTCGCCTGGATGGAGTTCAATATCTCACGCTTCCGACTCCCCGGACCCCGGTACTCCACACTCCGAAGTCGACCATCACTTGGACTTCGCTGTAGTCAATCCAACTTCCACTTCAATCAATCAAGTACTAGGTATGCATCAGCTCTCTGTTGCATCTCCAAGTCGCTGACAGTCAGATATAAGTCAAAATGTCGTACGATTACACCGGCTTCAAAATCGAAGACATCTTCAGTGTCAAGGGTAAGGTTGCTCTTGTGACTGGCGGAAGCAGTGGACTAGGCCTCAACATGGCTCATGCTCTTGTCCGCAATGGCTGCAAGGTCTATGTCTCCTCTCGCAAACAGAAGCAATGCGATGCCGCCGTGAAAGAATTGTCTGCCCATGGCGAGGCAATTGCTATCGCCTGTGATGCGTCCAAGGTTGCCAACATCGAGGCCCTTGTTGCAGAGCTGACGAAGCGTGAACCAAACGGTATTCACATCTGTATCGCCAATGCAGGAGCCACCTGGGGACATGAGTTCGACACGATGCCCGAGGAGGCTTACGACAAAGTCATGAACCTCAATGTGCGATCCGTATTTTACACCATCCAAAAGATGTTACCGCTGCTTGAGAAGGCAGGGACTGCGGCTGACCCAGCTCGTGTCATTGCTACGGGTTCTGTCGCCGGTGTGCGTGTCTCGGGACCTACAGTCACGCCATACTCGACATCCAAAGCTGCCGTCCATCACATGATGCGAAACTTGGCTTTGGCACTCGGACCAAGGCACATCACCTGCAACAGTATCGCTCCTGGCTACTTTCCCAGCAAGATGACGTGAGTTGCCCTTTATTCAGTTCAAGAGACTAATATTCAGTGCTGGGACGCTTTCTGGGCGTGAAGATGAAGTGTCGGCTGGAAACCCGCTTGGTCGACTGGGTTTGCCGCTGGACATTGCGGCAGTTGCTCTTTGGCTCTGTGGACGTGGTGGTCAATACGTCAATGGTGTCACCATTCCTCTTGACGGTGGCGAGAGCCTCGGGGCCGCCAGCAAGATTTGATTTTGTAGTTTATGCTTTGTACGTTGTTTCAGGGGTAAAAGGCCACTCGACAGGTAGAAAGATCAAGTACACGAGTCTTCATGGTGCAAATCAAATGGTTATGCTAAGACGATAAAAGCTAAAACGATGCACGCAGGAGAGCTGGCTACACCACCACTTCAGCCTGCAGATAATACACATGTCATAATGCTGCAATGCAATTTCCGCCATCATCGCCTGGCAGAATAAGAGCCACCGCGCCCGCGTCGCTCATGGAAAGCCTTGATTTGCTCAGGCGTCGTCCCTTCATACCCCATGGCGCGCATTCGTTCAACTGTAAAAGCAACTTTCGCGCCGTACCTACTGCCGCGCATCGACACCATGTGCTTGCGTATATGGTTGCTTGCCGTCTCTCGTTGTGCAGGGGTTCCGTGACTCAGCAAGTACTGCACGAGGTAGTTGCCGTACTGATCCGAGGCAATATCAATCAAAGCCATGCGCGGACGTTGACGGTCACCAGGTTGTGTGATGGCGGTCAGGTAGCGCTCCAGGATGTCTGCATTACCACTCTTGACGGCCTTTTCGAGCACCTTGGAAGCGTACTGATCAACGGAATAGTCGGCCGCTTTTTCCATGATGAATGAAAGCACGCGTTCCTTGTCATCTGGTTGTCCATGCTCAACAATCTGGTGTTAGTCGTGTACCAGAAGTAGCAAGCATACATGTTGAATGACCCAATTACCCCACTGTCCACGGATAATCAAGTCAACGTGCGCAATCACCTCTTCAATGCATGGGCGTCGCTCTTCCTCAATGCAATTCTCAAACACATTCTGCACGACCAGACTACCCGTCTCGCCAAGTGCAACATTGTGCCACCACCCCACAAGCTCCTTGTTGACGATACCCATGATGTCCGGTCGCCCACCGCGCCAGTTGACTTCAAGCAGTTTCTGCCAGACATGACAGGCATGACGGTGCACAATGGTCTCCTTGATTTCTGCAAGCAACTCATGTGCCATGGCCACCTTGTTTTCTTCAGTCACATTGTCAAATGCCTTTTGCACGACATGACAGCCGAATGCATCTTTACTCAAAACGAGAACATTGCCTAGAATGGTCGTGGCAATGCGCGTGCATTGCTCCGCAGTGCCATGCTCAAAACAGCGCTGAATCAAGAAATTGCCAAAGCGATTCAGCATGAGTGCGAAGGCCTGCTCAACAATGGCATCCACAATATCACTCTTGGCTTCAGGACTGCTGATCTTGAGGCGTTGCTGCAAGGAAACCGAAGCTTGCTGATCATCACTGTACACAATACGGTCAACAATCGACGTCCAGTCTGTGCCTTGTGCGTGACGCGAGTCGTAGCTCTCAGCAGGACCTTCCGAGCTTGGTGACGGAGGTGACCAGATGACGGATTCGTTGAGTGTAGGCGTATTGCTCGTACCAGGCTACCGTCAGCACATGCATCTCTTGCAGATACTTACGAAAAAGGTGAGATGCTCATAGCGAGGGGTAGGAGGTTTCTTGATCTTGTTGCCAGAGTCAGACGACTGACGCGACATGCCAGCTTTGCGCGGTTTGGGCATGGCAAAGGCAGCTGCGTTGGCCTGCATGGCAGAGCCACCACTTGCAGTCGTACTCACAGACACTGTTCGCTCAAGAGGCGCACGCATGAACGCAGAAGCTGCACCTGGTTCAGCAGGCGATGGCAGCGGTGTAGCAATACGCAAGGCATTTTCCAGCTTCGGAAACGGCACATCGCCACGCACCTCCTCCTTGGACGACTCATCAGATGCCATGTCAAACTGTGCAAAGTCAACCTCAGAGAAGGACTCATCGTGGTCGGCACACTGTGCCAGCTCAAGCTTGAGTTGCTTGACTTCCATCTTCATGAGCTCCAAGCACGATAGGGACGCATCTAGACGCTGAGAGAGCTCCTTGACTTGTTCATCTGTGTTTGTAGTCGTTGGCTGAGCGCTGCGTTCCATACGTGCACGCGTAGCAGCTGCAATCGACTCGAGGACTTGTCGTTGCACAGTACGGTCTGTAGCTGATTCTGCGGCTGTAGCAGCGAGAACAGCGTGTTTGTCGCGAAGGAGCAAGTCCACCTGCTTGCTGAGCTGTTCCATGCGCTGCAAGAGGAGTGCAGGATCAATGGGAGTCTGTGGTCAGTCATGAGGCATGTAGCATGTTGCGCACCTCAAGACTTGGCACAGTAACGCGTGGCAAGACATAGTCGTCCTTGGGAAACTCTGTAGGTGTTGGCGTCTGCGAGTCAGCGAGTGGAGCGCAGCATGAAGACAGACTCGCTGGGTGAGGTTGAGGCTGCGCTCCTGCCAGATCTGAGTGAGCCGTGAGGGACGTGGTGGGACGGTGAAGACAGTCTGCTGCAGTGGGGGTGTCTGCTCGCTCATGCTGATGCTGATGGCTGGCTGGTTCGTGGCCATGGTGTAGACAAGAGGGAGGTGGTGTAGCTACTGCATCTACAGAGCACAACAGACACCTTATCCGCGCGGTCGCATGCTCGTGATGATGCGGCGCTTCTTGTGACCACCGCTGCGATCAAGCAGATGCTTGCCCCAGCTATCGTTACCTGCTCCAGAGACGGCACCGACACCGTTCCTCAGGTGCGTCTTTTGCTTGTGCTTTTGTTGAGTGTCCAGCATCGCCATGACATCCAGTGGACCCTCTGCGTCTACCTTACGCTTCTTGGACATCTCAGGCGATGTGTCTCGAAGCTGTACTTCACTGCTGCTGCCGTTACTCGAAGGTGGCTTTGGCTTATCCTCCTGTGTATAGACGAGCATGTATGCCTGCTGCTTGAGCACCTTGCCAAGCGATACCTGCGATACGCAAGAGTCATTGTACTCTGCCCAGACGCCATTCGACTGCTTGCCGTAGGCATAATAGTGTCCGGATGACACACCACCGCCGTCATGCACCACGACGCCTGCCAATGTGTATGGCATCGCTGTACATCCCTGTGCCATGTACTTGCTAACATCAAGCCGCTCTGAAATCTGAACATGCTTTGAGATCTTGGAGGAGCGGGCAGCAAAGTGGAATCGCTTGAAATGCACAATCAATGTGCATGGTGCTCGATAGAGTGTGGTCTGCTTGCGTGCTTCTTGCAAAGACTTGCAATGAGCGCAGAGGTAGCGGTTCTTTCCAACAAGCGCTTCAGCAGATGTGACGCGAGCAAGTGATTGCTCAATCGTGTTGCAAACATCCACAGACAGAGCGAGCAGTGCTTCGTAGGTATTAGATGGTGTACGGCACTTTTGACAGGTAATTTGTTGTCGCAAGTGGCCGCCAAAGAGCGCATGGACTAGAGTCGTCTCTTTTGCACGATGATCCAGATTCTTGGGCTGTCCCTGTAAGCAAGAGGCCTGGAGCTGGTCTAGTAGCAAAACCAGAAATTCATGAGCGTCCTCTTGTCGACCAGGCCGGAAGTGTTTGGCCAGTTCTGTTGTCAGCAGAGTCTTTCACCACAAAGGCATACGCTTTAAAGAAGCAGGCTTGGCCATGCTCGGTGTGAATGGCTGGCCGCGCTTCGTTCCGTTTGCCGGAAAGACCTTCTTCGCATGGTCTTCTAGTCGGCACAGTACACAGTGGTTCATACGACAAGTTTCACTGTGCTGCGAAGACAGGAGATAGAGGACCAAGCCAGGCACATGCATCAAGCACTGCATGGTACTGTTGAGGTAGCAGGTATTGCCAAGATTATGCAGTCCCGGCGGGGCAGACACGACACTGGGCCAGCTTTGTTTGAGAACACTCGCATCAAAGAGAATCGTGGAGGGCTCAGCAAGCTTGTCTCCTGCCTTTGTAGCTTCCACACGCGTCTGGAGTGCGCCTGGCACTGCTTTGCGCTTGACGGCGAATGTATCATTCTTGAGAGCTGGAACAAAGTGAACAGGATTTGCGAGCAGCGCATCTAGCGATGATCTTGGAGCAAGAGCAACCTCTGCAGCCATCTCTGCATGCACCAGCTATCCTCCAAGTAAGGGAGCAGGTGAAGTCGCTGAAGAGCAAAATTTGAATTTCAAGTTGAACATGACGCACAAATAAACACCATACCCTACCAAGGCTACCATCAAGCTTTGTACCCAGGCCCAGCTCTCGGATCACATCCTGCCTTGCTGGTATCACGGCCCAAGTACTCTTGACAGAGCGCATCTCTCTACACGGACATACACCTATAAATCGAGGCGGCGCACCAAATGCCCGATCCAGCAGCGCCCTACTCTTATATCGTCAAGTTTGTCATTATCGGCGACTCTGGTATGTCTTCAGACGCTATGCACATTCATTGACTGACACTAGGCGTCGGTAAATCCAATTTGATGCTACGGCTTACAGATGATCGGTCACAAGCGCGGCACGACGTGACTGTAAGCTTTTGAGCCAATGACCCCGCTGACTCCAGATTGGCGTCGAGTTTGGTGCGAGAATAGTCGATGTGGATGATACAAAGATGAAGCTACAAATTGTATGCCCTTCCTTTACAATCGCCGCTGACATCAGTGGGATACAGCAGGCCAAGAATCGTTTCGCAGTGTAACACGATCCTACTACCGCGGCGCAACAGGCGCACTCCTCGTGTTTGACATAACGCGACGGCAGACATTCGATCATGTCATTACCTGGCTCTCAGACCTGCGCACGCACGCAGACCCAAATATTGCCGTGGCGCTGGTCGGCAACAAGGCAGATTTGTCAGAAACAAAGCGCGAAGTGTCCTTTGAAGAAGCACAGGCATGGGCAGACGAGCATGGCGTCTTGTTTGTTGAAGCTTCTGCCAAAACAGGAGACCATGTTGAAGAGGCCTTTGAAAAGGTGGCTCATCAGGTATATCGCAACATTACAACAGGCGTATTTGACTTGAACGACAAGAGCAATGGCATCAAGACGGCTGGTGCGCGGAGTTCCACGATTGTACCGAGCTTTGACAAGGGCAAAGCCAATACCTGTGCGTGCTGAGCACCTCTATCGCCTAGTCTATATCCCCGTAGTCTCTTTCGTAGCGAGTTGGCGCGTTTCTTCCCTCGGCAACTGCCAAAACTCCACAAACAACGACGACACCTCCTCACCCAACCAGACCCAGTCGCGCGCTGTGCCAGGCATGGCCTCAGTGTCTAAACACACAGGCTTCAACCCTCTCTCGCGCTATGAGCAATTCCTCCTCAAGAATGCCTCTCAAATTTCAACCATCGAAAGCACACTCCGCACACTGACCTATCTCCTTCCCGGCCGATTTCAAGACTCTGAAGTCGCATCAGAGGCGCTCTACTCGTCTCTGACACTGTTGGGTCTTTATCACGATCGTATCCTTTCAAAGGCCATCACAAAACTCAATGATGCTGAGAAGCCGACACCCTCAGCACACAACAAGTATGCACAGTTTTGGCTCGACAAGAGTCCCATCTACAAACGCTTAGCCAATGCAGTGCAGCTCCTGCAGGCTACCAGCTTCCTCGCTGAGATTGTCGCCAGAAAGAGATTTGGTGAGCGTGGACGCTGGCGGTGCATTTTGCTCATTGAAACGGCAAAGGTGTTTTGTCGAATACTCCTACTACAAGAGACTGGCGGCAGGATGCTCGTCTTTCCACATGTCCCCGATCGCGAAATTGATCCCGCCGCGCTCGAAGCATCACTGGATCTCCAGGCCTTTGAGGAGGAGAAGCGTGCAGGGGAACATCCAGATCCCAAGCGACTCGATCGCTCCACCGCCGAACAGCTCCTTGACCCAGTCTTTGCTGCAACTTCTGCAGAGCCGACACTTCATCCACCAACCCTCATGCAGCCACGTCATCAGGTCTCACAGTTCAAAACGCAGGAAGCCGTCACGGCCTATCTGCTGACCAAGACACTCTACCCGCGCGACCTGCTCCCTCCCTCGGCGCTCATGACACAACTTTCTCCAGCAGGAAAGATTGCTGAAGTCCTGTATATTCTACGGCCGCTCGTGTATGCATTTTTGTTGTATCGCTCTAAAGATCGTCAACGCAGCTGGCGACCATGGCTCGTCTCACTCGGCTTAGAATACGCAGCGCGAGAATTACACAAACAAGCACGCGCCGGTACTTTCTCCAATAGCACCACTTCTATGTCTTCTCGACTTCGTGGGTTTGGACAAATCCATAAAGTCGCACCGGGTCGTGCTGGTGCTGGTGCAACACGTATGACGCAGCTTGAATCAGAGGAACGAACGCGTCGTGCGTGGAGCTTAGGATGGTATGTCATTCGTGGTGCATTCTATGAGAATATGGTCAGACCTCGCGTGGATGCCTTTGCTGACCGTGCATTGGCGGTGGATGGTTCGGGTCGTGGATTCTTGGGCGTCAAGTCGTTGGTTGCAGGTGTGGTGCGCGACTACGACTACTTCTTCAATAGCTACTTCACCACAAGCAGCATGTAGGTTCATTTTTTGGCAAGTTGATGATACGAGTACAAAGCTATACATTCTCCTTATTGGTAATGAGCGTGTCTCTGTGGAATGAGGACTTGGGCCGAGCTCGTCGAAGTTTGTCGATCCTTTTCTGTGCTTCCGCTCGTCGCTGTTCTTCAGAGTTGAGTGGTTGAATGGGCGGTAAGGTAGCATTCACATCGATCCCTGCCAGACTCTTGCGCAGGGTCGCCGTCGTCGGGCGAGGTGTCGCATCGGTTATAGGCTTGGGCAGGTCTGCGAGTACATGGACTGGTGCAGGTGACATGCTGGATTCAGAGAGACCTCTGTGCAATAAAGGTGACTGCACAGACACATCCGCACGAGGTTTCGCTTGTTGAATCGCTTGACGACGTGAAGCAAGCAAAGACCCACGCTGTGCTGCTCCGGAAAGTCCATCCTTGCTCAAACTCCTCGAATGCTCCCGGCGGTCCAGAACGCGATGAACTAACGCAGTCGGCCGTTTTGAGCTTTCCTCTTGTGCTTTGACAGTAGCTTGAGCAATGCGCTTCGCAGTCGCCGACATGGGGACAGGTTGCGAAGAAGTGGGCACATCCACAACAGCCTTGAGCGTGGCTGCCTTGAGTTGTGATTGCAACGCTTCAACCCTCAATTCTGCAGCCTGCAACTTCTCCGCCAAGCCGACCTGTTCCACAACTTGCTGTTCCAGCTCTTTAACACGCTGACGATAACCCCGAGCTTCTTTACTGCTCGGCAACGCTCTTGCTGCCCGTCGTTCTCGCTCAAGCTCATCTCGCAGCATACTGCATTTATCCTGCCATTCATGCGTCACGCCCTCAACGCGGGCTTCCACTTCTCCTCGTAGTCGAAGGAGCATACCCTGCATCACATCTTGCTCTCGTTGAATTGTCTGCGAAAGACCACTAAGCGACTCAAATTTTTGCTTCCAAAATTGACCAGAACGCGAACGTGGTTCATCCAAGGTGAGTGTAGCATTGGAATCTGTTCCTTGTATCGCGGTGGCAGGTGCAAGACGTGCTTCTGCTTGTGCATTTGCACATGATTCTTGCATCTCTGCAATCATCTGCTGCAGGGTGGTATTATTGCGCGTAAAGCCAAGGAGTAATTCGTCAAAGCCCTTATCGACGGTCCAGTTGAGAGATCCTGCCGTAGCGGATGTAGGACGAGACTTTGCAGGCGTAGGCACGCGCTGTTCTATATTACAAGGCGATTGTTCATGAAAGAGAGAGGACGGAAGATGTCGCCTACCTCCAAATCGATTCAGCGGCGCTTCCTTCTTCATTGTTGGTGACGCAGCGTCTTGATCATTGTTGTGCTGTGTCTCCGGTACTCTCGGGGTCCATGGACTTGGAAACTTCCCCGGAAACGACTGTGGTAGTCCTGATTTGCTTGTTCCCGCAGGTCTTGCAGATATAGTCTCAAACGTGACGGACTTGCGTTGCTCTTTGAGTGCTCCAGGAGTCTTGAGAATACTGGCCGTACTGGATGATCTTTCCCGCTTCACAACAAGCTCAACAGGCAAAGACGGCGCTACTGCTTGTGCTTGAACAGGCGTTGCGTTGGCAGATTCAAGGACGGGCGCTTGTGGTGGTGTGTCGGAAACAAGGGCAGCTTTGAATGCATTGAGAGCCCATCGATGCACTGGTGTTTCAGGCTCTGTCTGCTTATTACGGCCCACCAGCCAATTCATTGCAGCAGAGACAGCAGTAGCAGTAGCAGGAAGAGATGAAGAGAGAGCGCTGGTTGTTGTTTGTCGTCGCGAAAGAAAGAAAAATCAACAAACGGCAACGACGAATTCAGATGGGGCATATCAGTGATACAGAGCTACGAGAGAGCAGCAATCGTCGTGAGGGCCGTAGACACGCAGTCCTTGGGCTTCACATCAATCTCGACACTAGCCAGCTTACCACCCTTGGCCACAACCCAGTGGCAGCGGCGGGCCGTCTTCTTGCCAGATGCAGTGCCGCCCAGTTGGCTGAGTAGCTGCTTCTTCGAGTCAGACAGCAGAGGGTACTGCAGATTCTGCTTCGTCTTGAACTTCTCTTGCGCCTGTTCATTAGCTAGATCAATCGAAAGGAGTCCATACGTTCACAGTATCGGTAGACAGGCCATAGACCTTGAATCCCTTGCCCGTAATGGCAGCATACTCATCACGATAAGAGCATGCCTGCGAGGTACAGCCTGGCGTGGAGGCAGCAGGATAAGAAAAGATCACGAGACCCGATTCCTGAGCAACAGCGTGCAAATTCACGTCTGCGCCAGATTGATCCTTCAAGGTGATTTCTGGAAGCATATCGCCCACTTTGAGCTTTGCGCTGTCCTTGGACTCGTCGGATGCGTCAGAAGGCTTCTCCTCTGACTCAGCCTTCTTTGCAGGTGCCTCCTTCTTGGCCGCCTTTTTAGCAGGCGCCTTCTTGACAGCTGCCTTGGGTTGAGCTTTCGTTGCCGATTTGGCAGGTTTAGCCTTGCTAGCAGTTTCCTTGACAGTCTTTTTGGGCTTTACACTCATCTTTGCCTTCTTTGCAGGCTGAGCAGGCTTATCAGCCTCTTTACCACCGCCAGACTCGTCTAGCAACAAGGATGGTTTCACACTGGCGCGTGCACTGCGACGTGGCTCATCCGAGGCTGATGCGTTCAACTGACGCTTAGGAGGCATGATTCCAAGAATCAAGAGTCAAAGAGAAGCTTGAGATGGAAGCAAGCAATGCGATTTGCAGCGACAGCAAGCAATGGAGGAGCGGGAGAGTGCGGGCTGCGCTGTTTATGTAGACGCGAACTTTCAAATTCACGTTTTCATTTTCCGCGTGGAGACTTCACAATCTCATCGCCTTGTTTGAGGCAGTCCTGGGGTGTGTGCTCGTAGATAGAGTGCAGAGTAAGCTTGTATTAGAGAGCCGTACAGATGCATCATATCGTACTCTACAGTTCTGGCTCCTGCTTCACGCGCCGCTCTTCAACTTCCTCGTCTTCCACCTTCCGCTTCAGACCCAGCTGACTAGTCATGGCAGAGATGGAACCTGCAAGACTAGCAAGGGCAGCAGCATCGAGCATCATAGGCATCCCTGCATCCACAGACGCTTCAGTCTTGACGGGCGCACCCGGAAGGGGTACATCTTCATCGCTATCAGAATGCTGCTCCTGACCTCGCATAATCCCACTTGTTGCAGCAGCAGCAGCAGCAGCGGCTTTTGTGTTGCTAGACACGGCTTCATGATGGCATAGAGCATGATAGACTGTATCACCCACTCGAACTGCATTCTTCCATACCCAATCTTCTGTAGCATCATCCCAATCAGTGGTAAACTTTTCGCGGCAAATGGGACACTCCGAGTCATGCAATGCCGGATCAGCTGGCTTGGGTACAGTCTTCTTATTGGCTTCATCCATCGTCATTGCTGCAACCTTGCCACTGCCTAGATTCGCACCTGCCGACACAGCAACGGCTCCTGTTTCACCCACCTCGACATCATCAATGCTTAAAGAAATCCAATCCTGCTCAGACAGGTACAACGCTCGACTTTGTCCACGCACAGCATGTTCTCTCAATCGTTTATTCACCGTGAAATGCCAATCGAGATGCGCATCACGTTTCCCTTGACCTTCCCGTGTATCTGGCCATCGCTGTCCGCACAAGCCGCATTGCAATGGTTTTGAGCCATAGAGTAGATGAATGAGTTCTGGACGTGAGGGAAGCATAGCGGCTGATTTCAATTCAATACGGTGCGCCATGGTGGGTTGGAAGCCGCTTGACATGGACATGGGTGCGGAATACTGGCCTGCATGAGGTGCTTGACCATACATGGGTAGAGGTGGTGTCATACGTGCGCCAGAGAGGAAAGTTTCGTGCTGCTTCAAGCGTTGTAGTTGTTGCATCACCTCGTGAAGCTGTGCTGGCGGCAAGATGGTTGTTTGCACGAGTTGCTGCAGAGCTGCTAGGGAACTGATGTGATTGCGTGTCGTTACATCATGTGGTTCAAGACGTAGTTTTTGCGCAAATGTATGCATGAGTGAACCAATATCTCGTAGTAGTCCCTCTACTGGATTAAAAATTGGCTGTTGACCAAACGATGGCGTCATGCCAGCTTGAAAGCCTGGTTGGATAGCCGTCTGATCGCGACGTTGGATTTCGCGAATGCGCATGAGTGACTCTTCAATCTTGCGCGTTGCATCAGGTGGATAGACTGGGTCGAGAGACTGCGACCCAACAAGCGGTCGTGTCCATGTGTAAAACAAATCTTCCAGCTTCTTGCGTATCGGCGGCTCAACATTGGTATAGACGCTCATGAAGGTTTTGTAGAGATTCCGAGCAAAAATGGGGGTATAGGGTGCGCCGACATTCTTCGTAATGCTGTCGAGGAGATACATGGCAGGCAGTTTATGCATTGGAGGAGCCTTGTCGTTAGATGGGAGAGGAGAAGGTGAGCTTACCTTTGCAACATGTTCTTCAATAGCTTTGGCTATAGCAGTTGCACCATCAATGTTTTCTTGAGCAATACTAGTCAGCATGTTGATGATGGGCTTGCTGTTGAAGGTTAGATCGAGCAGTGAAGCAGCATAGTCGGCCTTGATTTCATCGAGCTGCTCTTGCGACAGAAGCTGAGCCATGGCAAGCTAAAGAGCGGTCGCTCAAGCGGGAGTGCAACAAGTGCAGGTACAAACAGAAGAGGGTCAGTCAAAAAATGCGATTGTGTGGTTATGCTAAAGGAGTATCGTCCTGCACGTCAACCCTCGACCTCTGTGACTGGTTCTCTTCTAATGAGTCTAGCACCTGGAGTGCGACTCTGACTATGGAAGGCAAGAGGAGGACTGCACACTGCCTCTTGGCTATTGTAGGAGTAGGATGAGGTTGAAGCGCAGAGACAGAAAGCGGTTGACGTTGACAGCCAGACACGTGCGCGCTATCTCGGCGAAAATGTTGAGCGAAAGATCAAGTGATTCAAGTCGCCCGACAAGCTACAGCAGCGTCCATACATCCATCAAGATGAGCCCGATGCCGCCTAGCAGCTCAGCGAGTGCCAATGTACGTCCATGTATGACTTAAAAGCACAAACTCACCTCACAGCGCAAGGAAGGCAACATGGCCCGGTTCGCCGGCGCTGGTTCAGCAGGTGTGCTCGAGCTGGCTCTGTTCCACCCAGTAGACACAATCTCCAAGCGGCTCATGTCCAACAAGGGCAAGGTCAACACCGTGGCCACCTTCAATCAGGCCATCTTCAAATCCGAGGCGCAAGCGGCGATTGGCAAAAAGTTTGTCTCTCTCTTCCCTGGTCTTGGGTATGCTGCTGGTTACAAGATTCTGCAGCGCATCTACAAGTACTCAGGTCAGCCGATCGTCAAGGACTACCTCTCACTGCACCATGGTGAGGTGTTTGACAAGGCGTTTGGCAAAGGAACAGGCAAGGCTATGATGTATGCTACTGCAGGATCACTGGTAGGCATTGGTGAGATTGTCCTCTTGCCGCTAGATGTCCTCAAGATCAAGCGTCAGACAAACCCCGAAGCCTTCCGTGGCCGTGGTCTTTTCAAAATTATTGCAGATGAAAAGTTCAACCTCTACCGTGGTTGGGGATGGACAGCTGCACGGAATGCACCAGGCTCTTTTGCCCTCTTTGGAGGATCTGCTTTTACAAAGGAGTACATGTTTGGCCTGACTGACTACAATCAAGCAACCTGGTTTCAAAATTTCATCAGTAGTATTTCTGGTGCTGCTGCGTCGCTTGCCGTCTCTGCACCACTCGATGTCATCAAGACGCGTATCCAAAATCGCGACTTTAACAACCCAAAGGGTGGTATGACCATTATTCGCGATCTGCTGCGAGAGGAGGGAGCAACTGCCTTCTTCAAGGGACTCACACCAAAGCTTTTGACGGCTGGTCCTAAGCTCGTTTTCTCCTTCACAATTGCACAGTCCCTCATTCCAATCTTTGACAAGATGATTTCAGGCGATGACCACAAGGTTGCTGCATAGATAGATATAGAGATGCCGTTCATGCAAGAATAGCTTAAAGCACCCTCCCCCTAAAGTCCCATCTCAAAATATTGCACAGCGACCTCGACTACACACCACAAGTGAATGAAAGTGCCTGCTGCAGCTTCTGCCCAGAGCGTACATCTGCTCAAAGGATGGCTCGAGGTACCGAACCGCAAAGTTTCACAAAATTTACAGTTCTTCAAGCTTCGTTCGTTTCTAGATGACACAAGTCTAAGTACACGCACCGTGCAGCTCGTTTCTAGACATGCGAATGAGACGGCACTGAGTCAGAAGCTGCAAAAATTACAGCCAGAGAGTTGTGTAGCTGTGCAATGTCGACGGCTGCTCAAGCCAGTCGAGAGTCGACGAGCTGGTTGGTTACAAAAGCCATCACTGATGATGCAAGCAGAGTCGATACATCGACGTGTCAATCATCTAGCAGCGCCCGAAGAGAATGAAGGAGACTATGAGTATGAAATTGAAGACATCCACATTCTCAATGCAGTCACAGAGCCTCTACCTTTCCTGCCGAATGAAGAAGCCAACGTCGATACACTCGTTAGAGCACGCCACAGAACGATTGAGATGCGCTCAGATAGTCTAGGCGGTGCCCTTCGTCTTCGCTCACAACTCAAATCAAGTCTTCGACAACACCTTCAATCCATTGGTTTCCTCGAAGTCGAAACGCCACTTCTCTTCAAAAGCACACCAGAAGGCGCACGCGAGTTTCTCGTACCGACTCGTCGACGTGGTGAATTCTTTGCATTGCCACAAAGCCCACAACAGTATAAACAAATGCTCATGGCTGGTGGGATTCGTCGATACTATCAATTCGCCAAGTGTTTTCGAGATGAAGATTCTCGTGCGGATCGACAGTTGGAGTTTACTCAGCTTGATTTGGAAATGAGCTTTGCTGGTGCGGAAGAAGTGATGCAGGCTGTTTCGCAGATGGTCTTACATGTTGCTGCTGCATGGGGACAGCCTGACTTGTTTGCCACGCGTCAGGACCAGGTGATTCCTCGAATGACTTATATGGATGCCATGGCGAGGTACGGTTCAGATAAGCCAGATTTGACCTTTGGTCTTGAGATTTGGAGTGAACGACTCGATGACGACTGGCATGGAAAAGGTGAGCCAACGTTGGTGGAACTCATTGCGGTTCCCGTGCCCGGACATGGTCAGTCGCTCAGCAGTAGAGCTTTCAAGCAGCTCCAAACACTCCTGGCACGCGATGCACCTGGTGTTGTGGCCATCAAAGTCTCACAGGAGCAAAAACTGCCAGATATGCTTGAACCTGCTCGCGAGCACATTGATCGGTATCTCAGCACACAACCCTCCACAGCTTTCTTCCTGGCTCATACAAGAAACGTTTCCGTCTCTGGAGGTGCTACAAAACTAGGCACTGCGCGTCTCTTGCTACAAACATTTTTAGAACAGCAAGGGTATACAGATACGCCACGCTGGACACCTTCCTCAACACAACCACGTCCTCCACTTCACTTACTCTGGGTGACGGATTTTCCTCTCTTTTCACCACTCACGCAAGATGAAGTAGGTCAAGCAGGGACGCGGGGCCTCTGTAGCACGCATCATCCATTCACGGCACCTCACCCTGATGATGCTGCAATCTTGACGCACGATGCACCGCTGGAGACATTGTTACAGGTGCGTGGATTACATTACGATCTCGTCATGAATGGTTGTGAGATTGGTGGTGGGAGTGTCAGGATTCATGATCCTGTTTTACAAAATAGAGTCTTGGACACGCTGGGCGTTGCGTCTTCGAAAAGAGCTGGGTTTGCACATCTATTGAAGGCGTTGGGAAGTGGATGTCCGCCGCATGCTGGATTCGCTTTGGGGTTTGATCGATTCTTGAGTATCGTGCTCGCAAAGACGAGTATTCGCGAGGTGATTGCATTTCCCAAGACGAGCGGTGGGTTGGATCCACTTGTCAATGCGCCGAGTGCCGTAGATGCAGAGACACTGTTACGCGATTATCACTTGAAAGTAGCAAGTTGATGATCCCAAGGCAACGCTTTATACAACAATACAAGGTAAACACTCTGCTTTGCTTCTACTCATGACGACCACCAGGGACACCTTGATTCCACGTCAAGTATCGATGATCTCCGAGTTTACGCGGCTTAATCAAGTGTCTTGCTGTAAAGATCAGGCCAAGAATCACACATAGCCCACCAACAACGATATACGCAATGCCCAAGAACGGGTTTCGTCCGCCAATCACGGAGCGTGTTGAAATGACAATAGACTTTGTACCGCCATAGGCATCGACATTGAAACTTTGAATCACGGAGATTTGATACGTACCGGCTTCCATGGGTGTCTTGTCTTGTCTGTAGTATAGCTTGCTGAAGGTTGGCAAACCAGCCGTGCGCATCCAATTCTGGAAATCATAGTCCTCTGAAAAGTTTGGGATGTTGGTTGCGTTGTAGCCCTGGGGGTAACGTTTGGTCCAGTTGGGTGGAGGGATGATTTGATCTGCGGTGTAGGTGGTTTGCTTGTATCGCTTCTTTGCAGAAGACCAGGCAATCCCGTCTTTACTCATTTGGTAAGTGACGGGCGCGTTGGGAATGCCCACTTGCACTGGCATACTGATGGAGTCATTGAATTGAGAATTGGCAATGAGACCGCAGGGATAGTAGATTTTACCATCTTTACTACCGAGCGGGTCACACTCGTCATCTGCGGAACTCACGGAAATAGCTTTCCCATCGAGTTGATCTTGCGAGACAGACTTGACGTAGCGACGATGGTTTTGATAGAAGTTTGTGAGCTTGTAGTAAAGCAACACAGGGCCTTCGAGGGTATTTGGGATGGTGAATTGAAGCTGGCACACGGGTGAGTCTGGGTCTGTTGCATTGGCAATCAGTGTCCATGTTGCTGGCGTGTTGATTTGCGTTGCATTGCCCGATGACTTGAAGTTGCGAGTGATGTACTTGGCTGGGATGGTGGACTCTGTGGACGAGGCCTGCGTCGCGCAGTGGGTATAGTCGATGGAGATGTTTTGCACTTCATTAGAGGCATACAAAAGTCCTCCGCCGAGCGGCGCCAGGATAATGCCAATAGCAAAGAAGAGCGGAAGGACAGTCTTGGGTGTGAGGAGAGGCAGGAAGGCTTGTAGGCGCTAGAGGGAGGGTCAGCTCATTGTCGCGTAACTTATATAGCTGTATATCACGGAGACGTACCTGCTGCCTGAATGCGGTGTTGGCTGGCTTGCGTGACTTTGTCTTTGGCGCATCTGCCTCGTCGCCATTGGAGGACATGGCCGGGGCTGTGGATGGATTTGGTACTCTGTCTGTAGTACTTTGTCTGTATGCTTGGTCGCTGTCTCTTGGGTGTTTGTCGAGTGTAGCTGCACGTGAAGGGAATACTCGCAGTCACAGCTAGATATCAACCAGCAGGATAGTGCATAAAATGGGCCCTGCTCTCTTATACCGCATACCACTCTCTCTACCTCCTCAACCTATACCCAGACTCCTCTACTCTCTTCTATTGCCCCTCCGCATTTCGTCATCAGTCCCGAGCACTCTCAACCAGGCGCGACATCCAACTCACCAGGCTACTCTCGACGCTACCAGGCATGGCAGACAGCAGGCCATACCAGACACGAGAGGGCCTTCCCTCAGGCTACATCGCACAATGGGACGCAACATACAAGACCTATTTCTACGTCAATGAACACTCAAGCGACAAGACACCCTCGTGGCAGCATCCAACACCAGGCGCTCATCCACCTCCACCACCTCCTGCGTCTGCCAGTACAGACGAACCCGGCGCGCCTCCCTCTTACGATGCAATCGGTGCGACTGGCGGTGTGGGCGCAGTCCCACCAGTCCAAGCATCTCAGCATTTTCAGCAGCAGCAACAAGCAGCACAACGGCATCAGTCCTCAGGCGCAGGATCAGGGCCCGGTTATGGTCCTGGTCAATCTGCCTCACATCCATGGGGTCATGCGACGTATCAGCCGCAACCGCAACAGCAGATGCCATATGGTGCTGGGTATCCGCCACAGATGCAGCAAGGGTATGGTGGACAGCCTGGCTATGGCGCCTATCCACAACAACAAGGGCCACCGATGCAACAGCCGTACCAGCAACCGCAGCAACAAAGTCGATTCGGTGGAGGCGGTAGGATGGGCGGTGGTATGATGGGTGGTGGGATGATGATGCCGATGATGCTGGGTGCAGGCGGTGGATTACTCGCAGGCAGCTTGATTGGTTCTAGCTTTGGTGGCCATGGTGGGTACAATGACCAGCAAGCGTATCAAGATGGTAAGACTTGCTCGTGAAGGAGAAGAGAAGGACTAACATGCAGGATACCAGGATGGCCAGCAAGATGACTTTGGTGGAGGTGGTGATATGGGAGGAGGCGACATGGGAGGCGGCGGCGACTAGGGTCTCTGCTCTCTGCTCTCTGTCTCTCTGTCTGTCAGACTCTGTCTACTCTGTCTTTGTCTACTCTGTCTATACTCTTCTCCTTGTACATCCAGCTGTTTGTGACTGTTCTCTTTCGCGACTCAACGCGACGACCCAGGAAGCAACAAAGCAGCAAGACACGCACGCATCCACGAAGGGCCTAGGTCGATTGCAGCAATATGGAGAGATGTACGCTCGTCTTCTGTCTCTGCGCCACGTAGACTTACATTCTCTAGATCAGAAATTGGAAAAAGTCGGCGAAGGTATGCTCCCCGTTGTCTTTCATTCAAAAAAGACTCGACTGACACGCGCCAGGCACCTACGGCGTCGTCTACAAGGCACTGGACTTGCACAACAACAATCAAATTGTTGCTCTCAAGAAAATCAGGCTCGAGGATGAAGCAGAAGGCGTGCCGTCAACCGCCATCAGGGAGATTTCCCTCTTGAAAGAAGTCAATGATGGCAAGAACAAGTCCAACTGCGTCAAGTCTGCACTTCCTCTTCTTGCTGAATCATCTGCTGACCCTCTAGACTGCTGGATATCGTCCATGCAGAGTCAAAACTCTACCTCGTCTTTGAATTTCTCGATATGGATCTCAAAAAGTACATGGACAAACTCCCTGCAGAAGGCGATGGCTCTCTCCTGGACCCTGCCCTCGTCAAGAAATTTGCCCTCCAGCTCGTTCAGGGCGTCCACTACTGTCACGCTCATCGCATCATTCATCGAGACTTGAAACCACAAAATCTCCTCATCAACAAGGAAGGAAACCTCAAACTTGCTGATTTCGGACTTGCTCGAGCATTTGGTGTGCCACTGCGCAATTATACCCATGAGATTGTCACGCTCTGGTATCGTGCGCCTGAAGTGTTGTTGGGCTCACGGCACTACTCAACCGGTGTGGATATGTGGTCTGTGGGATGTATCTTTGCTGAAATGGCACTTCGCAAACCACTCTTCCCGGGAGACTCTGAGATTGATGAGATTTTCAGAATCTTTAGGACATTGGGCACACCGGATGAAGATACGTGGCCTGGTGTGACGGGGTTACCTGACTACAAAGCAACATTCCCACAATGGCGGCGTAAATCGCTTGAACAGATGATTCCTATGCTGGACGTCGATGGTCATGACATGCTGGAAGCATTGCTGGTGTATAACCCGTCTGACCGTATGTCAGCCAAGCGATGCCTGGAGATGTCGTACTTTGCTCGGGATGAGGAGGACGACTGGTGAGCATGCTTGCTTTTGTTGTTTGTTGTTTTTGTTTTTGCTCCAGATTATGCACACTGGATGCCTTCTGTAGATGAACATGCGGCTCTTCTTGCTACTCCTGATACGCTCTGCTGGCTAAAGCTCTTTATTGTGCATGTGGTTGCTTACATAAGGAAGTAGCCGAATTTTGTTGCAGGCGACGCGTACTCAAGACGAGACAAGAACAAGAACAAGACAAGAAAGATCATTGACGAGGACTGGGCAAGAGACAGCAGCAGGGCAAGGCACATTAATCACACTTCATTGACGGCCTTGTGCAGAGACTTGAAAACAGCGCTAGAGAAGAAGAGCCGCAGAACAAATGCCGACTGCAACGACACAAGAAACAATCGAGCTGGCAAGCACCCTCGTCACCGTCCATCCACTCGTCCTGCTCTCTGTCGCAGACTCGTATAATCGCTCAGCAGCCGGTACAAAACGGCGCGTCGTCGGTGTCCTGCTCGGCCAAAACAATGGCAAAACAGTCAATGTTGCCAACTCCTTCGCCGTTCCCTTTGAAGAAGACGAGCGAGACCCGAATGTCTGGTTTCTGGACCATAACTTTGTCGAAAGCATGTATGACATGTATCGCAAGATCAATGCAAAGGAAAAAATGATTGGATGGTATCACTCTGGACCAAAACTCAAATCGAGTGATTTGGCCATTAGTGAGTTGTTTAAGCGGTGGATCCCGAATCCGGTGTTGCTGGTGGTGGATGTTCGGCCAACACCGGGGATCCCTACTGAAGCGTATTTCTCAGTGGATGAAATCAAAGACGACGGGACTTCTACATCACGGACGTTTGTGCATGTAAGCAGCACCATTGAAGCGGAAGAGGCAGAGGAAATTGGTGTGGAGCACTTACTACGCGATGTGCGTGATCAGTCTGTTGGATCGCTGAGTACCAAGATTGCAGACCAACTACGCTCCCTTCAGGGCCTCTCTGCACGTCTGGGAGAAATCTCAACATACCTCGAAGCGGTCCTCAAGGGCGAACTTCCAGTCAATCATGCCATCCTGGGAGAACTTCAAGATATCTTCAATCTGCTGCCGAATCTCACTCCAGCCGATGCCCTCAATGCAACCAAACCCAACGCTGCGAAGGAAACAGAGCTGAGTAAAGCATTCAGGACGAATATGCACGATAGCCTCATGACAATCTACCTGTCTTCTCTCGTGAGAGCAGTCATGGCCCTGCACGACCTGATTGATAACAGAAAAGAACAAGGCCTTGCCAAGCTGGCAGGCGATGCGGATCGAGCCAAGGAATCAGCTGCGATTGAAGCAGACATTGCAAAAGAGGCTCAAGAGTCAAAGGACAAGGCAGCAAAGGAGAAGCAAGCGAAAGAGGATAAGGGTAAGAAGTAGATGACCCTTGTAGCTGACTGATCTGTGACTGCTAGATCTATCTCTCTGCTCGACAATCTCTTGCATGTGAAGACCACGACATTCGTCTATCCGGGGCGTTGCAGGTGCCGGTGCAGCCCATCAACATGCATAGATGACGACAGCCACAATCGTTGAGCATGCCGCCGTCTCTCAGCCAAAAGACGACGCTGAATCGCGCAACAGCGCCAGGATCGGCGGTGCGAGTGCCGTGTCGCGCTCACTCATCGGTCAAATACTCGCTGTTTGGTTTCGCGTGCCCGTCAAGCTATTCAGGCCAGCACGGATCGATTATATGATTGTACCGCGTGCCTTGTTTGCAAAACCTGCTACACCGGGTGAGCATGCGCGTTGGTGGCAACGGTCTACACCGTACTTACTTGGGAAAGCCGTTCGACAGCATGGCATTGGCTTCATTCCAAATTACGTCTTGCCGCCATTGTTTGCGAATAGCTTGATTGGTGTTGTCTTGTATACGACGTATATTGAAGCGCTGGGTGTGCTGCATGCACCATCGAAGCAGGCCAATAACCCATTTCCACCGCCACCACCGGAAGCCACGCTCAAAGCAGGCGCTCTGGCTGGGTGTGCACAGGCACTTGTCAGTCAGCCTATTGACGCGCTGACCGTACGTTTTGAGATTGCCAGTGTTCTCGGAGGTAAAATGCCAAACTTGTGGCTCTGGTGCCTGCAGACCGTTCAAAAGACTGGTCTCAAACCCATCTTTGGTGGATTCTTGTTGAGTGCCATGAAGGAATCAGTGAGCATGGCTGCATTCTTCTGTTTGTTCGAAATGGTCAAGGGACAAGGGTACTACGCCTTCCTGCGGCTCATCTATGGGCGGGATCACCTCAGTCTGTATAACAGCTCATTCGGCAACCATCGCAATCAAGATAATCTCGAGGGAGAAGGCAAACCCGCAGCTAGGCCGTACTGGATGATTGGCCCTACCTTCCTGCTAGCAGCAGGTCTAGCAGCGTCGGTCGCGCACACATCCGTTCACTATCCACTCACAAGAATACAAAACGTGCATATGACCAGACTTGAATCTGCCAGCTACAGACAACGCTTTGAAGCACAATTTCACAATCGAGCAGCAGCGAGCGTGTATTTGGGGGAGTACAGCACAACGCTACAGCAATGCCATGCACAGGCACAGAAATACGCCAAACGTGCAGGATCCAGCGTTACGGCTGGGTGGGGACGATTCTTGTTTCGTGGATTCACCCAAACTGCTATACGTGGGGCTCCAGCAACGGCTGTAGGCCTCATCATCTTTGAGAGCTTTAGAAGTCACTTCAGCCAGCAGGGAGACGTCTTTCTTGATTGAACATGGTTTTCACTGGCTGGTTCAGACGCTCGAAACACATTCAGATGGGCCCGAGGATGCTTCTTCTGGTAGTTATCGGCTGCTTCTGGCATTTATTGGTACAGCATCGCAGTGACTCACGCAAGGTCTTTCCTTGGATGGAAGCCATAAAAGCTGTTCCATCCTCTTGGCTATCCTGCCATACAACCCACCTATCCATCATGCTGGCCTCCCGTACGCCCATGAAAGTCTTTGCTCCCTCACCACTTCGCGAGTCAACCACTGCTTCTGATCTGCAGATGCAGGAAAAAGACACCCTCGTCGGCCCACCACTGAAAAAGATGGCCATGTTTGTTGCGCCGAGACTTGCGCCTCGCAGGAAGGCTATAAGTAAATCCGGCAGGCGTGTGTTTAACTTTCATGGCGCGTTGATTGATATGGTGGAACATGCTGCGATCAACCGTACAAGGAAGCCACGCAAACCTGTTGTTTATGAGACGTATGTTATTGTGGAGGAAGAAGATGAAGAGGAAGAAGAGGGAGAAGAAGATATCTTTGGATATAGAAGTTCCAAGTACTAGGAGGCCCGAGACGAGAGATGGCCCCGCAGCTGGCTGTGGTTCAGCACATCTCACATTGCTCGTGAGCATAACCAACCTTCCTCCAAATTTATCAAGCATATTGCACAGCAAGAACATAGCATCAGACTCAAATTCACTCAATCCCTCCAGCTGCTTTGTCGTCGGGCCAATTTAGTATTTGTGTCGAAACTTGCTCCCCAACTCCCCAGACACATCGCGACGTGCCATTGCGCCTTGTCTTTTCAAGCGTTTCCTTCTTCGAAACCTCATCTGCGCATTCGTTGATCATTCTGAGTGCAGGCCACCAGACAAGCCGTCCCGTGAAGGCATGTCTGGCGACTATGTCCCCGTAGATGCATCACTAAAAAGTCGGTCTTGGCTCGTCGGCAAGCCGCTCCTCTACTTCACTTCCTCCTTCGTGTCACTAGGCGTGCTCATCTTTGGCTATGATCAAGGTGTCATGAGCGGGCTCATCACGGGACCATACTTCAAGGATTACTTTAATCAACCAACAAGCGCAGAATTGGGTACCATGGTCGCTGTCCTGGAGATTGGCGCCTTTGTGTCATCCCTGGTGGTTGGCAAGGTAGGTGATACGCTAGGTCGGAGAAAGACAATCTTCTATGGCGCATGCATCTTTGTCATTGGCGGGTTGCTTCAAGCATTTACGAACGGGTACACCATGATGCTTCTAGGCAGGATCATTGCCGGGTTGGGTGTCGGTATGCTCTCTACCATTGTCCCCGTCTATCAATCAGAGATCTCTCCTGCGCACAGTCGTGGTCAACTCGCGTGCATTGAGTTCACAGGCAACATCATTGGCTATGCTTCAAGTATCTGGATCGACTATGGCTGTAGCTACATTCAGAGTGACCTCTCCTGGCGCATCCCTCTAGTCATTCAATGCGTCCTAGGCGGAATCCTCGCTCTTGGTTCACTAGCAATCTGCGAGTCTCCGCGATGGCTACTGGACCAGCATCACAACGAAGAGGGTCTTGTCGTGCTTGCCAACTTTTATGGGAATGGTGATATAACGCATCCTCGTGCACATGCAGAGTACACTGAAATCAAACAAGCTGTGCTCGCTATGCATGCAGAGGGTGAACGTACCTATGGAGAAATGTTTCGTCGGTACAAGCAGCGTGTCCTCATTGCCATGTCTTCACAAGCACTTGCACAACTCGATGGTATCAACGTCATTTCCTACTACGCGCCTCTGGTCTTTGAACAGGCTGGGTGGTATGGCAGAGATGCGATCCTCATGACGGGTATCAACGGTATCATCTATGTCATTGCCTCCATCTTACCGTGGTTTGTAATTGACCGATGGGGCAGACGTGCCATTCTCATGTCAGGCGCAGTTTTCATGTGTGTTGCGCTATCTGCCATTGCCTACTACATCAAGATTGATGTACCTCATACGCCGCGCATGGTGGTCATTCTTGTTATCGCATATAACTTTGCGTTTGGATATTCCTGGGGTCGTATGTCCCCCTTTGTTTTGCGAGATTCAACTGACAATAGCGGTACCTTGGCTTTACCCACCAGAGATTCTGCCACTCAGTATTCGCGCAAAAGGAGCCAGCTTGTCAACCGCGTGCTGCTGGGTATGTCTCGTTCTGAGCCCAACCATCACTAACAACAGTTCTTTAATTTCATCGTCGGTGAAACGACGCCAATCTTACAAGAGGCAATCGGGTATAAGCTCTATCTGATGCATGCATTTTGGTGTGCCTTCAGTCTCCTCATTGTCTACTTTGTTTATCCAGAGACGAAAGGTGTTGGGCTTGAAGAGATGGATGTGCTCTTTGGCGATGAGAGTGTTGCACCGACACCGCGCACTCAATCATTGGCTGATGAAGAGGCTGCAGCGGCGCCACCGGATCAAGCACAAGTAGCGGAGTACTTGAAACAGCAAGGTAAAATGACAGATTTGTCTGGCCTACTGGATAAGCTGAGAGGTATCCCGCAAGCTGCTGAGAGCGACGTGGAGGATAATGCAAGCATGACGAGTTCAAGTCGACGCGGGAAACATGGCGAACAACAGATACCATTGTTGAACAACCAAGAATGAGCATGACACCTAGACGACCAGACAACACGTACTTTAACAAGGATTGGCATTAGACATTGATCAATACATGATGTATGCGATGATGCTTGGGCTCACTCAACCTTGCTGCACTCCATCTCTGTCCTATCCGTATCTGCCTATTAGCAAGTTGCCATGACAAAGCAGAACGAGCATACCTTGTGGCAACAGACAAACAAAACCGCGCTTTTGCATCTCAGAAAAGAGTTTTGTGCTAGCCAGCCGTAGTTTGAGACAATTGCTTTGGTCACCGGCTGAGGAGCGCGTGCAGATGGTTGATTCCTCGCCGTCGCGTGGGCCATCAATCCAGAATGGCGGCGCAGCTCTTGCTGAGGGCGACTGTTCCTTGATGAAATGGGAGAGTCGTGATTGCTCCTTTTCTATGATATCTGGCGTTATATCTGCCATGGTTTGTTTGTTTGCAGCTGCCAGCGTCGATGTCTCGTAGTCCTGGTCCCGGTGACGTCTTTCTCTCTTGACATTTGTGGTGTTGCAGACTTGCGGTTTCCCCCTTCACGTGCTCTCAACCTTCGGCCCCGACTTCCAACGAGACAGCAACCAGCTCCAGCACTGACCAGCAGCTACCACTTGTCACTTGACTTCCAGACAGCCATGGCATTCGAGCAGGATCTGCATGAGACAATCAAGAAGCTCGAGGCACGTATAGAATACCTCGAACACTCCCTCGCCTCCAAAATCAAGGATGTGACGGGTTCGCAGAGATCTACTGGTGGACAGAAGCAAGTCTCCGAGGGCCTGAGGATGCTCCTCATTGGCCCTCCCGGCTCAGGCAAGGGCACGCAAGCTCCAAACCTTGTGAGTAAATTTGGCGTGTGTCATCTGGCAACGGGCGATATGCTGCGTTCTCAAGTCGCTCAAAAGACAAAGTTGGGATTGGAGGCCAAGAAGATCATGGAACAAGGTGGTCTGGTCCATGACGAGATTGTTATTGGTATGATTCGATCAGAAATCAGCAACAACCCTGAATGTCAGCTGGGTTTCATCCTGGATGGCTTCCCACGAACCATTCCCCAAGCAGAGAAGCTGGACTCCATGTTGAACCAACGCCAGCAACAACTCAATCATGCCGTTGAGCTCAAGATTGATGACAACTTGCTCGTTTCCCGCATCACTGGACGCTTGGTCCACCCGGCTTCTGGCCGCTCGTACCACAAGGAGTTCAGCCCTCCCAAGAAGCCCATGACGGACGATATTACTGGCGAACCACTCATCCAGCGGGCGGACGACAATGCAGACACGCTCAAGAAGCGTCTATCAACCTACCATGAACAAACCAGTCCCATTGTAGGCTACTACCAGAAGAAAGGTATCTGGGCTGGCATTGATGCTGCACAAAACCCAAAGAGGGTCTGGTCGGACATTTTGTCGGTTCTTGAACAAGGTGGCACAAAGCACGACACGGCCGGCATCATGACCAAATTGGGCATTAAGGCTCACAAGGGTGCTGATGAAGCCAAGAGTGCAGTTGGACTCAAGTAGAGCAATAATCAAAAAAGGAACATGTAGACTTTCTCGCATATCTACATCAATCTTCAATCATGGCTACATCTTCATCTATCCCTGCGAGTGCCGTACTTGCCCCGTTGCGCGCATTGATACTTGATCGCCGCTTATTGGCCTTGTAGCCCGCTTGACAGCCAAAGCACTCATACAGCTGCTCATGCGCAAATAAATCGCAATCGATGCAAAAGTAGAGACCGCATGAAGTACAAGCGTATCGAGATGTACTGCGCTCTTGTTGACCATTACTCTGATGAGTGCTCATTCCAGGCTGAGACGCAGTCAATTCTGTTATTGTTGGAAAGCGTTGCTGGCATGCAAAACAGTGGTCGAGATTCACCAAGTCTTCTTTCCGACTTGAATCAGGTGCCTTGTTTTCTTGCTCTTTCACGCGTTGCTTGAGTCGTCGCACACTGACTTCTTGCCAATTCCGTAGTGGGAACAAGTGATGATAGGATCTGGCGAGATGCGTAGAGAGCACCAGCGTCAGCTTACATGCTGGGCATTCTGCAGGCAGTGTACAGATCTTGGCACTGCAGCGCGGACAACGATATCCACCCACCGTCAATCTGGCATGGCATGCACAAAGACTTGCTTGTGCATCGGCATCCGCAACAAGACTTGGACCTTCATCCGCGAGACGTGATGGGAAACCAATCATGATCAAAGACTTTGTTGACTTTTCCAAAGTCGCTGGAGGCGTTGTGGCAGCCATTAACAGATCCTTGAAGTGATACTCATTCAAGATAACACCATATCCTTCAACAGATCCACCACTCGTTTTGGATACAATCTCCCTGCAAATAGCAAGGGATGCCGCAAGCCCAATAATGCGAACACGAATTTTGGCAGAGACAAGAGATGCAATCGTTTTGTGAATATCACCGGGATCCGCACTCACCAGAGCACCGAAAATGACGAGCACTTCGCGCGTGCCATGGCTCGGTACATGATAGAGCGTTGCACGAGCCATTTCGAGCGCATTTTGAAGGGACACGTTGCCAGAGCATTCACGTTTCTTACAGCTTGCCAACGCAAGGAGATGATCTTGTGGATTGCCGCTGAGCGGTGAGATGGTCTGAGCAATACCATTCGACATGGCAATGATGGCGAGTTGTGAGATTGGATTCTGTTCATAGTACTCTGACACGAACGTCGCAGCATAAGTCAAGCTCAGTTCATGTCGTGTGGGTCGAAGGTCTTGCTCGCTCATAGAAACGCCAAAGTCTAGCACGAGTACCATGTGCCGAATGATACCACGCTGAACAGGCGTTGCATCCTTGAGCCAGCGTTTCCGTTTACCAGATTCAATGAGAGACGCAACAACGCCAGCAATAGAGCCTGATGCGTCTTCTTGGACCGTATCCCAAGAACGTTTATAGTCTGCCGTCCAAGTATAGCTGCCGTCATCCGTCGCATAAGCAGCATTCAGCCGAGTTTTGGCGCGTGTGCCAACGGTAGCTCGGGTAGTCCCAGTAGCTGCCTCTTCGCCATCTGAGCTACGATACTCATCAGACTCAGACATGCAATATACGAGCTGAGCACAGACTTCTAGTACAGCTGCAGCTCGTGTGGTTGGTTGTTTCACCAAAGCGAATTCAACTCAACGCGAAGTCGTTGGCTACAACCAATATGTCTACTTATCTTGCTTTTAGTCGTCTACTGAATGAAGCAGAAGAAGCTCTCTGAATCGCGCTTATAGCCCGTCCTTCGGCTTTCTCCTCAAGTTGTGCCGATACATAGTGGTTTCGTCGGCAAAAGTCTCTCTACTCTCAATGCTCCGTCGCGTACACACATCCTCTCACACAGTCCATACCACGTATAATGGTCGATCGCAGAGTTTGGGAGTCAATCTCACTTGGACGACGTCTCACTCGCCTCAGAACAGCGCAAAAGGAAGGAGAGATTGGGTTGGAGGCAGAGATCGCTGAGATTGCACGGGAAAGGGCCGACCGAGCACGTACTAGAAACAGTGAGCGGAAAAGAGGGCTTCGTGCTGCAGCTTTGGCGGAAGAAGCAGATCTAGAGGAGCGCGCAAGGCAAACTCGGCCTCCGACTAGTGGTGACATGCGTTTAGATGAGCATCAGCATCCACGCACACACGACAGGCTGCCAGTGAACACACGACAGGCTGCCAGTGAAGAGGCAGCATATCAAGCCGATCGTTGTGAGCACAACAAGCTGTCGAAACAAAGAGCAAAGGTTGCATCCCTTGCTGCACACGGTTGGCCCAGGAAGCACTTCTTCACAGGCATCCCATGCGCTCAAACGCCCGGCTACTGCCCTATCAAAGCCTTCTATGTCATCTGTGAGCCAAAGTGAGCCTCCCATGAAGCAACAGAAGACGGAGACGGCGAAATCTTCTGGTACCTCGATAGGCCTACAGTCTCCACCAGTTGCGAATTTGTCGATCATGGAGGGTGTGGCCATCAACAGACATGCTCGTCCGGCAACAAAGGCATTGCCGAGTGATCATGTCAGCATCGAGACTCTGATGAAGAAGACGAGCCAACAAGAGTCGTCTCATGGCAGTCATGATGAACAGCGAGTAACAAGCCTTGAGGGTGAACTTGAACAGATGCAAGAACGGCTGGCTGGTATCTTGTATGAGCAAGGCAAGAAACATCAAGCTGAGATGGAGCAACTCGAGGCTCGCTTGTCAAGATCATATCAGCTACAGCTGGAAGGGCTGGAAGCTAGACTGGAAGCACGAAATCAAGAATGTCAGACACGGTCGCTCAAAAAGTTTGACGCGAAGCTGCTCGAAGCCAAGCTGCTTGCTACTAGTAGAGATGCTATTGCTTCTGCATCCATCTCAATGCGGAATGAAACGTACAAAGGTACCCAAGCTACTGTATAGCTTCCGTCGACCGTAGCATAAGCAGCATTCAGCCAAAGTTCGGCGCGAGTACCGACGGCAGCTCCGGTAGTCCCAGTAGCTGCCTCTTCGCCATCTGAGCTACGGTACTCAGCAGGCTCATACATGCACTATGCGAGCTGAGTACCGAGCTTGTGTGGTTAGACGCTTGTATAGCTCGAAGCGAATTTCGTCAAACTCATCAACGCGAAATGACGCGCTGCAACGAACATATAAACTACTCCTCTTGCTCTTAGTCATTTCTCGGAGGACGTAGAAAAAGCTTCCTAATGGCTGCAAGGCCCGATGCATGGCAGCTGCCTCTACCGAAGTATCTTATCGCATCACCTTTTGATGGTTTGGAAGGCGATGCTATCCAATTGCGAAACCTCAGTGAGATCTGGCATCATACTCAACGCAGTCGCGTGGACGACCTCGAGGAAATGAAAAGATTTGATGAGCCGGACTTTCCCGCCCATAGAAAGGCAGCGTTGTTGTCTTTGAGCTCAACTCATCAGGAAGAATGCGATATGGAGAAGGAATGCGCACAAGAGTTTCTTGACAAGCTAAAGGAACTGCTTCAACGCACTCGAGACACTCCCGCAATCAAGAGCGATCCTCTGTTTCGAGAGCTTTGGCCAAAGGCCAAGGTGCTTTATCAAGGCATCAGGCTTGAGTATTTTGACTTCAGTCCCCTTCCAGCCTCGCTACTCAACTTTAGACCTCCTAAAGATGCTGACGCTGCTGACATTACAAAAAGTCTCTGTAGAGGACTTCTTAAGGACGCTTCAGCTTTGACTTTGTCAGATGTCGGTGAGCCCAGCAGCGTCTCTGCACCTGTAGCAACGCAGGACACAGCTCAACAGGAAGCATCAAGTCAAGTCAATTCGAACAAGACAGGGGGCACAGTGGCCAGTCCGAGCGTCCTTCCAAGACAGCAAGCATCCTCCACCCTTGACACGCCCCAGACTTCACAACGTTCCGTCAATATGCGAACTGCTGCATCACAGTCGGGCACACCAAGGACGAGCAAACAAGCTCTTCAACCTGTTACATCATCAGGGAAGAGCACACCAGTGTCCAAGGCTCCACAAGCATCTGAGTCGCTGAAACGCTCTGCCACTGCGCTATCAAAGCCTTCTATGTCATCTGCAAGCCAGACTGAGCCTCCGAAAAAGCAGCAAAAGACGGAGATGACGAAAAATACTGACACCTCTACACGCAGACAATCTCCAACCATATTGGGTGCCGCTGTCAACGGGCATGCTCCTCCGGTACCCAAAACACTGCCGAACAGTCAAGTCAACGTCAAGCCTGCAGAAAAGAGTTTGAGCCAGCAGAATAAGTCTCTAGCCGATGATGGGCGGCGAGTAACGAGGCTTGAAAGTGAACTTGAACAGATGCAAGAACGGCTGGCCGCTATCTTGTATGAGCAAGGCAAGAAACATCAAGCTGAGATGGAGCAACTCGAGGGCCGCTTGTCAAGATCATATCAGCTACAGCTGGAAGGGATGGAAGCTAGATTGGAAGCACGAAATCAAGAATCTCAAACACGGTCGCTGAAAGAGTTTGAGGCGAAGCTGCTTACTAGAGATACTATCGCTCCTGCATCCAAGTCTATGCGAAGTGAAATGAACAAGGGTATGCAAGAGGATGCCCCATCACAGGCGGCACTCAAGCGACTGACGGCGACAACAGAAGGCCTCGTTCAAGAGCTCGCAACCTACAAGAAGCATGTGTCAGACCACAGCGACCTTGGAAGGAAGCTTGATCTTAGGCTTCAGGCAGTCACGACGAGAACTTCAGATGCCTCTTTGCAGCGTTTCTTCTCCGAATGTGCGGCGGAATCGTTGACATTGCTAAAACAATCACAAGCAGAAGCGCTCGAAGACCGACTGAAGCGCATCCAACAGGAACTCGCTGGACGCGTTGACCAAGCAGAGATCAGTCTGCGTGAGTTTTGCAAAAATCTTTCACATGAGCTGCAAGAGCAGCCAAGTAAGAATGCAAACACGAATGGTGATCTGAGCGTGAACGCAGCTTCGGCAGTGAAGATCATTACGGCGGGACTAGCCAGACTGGTTCCCCGCGTCGAGTCGGTCGCCAAAGATGCACAAGTGTCACTGGAGACTACAAGCAAGCACGACAAGTGGTTCAGGAATATGTCAAAAAGTATCACCTCACAACAAGAGACATTGCACGCATTGAAGAAGCACACGAGCAACCATCACAGCTTCATGAGCGGGCTGTGCAAGACGCTTGGTTTTCAAGCACAGTGCGGCGAAGATGATACGGAGCAGGCGTTTGAGATGCCGTTGCTGGATACGATTGCTCAACGGCTGAACGGCCTGGAGAAGACTCTCGAGGGGGCACAGGGGCTGCTTCCGTTGGCGGCGCGGGCCAAAGCGATAGCAGACGAGGCCCTGCGGCAGGACACATGAGGTTGTTTCTGGCAGGAGCCTGTGATGGGTTTTGGGTCAATCGAGTGTCTGTAGAGGGAGCGTAGGCAGCATCCAGCTCGATAAGTCTTTTCTATTGTACTTCAGGGACATCTGCCCACGTGCGACTCTGATTGGCGACCAAAACCCGCGACAATCAAGAGACACAACCACGGGCAACCACCATCCTCAGGCGCACAGGCTACAGACTAATACAGAGGCCTCTGGGCGTCGTAGATCCATCACAGACATTGCTTTGACCAGTGCCGGACCGCCAGCATGAAATTCGGTCAGACCTTGCGCGATAGCAAGTACAGCGACTGGTCATACATCAACTACGATGCGCTCAAGGCGCTGCTGAAGCAAGATCAATCCACGGAAGACTGGCAGGAGAGCGATGAATCTACATTTGTTGAAAAGCTAGACGCAGAGCTGGAAAAAGTGTATTCCTTCCAGAGCAACAAGTACGATGCGCTGCTTGAGGATGTATCCAAGCATGAAGAAGCGCTCGAGTCGCTCACTGAGGCAGACACGAAGCCAGATGACATGCGCATCAAGGAATTCCTCAAAAAGCTTGATGAGCTGACGGAGGAGGGACGCGAGCTCGAACGTTACAGCAGGCTCAACTACTCTGGCTTTGTCAAGATTGTCAAGAAGCACGACAAGTTGCACACAGAATATACGGTCAAGCCACTTTTGACCGTACGTCTCAACGCTTGCCCATTCAACAAGGAAAATTATTCGCCCTTGCTGTACAGACTATCGGCCTTGTATGCCGGCTTGCGTGAGCTCGCTGGCGAGCAGCCATCTCAGGAGCTGACTCAGTCTCTTCCACAATCTCTGGGTGCTTACGATAATCTGGGCAAGGAGTCCAAGGCAAGTTACAAGTTTTGGGTACATGCGGATAACGTCATGGAAGTCAAGACGTTTATCCTTCGACGCCTGCCAGTACTCATTTTCACCGCACAAGACGATCAGAATCTAGAGCCATCTGGCTACCAAGAGGATCCCACCATTACTCAACTCTACCTCGACAACCCACGCTTTAAGATGTACCTCGACAAGCTCGAGCACCGCGAGAATGCACATGCCATCTTTTTGCAATGGCACGGCAACCTCAAGAGCAAGCCCACTGTAACTTTTACACGCGAAACGACCACTGGCGAGGATGACGCAGACTTCACTTCAGAGTCTTTCCCAATTAAGGAAAAGTACATCAAAGCCTTCATTGGAGGCGAACCAGTCCTCGACAAGCAATCCAAGAAGCAACTCCATCCTACAGCTTTTGCCGCAACAGTCAAGTCAGTACAGCAAGAGATTGTTGATCGTGGTCTTGAACCTGTTATGCGTGCTACTTTTCAGCGTACTGCTTTCCAGATCCCGGGCGACGATAGCGTCAAGGTGACGCTGGACACCAATGTTGCACTAATCAGGGAAGATGCCTTCGACAAGGACAGGCCATGCAGAGATCCAGAGGACTGGCACCGCAACGACATCGACGAGCAAGGACAAATGTACCCTTACAAATCCATCAATAAGGGCGAAATCAACCGCTTCCCATTTGGCCTGCTCGAAATCAAACTCAAGCGTCGTCCAGGCATGCAAGAACCTTCATGGGTTGAAGAGCTGAGCGCCTCGCATCTCGTCAAGCCGTCACCACGATTCAGCAAGTATGCGCATGGCGTGGCTTCATTGTTTGAAAATCACGTCAACTTGTTGCCCTTCTGGTTGCCTGATGCAGACAAGGATATTCGACGCGACCCAGGACAAGCATATGATGAGCATGAAGCAGATTCAGCCAGCTCCTATCCGCCAAAAATGATCTTTACCCCTTCCAAGAGTCTCGAATCCAAGTCTTTGATGGAAGCTGCCAAGAATGCTCGAGCCAATGCAGGTGCTAGCAAACAAGATGGCCCCTCAACCAAAATCACCCGTACAAATTCAGCAGAGCGATCCAATCAGTCTGACGCAGATGGGGAAGAGCGACAGGGTGCGCCCCGGGAAGCGTTCGTGCGTTCCTCTGTTCAGCGGGTCAAGTCCTTCCATAAAGTTTTGACTGGCTCAGCGACTGGCTCGCATCGTACCACAAACTTCCAGCTTCCACCCGGTGTGCGTAAGCCTGGACCGCTTCTCAAGGACTCAGGTCCTCTCAAAATTGAGGCGAAAGTATGGCTCGCAAATGAACGCACATTCATCAAATGGATGCACGTTGCCTTTCTCCTCACAACCGTGAGTCTTTCCCTTTTTAATGGCGCGCGCAGTACATCCGGTCGTACGCTCGGTGCCGTGTATGCACTCATCTCTGTCTTGATGGGCATGTGGGGCTACTACATCTATCGCAAGCGTGGTGCCATGATTCGTGCTCGATCACCAGAGCATTTCGATTCCTTCCTAGGTCCACTTATCGTCTGTGTAGCACTGGCTGTGAGTTTGGTGGTGAACTTTTGGTGGAAGTACCTGGAGATGAAGGAGGTGCATGGGTCTGCGCATGCGTTCTTTATGCAAGGCGGGTATGCGGCTGCACAATCACGGACGGCCTTTTGATGTCTGGATCCTACAATCAAATTCTCAGCAGTCATGCTGCTTACTTAGCTGATTTATCATTCTTGCACATCGTACCTCTCCGTCTCGGTCACACAGCACGAAAGGTGACTCGCATTAACTCTGCTATGATGATGTCCTCGTCTATGATGCTTCCTCGATAAGAGCAAATGCTTCAAAACACATATGGAATGAAGATCCATGGGCAAATCTCAACATACGTATCCCAATCCTTACTATACTTTGCCTTGCATCGCTCAATATCCCGCGATACGCGATGAATCAAGACAATCGTAAAGAAGAATGGGTAAAAGTAAGGGATTGGAGACTTGAAGCCACACATGAGTGCCCAGGCTAGGGATTGCACGAAATCCACGGTATAATGCATCTTCCGAGCGTACCTGTACCAACCTGATGTGAGCAACGTGCCACCATTGGCACACTTGATGTAGTCTGGGTTATGGATGGTACCCCATGGCAATTGTGGGAAAGTCTTGCGAAGCGTGATTTGACCAGACATTTGTGCCCGGAAGCGGTTCTTTTGCGAGTTGCAGGTATCCCAAACGTAATACGCACCAAGTAGTGTGCTAAAGAGCAAAATGTTGGTGGTGGTGGACCAGCGGTACGTGTCTGGGTGGTTATTGGCGATGAAGAGGGAGCAGTGAATGTAGGTGTACGGCACACCTGCCATATTCCAAAAGGCGAGCATGAAGCCAAACTTCTCATATGCCATATCCCACGTTGGCACAATACACTCTTCGCCCTTGGAACACGCATTGGCATACAAGTAGTGAGCGAGAATCATGAACCAGGCCTGTGGCGTGATGTAACCATACTGTTCGTGCTGACGAGCAGCAACAGCAACAGACATGAAGAAGAGCATGAACCAAGGGATGCGGACCTCGGCAAACATTTTGATGTCGAACCACTGGCCAATACGTGGGCAAATGGGTGCGCCCATAAAGATGTCATACACGAAATTGCCAGTCATACGCGTTTCTTCCCCGCGAGCCAGAGCAGCCACGTAAACGACAATGGTGACGATGAAGCCAGAGAGGATGGCGACTGACATGATGGGTCCAAATTCATCAATGAGCACTGTGATGCGGAAGATATTGGTGAAGTGCAAGACAGCAGCAAGCACCATGGAAGTATAAAAAGACCAGATTGCATTGCAGTAGTAGTCCATCTTCTTGCCGCCTTGCGACTCAATCGGAAGACCTTTGACGTAGATGCCTGGCAGGGTCTGGTAGAAGACTGCCTGAACAGCAATAAATCCCCAGTAGATGGCCCAGGCTTTTGCAGTCGGAAATGCATGCTTGTAAACGAGACTCGCGACCTTGCGAGCAAAGTCAGCCAACGATTCACTGGCAGCTGGCGTTGCAAACTTGCCGTCGTAGAAGGTCGAGCTGACCCAGAGGTACCACATCAAGCAAGGGAAGCCAAACATCAGGGCCGTGACACCGACAGGCCCGCCAAACTCTCTGTGTCCAGTCTTATCCACCTTGTGGCTCTCATCAATGCTGGCCAGCTTGTCGCTGCCTGCTGCTGCGAGAAGGTTGGCCTCTTCGCTTTTTGTCTGCAGCATCTTCTCGGCGTAGTTAATTGTTCGCTTCTGTGGTGAGGTGCTGCTCCTCGTAGCCACCATAACTCTCTACTGCCGCGACCCTCAAGCCCTGCTTCTCCTTGCGGCTGATGAGGTGTAGAAGGTGGCCTGACTTTTCGTTTTCTGTTTGTTTTGTGCGCTCGAGCAAATTTCAAACGCGAAGGAGCAGCAGCCTCAGTCTACACTGACTCTACAGCCACTGAGTCCAAGTTCCATTTCAGCTGAGATGAGTGGCCAGAGCAAAGGCCTGCGTTCAATGATTACTAGATGGTATATGGTAGGACACAAAACATCTCGTCGTTCTATCATCGTCGCTGTACTTGGTATTTCTGGCACACTCGCTTCATGAATGGATGCAATGCTTAAAATCAACACACACATATGCCGGACGCTTCGGGTCTTTCTCTCTGTTCGCTCTTGTTCTTGTTTGTTTTTGTACACTGCACAGGCTTCATACGCGCCCATAGAGTAAGATGTAAGCCAGCTTGCTCGGTCGACCCAGCGTATGCCGACTCCGATCCACCTCCACAGCCACATCTTTCGCTTCAACAGGGGAGATACTCGTATCGTCCAGATGAATCCAACTCTTGCCATCTTGGCGAAGCACATCGACTGTGTAGTGTCCACCTGAAGCACTCAAGCCATGATGGTAGACGACACCAATGAGCTTGTACGTCGTGCGCACAATACCTCGCCGCGCCGGTGACAGTGCTTGTGAGGGCATTTCCAGCTCAAGGGGGTATCCGACCTGCTTCCAAAACTTTTGCGTACCACCAACGTTGTCGTATAGGAACCGTTTCAAGTGTAAGATGAGCACAGGTGGCAGTGTTTCGATAAAAACTTGTTTCGTAGCCGACACTTGCTGACCACTCGCATCCGTCCAGCTGTCACTGAGGATCTCTGGTTCTGGCAGTTTCCGTAGCGCATCTTCTATTGTTGAGACATCCTCAGACTGGATATCAAGCTGTAGTGGTTGGAAGGGTTCCAAAGTAACGCTGTCCTTTGCACCAGTGATTTTCAGGATGGAGCGCATATGGCCACCAAAGATGCTTGAGATGGGAGATTCAGTGATCGTGGATGTGCGCGTCACGGCCAGCTTCTGTTTCTTACCCACTTCGAGCCACTCATCCGTCACGCTGGCATTGTCCTGCTGGCTGCTTTGCCGGCTGTGCCCATTCATCTGACCAGGTGGCTTCATGGCAGTAACAAATTCCTCATGCAGGCCATCGAGCAAGAATCCGAGAAACTCTTCAGCATCTTCTTGATGACCTCGCTGCATGCTGTTGAATCGAGAATTACCACGCATGGACTGATAGACGTTGTCTGGTGAAAAGGCCTCGCCGATATCTTCGAGCGCCATCTGCTGTAAGCGCTCAGGCTTATGAACCTGCATCGCAGCAAGACGCTCCGTTACGCCAGAGAGCAATTCAAATTCTTGAATGAACATGACCATCGCATCCATCAGGGGTGTTGTGCTGCCAATTTGCTGAACAACCCGTTTCCCTATACTGGCAAATAGGTTGTAGAATGGCGGACAGTAAACAAGCACCTGTAGCACAGCATTCATGAAGCACATATTGCCCTGATTAACCAAACCTCGCGGCTGAATGATTGGTGACTTCGCAAGAGTTGCAGGATCCCAAGTGGTCAGCAAGCTCGACAAGGGCGTCAACCCATTCGTAGCAGCTTGATTGGGACCGGTGGGCGGCAATGACTTCTTGAGGATATCAGACCAGCTCGCTGGCTTGCGTACAACAGCAGGCGTCGCTAGATTGGGTATTGTCGTGTCGCTAGGGGGTGACAAGACCGGCATGGCGGGTTCTATTGAGCGATTGAAGGTCGTCGGGCTCGTCGCGGAGGGTGATTGAGGTGTCTCTTGTTTTGCATCATCTTGTGCACGGCTTTCCGAAGATAGAGTCGGGCTCTTGAGTGTCTCTGGGGATGAAGCGACCGCCTTTTGATGCTTGCGCTTTCGACGTCGCGGAGGCAGCGGTCCTGCAGACAGCCTGCGAATGTTAGTGGACAATGGAGAGGAGATGAATCAGTGCAGTGCAGAACATACCAAGGCAGCTGAGGAGCCGACATGGATGAGTGAGGATGAACGAGTGTCCCGGGCCCAAGAGAGAGAGTGTGTCTTGCTGAGATCTGGTCGTCCTGGCTTTCTTTTTGATCTTGCGACAGTCTGCCAAATTTCAATTCTGCTGCATACAACTCAAACCATTCTCTGCGACGGCTGTTTGTTGAAGCTGCAGTGAGCTAGAGTGCGGCAGGGCCATGAGGCATGATAGATCTCATGAGAGCCCTGAGCGAGGCCACTTTGCACGTATCAAAGCTATCTGACATACCGAAAGACGGCCACAAGCCCTTTGTCCAGCTCTACAGTCTGCTTGGCGAGCCATTCCTGCTCGCTCTGGACCTGCTCGACCACGAGCGTCTCTCCCAATTGAGCCTAGATGATCAATTGACTGACGTCTTTTTGTGTTCTGGCGTCAAGGGCACAAGCACTGAAATACGTCTATGCGCCTGGCACTGTACCTGTACTCACTTTGCCCTCGAGTCGTACAAGGCATACATGAGTCCATCAAATGAAGGATCAACAGATGATCTTGCAAAGCCGACGTGTAAGCACCTCATTGCATGTCAGCTTGCCCGTCATGCTGGACCACTCTTCAGAGCAAGGCAGCTCGCGGCACAAGATTGGCTCTTTGTCTAGCCTCTTTGACAATTCGCAACACATATGCTAGATATTGCGCAGCTCAATGGAACCAATTGATCGTCTGTCACTACAGGCGTGATGCTATCGTAAGCATCTTACCATAAGCGATGAGCTTGATGTGGCCGGCAAGTAGCAGTCTGATAAGTAAGTCGAGAAGCAAAACCTCTGTATCAGCCTCATGACAAGCACAACAGGTTTCAAGGCTACTCTCACAGACTCTTGGCTTCAACAATGTAGTAAAACATGGGCGAGACTGGTGCAGCCCATCTCGTAGAACCATCACCTCTTCGACGTCGACGCCGTCACACATCTTGAGCTTGCCACTCTACCCGCTTCCATTGTACTTGACCAAGCACCTCATGAGCTTCCTAGGCGACGAGATTGCTAAGCTGAAGCGGAAAGCTCCTGCGGAAAAATATCTTAAGCGCTCCGAATTGGAAGCGGCCAGACTAGCTGAATATGAAACACGACAAGATGCTTTGAAGCGCAGACGCGAGGCTACAGAGGAGGAAAAGCTAGAAGCTCTTAGAGAACGAGAGGCGAAGCGTTATAAGCCTCCGAAACGGCAAAGCCTTGACCCAGAACAGGTTGCGTCTATTCGCAAAGAACTGGTTGAGCTGGGCGAGCCCATCCTGCTGTTTGGAGAATGCCATCAAGACACGCTAGAGAGACTGGAGAATATCAAGGCAGCCAAAGAACGAGCGAGCAATACAAATGAGTCTATACTTGCAGCTGCATATGGTACACCCACTGGACTTGATGATTTAACTCTAGAGAAGCTTGAGATTTCCTTGCCTGCCAAACCTGAGCAGCTCATTGCATTTTTGAGACTACAGCTTAAAGCGTGGCAAGTACACGATAAGGACACAGATGAAGAGAAACGATACACAATGGCACGCGAACATCTAGCACGACTTATCATGCGACTACAAGCGGACAACCTGCCACCAGACGTGATGAAGAACTTGACACTGCTCTGTCGGGCGTGCCTCAAGCGCGACTTTTCAGCAGCCAATTTGAGTTACCTCAACATCAGCATCGGCAATGCTGCCTGGCCTGTTGGTCTCACATATACTGGTATTCACGAACGCGCTCAGAGAGAAAGGAAGAGTCATGAAATCAACACGGCACATGTGCTAGATGATGAGAGCACGCGGCAGTGGCTGCAAAGTCTAAAGCGTCTCTTGACATTCATTGAGAGTCAGAAATAGCTGATGAGCATTCTTGGTGAGGTTGGGAAGGAGTCTCCTCAATGATATAGGGGTCGTTTGCTATAGGCAGCTGCAGGCTGAGCTGAGCTTTACGTCTAATACTTCAAAGTGATCAAGTTCCATGCTTCATACAAGGAGATCAAAACAAAGAAGCCTCATTGTACCTCCGCATCATAGTCATAACAGCTCGAGGCAGTCGATGGAATCATGCTCTCAGAAAACCTTTGATCCTTGCAACTTTTGTCCTCAATTTCGAAACCTGCCCCCAGATTTGCTGGTCTGAAAACCAAAACTTGCCAGTTTCAAATGTTTTCCTCACCTTTCACCGTGCTTTGACGACGACGTCACGACGACCCTTTTGCGCACTGAGGAACTTTAGCAGCTAGCAATGCGATCGGAACACCAGCGCTAAGGAGTCTGCAATGACTTGGCTTTACTTTGAATAGCTACCAGTGCCTGCCACAATACTTCTTGATGCCACCGAGAAAACAGCCTGGCTACTCATGCTCTGCCTGTAGACGGTCTCACAGGCGCTGCAAGCATCATAAACCTGCTGTAGCATCTGCCAAGCTCGCTGCCAAGCAGCCTGTGCTGGCCAAAGCATTCAATGTGCCTGAATACGATCAGGAGCTAAGAGGTCTGCAAGAGCTCTACATACTGCTGGACGGCCCTATCGGACTATGGCCTGGACTCGTCAACAAGGCTGTTGAGCGCAGCGCGGCGGTGCGACATATTCTCGCAGCCTGGAACTTGTCGCGTCAAAGCGATCTAGAAATTCCGCTACGACACCTTCAATCGGCTTTTGAGTCCTTGCGACGAGAGTTGTCGGATGATGCCAACACTGACATTGGGTTTGTTGCTAGCAGCTTGCTGCTGGTTGTCTCCATCACACTGGGCCAATCTATGTCGGTCTTCAAGGCTCATCTCAGTGGTCTATGCGGGCTTATTGCGCCCAGCAAGGCTATCCCAAGGTCCGGGAGTGTCGTGGCACATGTTCTGGACGGCGAGAAGTCTACTTGGATCGAATCATCAGCGCTTGCGGCCGAGTTTCATGATTGGATCTTGCCTTTCTATACGCTCTTTCCAGCTATTGACTTTTTGGAACCATTCGCTCCGGGAGACGATTTTCTCTGGCCCAGACTACTTTACCAATTGACGCTACAACTCATGAAGGCCAAGGCGGATGCTGACATCTCCGCTGCTCGCGAGATATTCCGCAAACTTTGCATCTATCTGTCGAAACGAACGGCACCGACACTCATTGAGGAAGTCTTCAGCGAAGCTGTCTATGTATGTCTATGCACAATGCTCTCTGATCATGTTCCCGAAGCCGAGAGTCAGCTTCTTGCGACCGCACAACTCGTTTGTGGACCACTTATCTGGCCGTCTCTTTATCTAGTGTCTGCGCCTGTCGAATCAATCGGCCTGGATGGATCAAGATGAAGATGGACCCAGCGACCCACATGAGACTTGCATCGAAGACGTAAATCAATGCTTCAGTTTTGCCAGCAGGCCCATTAAGATCAACAAACTCTGCTAGTCGGAAGATACTGCGGACCATGATGCAGAAACTTGCAATGAGCTGCGCCCACAATTGACTTCGCCAATGCAGCGTATCAGAGTTCTCGGTGGGTGACTTCTTCAGCCGTCTGAACAGGGTCCAGATGATGAGAATGTAGAAGCTGAAAATGACGAGTTGCAATGCCAAGCCCGCGATAATCACCTTTCGCCCAATCTCGCGCAGATTCGCTCCCGTGGAGACTTGTACGCCAGCTCCACCGAGCTGGAGGAGGAAGCAAAACACATCATTGAGCACGAAAATCGTCGTCAGCCTTCGTGGTGCCACCAGCGCTTGCTTTTTGACATCCATTGCCGTCATGATGCGCCCGAGCGACATGTAAATCGATGCAGCCATGACTGGAGGTGCCACAAGCAACAGGAGAAGTTGCATGATGAATGGTTCAACTTTGGTCTTGTTCTCATGGGACCAGCTCCGACCGTAATAGTCAGCCGCTTCCACTACTCGTTAGCGATTGCACTTTCGACATCAAAATCGTACAGATGCAACCAAGTATCATTGGGATGAAGTACGTTGCTCGCAAGCGGAACAGGTAAAAGACATGACACAAGCAAGTGATGGCAAACAATGCCAGAAATGCTAGGCCAGCCACGCGCGATGGAACGTAGTGGTAGAAATTGTTGATGACATCCTCAACCGTCTTTGCGTCTGGGTCGACGAAACTCATGTTGGCTCGATACTGATGCAATTGGCCAATCGAGCTGCTTTATATACCTCTCTATTCCTTGGCATTTGCTTCAGCCTCCTCTGAATCCTTGGTGGACATACACTGCGGATGACCAAGACGCAAAACCTTGTCTCTTTCAGGGGCTGTCCAAGATACAAAACAACCGGCGCCTGAAGTTTACGCGCATTTGATTCGTCGAACTCCGCAACCGGGACTTTGCGATCATCAAATCAAATTGCTGGCAGTGCTGGGCCTGCTGGCTCACCTTGACGCCGAGATGCTTAAGCCATTCTCGGACGCGGCTTTACTTGGTATCAAATTACTAACAACCGTGTTGCAGAAATCGAGACGAGGTATGCATCTTTGAACGCCAAGATCCGCCGCGCTGGGGCCAATGGAGCAATTTACGTTTTCTATCTGTAAGGCTGTGGTTGGACTGATGCCGAAGCCTACAAGGTCTATCTATATATGGCTCGAGCATATTGGCTTCAAGGAAAGTTGGGATGCTCTGTGTTGAAAGCCTATCTTAAGACGGTCTACGACATGTGAAAACTGTGAGTCGATTAGCGCTCCTACATGCCACTGTGCTCAACGGCTGCATGCTTGATTCGGCTTTTCTCTTGAGCTTCACAGACGATTAGTCCTCAGTGATGCCTACATCTTTGTGCAATACGGATATGCTTCAGTGTTGGCGTGGCTGCGTTAGTCTGTGTGACATCACTTTCCAGGTTTGCAACTCCCAAATCGTCGGCTCTCGACTCCGCAAACTTCCATCTACCTACTACCCACCTCACCAACAACCTGCAAAAGAAAATGTCCTTCTCGAACCCCAACTACTCTTTCTACGCCGTGCCTGCTGCATGGCTTCTTGCTATCGTACATACTTCCACAAGAAATTGACTGTTCAACTGACAAATTAGGTGCCTCATTGGATTGCCGCTGGCATGGCCAACTCCGTTGACAAGTTTGACAACGTCGAGCCTCGTATGGCTCACGAAAATCTCAAGGCCAAGATGACTGCTGCTCAGCATGCCAAATTCCGTCGTGCCGAGGCCGCACAGATGAATGGGTTCGAGAACTTGCCTTTCTTTGCCAGTGCCGTTGTGGCTGCAAACCTTGCCAAGCTCGACAACGGCCTCGTCAACAAGTACTGTGCCGCTTACTTGATCAGTCGTGTGGTGTATAACTACTTGTACATCACGACAACTGATCTCAGCAAGAGTCCCCTTCGCTCTCTCACGTACCTCTTTGGTATTGGATCCATCTTCACCTTGTTCATCAAGGCTGGACGGGCTGCCAATGCTCTTTTGTAGATTTTCAAAAGTATGATACGCTATAGGGTATGTACATGGAGACACTTTACGGACAAGTTGCGAGACAGCCAAGCAAGTCTCTTCCATAAACATCAGTTGCAGCACAAGACTCGTCTTGAATGCCCAAGCTCAACAGGACAGGGTCATCTAAGAAGCCTTGATATGTTTGTTTTGGACTTCGCCAGCTCATTGACACAACGTAGAGCATCTCTGTTCTTCCATAGGGACCTTTGTAACCGGCTGGGCGTTTTGCAACGCCTCGGCCTTCAATCCAGAATGGCTTGCTGGATATACCAACAATACCGAATGGCGCATTGGGCGAGAAGGCCATTAGGTATGGCTCATACTCTGCGTGAAAGTACTTAAAGTTCTTTTTGTGGAAAATGGTGATGAGAAGTGTATTGTCATTGTCTGGTGTACAGGTACCTCGATTGCAAAGGGTCAATGCGAGTGTATTGGTCGATTGATGAATGCTTTCATCTTGCGAGCTGTCCAGCGAGGGCAAAAGCGCCCTGAGACACGGCTCATCTTTCGAGAGAAGGCCAATGTTGCCACCAACGGATCCATCCGTCTTGAGATCTGAAAAGACGCGTTTCGGCTGCAGATCGTGCTGGACATACGTCACAAGGGGTTGTTTTGAGTTGGCTTGAATCTGAGGGAAGAAGAGGAAAAAGTTCTTCTCCATCTTGTGATAGGCGTCTGGCCTTTGTATCTCGGTTTGCTTGGTAAATGTTTGTGGGTCAGCGACACCGTGATCGAGTGTGAAGACTGTATTGAAGTCTTGAATGGCTTGACCAAAGCATGCATACTTCGAATGGAGGCCATATGTGATGTACAACCCTTTTGGTCCGTAGAAGACTCTTGGATCACTTTGACCTTGTAGCTCTGCCAGACTCGACGTCGCCTTGTCTGTGCAATGCTTTGAGCTTGTTTGTTCGACAACAACATCCCGTATGGATTCAGGCTCGCACACCAGAGCATGAAACTCAAACTTGGCCTCGCATGTCTTTAACCCCATGAAAGTAGCATTACTGATGTAGCGAGAAGTGATAATGAAACGCTTGTCTTTTGATGGATGGGGAACAATGCTCGGATTGAATGTTCCTGCAAAGTCGACAGGCATGTATTGTCCATGCAGACCAGAGAGCGACTTGAGCGCATTCAGAGCAGGGCAAGTGGCATTGAGCAGAACCAGTATATCACGCACCGTCGGCTTCATAGCGACAAAGGCGTCTTCCTTGCGCGCAGCGAAAGGTACGCCTGTTTGAAAGATGAAGATCAGCCAGACTAAAGCGACAATCATGTAGAAGACGAGATTGTCATTCGCCCGCCGCATGATGACCGGCATAATGAGCAGACTAAAGCAGACAGAATGCTATGCAAAGAAGGGCATGTACGGGTAACGAGTTGTAGACCAGATCTAGCCTTTCGACGTCCAGACATAGGGGGAAAAGGCGCAACAGTCACAAACACCCAATTGCTACAGTCAAAAGTACTTCTTCATCTCTATACCAGCTCTTTCATATGTGCACTTCTCATAGAATGCGACGTTCTTCTCGTCACAATCTAGAATCACCTTGTAGCATCCTTGTCGCTCAGCAAGCTTCGTCAACGCGTCGATAAGCACGCGACCAAAGCCTTTGCCTTGCTGATCAGGGCGTACGGCGACATCCTCAATGTGGCCTGCGATAGCTCCGGCACGCAAGAACTTACGCTCCACAAGCAGCGTGCCTGTTGCAGCGACTTGGTCGTCACGGTCGAGAATGACGAGGACGAGGGTGTTGAGCCAGACTTGATTGGCTTGTCGAAGCTCCTGAAAGCGTTTTGTGAATGCCTCTTTGCTCAAGGGAGCTTGTGCTGGCACGAGAGCATCTAGGATAGTCAAGTAGCCTAGCAGTCAGGGAGCTGTACGAATCAAGGATTCGACTGACCGCGTTCATGGTCGTCTTGCTTGAGTGGGCGGATTGAGTAGTCTTCGGGAACTGCAGCTTGAGAGATCTTGTCGTCGACAAAGAGAGCTGTCCGACTAAAGCTCATAGTACACGGCGACTGTGCAAGGTCAAAAGCGTGAAGTCACTGGTGAGTACATGTACAAGTTCACGTGGAAGACGGTGTATGATAGTGGGCAAGCTGAAGACTGAGTTCACTACAAGTAGACACGTCGTCGTTGACTTATAACCTGCTCTAGCATGCAACTCAGGTTGTCCTGGTAACTATGGTCGTAGAGGATAGAAGCTGTGTCGTGGAATACCTGCAAGGGCAGGAACAGGCAAGCAGATGGCCACGACAGCTAATATGCTTCTTGGGGTTTGCACTCGCTACTGTGGTCTGCGGTCTCCTTGACGTTGTGCTAGGACCATCTCTGCAGATGTACATCGCCCAGCGGTACGCGCTTAACGCATGCCAAAAACCGTGCTGACTGCAGCTTCGCCAAATCCCGCTTCGCCAGGGTATATACGATGAAGCGATGGAGCGAACCCTACCATGTCTACCAACGAGCGCTCTATCCAGCCACGTCTGCCACTGCTCACGCTGCACCAAATGCTGCTGGCCCTACAAATGATTCCAAGTCTGCATGGAGCCAGATGGTTGGCAGGGAGACTAAGGGAGGATGTGCGATCTGAGTAGTGGGCATGCTTGGATGTAAGCTTGAGGATGGTTCGGACGAGTAGAGCAAGAAGATAAAGAGTGGCTTCTTTATAGCAAGAGAGCATTACGACTGCATCGTCATCGCTGCGTACCAAAGCATGGCATGATGATCCCGGTCTCGTAGGATTGGTCAATTAGCTCGGTAGTCAGATGAGATGGCAGATTGAACAAGTAATCAGCACCTACACATCGAATATAGATAGCACTTGAGACCCAGTGGCCTCTCGGTTGAGCTCGAGCACTGCCTCTGCGTGAGAGAGACGTGGCGTAGAGGTTGTTTAGGCCTAGCATCAGGCGTTCGCAGTTCAGCTCATGATCAGATGGCGAACAAACCCCACGCTACGCCCCAGTCCTGTCCTCAACGAAACTTTGGCTTCATCCAATAGAAGGTCAGTTCGCCTACAGGAGACTGAGATCATAGTCAGTGAACGCTCGATAACAGAATCTCAACTATGTGATACTCGCAATTTCCGATGCTCTGAACAGTCCTAGAGCCTGATGCAGGGGACATTAAAATCATGCACTAGCAGAAGAAGTTGAAGGAGCAGATCAGATTCAATTGTACAATCTATGGTTTATCTTTACAGATCTTAGCAAGTGACATCTATTTTTGCTCCTTGCGATGCGCGATAAACTCCTTTTGCAACGCAGAGTCAATCATCATCTCGCTCACAAAGGCAGTGGTTGGCCAGACACCCGGTGAGGTCTCCTTGCCCTTGCCAACACGACGGAGGTTGTAACCCACCTGCTTGAGGTTTGCCAATCCACCAAGAGTTGAAGGCAAGACATAAGAGTTCTTGGAAGACAAGAAGGGCTTGGGATCTTGACCACTTTGCAGGAACTTTGGCAAGTCTGGCTGCAGCGCAAGTGCGGTGGCCATACCGGCAAGCACTTTGCCAGACTGAACCACACGCTCAGCAACTTCTAGCGTGCGAATGCCGCCAGTGACCATGATGGGCACAGTCGCCACATCCAAGATGCTTTCAGCAAAGCGCAAAAAGTAAACCTCGCGTTCGATCGTGCGAGCAGATTTGTCTTGGTGAGAGCCTGCCATCGCTGGCGCCTCGTACGTGCCACCAGAAAGCTCGATGAGGTCGATGGAGCGCTTGCAGAGCTCCTCAATGACCCACCGTGCATCCTTTTCATCGAAACCTCCGCGCTGGAAGTCGGCAGAGTTGAGCTTGACTGCAACGATGAAGTCTTTGGGTAGTTCTGCTCGGATGCGCTCCACCACAGTCAAGAGTGGTTTTGCGCGGTTCTCAAGTGAACCGCCCCATGCATCCTTTCGCAAGTTGGTGAGCGGAGAGAGGAACTGACTGAATAAGTAGCCGTGTGCGCTGTGGATCTCGACACCTGATGCACCCAACTCATGCGCCATTTTGGCAGCCTCGACAAATTGTTCAATGATCTCAAGAATCTCCTCGTTGGTGAGTTCGACTGGCAAGTCAAAGGCCGAGCCTGCTATTCTGCCCATCTGGAGCTTCGTCACGGACGGTGCACGCGTCTTGAGACCGAGCAGCTTGTTCATAGCTTGCCGACCCGGCGAGTTGAGTTGCAATATAAACTTGGCACCTTCTGATGTGGCAGCTTTGATGTAGCGCCGGTAATTCTCGAGGTATCCAGGTTCCTTCTCGTTGCGCCTGTCGAGAATGACGGCGCCGGCACCGGCCATGTCGTCGCGCGAGACCATGACGTGCCCACTGATGATAAGGCCTGCACCGCCACGGCCCCAGGCCTCGTACAATTTGATGAGTTCCTCGGAGGGACTGCTGCCAGCTGCGATATTGGGCATGTTCTCCTCCATTGCAGCCTTGCTGATTCTGTTGCTGATTTGTTGGCCATTTGGCAAGGTGATGGGTTCAAAGAGGTAACTCTTGATGGGTGCCATGATGATCAACTGGGTCAAATGTGCTGAGCTACGGGGACAGGCGACTGTGCAGCTTTATAGACCTTCTGCGATGACAAATAGGCTCAAGGCTTTGAAATTGAAAAAGTAGCGGTTGACAAATTGGATCTCCATCTGCTGACTGGCACCTCGACTTTGTGCAAGCTCAAACTGTCCAGATCGAGCCGACGCCAAGATCAGATCAGTCGACATTCTGGACGCCAACCGTGTTCGCTCTGCAAGTCTGCAAGTGGTGCTGACTATGACCCAGCTGACATAAATACCCTCAATATGCCTGCTGTGTCTATGACATATCAGTTCACCCTGCCATCCTGTGGGGCGCTCTTCTTTCCCAATGCTAGTGGGGTGACTGACGCTGAAGTGCAACAGGCAAATACGCACCGAGGGGTCTTGCGAGATACTCTCAAGAGCTACAAGCGAGCAGCTGTAAAAGATTCGCTGAGCGTCATTCGCGTCTGCCAGGCATACCTGCCTCATCTGCACAAACTGCATACATCACAACAGTATAAGAGCATGCAAGTCAACTGGCGAAGCATGTTTCTGCACCACCGGCTACCAAACAAAGACTTTCCACGGCTGGACTTTCCTGGCTTATCTTATGAAGTGCTTTTTGTGCTGCTCACGTATGCGCAAGCTCTCTACAATGATGCCGTGCTGCAGGGAGACAATGCTCATGCGGCAGAACAGCTTTGTCGCGCAGCTGGAATCTTTGAGCATGTCGCAGATCAAATCTGTCCAATGCTCACTGAACGAGTCTGTCCAGAAACTTATCCAGCACTACCGAGCGCTCTCGCCAAGTTGACAATGGCCGCAGCTCAACTACATGCTTTAGCGAGTCTCAATGGAAAGACCTCGAATGCCATGCTTTGTCGCATCGCGGTCGGAGCAAGCGACCATGCTTCATCTGCTGTGGGTCTTTTGAGTGCGCACCCGACCAGAAAAGTCCTGCCTTCCGACTTGCTTGACCAGTGCAAACGGCTGAAGGCTTCGGCTCTGGCGGAAGCGTACGTTTGTCTGGCCCTTGATGCCCAGAAGCAAGGCAGCATTGGGCTTGCTGTTGGCTGTGCTTCACTCGCAGCCAAGCTTGGCCAGGGAAAGACTGATGTTACGATGTTACATGCTGAACTACGCGCGGAGAATGATCAAGTCACGTTTCAACCAGTTCCAGACGAAGCTGAAGTACAGCGACAGCTTCCTTCCGGCCGTGAATTTTGTAAAGTCAAGGTCTATGTTGCCTTGTCGGAAGATCAGGCCACCACTGGTGAGGGTCTTTATGCAGGGGAAGGCTCATATTATTGAGCGAAGGGAGTGCTGTCCGTCGTGTTCGTGTACTGATCGCTATTACAAGTGCTCCATCAACAGAAATCACGCGAAGTATGGGCTTCTGGCGATGATTTCGGCATGAACAGAGAGCATTGAGCACGACATGTAGATGCTCCTCATCTACCGCATGTCTTTCACGAATAGCAACTTGACACTGGTCTCCTGACACGACAGCATGGAAAGTTGCAAGCAACGCTGTATCTGCATGTACTGAAGTCTCATGGTTTACTACCACGAACTAGTCCCATCGAGCCACGCGAGTTGCAACACTGAGCAGAAGGTCTAGCACACTGCAGGAGAGGAACAATTAGTCCATCTTTAGTCTTCTCGGCGCTCTCGCGAAGTACCCCTGAGCAGAGCAGATATTTGATGACAGCCAGCCTCAGGTGAACCTAACGGCTCTCGTCTAGAAACAAAGCACTGAAGGGCATCGCAACAGTTATGGCAACCATGCGCTCTGCACATTTCGGCATACTGTCTATCCTGTCCTGCCTCATGCTAGGCACGTTTTTCAATGCTGTACACTCATCGCCTCCAGCTGCAGTGGCCAATTCGCAAAATGGCGATCATCCGCTCCAGGTGTTGCTCTGCAAGACAGTCGATTTCAAACTCAGGACAATCATTTACGCTGATGGGGTGCGAGATTCTTCGTCAAGCACTCAAACCAATCCCGGACCATATAAAGACGTCCTCGACGGATCTGCCTCAAGCTCAAACAGTCCCCTCAATACCGATTCTGCTGAGTCTGGGCCATTAAATCCGACAAGTTGCAAGGCTGCATGTAAGAAGGCAGTGCAGCGACATCGAGATCTCTTGGCGATCATGCCAGATCGCTGTCAAGTTGTCATTACAGACGAAATATCTCCAGCATACACACGCCCAGGTTACCAGCCAAGCACCTATGATTGGGCTTACATAAGGATTCGATGGGAGGATCTCTCAGTGATAACAAGTTGTCTCGCGCCAGGCGTCATCGATGCCTTGGCATTCGATACAGAAGGTACACATCAAGAGAAAACTCGCCGGAGATTTTGTACTGAACCGGACTTTACTGATCACCATCAATGCATGTGCAGAACTGACCTTCGTGTCCGAAGGCTCTTACCTGAAGCATTTCAAGATCCCGACTATGGACTTTTCCGCAAAGATGGTAAGGGACCATGTCGCGAAGACAATGTCATCTCCCGACTAGTTCATAATGGTTGGCAGCCTTACGGCCACCAATTTGTCGAGTGGAAGCCGTGTCTCCAAAAGGATGATGCTGATTGGGTCCCAACCGAAAAAGGCATTATGTGATACGCTACTTCAAGAATCAACAATACAGAGCATCTTCTTCCACTCTGATATCAGCAGACTTCATTTTGGGATACAAGCACTATGGCCTATCGCCTTTACCGTACATGTAGTCACTCGTGATCGATGACCTACAGTGCCCTGGCTTCCCTTAGCAAATGAATGCAGGCGATTATCAAATTCATCAATACGCTTTTAGATATGTAGACGATTGATATGATAGCTCAATGAGAGTGTAAGCCAGTGCTCTAGCAATACCGAGTGCTCTCGCCAAGTTGACAATGGCAGCAGCTCAACTACATGCCCTAGCGAGTAACAATGGAAAGACCCCGAATGCCATGCTTTGTCGCATCGCGGTCGGTGCAAGCGACTTTGCTCCATCTGCTGCGGGTCTCTTGAGTGCGCACCCGACCACAAAAGTCCTTTCGGCCGTGAATTTTGTAAAGTCAAGGTCCATGTTGCCTTGTCGCAAGATCAGGGCACCACTGGTGAGGGCCTTTATGCAGGGGAAGGCTCATGTTATTGAGCAAAGGGAGCGCTGTCCGTCGTGTTCGTGTACTGATCGCCGTTACAAGAGCTCCATTGATAGTATCATGCGAAGCATGGGCTTCTGGCGACGATCTCGGCGAGAACAGAGAGCATTGAGCACGACATGTGGATGCGCTTCATCTACCGCATGTCTTTCACGAGTAGCAACTTGACACTGGTCTCCTGACACGACAGCATGGAAAGTTGCAAGCAATGCTATACTTGCATGCACTGAAGTCTCGTGGTTCACTACCACGAACTTGTCCCATGGAGCCACGCGAACTGCAGCTGCAACATTGAGCAGAAGATCTAGCACACTGCAGGAAAGAGATGATTAGGCCAATCTTTAGTCTTTTCGGCGATCTTGCGCAGTGCCCCTGAGCAGAGCAGTTACTTAATGACAGCCAGCCTCATGTGAACCAAACGGCTCTCGTCTAGAAACAAAGTGCTGGAAAGCGTTGCACCTGCCATGGCAATCTTGCGCTCTTCGGTCCTGTCCTGCCTCATTCTGGGCACGTTTGTCAATGCTGTAGACCCATCGCCACCAGCTGCTGCGGCCGAACTGCGACGACATGATACCAACTCGGTCCAGGAACTGTCATGCAAGACAGTTGATTTCACACTCAAGACAGTCATTCGCGTCAATGTGAAACGAGACTCTTCGTCAAGCACTCAGCCCAAACCCAGAACATATAATGAGGTCCTCGAAGGACTTGCCTCCAGCTCAAACACCAAGGCCTATAGCGAGGCGACCACAGGATCCGTTTCAAGCTCGAAACCCAGGACCTATGCAGATGTGGTCAAAGGATTAGGCTCAAGCTCAAGCTCAAGCAGTCCCCTCAATACAAATTCTTCTGAGGCTGGACCATCCAATTCGCCAATTTGCGAGGTTGCTTGTAAAACGAAAGTGTGGAAGCATCGAGATCGCTTGGCCTCAAGACCAGATATCTGTCAAATTGTCATTTCAAACGATATCACTCCAGCCTACACAACCCCAGGTCGTAGGCCAAGCATCTACGATTGGGTGTACACAAGGATTGTATGGGAGGATAGCTCACTGACATGTGATTCAGAGAGTGCACATATTGCGGAACAAAAGCAAGCTCGCCAGAAGACTTGTGCTGCACCGGACTTTGATGACCATCAATGCACTTGCGAGATTGACCTTCGTGTCCGAAGGCTATTACCTGGAACATTTCAATCTCTGCCGGACGGCCATGGTTCTTTCGCTCTATATCAAATCTCGTGTCACGAAGACGATGTCCTCAAACGACTAGAATACGATGGTTGGCAGCGTCAAGGTCACCGACTCGTTGGAACGAAGCCGTGTTATCAAAAGGATGATGCTGATTGGGTTCCCAACCTGTACCAGGATATTGTGATTTGCTACTTCAAAGATCCACGCTACAGAGCATCCACTCCCATTATGGACTCATACTTCTCATTTTGGGGAGTCATGCACTCTGACTACCCGCCTTTCATCTAGCTCGATGATCTACAGTGCCCTCGTACATTACTTAGCAAATGAATGCAGGCGATTATCAGATTTACACATATCTTCTTAGTTGTGCAGACGATGCATCTCGAAGCTCAGTGAGAGTGGAAGTAAAAGCTATAAGCCGATGCCTATTTGGCGCCCGCAGACCTTTGCAGGTCAATCTCCAGGGGAGTCACCCTTTGATATCTGCAAGTCTACCAATGTTTCAACCAAACTTGACCCCAAAATTCGAGTTCTTGCCGTTGTCAAAGCTTTCCAAGGATAAACGCCAGGATCTGAGGATAGAACTACCGCGGCTCGACGACTGCAGTTGATCACATTGCAACAATTAGCCTGTAACCATCCGTGCTGAAATACGCGCCGAAAACGCTCAAGTCACACTTCAACAAGTTCCGGACGAAGCTGAAGTACAGTGACAGCTTCCTTCCGGCCGTGGAAATTGTAAAGTCAACGTCTATGTTGCCATGTCGGAAGATCAGGCCACCACTGGTGAGGGTCTTTATGCAGGGGAAGGCTCATATTATTGAGCAAAGGGAGTGCTGTCCGTCGTGTTCGTGCACTGGTCGCCATCACAAGCGCTTCATCAATAGAATCACGCGAAGCATGGGCTTATGGCGATGATCTCGGCGAGAACAGAGAGCATCGAGCACGACATGTAGATGCTCCTCATCTACCGCATGCTTTTTACGAATAGCAACTTGACACTGGTTTCATGATACAACAGCATGGAAAGTTGCAAGCAACGCTGCATTTGCATGCACTGAAGTCTCGTGGTTTACTACCACGAACTTGTCCCATCGAGCCGCGCGGTTTGCAACATTGAGCAGAAGGTCTAGCAACTCGCAGAAAAGGGACGACTGGGCTAATTTCTAGCCTTCTTGGCCATCTTGCAGTACCCCTGAGCAGAGCAGATATTTGAAGACAGCCAGCCTCATGTGGTCCAAACGGAGCGCTGGAAAGCGTTGCAACAATTATGGCAATCTTGCGCTCGGCACCTCTCGGCGTACTCTCGATCCTGTCCTGCCTCATTCTGGGCACGTTTCTCGTTACTGTAGGCCCATCACCCCCAGCTGCAGTGACCAGTTCGCACTATGGCTACCATCCGCTCCAGGGCATGCTTTGCAAGACAGTCCTTTTCAAATTCAAGGCACTCATTAAAGTCAATGTGGATCGAAAGTCTTCGTCAAGCACTCAGTCCAATCCCGGAACATATGAAGAGGTACAGGGAGGATATACCTTCAGCTCAAACCCCGAGGTCTATGGTGAGGAGACCACAGGGTCCGCCTCGAGCTCGAAACCCAAAACCTATGCAAATAGGGGTAAAGGATCAGGCTCAAGCTCAAGCTCAAGCTCACGCAGTCATATCAGACCCAACCCCGATTCTGCCAAGTCTGTGTCAGCCAGTCCGAAAAGTTGCGCGGCTGCATGTAGGAAGGAAATAAAGCGACATCGAGATCGCTTGGCCGTCCTACCAGATATCTGTCAAGTTGTCATCACACACGAAAGATCTCCAGCCTACACAACTCCAGGTCGTATATCAAGCGACTATGATTGGGCGTACACAAATATTCAATGGGAGAGGGTCACACCGACAGCAAGTTGTCGACCATCGTGCGGCATCGATGCCTTGATATGCGATTCAAAGGGTGCACATGTTGGGGATCAACAGCAAGCTCGCCAGAACACTTGTGCTTCACCAGGCTTTACTGATGACTTTGAATGCATTTGCTCATTTGACCTTCGTATCCGAAGGCTCTTACCCGATACATTTGCATTTCCATTTCCATTTCAGCATGGTTCTTTCTTCAAAAAAGGAAAAAAAGGGGGTTTTGGACCATGTGACGAAGAGATTGTCTTCTCCCGACTACAACATGGTGGTTGGCAGGGCAAAAGCATACGAATCGTCGGAAGGAAGCCGTGTCTCCAAAAGGATGATGCTGATTGGTCTCCCAACCCACGACAGCACATTCTGATTTGTTACTTCCAGGATCCACAGTACAGTCCACCTTCATCCACCCTGATCTCAGCAGAGTTCATTCTAGGATACAAACACTCTGGCCTTCCGCCGTTCACGTACATGTAGCGCATTGGTGGTCGGTGATCTACAGTGCCCTCGTACTTTACTTAACAAATGAATGCAGCGTTTATCAGATTTACACATACTTTCTTAGTTGTGCAGACGATGCATCTCAACGCTCAGTGAGAGTGGAAGTAAGTGCTCTAATTTGATGCCTCTTTGACGCTCGCGGACCTTCTTTGCAGGTCACTTTCCAGGGGAGTCATCCTTTGATATCTGCAAGTCTACCAATGTTTCAACCAAACTTGACCCCAAAATTCAAGTTCTTGCCGTTGTCAAAGCTTTCCAGGGTTAGTGCCAGGATACCGCAGCAGCGCAGCTCGACGACTGCAGCCGATCACATTGCAACAAATAGCCTGCAACTATCCACAACAATGGCAATCGCTCCAATTACAGGTATGATTTGATGTGTGTCCATTGTCTTCACGGGGACTCTTTCTCCGATGTCACCGCAAGTGCGGCCTTGCTATAACCGAGTATGCTCGAAGAGCAGCGGCCGTCTGTGTGCAATGGATCGCTCAGCCTTCCACGAACTAGATGGACTCCTGTCCAGCGTGACTGGGCTTGTAAATGACGGAACAGAAGACTCAAGAGACATGGCTCGTTTGTTAGTCCATATACTAACACTTTACAGGCAAGCTCCGTAAGCAACTCATGGTCGACCTTTCGGTGGCCTTTGGTCTGGGTATCGGCGGTGGCTATGCATTCTGGTTTGGCTATCACATCCCAGCTGTGCGCAAGCGAGACGCATACTACGCTAAGCTTGAATCTCAAGGAACTGGTAGGTTGATTTGAATGGGGATCGATGGCGTGCCGGCGAGACTTGCTTGACAGGCTCACACTGTTCGTGAACTGTCTTAGCTTGCATCGTCCTGGCCTGCGTTACCCTCCGATGCTATGACTGAGCTAACGACAGGCGGCTATGGTCAACTGTAAACTGGCGTGCTCCTTTCCTGCATAGCCCATCAATCATGGTCTTCTTCTTTTCTCCCTTGCTTCTGTGTTTCCTCGACCTCTCTGCCTGTGTGATGAACTCTTCCATGCCTTTCTATACCCTGCTAGCCATTCAACCTCACTGCCATTGCCTTCCTCTGTGCATCTTGTGTGCGAGCAAACAAAATTGACCGCCACTTGCAAGGACACGCAGACACCAGACACCACACAAGGCCAGACCCCAAGTCCTGCGCAGTCATGGCACAGTTCCTTGCCTCCATCTACGGCACAGAGCAAGACAAAGTCAACTGCTCCTTCTACTACAAAATCGGCGCTTGCAGGCACGGCGATCGCTGCTCGCGAAAGCACGTCAAACCCAATTACTCACAAACGATCCTGTGTCCGAACCTCTACCAGAACCCAGCCCATGATGCAAGTGCACGGATGGATGCGCAGCAGGTGCAACAGCATTTTGACAGTTTCTACGAGGATATGTATTGTGAGCTTGCCAAGTTCGGCGAGGTAGAGACGATTGTTGTGTGCGACAATACAGGCGATCACCTTGTGGGCAATGTCTATGCGCGGTACAAGTATGAAGAAGATGCGAGCAAAGCGGTTGCTGATCTCAATGCACGGTGGTATGCGGGCCGTCCTGTGTATGCGGAACTGAGCCCAGTGACGGATTTCAGAGAGGCGTGTTGTCGACAGCATGAACAGACGGAGTGTAATCGTGGTGGCCATTGCAACTTTATGCATCGTCGAAAGGTCAATCCTGCGTTGCATAGAGAGCTGGATATGGCACAGCGAAAACATCTAAAAGCCATTGGCAAGGACAAGAGTCCTTCTCGTTCGCCGAGCCCTGTGGGCAGGCGTCGATAGACTCTCAATAACAGCTGAGCAGCAACTTGCTCATAAATCATAACGCAGGCCTTGTATATATTTCCTTTCCCTACTGTGCTGTTTTCGACCAATCTCGTCTTCGTCTGGACCCACATGTTTAGAACTACTCGAGCAACCACGCCGTACCATCACAATGCTTTACAAGCTCATGTGATGCTATCTTGATACCACACAATCTGTGGCTAGCTTCCGTCTATAGAGTACATTCAAAAGCTCATATTGAAGATGGCGCCCAGCTTTCTACAACATGTGCCCGAGATATTACGGCATTGCGGTCTCCTAGGCTTCACTTCCTTTGGTGGACCCTCTGTACACTTCCTCATCCTTCACAAGAAGTTTGTTCAAGAGCTTGCATGGATCGATGAAGCCACCTATCAAGAGCTCTTTGCGCTGGGCTCCGCTTCACCCGGGCCAGCATCCACAACGATGGTCTTTTCCATCGCAAGTCTGCGAGGCGGCCTCTTTTGTGGCTTTGTCGCCTTCTTTTTGTGGAGCCTTCCAGCAGCCATGGCTATGCTTGGTCTAGCTCTTGGTATACGTCAAATCAATGACATCTTACCAGAATGGGTCTATCATCTTCTTTCTGGCCTGAATGCTGCTGTCGTTGGACTCATTGCACAAGCTGGTTATGCACTGGCTAAAAAGGCAGCAACAGACACGACTACTGTTATTGTTCTTTCTCTGAGTGCTGCCATTGCCACGTTGTACTCCTCCCAGTGGCTGTATCCAGTCCTGGTCGTTTCAGGAGGGCTGGTCAGTTTTATCAGCGATAATGCTAAAGCTTGGTCGGAACCAATGCGCATGCGTTTTGGCAAGACGAGACAGCAAGCAGGGCTTCAAGTGGAACAACCAGAGATTGAGCTGGAAAGTCTACAAACGCCCTCGACTGCTCAGCTTCGACGGCGGACTGCAAGGGATGTTCCTGATGTCGCATTACCTTCAAGCAAGTCACTACCGCCCACAACAACAGCTGCAGTCAGTCAAGCAGAGAGTCCATTGACTGAGGCGACCAACCAACCTCAAAGCCACATGTACCTGAATTCGTTACGCACTGGCTACATTACACTTGCAGTCTTTGCACTCATCTTAATTCTGACACTGTCCATCACTTCAGCCGTCAAGAATCCCGCTCGTGCAATCTTACTCTTCCGAAACATGCTTCTCGGTGGGACCATCATTTTTGGCGGAGGACCCGTCGTTATTCCGCTTCTCTCAACTTATGTCGTTGATCCAGGCTGGGTATCTGTCCGCGATTTTCTCATTGGTTTGAGTATCATTCAAGCCTTCCCAGGTCCCAACTTCAACTTTGCCGTTTACCTGGGTGCTCTGACCCTCAACAAAAACCCGGTCGGTGGTGCTTTTCTCGCCTGGCTTGGAATCTTCCTGCCAGGTCTCCTGCTTCGTGTGGGTATCCTGCCCTTCTGGTCCGTGCTACGTCGCTACCAAGCAACACGACAAATCCTACGTGGCGTCACCGCCGCTGCTGTTGGACTCATCTTTGCAGCCATTTATCGATTTTGCAGAACAACCATCATTACACCACCACCGGGTATCTTGACTGCCATGAATGCTGCAACGACTACAACGACAGCGACAGGGGAGGTGAATGGGAGTCAGAATATCTTGACATTACCGTGGTTCACGGTGGTTGCTGGGTTGACGTTTGTTTTGCTTGAGAAACTCAGGTGTCCGCCTGCATTGGCAGTGTTGTTGGGTGCTGTTGCTGGTGTTGCTGAGTATGGCGTTGCAAAAGGGTCTCCTATGATCCAATCATTCGGTCGTGTAGAGTAAGAACCATGCTATGTACGAGTGTTTGCAAAAAAAATGGGAGTCATCAATATCATGCATGCAGCGTCTCATCCACTCATCTCCAGTAGTGCGTCAATTGCGCCACCTACTTTATTCCCCTTTGCTTCAAGCACAAGCTCAATCACAGCGCGGTCAATTTGCTCAAACATCGCGGACAACGTGGCGAGTGTTTCTTGTCGTTCAGCTTCATCGGTACTTCCAGGTCCACCACGCTCCTGAGGGTGAGATTGGCCTGTGTTTGTTTCTTCATCATCCGGTAATGCCACCGTCGACGTCAATGTATCCTGTTTGAGTCCTGTTGCGGGCAACGTTGAGCGACGCGTTGGCAACATGGGTCGTGTACGCTCCTCCAACCCCTCCTCATCCTCTTCCCCAAACTGTATCAAATCGCGCTGACTTGCACGACGCGGTGATGAGCCGTGCATCGTAGCAGCAGCGGCAGAATCGAGATCCGCGGGCGATGGTGCCAAACTCCCACCAAACGCACCACTCTCGATATAACTCCGACTTGTTCCCTTACCACCTTGCCGTTTCGCCAACTTCTTCTCTCTGCGTAATCGCAAAGCGTGTTCTTGAACGGCTTGTTCTTCCTCTGTCATCATACTCCGTCGCAATCCTTCTTGTAGTTGTCGATCTTCCGCTGCATCTTCTGTGGGTGTGGAAGAACCTGTTCCTGCGTCTTGTGAAAAGAGTCGACCGATGCTGGATAGACTGGGTTTCGCAATATTCAACAACTCACCGGCTTTCTCAAACACAAGATCTTTTGAGGGGAGTTGAAGACGACCCGGTCCATTGGAACCACGACGTGCACCGAGACCGAGCGCTGAATCTGGTCGACTGACGGGTGGTGAGTTGAAACCAAAAATAAACGAAGAACTCGGTTGCATGGCGAGTCGTGGGGCTGGTGTGATGGGTGAAGGTGGGATTGTTGCATCTTCAAATTGAATGCGACGAATGGCCGTTTCTACTTGATGATCAAAGTCTTCCTGAGAGATGGTGAGGCTTGATTTATCGAGGTCTTCGATGAATGCAATTGCACCCAGGAGAGAGGAGAGGTAGTATTCAGCTTCGCCGTTGAGTTTATCGGGATGTCTGAAGCGTTGGATGAAATTGACGTGAGAGACCAGATTGGGGACATTGGCATGGAGCAAGGTGAGGATGAGGAATGGAATGAAACGGTCGGCAGAGGCATCGCTACCAGCGTGCTTCAATAGACCAAAGATCACTTTACAGCAATTCAAGATGCAAATAATCTTATCCCTCGGTGCACGATATTGATCGAGTTTGAGAATCTCAATGGCAGCAAGACCAATGAAGCGTTCATGCAGGTTGATGCGTTTGTCGTCTTGGTTGGGTGGTGCTGGGATATCGAGGTGTCTTTCCTTGATCCAGCTATATGTGCGTATTTTGCTCGTGAGGATTTTGTCGCGATCGAGGTCTTCGCCGTGGCCGAGTCGATCTGCTCCGCTTTTACCGATTCTCGCAGCAATGAGGGGTGGGAAGAGTTCGGCATACAGTCGATTCACAACAAGCTTCTCCATGCCTTCATTGGCATTATTGAATTCTTGCTCAGAGGCACTCTTGAAAGGCTCATACACCGCCATTTTACCACGGATGAATTCGAGGAAATCGGCGATAATCTTTTGCTGCTCCGTATTCGTCCATTGTCGCTTCTTGAATTCATTGAGAAAGGAACGCATATACTTGGCCACAGGCTCAGCGGTTTTTGCTTTTAGTTGTTCTTGAAAGCGAGTAAAGTCAAAAGGTACGTCGTTTGCTGGTTCGGGTGTGGGTTTGCGAGAGAAGGAGTAGGATTGTCGTCTGCTTCTGCTGGAGGTGGCGCCTGGTGTGGGTGGAAGTTGTTGGGACAAGATGCCTTGGAGTTCCTTTTCTGCAGATGTATCGGAGTCAACGGGTAAGTGCATGTGTGTATCGATAGGCGTCAAGGAGCGTGGTAGGTCGCTTAGTGAGTGTCGCCCAGAGGAAGGGACCTGGAGTTCCGTTGCACTTACAACAGCGTCGGCTTTCATGGCAACGGTGTCGAGCCCGTGAGCCGGCGATCCATGCGGCGTTGCTTCTTCCTCTTGCACTTTGATAGACTCCATGGCTACCGGCGCATCAGGCGTGGATGGTCGCTCTGGTGCCGTTTCATCCTCTACATTGACGAGATTTGCCTGGTCCTTCCCATCGCCAGACATGCTTCACTTGCAACTCTGTATCCCCGACCCAAGCTCCTCTTTCCTGCCTTCTCCGCTGCTTGGGCCCTCGCCTGTATGTATTTTGTTTTGTGGTGATTTCGTTGTGGTTGCAGATTGAGTCGAGGACACTTCACCGCAAACTACCAGACTACTGACTAGAACTACTGCTACCAGCTACTACTTGGACCAGCAAGATGCTCAGGAGACAAGCTGCAGCACTGAAAACAACTTCGTCCATCAGGCTCCTCTCTACAGGTGTCAGACTCCCTGACATCCAGCTCAGGAAGGACTCTCCCGGTACGCTGGTGTCTGTACCGACTCCGAAGAAATCCATCATCATTGGGATCCCTGCTGCCTTCTCCCCTGCTTGCTCCTCGATCCACATCCCGGGCTACTTGAAGCGACTCAAGGAGCTGGCCGGGAAGGGTGTCACTGCACTGACGGTGGTGAGCGTGAATGATGCCTTTGTACAAGGTGCGTATGGGAAGCAGATGCTACAGGATTACCCAGAGACACATGGCATTACGATTGATTTCTTGGCAGACCAGGATGCGGCGTGGACGAAGGCTGCTGAGCTTGAGTTTGATGCGAGTGCGATCTTGGGGGGTATGCGGTGCCGTCGCTTTGCAGCGGTGCTGGAGGATGGCGTGGTGAGGGATGTGTATGTGGAGGCTGATGGGACTGGGGTGACGACGAGTGCAGCTGAGCATGTCGCCAAGAGGCTGTGATGGGCTACTTTCTACTACTCTTCTACTCTACTCTACTCTACGCTACTCTCTACTACTCTACTACTCTACGCTACTCTCTACTACTCTACTACTCTACGCTACTACTCTACTATTCTATTCTACTACTCTTCTCTCTCTACTTCACTCCAGAATTCAGTTCGCGACCAAATCACAAAATCACAACGACCACAAAGAACAGAACAAGCACAAAAGACGCTTCACCAGTGCACAGTCAGGCACGGCAGAAGAGCAGGCAAGAGCACCGTCTGCGCATGCCATCACTGTACATCCTGCCAAGGAAACACACGCTCAACCCGGCCAAGGGAGCTCGCAGGACTTCGCATCAAATAAACATCATCACACGGGCGCGTGCCACTCAACCAGCCTGCACGCGCTCAACCCAGGCATGAGTACCTCCGTTGTGACGCGACACGACATGTCAGCACCCAACGCAATCCTCGCACCACAACAACATGACCCGATCCTCGAGTTCTTCCTCATCCCAGCCCATGCGACACACCTCGAACTAGGCCGCTGTACACGCTGCGGACACATCTTCAAGGGCCAAGATGTCGTGTTGCTCTATCGCACACAAAGCACCACCAACGTGACGAAAGTCCATGTGGGCGCTTGTACGCATCCCTATGAAATCGCCTTCCTCGTGCGTCAACCAGGCATGCTCGATGCCTCGCACCACCTGGCAGAGAAAGTCAAGATGGATGGGAGTCCGTGGATGTGGCCGCGTGATCCAGATGCTCGACCATCGGCACAGACGCTCAAAACCTTGGCTGCGTTGATTGCCTTTTTCAAGGATTACATCCAATTACGTGTAAGTCATTTCTATCCAATATGTTTCGTTCTTGTGTTAATTACCTGCAGACGGGCGTACCTGGACTAGCAGCGAAGCCCTTGGAAGAACCAAGACCAATCGCAGGTCCTTCTGGAGCAGGTGCAGCTACAGCTACAGCAGCTACAGCAGCTGCAGTAGCAACAGCATCTACAACAATCAGCGCCGTTGCAGACACCGTCACGGCACAAGTCCGTTCATCAAGGCAATACAATGACTTTCTAGCAGCACTCAAGGGACAACCAACTTCTGCCCCAAAGGATGTACAAGATCCCACCATGCCATCCCTTGTACCACTCAACAACGGTCCCGAAGGACCCATTGTACAACGATTCGAACTCATCACAAGTCCACCGTCGTCACCACATCAAGAAAACTCACGACATCGATTATCCACAGGCGCACGGGATTTTCCAATTCACATTAATGCGGCTACCTCTCGACGACGCTCAAATGGTGGGAGATTGTCGGTTGTGGATAAAGCGGCATTTGCCGATGCTATTGAGATTATGAGTAGCGATGATGAAGCTGTGACTGGAGAACAAGAGATAAGTGGTGCTACTGCGGCGAAACCTGTTGCTGCTGCGAGACCAGTAGCGCAAGCGACTGCGATAAATGGGTCTGCTGCGGTACAAGCGGTTACTCCTACTCCTGCTGCAACGACGAATCTGGTAAAGCCTGCAGCAGTGAAACCTGCTCCTGTACAAGCGAATGCTGCTGCAATAGGGACTACCTCAATACAAGCTAGTATTGCAACTGCTCAAAATACTCCTGCGTCAAGCAAGACTGTAGCAACCTCAGCGACACTACCGAAACCAGCAACACCAACAACCAAGCAAAATGGAACACCTGCACATGCGCTACCTGCTGGACCGTCGAAAGCTGCTCCATCCACTGCTGCAGTCACACAGACGACCAGTGCGGCAGGTAAAAAGACTTTGGTCCCTGGCACACCTGGTCAAAGTAGTCAATTACAACCCACACAACCAACGCCGCAACGACCCCTTACAGCAACGCAAAGACAGGTCGTGGCCATGGGCGTTGTACCAGGGACACCGAGTGTGAGTAGTCAACAACCATCCACTCAACCATCTACGCAAAAACCTGTACCTGCTGTACAGCCTGCTGCTGCTGCTGCTGCTGCTCAAAGCAACAAGTTGAATGTCCAACCTCAACCGCAAGTCTTAATGGCGAGTACAGCAGAGAGAAGCGCGAGTAGGATGGCAGCAGCCATTGCATTGTCTGCTACGTCAACGAGTGGGAAGCCGGCTCAACAAGCCATCTTGCAAACAACAAGCAAGACGGCATCCACGCCTGTGTCGAAGAATCTTCAACATCCCTCTGCGAAAAATACACCCGTTGTAGCGGCACCACGACCTGTGACCAAAGCGACAGTCACTTCGAGTGTCGTTCAGGAAAAGGCGCCGCACACTCAATCTCAACCACCTGCAAGTATTGATCGGGACAAGGCGCGGCCTTCTACAAGCCAGACACCTGCCTCTAATGCTGTAGAACGCTCAAGTACCGCTACGCATGACAAGGCTCGCTCCGCTCAGGTCCAGACGCCTGTCGCCAAAGCTGTTGTTGCTTCAAGCGTTACGCAGGAGAAGACGCCCTCATCGAACAATCAGACATCCGCTGCAAAGAGCGTCCTTGCGCAAGACAAAGCACGGTCGTCTCAAGTTCAAACACCAGTCAGCAAAGCTGCAGTTGATTCGCGTGCCACACAGGCGAAAGCATCTACATCAAGACCCCAATCTTCATCTCAAAAACCTGTAGCCAAAACACAAGATACACTTGTATCAGCTGGTACCGCAGCAGTGCTCACTGGACTCATTGATAAACTTGGACATGACCTCAAGACAGCGTCCCCGAGACCTGCAGCAGCAGCGACTGTAGCGCCTCGACCATTGCGAACAGCACCGAAATCGCCAATGATGTATCCAATCGTCTCGGAACAACCCGTCAAAGTGTTCATGACTTTGCCTAGCTCAAGCGCCAGTAAATCAAGGAGCAATCATGTCGAGCGATCGCTTGTTTCAAGTGAGGCGCAGGCTAGTCTATCTACGATAGCTATGTCGGCAGCAAAGTCACACATTCGGTCAAGAAACGGACCAAGCAATCAACCACCCGGTGAACCTGTCAATTCTCCAGAAAAAGCAGGATCTAAATCAGCAGTTTCAACGAAGGATGATGCGCCGTTGTTTCTTCCAGATGAACCAGATACACCGGTTCTTGAGCAGGTTGGTGGAAGTCGACCTACCACAGCGACACAACCTGTTCAAACGAATGGATCGAAAATACCCGGTGCGACGACTACCAAGCCCACAACAAATGGTCATGCTCCTGCAGCAACAAAGACATCAGCCCGCAAGACACACCCAGCGTCCCCTCGACCGCCGCTCAAACAAGTTGCTCAACCAACAACAAAGATGACACCACCCGTCCGTCAGTCTCCATCTCAACAACCAAATAATGAGTCAAAGAATGTATTGACTGCGTCTCAACGTGCGCGATCAGCAGCGATTACGTCCCTGACGCAGCTAGGATCAGGTCATCGCGCACCAACGCTTGAAGATGTTCAAACACGCACAACACCCTCGCATTCCGTCAAGAGTCATCCACGACCACCGAGTGTTGTGAGTAGTGCTGGCAGTACGCATGGATCTTCACAACAACCGTTACGGCCGAAATTCAGTGCTGCTTCATTAACGGCGCCGTCGTCAGTCGTACGTTTACCTACAGCCACTGCTGCAGTAGCTGTCGATGCGGAAAGTAGTGATGAAGAAGATCAAGTGAGGCCGGATGCAGCGAGCATTGAGAAGGATTATCGAGCAAGTCTAGCAGCTGCATTATTGGAAACAACAGTACAGCATCAAAGTGGTGTTGCAGCGACAAGTACGCCGATAGGTTCATTTTCAGCAGACTCACCGGTGAATGGTCTTAAACGACCTGCAGAGACACCCCTTGTGCAAAAGTTGGATCGAGCGAATGGTCAGATTGCAAAGCAGAATGGTTCACCTGCCGTACCGCGCGTTGTGGCAAAGCCTGGACCAGGTGGTTTGTCAATGAAACGCAATACTGCCATGGAGAGCTTGCAAAAATTGAAATCAGCTGCTCAATCGGCTGGCTTGACGGGAACGTCTGCATCGCATCAGCAGCAGAAACAAGGGAAATCGATTCAAGTTCGGATACCAGAGATGGGACCCTCGCGGACCTTGTCGCATTTTGCAAGTTTGACGTGTGCTGCGCAACGTGCATTTTTGGAGCAAATTGGATTGAGACCTGTACCGAGACGTGAGGCGTGGTTCATGGATGATGTGTGTCAATTACTCAAGCATGTACAAAAGACGGAGACACGGCTGGATCAGTTGGCGGAGATGATTCAGTCTTGTGATACGGTGGAAGCGGCGAGGGCGTTGTTGCAGGCACGACCTTTTACCCAGCAACTCAATCGTTTTGCGAAATCTGTGCGGAAGGAACGGGATGAGTCTGCGATTGCTGCACTATTGGCGCCACGGAACGCCTCTGTTGAAACGATGCTAGATGAATTATCGTTGTTGGCGCCTGGAGAGCTCGTTACGTTCTTTATGGTTCGTGGGCTCGGCAAGCATGATATGCAGACAGAGGACTTGGCAGGGACTGCATGGCTGCTCAAGTTGCAAAAGGCGATGAAGCTACCACAACTCCAGCAGCTGGAACAATCACCGAATCAAGCAAACAAGACTGCACAGCGACGGATCAAGCGGACTTCACGACTGGTTGACAGTGAGGATGAGCAGACCTCACCGAAGCGGCGGCGGATTGGTGGGTCGCAGCGGACACGGGAGCGGAGTGAGTCTATGTCGAGTTTGGGTGTGCAGAGTGAGGCTTCTGATGACGAGGATTATCGTGCTACGCAGCAGTAGAGCAGTAGCAGTATAGTAGTAGTAGCAGTATGAGCAGTAGCAGTATGAGCAGTAGCAGTATGAGCAGTAGCAGTATGAGCAGTAGCATAACTGTCTCCATCTGGGAGAATTTCTGTTTCCTGTGACTGCTTCTCGAGTCAACATCAAAATTTCAGCGCAGCAGCAACGACACACAACTCAACACCAAAAGCACTTGACTACACGACTCTCATACAGCCATGTCCGGAAACAAGTTCCGCATGACCCTCGGTCTCCCCGTCGGAGCCGTTATGAACTGCTGCGACAACTCAGGTGCAAAGAACCTCTACATCATCTCCGTCAAGGGCATCGGAGCCAGACTCAACAGGCTCCCTGCAGCCGGTGTCGGTGACATGGTCATGGCTACCGTCAAGAAGGGAAAGCCAGAGCTCCGTAAGAAGGTTATGCCTGCTATTGTTGTCAGGCAGCGCAAGCCTTGGCGTCGTCGAGACGGTGTCTTCCTCTACTTTGAGGACAACGCAGGTGTTATTGTCAACCCTAAGGGCGAGATGAAGGGATCAGCCATCACTGGACCAGTCGGTAAGGAGGCTTCAGACATTTGGCCCCGTATCGCGTCAAACTCTGGCGTCGTGTGCTAGATTTTTGCATTTCGCAGCCACTTTTCAGCATCTGCACAGCACTCATGCAGAGCTTTACGACAACATCAGCCATGATTCTCTTCCTAACATTGAGGATCTGGCTGGTGTGCACACATCCTTGTGGACTGTGTCTGACCTTCCGACATCGTCTACAGAATTGTTTCTATTCTCGTACTAGAAGCATTTCAATACAATCACTTTGCATACAAACCGTGTCTTCTTGCTTTCTTGTCCCGTTCATGTCCTTCTTTGGCCCAAAGTCTTCACACTGCTCATGCCAATCCGTATAGGTTCTGTTCTGCTTGCTTCATCTGAAGCGTGCCAACCACCCACCCCACCATCAACTCGCGACTTGCTTCGGGCATCGCTATTTTGCGAAAAGCAACACATTTGTTAGTTCGTCGAGTCTCACCTGATTGGCTCTTTGGCCAGCTTTCTCCATCTTCCGGCACGTCCCTGTGACTACTGTCCTGCAACCTGCTCCCCTGGATATCTCATTTCCCGGTCTTTCCAGTCAACTCCCAGGCGCTTGTTTGGGTATGCCCAAATTATTGTATGCCACGCGCGCCAATTAAGATTGTCAAACACAACCCCTGAATCTCGTCCCGCGAACAGACAAGAGATTTAAGGACAGGTATCCGCTCATGAGAACCAGGGCTTCAGTCTACTAACTCTGCACAGGCTGCCAGCCATGCACTTTCTGATTCAATGCAGCCTGGTCCTTGCCACGTTTTTTGTCTCCATCAATGCTCAGTTGCACGGCTTTGACATTTCTACCCTAGAAGACGTCCTGAATGCAGGCTGGAGTTTCCAAGACCTAGATGGCGTTGATATGCCCCTTGAACAGATTCTCATCAACCATGGTATGGAATTGGTGCGACTGAGGTAAGCCCCAAACATGTATATCTTGCCAACGGTTGCTCACACAGATCGTAGGGTCTTCACCAAAAAGAATCACTTGAAACAGCAACTCAAACTCGCTCAACGAGTGACTCAGATCAAGCCAAACATGAAGTTCTTGCTCAATCTCCATTTGAGTGACAACTGGACCAATCCCACCAAGCAAGTAAAGCCAGCCGCTTGGAAAGACCTTGAGGGCGAAGACTTGGAAGAAGCTCTGCGATCGTATGTTCACAGTACACTCTTGACCTTTTGGAATGCCAATATCACTGTCGATACAGTCTCGATCGGCAATGAGACACCTCAAGGGATTCTCTTCCCCGATGGCCAGGTCACACAGAATAATGATTCTTCCTGGTCATTCGACAACTTCAACAAGCTGTGGCTTGCCGGTCGTGCCGGCGTGGATGCTTTCAAGAGCATGACCCAGCAACAAGATACACCGAGAGTGATGCTGCACATCAACAACGGTTGGCAAACATGGCCTGAGACAGTCGTTTCTGGAATGACCAATGCTGAGATTGCAGTTCCAAAGGAAACGATTGATGTTGTTGGCTTGTCCATGTATTCCGTCTATTGGGCCAAGAAAGTGACACTCGAGGGGCTTGAAAAGACCATTCTGGGACTGGACAAGGATTTCGGGATTCCATCGATGGTGGTAGAGACGTCTTGGCCAATCAAGTGCACGAGACTCGACCAAACGGCTTTCCAGGACAAATGGCCAACCATGCCAATGTCTCCCGTTGGCCAGAAAGGCTGGGTTCGTGCTCTGCTTGATATTTTCAAAAACGTCTCAGAGGAGCTGCGACCCAAAACCGGAGTAATTTGGTGGGAGCCAGCGTACATGACCAATAAGGGAGTCGGCACAAAGTGCGAGGATATGCTGCTCTTCGAGGAAGTGGAACTCCAGGTCGCTAGGGCTCGAGAATCTATCAAGATATTTGAGAAGCTGTGATTCTAGCATGGCACATGTGGAGTCGACATTGTAGACATTTGGCCCTGGCGGTCGAGATTTAGCAGGACTATTCAATTATTCAGTTCAGATCGATGATTAACGAGAAACTGATAGGCATCATTCAAGCTTCTTTATCTCTGATCTTCTAAACAGTCATGGCGATTATGCTACCAGCTAGTTGAACGTATATGATAGACGTGCCATCTGATAGTTCACCAACCTTGGACCCAGTTGGGGACGTCGATGCTCCTCTCCATCAGTACTGAATTATACACAGCTTTGTCATGCTTACACTGTTCTTCTCGTTCTTACTTCTTTGTTCTATTAGTCGTGCTGAAACAACCGATCAACGCTCGTATTCGACTGATCAATGGGACTTTGATTGGTCCTTCTCCGGCATAGAGACATTTGCTCATCTGCCGCATGTCAAATGCTTAACTCATCCGGATGAAGCCTTCGACATTGCCATCATTGGTGCTCCGTTGTAAGTCCCTCGACAACACCAAGGGGGTTGCTCATTGTAGTGACACAGCCGTGACTTTTCGTCCAGGAGCGCGGTTTGGACCGCGTGCAATCCGTCACATGTCACAGCGTCAGACAACATTACGCGGCTTCAATGCCGCGACTGGCATCAATCCTTACAAGAACTGGGCCAAGATTATTGATTGTGGTGATATTCCTGTGCGTGAATACTGTCGCTGCCGGCATATGCTAATACTGACATCAGATCACTCCATTCGACAATGCAGTCGCACTGAAGCAGATGACCCTTGCCTTTGAACAACTCATACACGGTCCTACAGCTGCATCCAACCTGCAAGGTGGCACCGGCCGACGTATCGCTAAAGACGGCAGTCTTCTCCCACGGCTCTTGACTCTTGGTGGTGACCACTCCATTGCCCTGCCCGCATTGGCAGCGTTGCACAAGGCCTATGGACCGGTCTCAGTGCTTCATTTCGACAGTCACTTGGACACCTGGTCTCCTGCTGCCTATCCTCAACAATGGGCATCAGAAACAACGGACTTTACGCATGGCACTATGTTCCATCTTGCTGCACAGCGAGGGTATATCGCTAATGGCACAAGTGTACATGCGGGTCTACGCACTCGACTCTCTGGTGCCGACTTTGATGATTACATGCACGATCAAGAGGTAGGCTTCAAGCTGATTGAAGCGCGTGAAATGGATTCGATTGGCGCTGATGGTATTGCTGCAAATATTATGAACGTCTTGGGCAAAGACAGACCCGTTTACTTGTCCATCGATATCGATGTTTTGGACCCTTCTGTTGCTCCAGGCACGGGAACGCCTGAGTCTGGAGGATGGACAACACGGGAGATGTTACGCGTCTTGCAAGCTTTGCAAGGTCTCAATATTGTCGGAGCAGATATCGTCGAGGTCAGTCCGGCGCATGACAACCAGGGTGAAACAACCGCATTGGCTGCAGCAGACTTGGCATTCGAGATCCTTGGCATGATGGTGCAAGAGCCTGGCTTTCAGGTGGATGCCTATATTGCTCCAAAGCAATTCGTCGGTCGAAAAGCAATCAGGGATGAGAAGAAGTCATGCCTTGGATGCAGCGGTGAGCAATGTGCGTGCAAGGAAGGCAAGAAGGCATGTTGCAAGGGCAAAGCAAGCAAATTGGAGCTTTGATATCTTTCATTAGGTCTTCACAAGAATGCACTTCCCTCTAGCAGGCCCACTACGTTGTAACGATAGCCAAAGAAGGTCTCCCAGTCCACCAGTGTCTGAATTTGCTCCGGCGTTAGATCATCCAACTTGCCTTCGAGATCGCCCTCGACGTCTTTGCGCTCCAAGCTCGTCAAAGCAAGCGCACGGCTTGCCTCGCTCCCACAAAAGATATTGTAGCCCTTGCCTGGCCCGTACGCATCTTGATTTCTTGTGACATCAAAGACTTTGCCGCGAATGGCAATCAGTAGACGATTGCCTTGTTGGCTGCCCTCCGCGCCGTTACATTGCGCCAGAAATTCTCGAGAGATGGGTGTCGACTGCGGCGGATCAAGCTCGATGGGCTCCTTGGGTGCGAATCGCGGCCGTGTACGCTCTGGCTTCTGTGCGTCTGACATGCTTGTGGATGTGGTCAGCACCAAGATGCGCGACACTTCCCCGCGACGACTTTCAGCTCCTCGAGATGGAGTTCACGGTCAGAACATACTCTATTGTTCGATAGCATCATATATACACAATCATATATCTAAAAGTGCCTCGAGAGAGGCCGGCAGTATGATATCAACAGCTCACAATTGAGAAACTATGTCCACATACGCACAGTACCATCAGCACCTGCACTAAATAGCCAAGGCTGCTTGGTGTGCCAGCAAATCTCCAAAACACCCAGGCTCTGCTCTACAGCATGTCCTTTGAGAATCTTGAGTGGTACAATGAGCGCATTCTTGCTCAGATCACTGTGTACCTGGCCATGGAAGCATTGAATCGTGCCGTCATCTGCACTGCTGGCAAACAGCGGATATCTGTCGTGATACTGTACCGCTCGCACAGCCTTCGTGTGGTATTTGAGGGTTTTGTAAGGTCTCGGTGAGAGATCCAAGTCAAACCAGGCAAGCTTCTTGTCATACGAGCCAATTATCAAATTGTCGCCACCGGGATGTATGCTCATGCAACTGATCCAGCGCACACCGGATTGTAATGTGCGTTGCAATGCTTGCTTTTGCAGGTCATAAACGCGAATGTATCGCTGTGAAGCAACAAACAAGACTGGCTTCGTCGGATGGAAGAGAACCGACTGGATGGCGCCCTTGGTCTTTGCAAAAGGAGCTTGAGATGCGTGCTTTGACATCTGATGAATCAAAATACCCGACGCACTGCCATCAGGGCATACTGTTGAAAAGTAGTCGCCACGGCGGTGCCAATCCACTTGTTTAATTTGCTTGCGAACAGCCAAGACGAGCAAGAATCCTTGGTCTTGCTGTGAGTCTGTGGGTTTGAGCCACTTACATGGCGGTTCCTTCTTGGCTGCCGTTTGGGTTTGTTGTGCTTGGTAGGCGTAGCCCGTTTGAATCGCTTGCTTTGTTTCCATCTCAATTTCATCAGAGAAGAGAAGCGGTGGCGTCATCAAGTAGACATACTCGCCGGCACTGACCAGCAAGAGTCCTACTTTGGCGTTTGGACTCCATCGTACAGCGAGAACGGGCTCCTTTTCTGGCATCGGCACACTCGACAGGCATCGACCCGTCAGCACCTCCCAAAACTTGACGGTTCCATCATCTGAACCAGTCGCCAGGAAATTGCCATCTGGTGACGCATGCAAGCAACGAACCCGGCCCGTGTGTCCGCGCATGATATGCGAACATTTGGTTGGGAAGGGCCTCAGATCTTGTGGAGAGGGAAGTTTGGGGACGAGTGACTCTGGGTCGATATTGAGCTTGTTGCGACGAACACGCGGCGCCAGGTAGAGATCCAGGCAGCGCTCGAAGCGTTCTTTGAGGAGGTCGCTGTAGCCAGGGACAACACGCAAGCTGGCAAACTTCTTGGGCATAAAGTCACGATCGCGGTCTTCAGGATCTGCAGCGAGCCATGCTTCTTCTTCCTCCTTCGAGGGCAAATACTCAGCGGGTGGGTTGTAAGATTCTGCATGGCCTGGCAGAGACATTTTTGGTGCAGGAATGTTCATAATGTGGTCAGGCACAGCTACCTCATTCTCCCACACATCGTAGTGCTGCAGGCGCTTATTGTCTGATTGTGTCGACACCGGCTTGTTGGGGACAATGCGGCCTTCTCGAATAGCGCGCACAATGCGAATGACACGCTTTTGCTCGTGCTTGGAGGGTACAAAACGACTCTTGGGTTCTGTTGCACCAGAGAGCGCAGACTGCTCCACGACACCTGAAAAGTAATCGACGTAGTCCTCATATGCATTGTAATCGGCATCTGGCATCTCTGCACGTTTGATGCGCTTGATGATGTCAAGCTCTGACTCGGAGAGTTTGACATCGAGACCAGTATTGCGGTCTGTGATGCCAGTATAGCCCTCGCTGCCTTCCATTGTTTCCAGAAGTGCATCGAGCGCTTTACCAACAGCTGGGCGCATGATGCGCTTTCCATTGATGTCGTAGCCCAAGTGAGGAAGAGCGTCGTAGAGAGCAAGGTCAATGTTGCCCACAGTGTTGCCTGCTTCCTCTGTAGATGAATCACTTTCATAACCGGCCTGGATCTCTGGTCGCATCTTTCTCGGCTCACCATCGGCACCTGTCACTGTAAAAAGGGAATCGCCATCTTCAGAGTCGTCAGAATCAGTGAAGACGAGCTCATCGACATCAGGGTCCTCCTCTGAGGGATCTTCACTGCCAGCTTTGCTCGCGTCATCCTCCTCCTTAGCCTCCTGCTCGGAACCAACGTCTTCCTCGTCAGACAACGGAACAAGCTCATCGCTATCCAATTCCTCATCTTCAAGAATCTCACCACGCATCGCGGCCTCTATCGCGCGCTTGATGTCTTCCTCTGGAATATCAGATCCATGCTCACTCCCTTCATCCGCTGACTCGTCGTTGATTTCAAAGTCGTCAGACAGTAAGTCATCCTGCGCCTCAGCAACGGATGCAGTCTTTGCGGCAGCTTTCGCCTGAGTGCGAGTACGCTTCAACATAACGCGTAGATAGATGAGCCCTTCGACCTTGCTCTGGTCGTCTCTGCGCTCAACTTTTTTAGGCAAAACTTCGCACGACAAAATCAGATGGGAAGTACACAAGCACAATCATCTAACAATCATCTATATATGTGTAAAGAAGCTAGAAACGGCACAGGAGATATCCTGCACAAAAGTCACGTCTCTGAAAAAGGCGGCTCAGACATCCAATTGGCAGGTCCAAAGCAAAAGTCACGCCCGAAAGAAGAAATTAGCCAGTCACACATCTTCGCTGGTCATGTAGCATAGCTCTGGACTTGCGATTGTGGAGCCTTTTCAGCTGATCCATACTTCTCCAATTCGTCAGAGCCTTCATCAACAGCGTCAATGTAGTCATGCACCTCGGATGGCCATTTGTCGCCACACGCTGGAATGGGTGAGAGCTTGCAAAGACCGGTATAGATGACCATGGACAAGCCAAGCCCAAGGAAGAAGTTGAGGGTATACATCTTGACCACACCATTTGGAATACCCTTGACGCCAACAGCATCTGCAAACCCACCAATGTTGATGGCTACACCACAGACATAGGCCACTGCAGCACGCCAATTGATGCCATTCCAAAAGTAGTACGCACCTCGGTGATCGCCCGAGTAGAGGTCATCCACCTTGAGGTATCCCTTGCGTACAATGTAGTAGTCTGCAAAGATAACACCCGCGATGGAAGATAGGAAGGTCGAGTAGGCAGAGAGGTATGTTGTAAAGGTGGAACTGTCAGAAACCAGGATCCATGGCTTGATGAGAAGACCAACAATAGCACAGATGTAGCCAGATCGACGGATATTGAGGAACCTAGGCAAAACTGCCGTCAAGTCTGAGCCTGCACTCACGGAATTGGCTGCAATGTTGACACCAAGCTGAGCGAGAGCAAATGCTAAAGCAATGAACCAAACACCAGCGCGCGTAGCTGAGGATGGATTGTTGTCGAGCATACGCGATAGCAAGTCCAGCGGGTTCCAGAGCTTTTCACCGTAGATGTTCTCTGATGCTGAACCAACAATGACACCGACAAAGCAAGTGATTGCAAAGCCGCAAGGAATAGTAATGAGCTGAGGGTAAAAGGCTGAACTGGGTTTCCTGGCAAATCGTGTGAAATCAGGGTTGTTGACGATGAGGGTGGCGAAGTTGCTCACGCATGCCATGATGGAGGTCACCCATGCCCAGCCTCGTGTCGAGCCAGTCAATGTGCCCTTCTGGTGTACGACTGGGCCAATACCACCTGCCTTGACAAGAGCCCAGACCATGAACAAAAGGCCAGCAATCGGCACAACGATAGCCTTGACCGTGAAGAGATGTCTGATCTTATGCACCGGTGGGTAGATAAAGATGAGAGACACGAGCCAAAAGAGGAAGAAGCCAACAAAGTCTCTCGTACCGAGCCTGCCAGAATCGAGATTATTGGTGCCGATATCGTTGTACGAAAGTGCCATAGACCGGAACATCAAGACGAAGCATTGTCCGCCCAGCCAGGCCTGTACTCCGTACCAGACACATGCCATAGCGCCACGGTTGAAGATGGGCCAGAGTGAGAACCAGATACCCCAACTGGCCCGGGAAGCAACAGGGAAGGAAATGTGGTAAGTAGCTCCAATTCGGCCAGAGATACAGATGAACACAGCAACAATAGAGTATCCAATCCAAGTGGCAACCCAAGCTTCCCACCAAGACAAGCCAGCTGTCACAGATGACCCGATGATCATCCAGGTATTGAGGTTGATGCTGTCTGCGAGCCAAAACGCAACAAAGTTGCGCTTCGACCAAAGTCTTCGCGCAGGCTCGACTGGTTTCAAGTCGGCATTCTGGAGCATGGCTTCTTTGCCGCTCTGCTCGCGAGCAAGCTCGTCTGAATAGAGCCAGCTAGGAACTTGGACCATGGCTGTGACGTACTGTGGCCTGCTCTCTCACAATATATTCAACGAAGACGAAGCGTCTGGGATACTAGCAATGGTCGTGTGCGCATCAAGGACATTTGTACTGGCGAGCTCGCGAGATAACAGTTCATTTTGGTCGTTGCGTGCGATAAGCGTCAAATGCGGGACGGCGAAATGGTTCCGTCCAATCATCGAATCAGGGGTTCGGCGCGCAAGCCTCGAGCCGTTATCAGCTGCAGCCACTCGTCAAATGTGACAGCTGTTGCACTCGTCTAAGTGACAGCAGCTGAAGCTTGGGCCTCCTGGGAATCAGGCAGACTCCAACTGCGGCTGTGAGCCTGTGAGTCTGTGTCAGTCTGCAGCTGTTTCATTTTGTCTATCTCCGAAATGAAGCGATACCTCGTCTATCATCGTGACGGTCTATGTCGTCTTGCCAGAGCAGCTTAGGTCCAGCACATGACAGGACCACCTCAAATTACTGCCCTACGACCATTGATTGTACCAGTACATGTACACCAAATGACTGCCTGAATACCTCCTAAAAGTAACGCCAAGGACTATCAACACTTTTGCTGGCCTTGAAGCGACCGTACCATCGACAAACAAACCACATCCAAGCAACCAAGACGAGGTATAACGCCCAAAATCCCCAGCCATTACCGATACCAGGGCCAGTGTATCCCGGACCCAATTCTTCAGGTGTCTTGGTCAAGTTTAATGCCTGCAACACGACGCCCATGAGCTTGAGAGAGTACATGTGTACAAAGTAAAAAACGAACGGACTGGTGCCGATATCGAGCAGGACTTGGTTTGTTCCTGCGATGGTCCGGCCTGCCACTGTCACTTGTCCCGGGAAATCGCCGGGAAGGAGACTGAACGAGGTGATGAAGAGATGAATGATGGCGCTGAACAAGGTGATGTACGGCAGATCTGGTGGGTACTTGTCGGTCCAAAGAAACTCGCGAACACCTTTGCGAAACCACGAAGGCTTCACGGGCGTCAGGTTGCCCCAAGAACCAGGAACCCGCACTGCAAGGAACAGGAGCAGCATGGCCATTGCCAAGATGAAGCTGAAACTAGCTGTCCGTCGGGCTGGTAGAAGCTTGCTGACACGAGCAAAGAAGGCTCCGTACAGAACAAGCGGGAGCCAAGAAAGTGGAGGGAAGCGAGAAAGGAGGTAGCCATTGTCACTCGGGCCTGTCATCCAGAGAATCTTAACAGCGGAGCTGGCCTTCTGTCCTGGCGCAGGTGCAACCCATATCGTTGTGCACGCGCCAAGGACAGCAAGAACCAGCAAAGAGAAGGTCAGTGCATGACTGACCCAACGCTTCTGCACGCGCTGCTCGATTCCAGCAAACAGAATGACCAGCCCACCACAGATTATAAAGTCGATTCCGAGTGTGGCGATGATATCGATGAGAACCCAGACCTTCATGGCGCGCGCCCAAGGTAACGTCGCCACGAATCCAACCAACAAAAAGAGCAGGCCGCGAATGACTATATTGCGAAAGGTTTTTGCGAGTGTCCATTGTGCCTTCTTGATGCGTGCTTCAACAAAGTAGACAAGGCCGAGACCCATGAGCAGACTGAAGCCTGGCGCGCAGGTGTGTGTAACAAATCGTAGACCATAGTGATACCAGCTGCTGAGATAAAGATGCGTCCTGTCCGGGTGTACTTCATACGATTCAGTTGGATGTTCCTTGCCCGAGATGAAGAATGTATGATCAATGGCCATCAGCAAACAGATGAGGCCGCGAGTCAGATCGAAGGCCAAGATTCGGCCTGGCCGCGCATGCTCGGGCTGTTTGCCCGGCGGTACCAGAGACTCTGGTTCAATACCCCGGGTCGGCTCGCTCAGGAGCCTCGTTCTCTCGCTGGCCATGATATTTGTATACAAGTTATTGATGCGTCGTGGTCCAGGTTACACAAAGATTGAGATGCTGTCATTTTTGTACGATCGCTGACAAACGCAAAACAGATCTGATCTGAGATGCATCTGAAGAGCGCAACCTTAATCACCCTCGAGCTCGAAGATGCGACGATAGCCGTGTAAAGTTCTGGCCTTAGTCGTCAAAAAAGTAGTCTATTGAGTGGCCAGTGGATAGACTTTTGAATGGGATAAGTACCGATGCTGCGGCCTTAGCATCATGGCAACTACCTTCAGTTAGCAATGAGATACGATTTTAGGTCTCGGCGCAAGATGACCGGCCGGTCAGGTAGGTGGTACACACATGACTGATGTCAGTAGGCGGATCAAGCTTCCAGCGTCAGTCTAAGAGAATACAGGCCAAGGAAAGTATCATCACTTAAGTCTATTTGTAGATTTGGCTGCTCTGTGCCTCTAATCTGATAATGGCTGCTGCGCTTTCGATTGGTTCGCCTTTCCTTCCCCTGCAAGATCAGGCGCGGGTCACAATGAGTCACACAGAAAAATCTTGGTGAATAGATCTTAAATCTACTACTCTGTAACAATACTCCTTCTCCTGTTCCTTGTATAGCTTGCATTGCATTCTTATTGAGACAGCATGGAGGCACGCACTCATAGCAGCAGCGACTTGGTGGTCGACATGGAGAAACCAACACCATCGTCCAACAAGCTCCAAAGGACAAAGCCGAAAAGACGGCGAGGGACACCCAACTACTTTCTATTCACTCGATATCTCGGCCCTGAAGAGAAGCTGCTCTATGGGCTTGGCATCACCTGTGCTTGTCTAGCCGGTCTATGCTTTCCGTAAGCCCTCATATGCCAGTCGCTCCGCTAATTCTCTAGATCCCTTGACATCTTGTACGGAACCTTTACATCGGCAAATACAAATGTCGCCGCCACTGGATCCCTCACTGGCCAAGCTGCAGAGACAGCAAGGTCACAAGCGCGCGTTGTCGCCTTTGGGATGCTCGGTGTAGGATTTGGCGCCGCGATCTTCAACGCTGGCTTCCTCATCTGCTTCACATTAGCTGGTGAGCGTGTTGGCAACAAAATAAAACAAGCCTACTTGGAAGCCGTTCTAAGCCAAGACATTGTCTTTTTTGATAAAGTTGGCGCCGGAGAAGTCGCGTCACGGACGACAAAAGATATCGCGGCCATCCAGGCAGGTATTGGTGAAAAGGTTTCCTTCTTGGTCTGGTCATTCGCAACACTTTTAATCGGTTTGATTGTTGCATTCATCAAAGGCCCAGTGATGGCAAGTGCGTTGCTTGCACTCTTTCCCTTTGTCGGGATTTGCTACACCATCAATGTATACTTCAACAACAAGTTCACCGGGGAAGAACTGGCTGCAGATGGTCATGCTGGTAGTTTCCTCGATGGTGTTCTGGGAAGCGTGAGGATTGTTCAAGCCTTCTCTATGCAGCTGCCGCTTGTCGAACGGTTTGACCAACACCTTCTCAAGTTGCAGCATATTGGCTTCAAGAAGTCCATCATTCGAGGTGCTGAGATTGCCGTGCTCTTCTTTAGCGTCATGGCATCTCTCGCCTATGGAGCTTGGTTTGGATCTCGATTGCTCGTCAACGGTCAGATTGCGATTGGCCCATTCGCCACTGTTCTATTCAGTTTCTTGTCGGGTATCTTTTCCTTGGCCGGCATTATTCCACAAATTACAACCATCACTGAAGCGAGTCAAGTTCAAGCAACCATCTTTGCGGACATTGACCGTGTCCCCACTATCCGCTCGACGGAGGAAGGTCGGCGTGACGACTTTGAGAATGGTGTCGAAGTACGGCATGTGTTCTTCAGCTACCCAACACGTCCAACCGAGCAATCACTTGATGACGTGTCGGTTTCCATTGAAGCTAACAAGACAACTGCCATCGTTGGATTCTCTGGGTCTGGCAAATCAACAATTGCATCACTCTTGATGCGTTTCTATGAGGCACTTGAAGGTCAAGTCCTTATTGGTGGTATCGACGTTCGTGATATCAACGTGACGCACCTGCGACAACATGTCGCCATGTGTTCACAAAATCCAACCATGTTTAACGTCAGCATTTACGAAAATATCGCATATGGGCTTACTGGCACCCAATACCAAGATTGCGACGAGGAAAAGAAACGTGAGCTTGTCAGGGAAGCAGCCATTGCTGCGGATGCGCTTCCATTCATTGAAAAGATGCCTAAGGGATTCAACACTGTTGTTGGTGCGTCTGGTGGTTTCATGAGTGGTGGCCAGCGTCAACGCATTGCAATTGCGCGTGCCATCATTCGCAAACCAAAGGTCTTGATCTTGGATGAGAGTACCTCTGCTTTAGATGCATCTTCCGAGAGACGCGTGTACGCTGCTTTACAGGAAGATGCCATCAAGCATCCCAAGACCATCATCATCATTGCTCACCGCATTTCTTCCATCCGGGAGGCCAGCAAGATCATTGTGATGGGCTCCGGACGCATCTTGGAGATTGGAACACATGATGGGTTGTATGCAAAGGGCGGAGACTATACCAACTTGGTCGATCTGTCAACAAGCAACAACAACTACATGTTTGAATCTATTGATGTGCGGGGCAAGCTTCCTACAGAAGAGACTTCCAGGCAAAGTACCTACCAAGGGCCCATCTCGGCTCATCAAAATGCCGCAGAATCCGCCAACACCCATGGAGCACTCATGCGACGACGACCAACCTATACGCAAAAAGACTCAACAACACGGCAAGAGCCAGCTCCACAACCCAATCTTCTCAAAGTCCCAACTCTCATTATTGCCAATCCCAATGACCTTCAAGAACCAAGTGGCGTTGCCGACAGGAAGTACTCGCTTGGCTACCTCCTGGGTCGTTTCGGTGCCTTTTCACGACCCCAGCGTTGGACAATGATCCTTGGTTGTCTCATGGCGTTGCCAGTGGGTGGAGCCTTTCCTGCCTCATCGTATCTTTTTGGTTTGATCATTGATGCCATGTCGCTGACAGGCGATCCTGCAAAGCTCCGTCGAGACGTGGATAGGTACTCGCTCTTTCTGTTTGTGATTGGCCTCATCTGTATTGTTACTGGTGGCAGTGCAGGTTTCCTACTCACATCAGCTAGTAAGCGGCTGGTCCGACAACTGAAGCGCTCACTCTCTGCGCACTTTGTCTTGCAAGAAATTTCCTTCTTTGACGACCCAGTCAATGCCCTTGGTGGCCTGATATCAGGTCTTTCGTCACATCCAAACAATGTTGCCTCAGCAACAGGAACCGTTCTCGTCTCCATCCTCATCTCTTGCGCCAACTTGCTCGGCAGTGTTGTTCTTGGATTCATTCTATCCTGGCGTCTAGCTGTTGTGTGCTTTGCACCACTCTTCCTCTTCTTTTTGACAGGCTATGCCAATGTCCTCATTATGGAATCCTATGAAGATCAGGGACAAGACGCATCGGACCAAGCAGCGAGCTTTGCATCCGACAACATCAATGCGATTCGCGAAGTGCAGGCCTTGACGCGCGAAGAACATGTACGTGCAGAGTATGACGCCATGCTCAGCAAACTTTCTACACCCAGGCGTCGAAGAACACTATACCTTGGCAGTGCAGCGTTTGGTTTGACACAGGCACTCGTCTTTTGGGTGTCTGCCTTGACGTTCTGGTGGGGTTCTGAGCTCTTGACATCCAATCGACTGAGTGTCAGCGCTTTCTTTGCATCCTTTGAAGCTGTCATTATTGCCTCGTTCTCAACAGCACGAGCGTCTTCCTTTGTGCCGGATATATCACGAGCTTTCCACAGCTTGAAAGTGCTGTGTCGGTACTTTGATCGACAACCGCAACATCAGCATCTGGTTCCAGTCAGCGAAGAAGATGCCAAAGCAACTCCTGGCGCTGAAATTGTCTTCAAGGGCGTCAAACTCGTCTATCCATCTAGACCGGATGTTGTTGTGCTCAAGGACTTCAACCTCAGGATCCAGGCCGGTCAGCGGGTCGCCTTTTGTGGCCATTCAGGTGGTGGCAAGAGCTCTACATTGTCTTTGCTTGAGCGATACTACGACCCACAAGCAGGTTCTATAACGTTTGATGGTCAGGATATTCGCAAGGTACCACTCGATGTGCATCGTGCACGCATGTCACTCGTTAGTCAAGATGCAATCTTGTATGAAGGAACTGTCCGTTGGAACATCTCATTGGGTGCAGCGGAACCCGGTAAGGTCACACAAGCTGATCTCGAACGTGCGTGTGAAGATGCCAATATCCTCGACTTTGTCCAGTCCTTGCCCGATGGCTTTGATCAAAATATCGGTATGAAGGGGTCTCAGCTGAGTGGTGGACAAAAGCAAAGGTTGTGTATTGCTCGAGCACTGATACGAGATCCACCTATTTTGCTCCTGGATGAAGCGACGAGTGCATTGGACAATAAAGCAGAGAAGGCTGTACAGGAGGCTCTCAACCGTGCGGCACAGGGTCGAACTGTTATTACCATCGCTCATCGTTTATCCACGATTGCATCGGCAGATGTCATTTATGTTGTCGAGGGCGGCGAGATTGTGGAAGGTGGTACGCATCTCGAGCTGTTGGATCGTCGCGGCAAGTACTTTGAGCTTGTACAGGCACAGCTATGATTTAAAAAAGATACTTATAGATTGTGATGTATGATGTCACGTCTCCTGTTCTATCCCCATCCCTTGTATTTGCAAATCTAGATATTGGAGGCTATGGTCCTGGCTACAGAGACGCGTGTGCACAATCACAAATCTAAGGACGCGACTGAATTCCAGAACAAAATTCAAAATTCGTGTCGTCGTGGTTTCAATTCTCAATAGTGAGGATCTCATACGACTCTGTGTCCTCCGTAGCTCGGCTCCATAGGTAGCTTGCACTGGATTCCACGTACTCAGCAGCTAGCAACAGGTCAGTGCTCCTCCTCGAGCTATGCGAAAGACTATAGAAATTATATGCTTGTATGGTGCCTCTCTTGTTTCTTTCCTCCTCTGCATCAGTTTGGGCAAGCAGACTAGCAGACTAATCTAGTGTCTCTGTGACTCACTACAGTCTACGGCGCTTCAGGGGTCTGCACGCTCGGTCTAGCCTGCAGCTGAAGCCCAGCTGTCGTGTGGAGCCGGCAATTTGCTTTTTGACAAGAGCGACAAGGACTGTGTAGTGCGACCAGTATCTGTAGATGAACATCCCCGAGAGCGGCAAGCGGCGCACTAGCGGTGCCAGCCGCGCGTCTCATCACTCACAGCCATCCTCTTATATCGATGGACTTGCCTCCTCGCTACGGCGCGCGAGCGGGTTTGAGGCGGTCGATACGCGACAGCGAAGAAACTCTTCACGCGCTTCTGGCTCCCCTGGAGACAATCTCGAGGCGAACGGGCGGTCAGATGCGGCTGTTTCAAGGCCGTATATTTACAAGCACTTGGATCGGCAGCCTAGTGCGATTGATGAAGAAGCAGTGGTGGTCGTCGACGAAACCTCTGCACTACTGCCTTCAACTGGCGTTGATGAGCGGCATCCTTCAAGAGCACTGTCTGATATATATGACCAGGATGTATTGGATCTTGTGCTTGAAGCTAAGTCTACCCTTGCGCAGACAATCTTCAATATTATCAATCTCCTGATTGGCATTGGCCTATTGAGCTTGCCTTTGGCCATCAAGCATGCCGGATGGGTTTTAGGCATCCTCTTCCTCATGATTGGTGCAGTCATCACGGCCTATACAGCAATCTTGCTTGCACGCTCACTCGAGACGAGCGATACTGCGTATGCTTACAGCGATATTGCTGCCCTTGCTTATGGACCAGCGGCGACTGTAGCTACTGCCATTATCTTCATGCTCGAGCTACTTGCTGCTGGCTCTGCGCTCGTCATCCTCTTTGGAGACAATTTCAACGCAGTCGTTCCACAAGTGTCTTCGTTGCTGTTCAAGATTATTTGCTTCATCATCTTGCTGCCAGCAGCCTTGTTGCCGCTTCGGATTTTGAGCTATACGTCTGCTATTGGCATTCTATCAACCCTTATTCTTATTGGCGTCATCTTTTTTGATGGTTTGTACAAGACTAAGCATCCAGGATCGCTTCGAGACCCCATGCCAACAGAAGTCTTGCCAGGTCCATCGTGGCCCTTGGCGATAGGTTTGCTCATGTCTGGGTTTGGCGGACATGGCATTATGCCTCAAATTTACAGGGATATGCAAAATCGCAGAGACTTTCCCAAAGCTGTCATCATCGCATACTTGTTCTCATGCGCCATCTGCTTGTTTGTGGCAGTTATTGGCTACCTCATGTTTGGCGAGGATATTCAAGCCGAGGTAACGGTCAATCTCTTGCGCATCAAGCGGTATCCTCGCGTCCTCAACCAAATTGCGGTTCTAATGACTGCCATTACGTCTGTCACAAAAGCACCTTTGGCAATCAAGAGTATCTCTGCCAACATTGACATCTTCTTCGGCCTCAAAACTTTGCGAGAAGAGCGTACACGCGGTCCTGGTCGCGTCACGCTCTATGTCGCCATTCGGTCTGGCGTCAATTTTCTGACTTGCATGCTCGCCATTCTCGTACCGAGTTTTGATCGGATCATGTCAGTGCTTGGGTCTGCCTTTGTCTTTCTCATTAGCGTCATCTTGCCAGTCATCTTTTACATGCGCATCATGCAGTCCAAGTTGACCATTGGCAACAGACTTTGGCTTTGGGGCTTGGTTGCGATATCGACAGTATTGGCCTTGATTGGTACAGTATGGGCTTTCCTGCCGATGCAGAATGCTATGCCATGATATATAGCTTCAATAATGTAAATGTATATTGGATTCACTCTTCCCCTGATTCTCGCTGCAGGTGGCCGTGAGAAAAGTAACTTTTTCTGGGCGAGCGAGCACAAGCACAAAGACAAAAGCAAGTACATACCCTCCCTCTGATAGCAACCGCAAAGGGAATCATGGCCAAGGCACGTACAAAGAAACGCACTCACAAGGCGATTCAAGTAGATGAGAATGTACCGCGATCTATGGTCATTCAGACAAGCGCTGCCACTTCCGGCAAAGCACTCTCACAACTCGTTCGCGATACTCGATTATTGATGGCGCCGCATACAGCAGCACGGCTCAGAGAGCGTAAGAATAACAAGTTGCGTGACTACACAACCATGGCGGGTCCGTTGGGCGTCACACACCTGCTGTTGTTCAGTCAATCGACATCGGGACCGACGTTGCGTGTTGCGCGTACACCGCGTGGTCCGACTTGTTTCTTCAGGGTTCGCGAGTATTCGCTTGCCAAGGATATCAGTAAGATTCTACGAAACCCTAAATCACCGGGCCCAGAGTTTGCGCATGCCCCATTGCTTGTGATGAACAACTTTGCAGTAGGGTCAAGTAAAGAACATCCTGAGGAGGAACTCCTCAGAACGACCTTTGCAAATATGTTCCCAAACTTGAATACAGCGACTGCCAGCTTGGCGAGTATGAAGCGGGTTGTCTTGCTACACCGAACGAGTAATGAGCCTGGGGCTGATATTGAATTGCGACACTATGCCATCAACACGCGTAGTTTGGGTGCGGACAAAAAGTTGCGCAAGATTCGTGCAGGTGAGAAGCGAGTCAAGCGTGATAAAGTGCCTGATCTGAGTAAGCTTGAGGATGTCTCTGACTTCATTCTTGGTGCGGCGAACTATGACTCTGCCTCTGAATCAGAGGTGGATGATGATAGCAAAATTAGCGTGCCAAGCAGAGAGGTGCGCAAAATCAAAGTCAAGCGAGAGGAGGACGAGCCCATTGAGCAGCGTGGTGTCAAATTGGTGGAGCTTGGACCGCGCATGACCTTGTCGCTATACAAAATCACCGCTGGTATCAGTGGCGGACAAGTACTGCATCATCGTGATATTCATTTGACAAAGCAGGAGATTGAAAAGCAGAATAAGCTACATGAGCGACTTGCCAAGGAGAAGCAAGCGAGAAAGGCACAACAAGCTGAGAATTTGAAACGCAAGCGGACAGAGAAGGAGGAGAGTGGCTCAAGATCGAAGCGTGGCAAACTACGAGCGCTGGAAAAGGAGAAGAAGGAAGGCGATGCTGAAGAAGAGGAAGACGCTGAGAGCAGTATGAGCGAAGGAGAGCTCGAGGAAGAAGAATTCGGACTGGATGCTGAGAGCGAAAGCGAGGAGGAGCAAGTGGAGGATGACTTGGACGAGTAGTTCGGCATAGACTTTATCATCCATCTGAACTTGTTCGACCACATTGACCTGACGTGGCATAACCAAGCTTGTAACTGCCTTGACCAACTCATCCAAGAGCCCAATGGCACTGGAGGATGAAGCGAGAGCTGCTCAAGCTATCGATGCAGCTCTGAAAAGATCATTCTATGAGAATCATACCGGTTCAAGTGTTAGAGAAATCAATCAAATCACGCTCGTCATTCTTGCAGCACACGCCCTGTTCTCCGGCTTGAAGACTGCAGGATTCTTGGGAACTGCAGCTGATGAGATGACTTGGGGATTTGTCTGCTATATACTGAATATTGTGCTTGCTGTCACGCTCTACAACGGTCGTGGACACTTCCAGCTCCTCCTGATGTACGGCGGTGGAGCGATGCTTGTTACTCTATGGGCAGGACTCAATGGCTCATCAGCACGACGTGGCAGTCAAGACAAGTCTGCCAAGAAGAGACTAGGTTTTCTAAGCGCCTATCGGGCAATGATGATGCTGCTCACGGTGGTAGCCATCTTCGCCGTGGACACTGCACAATTCCCTCGTCGATACGCAAAAGTCGAGACATGGGGCACATCGCTCATGGATCTTGGCGTTGGCTCATTTGTATTTTCTTCAGGCCTCGTCTCTGCACGTCTGCCACAGTCGTATACCTTCTTGCAAGGTTTCCAACAGACTGGTATCTTGGGATTGATGGGCATCGTTCGAGCACTGTTGGTCAAAGGTAGTGGATATCACGAGCACACCTCCGAGTACGGTGTGCATTGGAACTTCTTCCTCACACTTGCACTGCTCCCGCCTTTGCTGCCTCTCTCTCGTTTGGTCTGGCGGCGCATCCCATCGTTTTTGGTTCAAGGCATTCTTGTGGCAATCCTCTATGAAATGGCATTACAATTGACAGGATTGCAAAATTGGGTCCTGCTGGCACAAAGAGACACACTCATCTCGGCCAACAAAGAAGGTCTAGCCTCTTTTGGAGGCTACATTGCAATCTTCCTTATGGGTCTCGATGCAGGCGCCCTCGTCCTCAAACCGACAGGCCAGAATCGAAAGGCCAGCACAATTTTGCTTCTTACAGCCTTGCTTTTCTGGTTTGCATACAGCTTCATGACCACGTTACCCATCCCAAAGAGTCTCAGGCGCCAAGGAAAGTTTCAGATTGGCGCGACTGGGCCGTGGCAGGCGAGCAGACGGCTTGCGAATGCCCCGTATATCTTTTGGGTCGCAGCCCACAACTATGGCTTCCTACTGGCATTGATGCTGATTGAGCAAGGCTTCACTTGGGTAGGAACCAAGTTCAGCAAGCCGGACAGTGCAAAAGAGCGTCGAAAGCAATTGGTACAGAAGAAGACTGGCAAGGTCGTGGCAGGTGAGAACGGTAAACCAAGCAAAGCGACAACCATCAATGAGTCCTTGCTCTTGAATCTTGTCAATAAGCATTCGCTCAAGGTCTTCCTCTTTGCAAATTTGCTTACGGGAGTTCTTAACCTCAGTCTAGGCACAAAGCTGATGAAGTTGAGTGACATGCAGGGTGTGGGTATTATCCTTGCATATAGCCTCGTCACATGTGCAGCGGCGTTCATTCTCGACAGGGTCAACTTGCCTTTTTGACGTATCATTAGATGCAGTTCCCTCACATGGATGTCACTTTTGCGCTTGCACGACAAGTCGAATGGTCCACTCTTGCTTCACCTCGACTCGCGGCTAGATGGAGCTCCTGGCCAATTCTGATTATCAGACTGTGCGATCTAGTATCGATAAAGTAATGCAGACGAGGCGCACGTAGACAATCTTCTGCGCAAGGACATCAATTTCGTCTGAAAATCTATCAATGATCAAGCTGCCCTTTCTAAATTTTTCATTCAACATACTATGCTCGTGTCAAGCTCAAGCCCAGAGAATCGGATGATGTTTTGCTTCGCCGCCGACCAGTCTTTTGATAAAACTTGCTTTGCTGTGGTGCTTCGGGCTCAACGCGTTTCGCATGTTCGTGTGCTGTCGTATATGTGCCGCCCTGCATCATGACATGCAATGAGGACCCTCCTGGTGTAATCAAGCCAGGCTTTGGCTGTACATGTTGTGAATAGACTGGCATGTCTGGTAATTGCAAACTAGCCCGTCGCTTCGGTCGCGGCTCAGTCGACATCTTCTTCATTGCACTTTTCGGCTGATGATCCGTCGTGCCAGATGTCAATGGTCGTCCGTGATGCCTGTTGTCGTCATAGCTGTAGCCATATGCAGCAAGGCCCACCCCGGAGATATCAAGGCCCCGCTGTTCCTCAAATCGAAGCGCTTCAAAGCCTTCTTTGAGTGTCATTTCAATCAGACAACGCACACGCAAGCACGCCATGGCTGGCCAAGTCGCACGCTCACCTTTTGTGCGCCAATATCGTAAAGCGTCATTCGTAGGACTCATGAGGAGTCTTGAAAAATCGCCCGCTGTAAGTTCAGGCACGAGTGTGAGTTCAGATTGTTGTGTATCGACCGCATCATGGATACTTGGGTTTGCCCAAAGAACAGAAAGTGGAATGAGTCCTGCGTTTGCTAGCTGCTTTGTGCGGTGTGAAAGCTCAAGGGCAAGGACACTGATGATCTTGAGATAGAGACCGCGTCGCGCGTGTCTATGTAAAGGCGATGATAGGAATGGCGCCAGGTATGGCCGAGCTTGTGAGGTGATGAAGTTGTTGACGTTGAAAAGCTCACTGATGCGATTGTAGGGTGTGCCTGTCGTGGCGTGTATGTGGAATTTGGTCTCGTTAAACGGCTGCCAAGGAACGACCCGTCCAGTCTCGTCCTTGCCGAGCAACGAGACTGGTTCAAAAAGGCCCGGAAGAGAATTGCTCGCAAGTGCAGCTGTCCAGATGAGCACATGTGGCGTTGTCAAGTAATTGAGTAATGCTGGCGTTCGACTCTTTGCAGTCGAGCTCACTGTAATGTTGAGCACTCTATTTGTCCTCTGAAAGGCTTCCTCAAAAGTCAGTTCACCAAGATTATCGCGACAGAGCTGGGCGAGGACCTCTGTGTCCAAGAGGTAGCCTTCATGCCAGAAACGCTTGATGCGTCGCAAGAAGGAACCACTTCCGTCGACTCGCGTTTCGTAGGCTGAGAAATCAATGTAGTCCTCATACAGCAGCTTTGGCAGTTGATAATCAGGTGTCATGCATACAATAGCTGCAACCAAAGCCCCGACACCAGTCCCACAAAGCACGCTTGGCAAGATTTCTTGCTCCCAGAGCGCCTTGACGACACCAAGATGAAACATGCCAAAGGTCACGCCGCCTTGTAGGATCAGCGCAGACTGACCATAAGACTGCCGTGTATCGCGAAAGAACTGTAGCTTCTTCTCCGTTGTCAAAATTTCTGAGGTCTGCTGTTGGCGAACATATTCGAGACATTGCATGACCTCGGAGGTGTATTCTTGTATGAGTAGCTTAGTACCGAGGTACGAGCGGTTGTAGAGCTTCTTTTCGCCAATATTAGCCAAGTTCCGTAGCAAGCCAGAGCGAAGCATATACAGCAGTGCCGGCAAGTCATTCTCGCTGCGTGCTCGTCGCAGTTTTGTGATGCGACTAGTAATGACTCGGTGATCGTACTTGCGACTGATTGGATTGCGCCGCCATACATCGTTGCCGACTTCGTAGTCTAGCCTCTCCGCTACGTCTTCATACTGTGCAAAGTTGGGTGCCCGGTCGAGCGCTTGCTTCAGGTATGCTCGAGGCCGGATCGTTCGAAACAACTTGCGCTTGTAGTGGTGGAACACATCAGCGAGTAGGATTACTACTTGCGACAGAAGCGCTAGAACCTCCATCCGCAGTGCAAGCCTTGCAGCCGTTCAAGCTTGAGCTCAAAGCGGCTCTTGTGTAGTGTGTAGATGTTGAGTAGATCTGGCACATGTCAAACTCTCCCCGCGATCGACTTCCGGCGACAACGAACCCATTGCACCTACAGCGATTCTTACAGAGCTTCGAACGAGTGTTCTATCTTCTACAAAAGAGTCTGCGGACCTGATAGTGGCTCAAGCTTTCGACAACTGGCTCGTTCACTCAGCCAGTGGGTCTCGAGAATCGCAGCACGTCCATAATGCTTTGGAACAGTGTCATGTCCACGGGACGTCTCGGCCTCCCTTGGATTCCACCAAAGACGAGACCCACAATGTTCCACTTCCACATCACAGCTGCCCCCGAATCACTTCTCTCCGTAAATGTCGACTGAAGTTCCTCACTGCAGATAGCAAATGCCCAGAAAGTTTCGGCTTGGCCGAACGGCTTTATCATCGAGGCCACAAACCTGTAGCCATTGACAGCTGCCGAGGTAGAAACAGTGCTTCTACCTGATCTGGTAACAGACTGCGTCCTTTTGAGTAGCGCGGGATCCATGAACCTGACGCAGTACCTTCCGACCTGCCCGACTGTGTTCATCTCCGTAGAAACGCTCCCCGAGTCGGCAACTTCAATCAACGCACAGTCACTGTGAGTCATCTCTGTGGCCGTGGGAAAGCGCAGATAGCCAGCGCACACCTTTGCCATGAGTCTCTGTGCACGGTACTTGTCAATTTTGGCCTGGTTTGGCAGCGACGTCGCGCGCCAGTCTGGCAGCTCTACGCCGTCCAGCGCGATCTGTGGAGGAACCTTCATGCCGATTTTGGTCCTCAGCTATTGTTTCTTCTAGATCCTTGAAGATTGGCGCCATGTCGCCGTCAGCTGGACAGACGATGTCGCAGGCTTGGTACTCTGAAAGACTCCGCATAAAGGCATCCAGGTCAGCAGGGGCCTTCTGCGCTACATGGAAGCATGTCACGGCGCATACAATTTTGCTCTGCTTGCGCTGGACGTAGTGTCTCGTTGAGGATCTCGATAGAGCCATACTTCTCGTTCCAAAAAACCTACCAGGCTTTCCGGCTGCGGTGTGATGACCAAAATGACTGGACGGCTTTAGATTCCACGAGTTCAAAGGCGTAAGTGATGCGCTGCGCGAGTTCTAGCTTGCGAAACAAAGGTACGATGGTTGATGCAATAGCATCTTCAGCCTGAGCAAAGGCATCATGTGCGCAGAACGACTTCGAGGAATGGAAATCATTCGGGGAATGTACTGATGGGAGATTGAGGTACCGATGAAGTCGGTAGTGAGGAGGGACAGGGGACAAGAACTGAGTGTGAATCGAAACAGGCGTCTGCAACGGCAGTACTGGGCCTCTTCCAGCTTGCAGATTGTAAAGAGCTGCACCGTTTGCCCGAGATAGCTGGCGCCGTCTGAGGACGCGAGATCTTCTGCGAATTCAACTGAATGAACGAGATCTTGTGCGCTAGCAGATGGATGGAATAGAAAGTAGACGTGTAGAGGCAGACGCCTGTATTGCTTCACGCTCAGCTCCTGTGCGATCTCCCTCCTCGCTACCAAGTTCGTCGACTCCTCGATCGCCAATCAGCACATGGCCGCCCGTCGAGATCATTCTGCGCACCCTTGAACGCAATGAAGCCTTTAATCAGGCGGAATTGGCAATCACTTCAACGATCTTGCCTATCTTGCGGCAGCTTGGATCGGAGGAGCAGATGACCTATGCCGTTGGACTCGTGGAGTTTAAAGGCCATCCAGCCATTCTGCTCACCTCCTCGCAGCCAGAGCGCCTTGTCGGCCAGTTGGATGAGACGTATGGCTCCATTGAAGTAAAGGTCCTCAGAGGTTCCGTATCAAGTCATGCTAGTGCTCATGAAGATACTGCGGAGAGAAGCTTGCACCGCAAGATGGGTGCCAGTCTATCTCCTGCAGGCTCGCATTCCGCTGGCACCTTGAGTCCGTACGTCCAACGTAAGCAGAGCAAGGTCGTTTGCGCCTTGACATGCTGCCACGTAGCGCACGAGGCTCCTGCCGACTTGGGTACGATCACGCGCAAACCTGCAGAGTTCGTGAATGCGACATCGTCTGTCCAGCTGAAGGCGACATGGCGCCAATCATCAAGGCTTTAGAAGCAAGGATAGCTGATGACCGATATTGGCATGCGATCTTCTCCACAGATCCCGCTGGACAGCGTAGAGCTGCCGATCGGGCGCAAGATATCGCCGAGAATGAAGCCAGGATTGCCAAGTATGGTAGGCAGAGACTGATGGGAAAGGTGTGCGCTGGCCATCTGCGCTTTCCCACGGACACGGAAATGACGTACAGTGACTGTGCGTTGATTGAGGTTGCTGATCCGGGGAGCGTTTCGAGGGCGTTGAATGCAGTCGGGCAAGATTCCTGCGACAGCTTCATGGATCCAGCGCTTCTCGAAAGGACGCAGCGTGTTACCAAATTTGCAGAAGCACTGGCCCTACCTCGGCAACTGTCAATGGCTACAGGTTTGCGGCTTCAATGGAAACGCCGTTCGGCCTCGCTGAAAGTTTCTGGGCATTCGCTGCCTGGAGTGAGGAACGTCATTCAGCGTTCACGGAGAAGGGCGACTCAGGGGCAGCCGTGGTGTGGGAGCGGAACAGGCGAGACACGAAGAAGCACTGCGGCTGGGTAACGAGAGAGAAATTTGCTACCTGTCTTCTTAAAATTGGTGCCCTTGGCGTTATGGTGGCACTCTTGTACGGAGTGGCCATTGTCCTCGCAGAACAAACCATTCATGTGCCTCCACCCCTTGCCTTCAACCTCGACAGGTGTCTGGTATGTGCGTTGGACCACGTTGGCGTGCACAGGCCTGGACCCGATGATGAGCGCCGTTGCCACCGCGTTCGACTCAAATACCTGAAGAATGACCACATGTCAGGGAAGACCTTGGCCTTGGCAGAGTGGTAGAACGAGACACTCATCTCCGTCTTTGGGAGTGCCCGGAAGAAATGCTGCTGCATTCCTTGTGTGTCTTTGTCCATATCGCGACCGCTTTGTCGTGCTTCATCGAAAATCTCTTGCATAGAGACAATCAACTTCTTGATGTCGGCCACCGACCAACTTGCGCATTGCAATTGATGTAATCTTGCATCTAGCTTGGCGCGAAGGGTAGCAGCCTCCGGAGCGTAGTGCGTTCGTACTTGCTCCAAGCAAGCGTACACCGTCTCGGTGGTGCCAGCACCGTAGGCAGATGCTGCCAGTTGTGTGATGGTCGAGTGCCATCGTGTGTGCAGGCTGACCAGAACTGCACATTGCCATAAGCCGCCAAAAGTTCAGTCGTTGTTGTTACCGGCAGTAGCACAAACGGAGACGTGCCAGAGTTCTTGATGGCAAAAATCGCCTGCTTGATGAGACGGCAGGAGAAATCAAGAGCTTCCCGCCAAAAGGCATTTTTAAGGTTTCCACCGATCAGAGCAGCGACAGTCTTGTCCTGCAATGTCTGATTGAAGCGTTCAACCGTCCCATTTTGCTGGGGCGTAAACGGCGCCGAGAACGTGTGCACAATGCCAAGCGAGTCTGTCCAGTCTCTGAAAGCGTCACCAGTGAGTTCACCACCGTGGTCCGAGCGAAAGCTGAGTACTTTGTGGTTCGACTGGTTGGTGACTAGTGCATGCCACTTCTTTACCTGGTCGAGTGTATCACTTTTCTTCACAAGTGAATACCACCAGGTGTATCCAGAGAAATCATCAACGACCACTAATACGTTCGGAGTATGACCATCAGGGTCCTTGCGGTTCATGAGGTCCATATGCACTAGTGCAAGAGGCTCAATGCGCTTGTCACTGCCAGGATGCTTCGACGGATGAGATGGCTTGCGATACTTGGCGATAGCACAAGTCTTGCAGTCAAGAACAGCTTGCTTGAATTGCTTCAAGGCATTGGCCGAAATAGTGAGCTTGTCTTGTTTTGCTAGCTGAAGCATTGACTGATAGGATGCATGGCAAAGTGATTCATGCGCCTTGAGTACGCTGGCAGAGGTGGCAGCAAGTGCAAGGGACAGACGTGAATTACTTGCTGAGCGCAAGACGAAAAGATTCTCGTTTATTGGAGCATGAATCTCCCAGTCCTGACTGATGAGGCGCATGACGGGCTCATCCCTGTTGCTGAGTACGCTAACAAAGTGCTTCTTGAGCGCACCCATGGAAACAATATTACGCGCCCACGGTGCATAGAAGACCTTACCCAAGCATAGAACTTGATCCTTTCCGTGACTATCAAGGACTGTCATTTTAAGGTTGCCATAGCTCTCAGTGTATCCAACAGAGCTGTCAGCGAATTTGACTTCCGCAACGCATTTAACAAGGTCCTGCAGGAGCGATTTTGAAGGCGTGAAATGCTCACACGCACCAGAGTCAATGATGAAGTCTTCACAAGAAGCATCATTCGTGGAGCTGCATGTCTTCATAGCCTCACTTTGAAAGAGATTGATGACTTTGGAGCACAACAAGGCGGTCGCGATATGGACAAAGACACACAAGGAATGCAGCAGCATTTCTTCCAGGCACTCCCAAAGACGGAGATGAGTGTCTCGTTCTACCACTCTGCCAAGGCCAAGGTTTTCCCTGACATGTGGTCATTCTTCAGGTATGTTGAGTCGAACGCGGTGGCAACGGCGCTCATTATCGGGTCCAGGCCTGTGCACGCCAACGTGGTCCAACGCACATACCAGACACCTGTCGAGGTTGAAGGCAAGGGGTGGAGGCACATGAATGGTTTGTTCTGCGAGGACAATGGCCACTCCGTACAAGAGTGCCACCATAACGCCAAGGGCACCAATTTTAAGAAGACAGGTAGCAAATTTCTCTCTCGTTACCCAGCCGCAGTGCTTCCTCGTGTCTCGCCTGTCGAATCTCTTGGCTCATGCTCCAAAGTCATCAATCTCATTCAAAGGAAGTAAGCCTGTTCAGCATCGAAAGGTCCGCCATTTGGCTGTGCGGTGATCATTACCAACAAAAACCCAGAAAAGTGGGGTGCTCGCGGCACTCCGGATGTTTTCCTTGGATATGACGCTGATGGACCAAACTTACGCATTTGAGATAGTCCAAGATTCGTGTCGTACCTGGCGCAAAGTTTTCCATTGACGAGTTCCCTGGCATTGTTGGCTCACCTGACCCATTATCCTCTGCAGTTCCTGAATTTCTGCAGGACGTCACCAATGATGAGGGCCATGAGGTCTTTCCTGCGCCACTCCTTGGATCACCTTTGCCAGTGGTCTCTTCTCCAAGTCCAGGTTACGTCGCTGGCAGTCCTCCGGAGGAAGTCTTTGTTGCCGAGGACGCGAGCATCTCGCATGCAGCACGCCAAACCGCTTGGTATCCTGAGACTGCTCGTGCATCACCGCCTCTTATCGAAGCGCCTTCTCCGGTGACTCATTCAAGACCTCAGTCCACATACTCCTCGCCGGTACCAGAAGTCATGCAACCGGTGGTTCAGCCGTGGAGCATATTTGACACGGTGGATTGTGACTCGTTGATCGAGCCACTACTGCCAGAGGTCGCTGATTCCGAGGTGCTTGAGGCGATTGATGCTGCAGAGCCCATCGATCTTCTAGCTGATACAAGTGTTGATGCTTCTTTCCAGTCTGCTGCGGTCTGGGACTCTGATTGGGACGAAATTTCAATTTCTTCCGACGTCAACAACCAGGATGCAGGCAACGTACTCTCTCCGCACGATGATGAGGTGACGGACGACGATTTGAGTGTCGAGGATGTGGTTCTGGATGTGAGAGAAACGGTCATGGGTCCACCTGCTTCTGCTGCTGCTCCACGCATTACTCGCTCAAGTAAGTCAACACTTGGCGGGCAAATTGCATCTGACCGAGGCGGAGTTCGTGTGGAACCTCAGTCGCATCAGCGCATGGAGTCTATGCTCTCGAGTATGCCGCCTGAGCCAATGCGTCTGTTCTTAGCAGAGGTGGTCTTCAGACACTGCGTTGACGGGGATGACGATGCAGTTAACCACTTCAACGACAACATCTCAGTAGTTCTCTATCTATCGTGGGCTTCGTCTTTGGTGGGATAGAAGGCGAGGTCGAGACGTCCCGTGGACAGAGGTTTGTGGACATCACACTATTCCAGAGCATTCTGGACATCGCTGCAATCTTCGATATCGAACCACTCTTTAGTAGGTGATGGAAGAGGCCCAGCACTGCCGTTGCAGATGCCTGTATTGCTGCACGCACAGCTCCTGTCCCCTACGTCGTGCTGATGAGCCATCGATTGCTGCCCAGGAAGTAACAAGCATCGCTCCATCGCCGTATATCAGGAGGAGTCGGAAGTGTCCATGACCGTTGTAGAGCGTGACAGCAACATAACATTGAGTATATAGCAGACAAATTCCCAAGCTATCTCATCGGCTGCACTTTCCAAGAATCCTGCAGTCTTCAAGCTGGAGAACAGGGCGTGTGCTGCAAGAATGACGAGCGTGATTTGATTGATCTCTTTGACACTTGAACCGGTGTGATTCTCATAGAAAGATCTTTTAAGAGCTGCATCGATAGCTTGAGCAGCTCTCGCTTCATCCTCCAGTGCCATTGAGCTCTTGGATGAGTTGGTCAATGGAGTTACAAGCTTGGTTGTGCCAAGTCAGGTCAACGAGTTCAGATGGATGATGAAGTCTATGCAGCCTACTTCTCCAAGTCATCCTCCACTTGCTCCTCCTCGCTTTCGCTTTCAGCATCCAGCCAGAATTCTTCTTCTTCGAGCTCTCCTTCGCTCATGCTGCTCTCAGCATCTTCCTCTTCTTCAGCATCGCCTTCCTTCTTCTCCTTTTCCAGCGCTCGCAGTTTGCCACGCTTCGATCTTGAGCCACTCTCCTCCTTCTCTGTCCGCTTGCGTTTCAAATTCTCAGCCTGCTGTGCCTTTCTCGCTTGCTTCTAATTGGCAAGTCGCTCGTGTCCTTCACAATTAGCTTTTCGATACCATGTTGTCCAATAGGCTCCTCCTCTCTTCTCGCTTGTCTCTGATTTTGCACACCCTTCTGCAGGCCAAGCAATGGCTGGACTTGTCGACAAGTGGCTCGTCAACTAAAGAGTGGTTCGATATCAAGGATTGCAGCGATGTCCAGAATGCTCTGGAATAGTGTGATGTCCACAAACCTCTGTCCACGAGACGTCTCGACCTCGCCTTCTATCCCACCAAAGACAAGGCCCACGATATTCCGCTCCCACACCACGGCTGCCCCTGAGTCGCCCTTCTCCGTGAACGCTGAATGGCGCTCCTCACTCCAGGCAGCGAATGCCCAGAAACTTTCAGCGAGGCCGAACGGCGTTTCCATTGAAGCCGCAAACCTGTAGCCATTGACAGTTGCCGAGGTAGAGCCAGTGCTTCTGCCAAACTTGGTAACACGCTGCGTCCTTTCGAGAAGCGCGGGATCCATGAACCTGTTGCAGAAGTCTTCGTCTTGCCCGACTGTATCGAACACCGTAGAAACGCTCCCCGGATCAGCAACTTCAATCAACGCACAGTCACTGTACGTCATCTCCGTGGCCGTGGGAAAGCGCAGATGGCCAGCGCACACCTTTCCCATGACTCTCTGCGCACGGTACTTGTCAATCTTGGCCTGGTTGACCGCGATGGCGCGCGCCAGATCGGCAGCTCTACGCTGTCCAGCGGGATCCGCGGAGTGAGTCTCAAGCCAACATTGGTCATCAGCTATCCTTTCTTCTAATTCTTTGTGGATTGTCGCCATGTCGCCTTCAGCTGGACAGACGATGTCGCAGGCATCGAACTCTGCAGGATTGCGCGTGATCGTGCCCAAGTCGGCAGGAGCCTCTTGCGCTACGTGGTAGCATGTCAGGGCGCATATAACCTTGCTCTGCTTGCGTTGAACGTAGGGACCCAAGGTGCCAGCGGAATGCGAGCCTGCAGGAGATAGACTGGCACCCATCTTGCGGTGCAAGCTTCTCTCCGCAGTCTCTATATGAGCACTAGCATGACTTGATACGGAACCTCTGAGGACCTGCACGTCAACGGAGCCATACGTCTCATCCAAAAGGCCTACAAGGCGCTCTGGCTGCGGTGTGATGACCAGGATGGCTGGACGGCCTTTGAACTCCACGAGTCCAACGGCATAAGTAGTCCGCTCCTCCGAACCTAGCTTGCGCAAGACAGGCAAGATGCTTGAAGTGATTGCCAGTTCCGCCTGATCAAAGGCTTCATTGCGTTCAAGTGTGCGTAGAATGATCTCGACGGGCGGGAATGTGCTGACTGGTGACCGAGGGGCCGATGAAGTCGGTAGCGAGAGGGGACAGGAGCTGAGCGTGCAGAAATACAGGCGTCTACAGCGGCAGTACTGGATCTCTGCTGGTTTGCAGATTGTACAGAGCTGTTCCGTTTGCTCGAGATAGTTGGCGCAGTCTCAGGACGCGAAATCGTTTGCATGGTTGGTCGGGTCCTATCGCTAGCTCGCAAGACGCGTGGTAGAGAGGGTAGACAAGCGTTGTGTTGTATACAAGAGAAGTCGACCATGAGTTGTTTCATGAGATCCTCCAGGGGTGACTCATGATGACTTTTTCCAGTGCTACGCACCCAACGCTGCCTATAAGATCTGGAAAGGGCGTCGAAGGACTTCGTACAAGGCAAATCATGTTTATCCCCATCAAACTCACGTTCTCTGGGTTCTTCGGCGCAAAGCTCCTTCAGTATACGTCGTGTATTGTCCTTAACGGCGCGACAGGTGCTGCTTGTATGGTCTTAGATACATGGGTCGGGACGGGCATTCTGCGTAGAACGGGTCATGCAGGCTACGGGCCTCTAGAGGCGCATCAATACGCTAATGCCGCACTGATAGGCATTCCTGCTGGAGTTGCCTGGTACTATGCAACCCAGGTTGTCGAAGCTGTGATCCCGGAACTTGGCGAGAAGCCGACGACGCAGACAGGACGTTTGCTCAAGTCTTTGACGCAGTGTGTTCTGAGTACAGGCCTAGCCACACTGGTTGGCTTTGTGGCGGCGAGAGCAGCTGAGCATCGCGGTGATGACCACTATCTTGCGGCAAGTCATGGCGCAGCTGCCTCGGCGACGGGTGAGGTGGTCGTGGCGGCTATCTGGCTGGTTGTTCTATACGTTATCGTTGGCTGCTGCGCATGCTGCATCACATCAGCTCAACCTGACCGCCGCGAAGCTTTCAGTATGGTCTAGTCAGATCGCCTCGGGCGTAGCTGTGACCTACACGTTCCGAGTAACGTCCAACGATGTGAGCTGCGACCTCACGACTTGGAGCATCGATCAGATGACACGTAATCAAGTACGTGCTGTCACTGCTCTGCTGGCCACTCCTTTGTATACTCTCTGCTTCCCTTTTCCATACTTCAAGCTCTTCTGCAATCATGACTCACGCCTCAAACAAAGATGCAGCTGCTTGAATGGTAACAGTGAAGCAAGAATCCTTCGGCCTTACAATGATGCTGCTTGGCCCTGGTCTGCGGAGCGACGATGTACGCAATGCTCAGGTTTCGTTGAATGCAACACAACATAGATGATCACTTATGAGCTGCACAATACTGACCAACTTGATGCTTCTGTGCCTTTGTACCTACGCTTCCAAACTATTCACTGACCCGTAATCACTATTGGAGAAACCTTCCAGTAGTCCTCGCTCTGCACCAGGCATGTCCGCTTGATCCTCTACATCGCGCGACAAGTGACCATAGAAGGAGATGAAGCCAACTGAAAGTCCATGAACCATGATAGATCCGAAGACAACAAAGGACACAACTGGATTCACCAATTGGATGGCTTCCTTCATTGCATGTCTTTTGCCAGTCTCTTTGAAGTCGGCGCCTAGTTCTCGTGTAATGGAGGCGGCCAGGAAGATAGCGCCAACGCCCATTGGACCCATGTGGCCAACAAAGAGCGCTTCCCTAAGGCTTCTGATCTCTGGTACCCACTTGTAAGCCAGGAGCATACCCGGAATACGCCTGAGAACGAGAATGAGGATGAGCAGCACAACCAGCTTCACAACTGTGAGACCATGGTCGTCAAACTGGTGCCAGGGAATGATGGCACCAAAGTAGAGGAAGAAGCTCGAATTGAGAACAAGGTCGATGACCGTAGGCAAGTGAGATTGCTCCGTGTGCTTCTTGAAGAATCCATCAAAGGAGAAGCCAATGCCTGCACCGAAAGCACAGAGAAAATCGTCCATGCCGAGCATCGTGCCTGCTCCAGTTGAGAAAAGAGCGAGCAGCAATGAGTAACTGAGAAATGCTTCCGGGCGCATCAATTCTCGCTCAAGGCAATAGCGAAGGAGCCTATTACTGCTCAAGCCAATGACGCCACCTACAAGCAGGCCAAGTCCGCACTTGTAGAGAATTGTGACGAGAATCCATTCTTTGACCGCTTGACCCGCTGTCGCCTTCAGGAGCAACAGGGCTGGTAAGTACAGAAATGGATAAGAAACACCATCATTCGCGCCGCTTTCTGCACCAAGCAAGTCCTTGATGTGCTGTGGTACGCGTTTGCTGAAATGCGAGTTGCCAAGCACTGAAGCGGCTAAGACTGGATCTGTTGGTGCAAGACACGCGCCAATGATAAACGCCGTCTCGAATGTTGTGCCGAGCACGAAGTAGACCAAGAGCGCCGTCGTAGCATAAGAACACAGCATGACAGGCCCGAGCATCATGAAGAGGCTCTTGTAGTTTCGCCCAAACCAATGATTTGGAAGCTCGATACCGACATTGAACACTTGTAAGCCAACAACAATCCGCGCAAGCTCCTCACTCAAGTCATCGACATCAAACCAGTGCTTTGGGTCAATTGCATGCAGGCATCGAGGCCCTGTCAAGATACCCCACAGCGTAGCAAGTGGCGGCTCGGCCAAGTGCAATCGATCTCGTATGAAGTTGGAGAAGAGTGCAAATGTAAGCAGAAAGCTGGTCAGTACAATAAAAGCACGATCACTATGATTCCAATTGATCGGGTTCCATCGTATTGACACGCTCATCAACTTGAGCTGTAGGTGTATATAGTCTCGTCATGACGTCTCAAGGAAGTTCACCTGAAGAATAGAGTCAGACTTCAGATGGGAAATTGACAAAGCGGGGGACTCTCCATGTCGCTGCACTCTGCTGCAGAATGAAACCGTACAATGGGTTCTCGCAAATAGACCCATAGTCATTTTTGTACATCTTTGAACTTCTAATGTCTCAAATTACTGGACCTGCCTGATAACGTACTATACATTCTCAGAAGCCCTCCAAAGCATCCCAGGAATCTTTTCTATAACCTTATCACCATCTTGTATCTTCATCAGACAGCCAGTGTCTTTGAAACCTATTTTGTGGTAGACAGGGTATCCAGCTGGCGTTGATTCCAGCCATACAGGCACATCCTCTTGCCTTGCATGCTGGAACGCAACACCAAGCAGTTTCTTGCCCACACCCTTCCCTTGATGGCTTGGATCAATGGTCAAGATGGACAAGTCAATAAAGTCAAAGATCCCTTGGTCTTTGAGAGCCGTTTGCTTGCCCCAACTCAATGTACTGTACAAAATGGCAAGTCGACGATTGTGCTCTTTTGCACCTTGACGATCCTGCAGATGGTGGAGCCACTCATGTGCATACGTATGCAGCTTGCAGGACTGTGCTTCGATCCATTGCAGGTAACTGATACTGTGCTCGTAGCGCTTAGTAGAATCTTGTGACTCACGTGAGAATATGATGAGGCCTACAAGCTTGCCATCATGGACGTTCTGTTGCTTCGTGTTGCAAGCTGTTGGGTCCACTGCAATGAAGTGTTTCTTGTGGCCTTCTAGAATTGAATCACGCTGTGTACGTGCCAGTGCAGTCACGTCTCGACCGAGCCACTCCATGAGCGGTGTACCGGCAAAAGCAGCCAGGCGTACTTCAGCCATGATGCCACTTTCGGCCGGTAGCGCTTCTCGAACGATGATTTCGCTCATTGCAAGCTGTAAAAGAAGCGTAGATGACTAGATATGCCTAATGCAGGTGATAAAGATGCAGACTAGATGTAGATGTGTGTCGTTGCAGACCTGCAGGCTTGGACAAATTTAAACTTTCTTGTCGGACGGCCCGAGAGGTGGAAGACGAACGGAACACGAACCAATGCAGATTGTATTGCGATAAAGATCAGCTATAGCCTAATATTGAGATTGTTATCGAAGCAGCCATCTTATGAGCTTCTCCAAAGTATTAAAATGGAGCCTAGCAGTGTAGGCTAAGTCAATGAACCAGATGCGCTCAATGTCCAAGTGAGGAAAGCTCGATTCTAAGCAGCGGACAGACTTCGGATGTCAGTAGCGATCCTGTATAGACGCATATCAACGATGATATTGAGCGGAGTTGTCGAACAAGTCCTGGCTTGATCTTCAGATAATCCTTTGATCCTGGCAAGTTTTTCAAGCACTCCCCCGGGATTTTCATCCGTTAGTCAATGACTTCCTATGAAGATTGCCAAAATCAAAGCTTTTATCAGCTGCTTGCACGGCATCAGATGCGCTATTAACGGAGAACTGCGTCCGCAAAGAGGCCATGTCTACGCCGATCGTATGGCTGGCTTTTATCTATAGAGCATCATTATGAAGACGAATCAGTTGCCGCACTCTCATACCTGCTCTGCAATAGAGTTCTACGACGAGATCTGGGTGCCCATCTGAAGTCGATGACACTTCCCGTGGACGTCATCTTCGCATTCAAGCTTAAGCTAATTAACAATTCCATCTACTCAACAGCATGGCGGTCGGGGACTTTCTACCTCTAGTTCAAGGAGCAGTCGGTCTTCTTGGTCTCTATGGCCTCTTCCTCTCGATTCATGCAATCCTCAATCTGTCTAAATACCTCTCTACCTCGCAAAAACTAGCAAAAGTATCCAGCACAGCGCAAGACCAGCTACAGCAGACGCGCAATACACAAGCTATGGCTCTCTTCAGCGTGGTATATAGTCTCGGGTCTCTTGTGTTTCTGAGATATCTCGGTCTTGCTGGTAAGGGCATCACCTTGGGTTCATGGATCTCTCTTGCCAATACAGTCGTGTCTGTTTGGTGTTATCGGACCATTAGCAAGTTTTGGACGGATAATGGAGAGGGTATTGAGAAGCTCTACAAAGGCGAATCAAGCGGGACGAGCAAAATTGCGGCAAAGCTGAGCAAAGCAGCAACAAGCACCTTGGCAAAGAGCACACCGGGCGCAGGTGAATATGCGAATGCATGGGACAAGACGAAGCGACTGAATCTGGTCATTTTACTCACCGGAGGGTTATGGACGGCGACGTGTTTGATATACAGTACATTGGGCTAAATGAGTTCACACATGTCTCTTTGAGCACACTCAGTTATCCATATCAAAGAGCAAGAACTCAGCGCGTTGCTCGCCTGTACTCTCGATCTCCAGCAATGCCTCACCCTCACCTGCTTTCCGGTCGATGTATAGGCCGTCTCCCTCGTTGAGCACTTGACCATTGACTTTTAGCTGAGAGGTACCGGTCTTGGGCGTCTTGAATCCAGAAGACATGATGTGATGAATATACCCAAACGTACGTTTCTGCACATGAGAAACTGTCTTTCCGGGTTCAAGAAGCGATGCGTACATGCTCAGGTTCGCATGGATCGGTACTGCATCCGATTCTCCGCCTTGCATGGCATCTGCAGACGCAACAACGCGTTTCAAGACATTGCGTTTCGTGTCGTCTGAGAAATCACCTGTTGCATAGCGTGGTGTGAGGCCTGCTTTGTTGGGTTTCACCCAAATTTGACAGATATGACCTTCTTGGTCTTGACTACCATTATACTCGGCATGTTGAATACCCGTCCCCGCTGAGGTCATTTGGATTTCACCGCGCTTGACGAGTTCGCTATTGCCCATGGAATCATCATGTTGAATCACACCATCAATGACATAGGTAAAGATTTCAAATTCTCGGTGTGGGTGTTTCCCAAAACCTGTGCCCTTTTCGATGAAATCTTCATTGATGACACGGAGAGGCCCGTGTTGGCTGTGTGCAGGGTCGTAGTAGTTGGCAAAGGAGAATGTATGTGCAGATTTGAGCCATCCGTGGTCGGCGATACCACGGTCAAGCGACTTGCGCAGGGTGAGCTTGAGAGGCGATACTGCTGCTGCTGCTGAAGTGGTCATGTGTTTAGCTGCGATGGATCTAATCGATTGCAGTATTGGTCTGAAGAGAGCCAGAATGAGGATGAAGAATGCAAGGACGAAGTACTTATAATTCTTGGTCATGCACCTCGAATCTTCTCTGGCGCTGAGTAATGGTTCAAGATTGATATGACGAGGTTGCTTCTTCCTTTCGCGCGCTCACACACAAAAACACAAAACAAAATGAATCTGAGATCTGGCAGCACGGGGGAATCGGGGCCAGTGCGAGATAATGCACGTGACCTGGCCACCAAGCCGGTCATCAAGGTCATGTGAGGGTCACTCTTCTTCGTAAAAATCATAAATACAGGCTATGGCTAAGCACTAGGTGATCCAGAGACAGGCCGAAGACTCAGTCCCTGCTGCCCCTCAGACGATCCGGTGACACTCGTCATGAGCGGGATCAACTGACAGCTCAAATCCTGCACACGGTCTTTGTAGCGCTCCTTGAGCAAGACCCAGCACCGTTCTACTAGTTCCTTGACTTTTGTGAATGCAGGGATACCCAGTTCCAAAGACATCATGTCGCAGTGTTGAAGGAATGCCAACCGCTGTACGGGATCCTGTAAGTATGCCCCAATCAGTGAGAAATGCTTTCCCCTGGATATTTGCTTGTTGTGTGACATGCCAAGGAGAATGCCCATCGCATTGCGTGTCGTGTGATGCAACAAATCTTCTTCGAGATGCGGCGCCATCATGAGCAAGAAGAGGTGTGTTGCACAAAAGGGCATGGTGAGATTTTCATCCACAAAGACAATAGTCGGGGAGAAGGGTGAGTTTGTCACTGACTGAACACACTCTGAGCCAGGGATCGCCAGAATCTCATCACGATGTGCTTGCAAGCGATTCAAGACTGCATTGAGCTCCAGGGCATAGGCATCAAACGACGGGTTGTCTGGACGCAGTCTGAATGGGAACTTGCGACGAAAGGCATTCATCATGATGAAGCACTCGCCACCATGGCCAAGGAGTGTTCCAACCGGCTGATTGGGTAGGTCGAAGCAGGTAGGAATTTCAGCCACTTGTTCTGGTAGCTGCATGCTTTTGATGCTGCAAACAGCCATGTTGCCGATGAGATATTCATAATTGCGACTCAGTTCAGGGTTGAGGTCCTTGTTCCGCGCACTTTGACGAAGTCGCTTTGCCAATAGTTTGTACAATTGTAGCGCTCCACGAATATGCAGTGTAATGGCATCAAACTGTCCAATCAAGCCTTCCACCTCAGACAGCACATACGTCGTACACCACATCTCGAGCAATTCCGCAATGGATAATTGCGTACCCTGCTGTAGGGCAATTAGATTTTGCCGTAGGGATTGCACAGACTGTTGGTAATACGCAACAGCGAGATCTGGAATGCCCATGCGATGGGCCGCGTAGCAGCAGATTGCATTAGAAAGGGCTTCGCTCCCTTGAGCAAGGCGAGGGAGGTAGGATGTTGCCCATGAGCTGCGCACTATGCTCTTCCCTTGTGCATCGACAATGGGTATACACCACGCTGTCATTAGCATATGACTCTTGTTGAACGGATGAACTCACTATTCATATATTCAGCCATGTTGGCGAATTGATGTAAAAAGATGCCCATCGAATCGCGTTGTCTCGTATCGCTTGGGCTGTAGAGAACCACTTCAATGGGAGGTGACGAGCCGCTCGAGTTTGGTGAGCCCTCGCTGCTTGTCGAGTGCATGTTGCATTGCTTTGACTGTCTCGCTCTCGCCGATGCAGTCGATTGCCGTACGTTGTTGATGTGATGGCCGTCTTTACTGCGAAGTGGCTCAGCATACACACAGGAACTGTTGAACTTGACGCAGCGCATACAGCGCGGTCGTTCTTCCGTGCATTTATGATGAAGCTAGCACATCACGTCAGCGCGTTATTCAGTATATCATGAGTGCCATGTCAACTTACCTGCTTGCATCGCGCGCATCCAGTGCGAGTGCGTGACTTCTTGGGCGCCGTGAGTGATACGATACGGCCTTCGTTGCGCTGCATCATGGTCATGTCCGTCTGCACTGGCGCGTTGTTCGAGGCCCGGTACTGGAACATGGCAGGTGCCGCGATGTGCTTACTCACCCCGCCTAATACGTGAATGTCGTTGCGCTGTGTGCTCTGTACGACCTTAGCATGTGTCTCCTAGTCTAGATAAGGGAAGGCGTCGGGAATAGCGATGATGCAGTGGATGACAGGCGGATGGCAGCGGCAGGTTGGCGCAGCGCGCAGTCGTGAGCTCGAGATCGAGGGAATAAGTCGGCGGCGTCGGGTCGCATGCGGTGGGAATCTAGGCCCAGGAGAGCCGATGGCCAACACTGCCTAGTCACGATGAATGCATGGAGCCTTGGCGATAGTGCTGTGGAGGCGTAGTTATGTTGATGTCACTGGGGCTATGGAGTACTTGCTAAGACTGGCTATGCTCTAGTAGTCTAGTACTGGTCTATTGGACAGTCCTTTGATGGGGGCAATTGACCCGTCCACAGTGACAGGCGACGACAGCGGAAACTGGACTTCAAGACCAAACTTGCCAATATCAAAGGATTACAACTGACCTGTCAAGACTCAAGACAAGGGCTTTGAAAGGCGCAAATCTGAGGGACAAGATGGGTGCTTGGACTGCAAAACATGGCATCCTGTATTCCTAATGCCCAGCGGAAGCGATCCCAGACTATTTTGCATAGTTGACCATCAAGCCTTCCCGAATGGAAGCCCAAATGTCCGTATAATGCGACGCTTGTGAAGCCACAGCACTGAGCTCGAGCACGGCGTTCTTGCCGGCTGTGAGTGGGCCTCGTGTTCAATGCTCCACGCATTCATAATAAGTCAAGCCAGCTCAAGTTCTTATTCATGCTCTGGAATAGCCAAGATCACTGCTCGGCTTTTCGTTTTGCGTCCATGATGCGCACAGCATCGGTACTACTGCCTCGAGTCTCCAGATTCCTATAATCACTGCCACTCTGCCCATGCGTAACAACATCAATGCCCAGCTTGTCGACTGTATTTTCTGCCTTCTGTCGCTCAAGAATGGTGCGTTCCACTTTATCGGTGACGTACAATCCGGCGCATGAGACTCCCATAAGCGAAGCAGATATGATGATACGCTGTCGAGGGGGCAATCGCAAGAAAGTCGCAAGCAACGAGTTCTTGGGCGGCGGCGTCGCTGACATTGTTTGATCTTAGGAGTGTCTGCCACCCGGGAAGGAAGTGTCGCGATCGAGTCGTGCAAGCACCTGATAAAAGCTTTGATTTTGGCAATCTTCGTAGAAGTCATCGACTTTCCGATGAAGTCGATCGACTTTTCGATGAAAGTTGGTTAGAAAACTTGTCAAAATCAAAGGATTATCTGACTTGCAAGCCAGACCTTGTCCGACTAATCCACGGAATAGCATCGTTGATTTGCGTCTATATAGGATTGCTACTGGCACCGAAGTATATCTTATCTTGGAACCGAGAATTTCCCATGTGTACGCTTGAGCCTCCGCGCAGCTATATAGGCGAGTCGTCCGCAGCTCCTCGCGTGCCAGAAACGTTCACCAGCTGCAATATTCAAGACCGCCGCCACACTGAGAGGCCAAGCTGGCACAGTATGAACAATGCGAGCGCTCATGGCTCCCAGGGAGACTTGGCACGGCGTCCTGTCAATACTTGCCCTTGCTCCTTGCCCACCACAACAGCATCTTCAAGTCGAATGCCAAACTCCCCAATGACATAAACTCCCGGCTCATTGGTCGCCACTTCGTTCATGAGCAGCGATTCCTCCATGTTGGCGCCGTTCAAGTACGGATGTTCGTGCATCTCGAGGCCTAGTCCATGACCAAGTCTGTGTGTGAAGGCATCACCGAGTCCCGCAGCGTCAAGGACAGCCCGTGCAGCCTTGTCTACAGCCGCACAAGGCGTGCCCTCGACCATTTTCTCGAGCGCTGCGCCTTGTGCAGCGTGAACGAGATGCCAAGCATCCATCAAACGATGACTGACTTTTCCCTTCTTTGGTAGAATGGTGCGCGTGACATCAGAGCCATAGCCATGTAGACTGCTGCCAATGTCAATCAAGACAAACTCACCCTCCTTCAGCACACGACCTGCACCATCATGACTACCATGAGGAGACGCTGCTTCGTCACCAAAGAGCACAATGGACCAGAAACCTGCACCGACGCCTGCAGCAGAAAAGAGGCCCTCGGCTGCTTCTGTGACGTGTCCTTGGGTCATGCCCACCTCGATACATTGTTGTACAGATCGGACTAGCTCCAGTGTGAAGCGATTAATGCCTTTCAGAATTGCGAGTTCGGCGTCTGACTTGACTGCTCGTAGGGAATTGATTTGAGTGGTGGCGGGGAACACGTCAATGCCGGCATTCATTAATCCCGCTGCAATCATGAAACGTGCATGCTCATCGAGCATGATGCTATCATACGGCACTTGCTCTTGGAATACTTTGTAAGGTGACTCTTCTTCCGGCCAAGCATAGACGTGCACATTCTCAGCGACTAACGGCAGTCGCTCAATGCGACCTAGCTCAAATTTAGGTGCGAGATAAGAAACTTGCGCGTCCCGGCTAATCATCAACAGATAGGGCCGCTCAGAGAGCTCATAGCTTGCTGAGATGTTGAAGTAGTAAGCTGTTGACGCACTTGGCTCTGCAATGAATGCATCGACACCAGCTTCGTCCAGCGCTGCTGCCAATCGTGTTTGACGAGCGAGGAATTCGCCGCGCGAGATTGCAGGGACATCCAGCAGACTCATGTGATGCGACAAGGTGGTCCATGCGCAGCTTTTCAAGGACCCAGCTGAGCTATTCTGTGAATCTGGCAGATCCTTGGCCGGTGGTAGCGAGCGCGGTAGAAGCAAATAGACAGCAATCATGATGAGCAGTGCACATGCAGTAGGCCTGCGCCATTTGGCCGGTACAGGGGTGCTTTGCGGGCGACCTTCCTGCAGCTGCTGTGTATCCTGCTCTAGCTTAGCTCGCATTCTATACAACCAGCACCAGCGAGTGTTTCTGTCCTATTGAGTCAAGTATTGACCCAGACGCTGGCAGACGGGCTGTTGGCCGCCGTGTAGTTGCTCTTCACGTGCGAATGACGAGGTTCGCTTCTTCTTGCCCTGCTCGCGCTACGTAATGCTGCTCAATGCACAATCCCGCCCTCGAACGTCAACCTTGAATCAGTCCCGAGACGCGGGTTCTATGCCTGCCGGTTTGACTCATGCCAGAATGATCGGTCAGCCGGCTCTGATCATCCTTCCTGGCAATTGTATCGCTGAGCCTCTCATGACGTTGACACACACAAGCTCATCTACGGAACGACGCAAGTAGCTCTAGACACAGGCTGTAGCACTTCTACAACTCGCGATGCCTGGATTGGCAAAGTTCATCAACCTGCCCATCCCGGGCCGCGAGCATCAGCAAACTTCCAACAGCCGGCCGACCTCTCGCAAGGCACTCAAGGAACGACGACCGCGAAATGTTCGCGACAACTTCATCAAGTCGCTGCCGACACCCTCGGGTCCATATGATGTCGGCAGTATCGACCTGGAAATCCCTGTAGACTACGAAGACTTTGGTATACGCCGCGGTGGCAAACAAGCGCTTGTGCTGGAAACTGTACTCTTTACAATCTTCTACCCAATCAAGCTTGGCACGCCCAACGAGAAGGCCCCAGACGGCAGGTCGAAATGGTCGCGCCAAACGTGGCTACCGCGGTCTCGCGGCACTGCTGCGCGCGGTTACGGCGACTTTGCGGGGGTCAACAAGGCCTTTTGTCAGGCATTCTTTTGTGGTACGGTTGGGCTGACCAAATTGCCGGCTTGGCGCAATGCACCACTTGCCAATCATTGGGCGGCTGAAGGAAATGCTCGTGATACGGGTGTTGACATCAAGGACAGAGCTGCAGAGGAGTCCGTTGATCACACACCTGTGTTCCCACTTATGTTGTTCAGTCATGGTCTTGGTGGGAACAGGAGTACTTACAGTGCGTTGTGTAGTGAGTATGCGAGCTATGGTTACATTTGTGTGGCAGTGGAGCACCGAGACGGCTCTGGACCACGGACATTCGTCAACCATCCCCTGGGAGATCCTGCTCGCGAGGTCAATTACATCCGGCCTTGGCAAGATCCAGAAGGGCCTCTCAATGGGCCATCCAAGAATGATACGTCCAATGAGGTCTCAACAGATCATGAGCTCAGAAATGCGCAAATACGTATGCGCAAGAGAGAACTTCATCATGCACGGGAGATTATGTGTAGGATCAATGCAGGCGAAGGCGCTGCGGTTGCTGCACTCAATCGACGCAATAAACAGCATACCCAAGGCAAGGAAAAGCTTGTCGGTGCCACGTCCCGTGGTACAATCGGTATCGACTGGGAGAGATGGCGCGGTGCAGTGAGTACCGACGATATCACCCTCTGTGGCCATTCTTTTGGTGGTGCCACCTGCATTTCGGCACTGAGATCTCCTGATATGCTCAAGTACGTGAGTTATGGCATCCTCCTTGATGTCTGGGGTCAAGGTCTTCCACCCAAGCCAAATGAAGAGGATGGGGAACTTGCCACTATACAGCGCCCGACCATTGCTCTGGGCTCCGAGTCTTTTCTCTACTGGGAAGAAAACAATAAGATCATGTTTGACCTTGCACGCAACACTCTCGAGATTGAGGTGCCCTTCTGGCTGCTGACTATTCGTGGATCCTTTCACATGTCCTTCAGTGACTTTGGGTTGCTCTGGCCACGACTATTCAAGTTCATGTTCAAGGCATCTGTTGATTCGCAGCGTGCCGTAGACATCATCATCAACGCCTCAATGGAATTCCTTCGCATTGTCATGCCGCAGGATAACTCACGCTGGATTCGTGCTACAAATGAAGGGCTCCTCGATGTGCAAATCAGCGACAAGTGGCGAAATATCAAGGGCAAACGCAATGACTGGATGCAGAAGATGAAAGTGCACGGCGGAGACGATTGTGAAGTGTGGATGCATGTGACTCCAACATCCGGCTATGCTGGTATTGAGGGGCATGTTCATGGTGCCACCGATGCCACTGCTTCGCCTCACCATGTGTCGACTTCTCGAACCAACGACAATACACAGCACAACAAGGATCACTCTGAAGCACACAAAGAGCCTTGAGTCCACTTGCTTGCTTGTTGAGACTTTTCGAGTTGCATTTGAGCTTCGAATATCTCGCGCCATTCTTGCGTTAGTCTTGTCATTTGTAAGAATACTTGTACCAGTCGGGATGGCCGCCTTTGAGTGATTGTCAAAGTCGTACAGGACAAGTGTTTCCTCGCAGCTGAGGGCAATGTCTTGTTCGCTCAAGATCTTCTGCTCAGGTAGTTCCTGGCTAAATGCATCTCGAGCGCTTTGCTCCAACACCATGATTGCTTCCATCGATAGCGATGTAGCACCAATTTTGGTGAGTTTGTGCTGTACCGCAACCTATCGTCAGCAGGATAACCAAACACTTGACCCACAATATCGTTTCGTACGAGCTGACGCCGCCATTGTACATTCGCTTGTCGAAAAACGGGACATATCCCTTTTGGCGCCAGAAAGAATGGTGGGAAACCCGGGTGCCGTTGCGCAAGCACATCAAAGTAGTGTATGCGTGACGACTCGATGACACTGAGGTACTGAGCATTGTTCAAGTGTCCCAAGCTGTCCAGATGACCCCACGGGATCCGGTGAAGCAGGCAACTGTCTCCATCCGGGTAGTAACCGCGTTGTTTGAAGAAGGCCCTGGTCGCATCATTTGGCGAGGTGAAGTGCTTGAAGGAGTTGCTCCGTGTAGAGTATGATGCTGTTCTATGCAGGAACACCATGAACGCAGGCAGCGAGCCGATGACACGGCGTAACAGCTTGTTGTCAAAAGCAATGCTCTTTTATTGACGTGAAGCGAACCCCGCAATTTGCCATCTGAAAGTGTTTGCCGCCAGGACTGAGATGAGATCATGAGAATCATGAGAAGCGAGCCTTATGTACTTGTTTATAAGACTCAGACGTGGGCCTGCGTTCAATCAGCCCAATGAACATGTTAATAGAATTCTAATAGACGACCAGTATTAATTACAATGATTTCCTGTACAAAAGAGAGATGTAGCCATGGTAACACAAAGCTCAGGCCAGCTCTGGGAAGAGTGCAGCACAGCCAGTGTTGTATGCAGTAGAACTGTTGAATGTCACAGTGCTCTGGTTATTCTTGCCGAGCTGAATCAAGGTAGTACCGTTCTTGACATATGAAGGCCAGCCATAGTTGATCAGACCCTTTTGTGGGTCACGAGCAAAGGCTGCCCAACCGCCCTGAATGACCCTGGAAGTGGCAATTTGCTCTGAAGTCGCATTGAGGGAGCCCGGCAAGGTGCGGTTGTAGTTGCCAAAGACCATTGGAATCTCACTCGAATGGAAGACTCCGAATGCCGGGAATGGGTTGAGGTTCGGCCACATGGCCAGGTAGCGGTACTGCCAAGCTGGCACTGACGCATTGGCACGAGAGTTGGCGATCAATGCAGACGGACAAGTGAAGCCAAACTGTCCGAGCTCATAAGGTTGGACACCAGGACTCAGAGCCGTCAAGATGGTACCTTCGTCATTGTTGTTGCCCACCAAGACAGGAAGCTTGGCAAAATCGCCTGCCCGGCGTCTACGAGAGTACTCGGCCTGAGAGAAGACAGTGCGATTATCGATTTGAGGTTGGAAGCCGCCTGTAACACTAGCAGAGGCGTTGCTGATGGCGTCTTGAAGAGTTTTGAAAGGAAGATTCTGTAAACATTCGAACTGTGCCTTCTTTGTGGAATTCAAGGGGCAGCCACTCGAGTTGGCAATAGTATTCCACCTGCTGCCTGCAACTGACTGATTTCCGGGAGCCAATGATCCGAAGAGAGTCTCTGTTCCAGATTGCATGATGAGACCCTTCACGATAGGGTCCCATTCGTATGCGTATGGCCAGGCTGCCACAGAGGATGCACCGGCAGATTCGCCAAAGATGGTGATGCGCTCAGGGTCGCAGCCAAAGGCGCGGCAATTGTTGTAGACCCATTCAACAGCCATACGCTGGTCGTACAGACCAGGGTTGGTGTCTTGCGCAGACACAGAGTCTCCAGCACCGGCAGGGAAGCCAAACATGGAGACTCTGTAGTTCAATGTAACGACAATGAGATCATCATTGGCTTTGACAAAGTTTGTGGCGTTGTAGTCAGGAACAGCGCCTGAGCCAAAGGTATAGGCCCCACCGAAAATCCAAACGAGTACTGCAGCACCGGAGCTAGTCTTGTTCAATCGCTCGACGGATGGTGCCCAGATGTTGAGATTCAAGCAATCGTCGCCCTCAGAGAAGTTACCGTTGCCTCCAGCGGTGACTAGATCGAATCCCTGATAACTTGAGCCTTTGTTTTGAGGGCAGCTCAAGCCGTAAGATGTAGCGTTGAAGATTGTTCCTCGTGGGAGTATTGACGCACGCTGGGGCGGTCGGAATCGGCGTGATCCATTCGTGCTCTTACCAAATGGAATGCCCAAGAAAGCCCTCACGCCGGAGGTGGTGTTGATGCCCCGGAATGTGCCGACATTGGTCTCAACGACGAGAGGCGACGAATGATTGACCTGGGCTGCTGCGAGAGAGACTGCCGAGAGGACGCTCACGGCGAGTGAGAGAAGCTGCATCCTTGCTAGCTGAAGATGTGGTTACGAGATACTGTAGTGCTCTTTGCGAAATCTGGGGAACTTGGAACTTGTTGATGTTCAACCGTGAGAAATGACAGGCCAACGGCAAAGTGACGTTCGAAAGGGTTATATTGCCAGGGCTGTCAGGCTGCCTCAGGCAATCATTGGCTGACACGGCCTAACAAAGCGGCGAGCGCCGAATGGGGACTCGACAAGAAAAGGCGAGCACTGCATATAAGCTCGAACTCGGACTTTGCTTCGTCATGCTAGGCTCGTAACAGATATAACACAGCATAAGCGTGCATTAGCTAGCGCTTCACACAAAGGCAAGGACAGGCAAGAGTTGCATGATCGGTGGAAATGTGCGAGGTCTCTGCGCTTGAATTCCGTTTGCTGCCTGTCTGGAGCTTGCAAGGTCCGCGCATATGCATGCTTTCAGGCCGGCTTGGCTACTGCGTGAACACGCGTTGAGTTGTTGACCACCAAGTGTAGAGTACTGTTTGCACAGTAGCTGAAACTACTGGTAGGATCATTGCATCTGCCATGTTGCGCGTTGCCCTGCAGGCAATGTGACGTCTGTATTCATCGAATATTCGAAGCTTACGTGTATAAAGCTGCGAATGACCAATGACCAATTTTGAAAAGCATGACCTGTTCTCTGAACTCATCAAGACTCAAGAATCGACCTGCAGCTGCCGAGGTAGAAAAATACACTGGCGACCGAGACACGATCTTCATTATAAATGTTGTCGTGTCTCAGTTGCTTAGCTGAGATGCGTGGGACTTTTCCTCGAGCCGAAATGCATTAGTTCTAGGTCGCGTCTTCACTGCAACACTTCCATCATCTTGACCTCATCGATCGCGGACTGATTCATGTATGCAGATCTTGAGCAGATAAGGTTTCTTGTCCGGCTATAGTGAGCTAAGGTCAGTAGCAACAGCAAGAACTCCAGACGTATACCTTGCCCAGTCACAGCTGGCTTGGTCTACTGACTGCGACAGATACTCTGGCATGTGCAGGTTGCCATCGGTATTGTGCGATGAGTGTCTTTTACTACTGACATTCTGTCAGCTGCAGTGACATTGCACAGTGCAAATGCCACATCGATGAATTACGGGCGTCTTACCTCAAAGCAACCTCTGCAAGTGAGACGACTCTGTCGACTCGATAGCACGCTGCATACGCTGAGCAATGATCATGTCCTGTTCTCTACATGCATGATCTGCAGGAAACTCTACCGTATGTTCATATGGCCCTTAGAGTCAAACAATTATGACTCTAGACACACGGCACTATCTAATGTATTCAGAGGTTGCTGGTCCTTGACAAAGCATATGCTGGCCTAAGAGCCAATTAGACTGTATCCGTCGCCATCGAGAAGCTTGCGACACGCACGAGTCTGTGCTTGAGACTTTTTTATACGTTTATTACCAGCACAAACCTAGAACCCATGCATCTACAACCGCGTCCGTGCCACAACGAGGGGAAATGGGGAGATCTAGACGTTGCCAATTTTGCAGACGCCCTCCCGCGTTGCGGCCCGCACTCTACAATCAGGGAAAGGACTGTAGTGCTGGCACACAGACAATTCGTCGGTACTGTGCGGGGCGTATTTTAGCAACGTCTGCCCAAATACGAGTCCTATTACTGAATTCGCTGAGACAAGATCCACTTCACCTCAAAATGCTGTGACTGGTCCAAAAGCAACGGTTATCCCATAGGCGTAATCTGGATTGCGGATAGAGAGGTACGTGATGTATCACCAAGGTCGGGGTGGCCGACGTGAGCATGTTGGAAACTTGGCAATGTAGCACTGGGTAGCGCTAGAGCCAGGTCGCCATGGCCTCCGCTGTCGTGCGCACGGGGCCAGGCAATGCGATAGCTTGCCCTTGTGCAATCGTCAAGACGCCAGGATGAGACGACGCAACATACACTTTGCTAGTGCTTTGCAATCATCCAGCATGGATACACACAGTAGTGTCTCACAACAGTCATATGTCCAGCTGAAAATAGACTGCTTGAGCGTAGAATTGATTACGTAGAAACTACGCGTAGGACGCTGGCTAAGCATGAATTGCAGCATTATGCATTTGGCCAGTCAGGCGGACTCAAGCCAAGTCTGCGGATCACTGCGGCGTCTGTGCCGAATGGGCGGCCAGAAAAATTTCCCCCGAAATGAAAAGCCGTGCAGGCGTTGCGCGGCTTGCGCCGCCGTTGCTGCACCTTTGCTGCACAACGCCAAGCATTCGCCCAATTTGCTTGGCCAGTGGCAATGGCCACCGCGCAAACGGTCGTCGTCAGAACTTAGAACTTAGAAGGACCGCAGAATCCAAATGAAGCGCGCAATATCCCGGTTTATGTCCGTCTGTCGAAAAGGTAAGAGCGTATCGTCAATCACAATCGGTGATTCGAGGTCTAGATACTAGGCTGCTGGACGCTCACGAATTCAGAATGGCCCCAGTGCCGCGACACCGTATGATCTGGCTGTGTTCATGCACAAAGACGGGACGGCCGCACGCGTAGCTGTCCAATGTCCAAGCTCCCGTTCAGAGGCTCATTGCGGATATTATTTGCCAGTAGCCTGTAGGGCCAGCAGCTGCTGGTAAATGTGCCTCATACGGCTTCTGTCATACTGCGCGTCACTGATTCTCCTACTAATGTTCAATTGCTCTATGACGTGAGGCAGCACATGGTATCACCGCTGTCTTGTCCACTTGGGCAGTGTGTTTCGGTGCCATGGAGATGCCTTTGTCAGATTGTCACTTGACGTTATGAAGGCTGGTAGTTTGTGGCAGAATGTCTCATCAAGTTGCATCTGAGACATTGGTACTTCCTAGGCAATTTGGCGAGTAGGGCACCCCTAGGAGTTTTCAGCTCGGGACTACCTGGGTAGTGGGCATAGACGGACCTAAGACGGCCTAGACGGGACGTTGCTCTCACCGTGTCTAGCCCTGCGGTTACAGCAGTCTAATCGTGGCCTGCGGAAGGGCTTGTCGCGCATGCACGTAGAACGTCATGCTCCACCTTTGGACGCGCGGGCGCCAGATCTCTCTGGGTAGGACGGCAGTGAGACAATTGTTTAACGGTCCAGATGAGGGATCTCCCGTCAATTGATACGCGCAGTGACAGGCGTCAGACCCTGAGACCCGACTCGGGGAGTCGGACCCCAGGTAGCGAGCTGTGCAAAAAGCCACAAAGCTGAGATGGCTCGGCCTCTCGGCCTACCCACCACAGACAAAGATGGTGACCCTGCGAGAAACTGTCTGATCGGCTTGAGGTGCTCCACGCGTAACGCTCTGGCTCTTTCTTTACTTGGCTGTCTCACTTCAGAGACAATCTGACCCGTCAACACCAAAAGTACTTAGCTGGGACGACGTCCGAGACTTCCATCCACCGACGACTCCCCTCTTTTCAACATTGTACTAAAGGTCCTCGCTGGCTGAGGATTGAAGCATTCTGCCTTTCACCAAGTACTTGACATATACTGGCAGTCATGGCTTCGCTTTACAATAACATTGGCCTGGGTATCTCATTCGACCAACAGCCGCAAGGTTTTACTCAGGGGACAGCACCGCGTAGACCTGAAGTGCGGCGACGACGCAGCTCTGGAAGCTTCGAGCGTCCTCCTACCTCATACCAGGAGGCCTTGCGAAGACTTCCGAACACGACACATATTCCTCAGATGCCCTTCGAAGCGCCATATATGCACCTAGCTCACCAGCAACAGCCGCATCAAGCAGCTATACCAGCATACGTTACCAATGCGCCGCAATACGCAATGCCTCGCTCTGCTGGGCCACCACAGATGCCCTTCACATCACCGCCAAGGCGGACAATGGAACACAGTGTACACAGCACTCATTCAGCACCCAACACACCTTACGCAGATAGGCGGCATCGTGCGACCAGATCCCTTCACCACTTGAGCCCTTACCCTCAGCGATCATCTGGCGGCTACAGAACTCTTGACTACAACTCGCAAGTCACATCCTCCGCCGAGGAGGTGCGCAACGTGAGGATATCGGACCCTCAACCGTCTTACATGTACCAGACGCCGGTGATGGCGAGCCCGTATTCCGACTATGGTCACTTCACTCATGTTGACAGTTACCAGGGCTCCCCTGTGCTTATGGATTCACCAGTGTTTGGCATGGACGGCGATGACAGGATTGCCTACTTTGATCATCTTGAGACTGGCATGCCTGACGAGCCTTACGTACCCCCCATGGAGACCAACTTTCCGCCTCGCCCATTGTACAAGCGTACCGCCACTGAGACGACGTTTGCTTCCATGGACACTGCCTACAACATGGGGACTAACGAATCGCCCGTGTCTTCGCCAGACCCAGAACCACTTGCGATCCCCTCAGTGCGTCGCAAAAAGACAAACACCTACTCTCGCTGGTCCGAGGAGGAGGATGTTTTGCTTCGTCAGGCCATCAGTGAGCATGGCGAGACAAAGTGGGCCCTTGTCGCTACGATGGTGCCTGGTCGTACACCGATGCAATGCTCCACACGCTGGCAAGGTGCACTCAATACGAGCATACATAAGGGCAAGTGGTTGCCAGAGGAGGATGCCATCTTGATCAAGGCTGTTGCTGAGTGGCAAGCTTGGCACACGAGCGAAGACCGTGGTGTGTCAACGCCCGATCAGCTTCAGGAGGAGCTTGTCAAGTGTATTCCATGGGCCAACATTGCCGCTACATTGCCAAGGTCGCGTACAGGTGTGCAAGCGCTTGCGCGTTGGTCAGAAGCACTTGACCCTCGCATCAAGAAGGGGAAATGGACAGCTGAGGAGGACGCTAGCTTGATGTATGGTATTCAGCAGCACGGCAAGACTTGGATCAAGGTCGCTGATGCAGTTCGCGGGCGAACTCAGCGACAGTGCCGAACACGCTTCATGCAGATTTCGGAGAAGAAGGTCAAGGAGAAGCAACTTGCCCTTGCACCACAGATGAGAGCGTCTGGCGGTTGGAGTGAATAGGGCCTTTGATGGTGCTGGCACTGTTCCTACTTCCAAACACAGACGATGATGAATTTATATGCCGGAATGATAATTGTGTTCAGTTCACATAGTAGAGCAAGCTTTGTTCAATTGCAATGGATCATTCAGACTTGGTTGTGTACATCTTGAAAACTTGGCAATGCCCGGATACCACGGCCATACTGGTCATTACCAGGTCATAAGTACTCAAGGAGAGTCAATCCGAGAGACAAGTATATACGGCCTGATGCAAGTGGCCGTCGATCCGAGTACCGGGTAGCGACCGGTTGTGTTCAATTGCCTCAATTTGCTTGTTGTAGCTCGCGTCCGACTCGTCTTAATGGAGCCTGGCTGGGTGATTCAGGTACGCGTGCGTGTGGGTGCGTATTACCTCATTGGGTGAAATTTGTAACTGCAGCACAGACGGAGAGATGTGAGATCTACTAGACGGACAAGCGATCAGCCCTTGTTGCCTGTGTACAGACAGTACAGTAACTACAGTTCGACCAGCGGCTCACCACTGTCACCAGTCACTCCTAGGGAGAGTCTAGTGTGACTGAGAAGCGTCTTTCCATTGAGCCGCCTGTTCATCATGAGATCTGAGCTGTGACTTCTGCGACTTTACCGTACGATGGCTGTCTTCTGGACTCCACCCAGAGTCTACTGGCATTTAGATGATAACTGATCAGCTGGGAGAAGCGTTCAATTGCGGGATGTCGCTCGCTTGTATTGGCCGTAGAAGGTCTGGACTCTGCACTGAGTCTGCAGCCAATACTCCAGACACCCTAACCCTGTCGACGTGCGCGTCCCATCGTCCACCTGTGCGGACGTATACGCGTCTACGTGTATTGCTGAATTGGCCATGCCACTCCAGCAAAATTAGCTTGAAGTCTTATCTCAATGGTTGATCCTGTGGCAAGCGCTTTGCTCACGCTGAATGCTTACACTCGGGCTATTAACGACCTACCTGTCGAGCAAGTCTATGCTGAACTGACAAGGCTCGATAAGTCTGAGCATCGGCTTAGAGATACAAACGCTCAGCTACGCTTGGAAGAACCTTGTCTTGAATTCCAAGAGGCTATCGTTGAGAACGAAGTCTTGCTAGAAGCCTATGTTGGCCGACGGCAAGCGATTCACGATGATTTGAGGAACCGAGGAGCAATGATTCCACCTGTTCAGACTACAGGCGCCCGTGGGGCGCAGCCTGTTCAAGTGCAAACAAGTGACAGATCCAACGACCAGTCTCAAGGACAAGGAGTGTTTCTGTGAGCGATTACAGGGGATTGAGATGAAATCCTAACGCTAAATGTCGTCCTGTCTGAGACGACAGGATAGGCGTGCATCAAACATTTCGTTACAAGCACAAAACCAGTCTGAAGAAGTCTATTCCTGGTGATCTTCGAATCAAGAGCATTGTTTCATGTCGAGCACAGACCTGGCTGGACGCTCCTTACAGGCTTTGGCGACAATCCGGCAGAATTCAGGATTCGCGTCATCATGTTTCGTCGCCCTTGGTGCACAGAGCGCGTTTCTACCAGTTGGTGAGTGACGATATAAAGCGATCGTCCTCTGCCTCTGTAAACCTCATCACTTCGACAGCCTCATCCGCCGACTACTACAATCAATATGCAACAAGCTTTCCTCGCCCTCTTCATGCTCGCTAGCACGATCGTTGCTGCTCCTGTTCCTCAGGCAGCTTCGACTACGACTGCAGCTCCAGTCGCAACAGGCGCACCTGCAGCTGCGGCTGCTGTCAAAGCTGCAACACCTGATGGTGAGGCCAAAATTGCTGCTGCTGGTGTCAATACGGAGCAGAAGACTCTTTTCCGCGGCTGTGGCGGCTATTATGGCGGTGGTCTCGGTGGTATTGGGTACGGCGGTGGTATTGGATACGGAGGCATTGGCGGAATCGGTGGTATTGGCGGAATCGGTGGCATTGGTGGAATCGGTGGCATTGGAGGAATCGGTGGTGGAATTGGTGGAGGCATCAGTGGTGGTATCAGCGGTGGCATCAGTGTCAGTGGAGGCATTCGTGGAGGACTGGGTGGCTTCGTGCTTGCCAAGGACCAGGACAAGGATAAGAAGGATAAACGTCAACTGCTTGTGGGCGATGTGCCTGAACTTGAGCTCGAGGGCGATGAGGATGCCTTGGACCTCTCTTTGGAGGACCCTGCTGTCCTTGTAGACGCAGATGACTCTGACCTGCTCGATTCTGACTTGATTGATGCTGGCCTTCTGGCTTGATCCAGTTATCTCTCTCTGTCTTGCCTTCTGGCTTGATACCAGATATCTATCTCTGTACAAGTAGCTGCTCTCTAGACTAACTAATTCCTGAATCTTGAATCTTGATCACTTCCCATCTGATTTCCGCCTGAAAATTGAAACTGCAGCAGACTTCAGCAAACACACAACAAGCTGTTCAACAGGCTCATCTGGAGCACTTATAATACGGCAGGCCATGGCACAGGCAGCCCCGCAGCATCTCACAAGCTACCCAGCGCGTCTGCAACAAGGCTCCACCTCACTCCTCACACCAAATCTCGCGAGTCTCAAGCATGTTGAACAGCCCGTCCCGCAAGTCACCGAGCAGCGCGTTACAGGCAGACCACGACCGAGCTATCGCGATCCAAGTCTCAGTCCGCCTCCTAGTAGAGATTCTCCTAGGCACGCATCGCCCGCTGTCTTTCGAGATGGGACAAGGCAGGACATGGAAGTGGATGAGCGTGGTCTTGTTACTGGACCGGCGAATGGACCGTTGCCGGCTTTGCAACGACGTATGGCAAGTTGGATTCGTGTGAGAAGTGATTATATTGCTCAACAAGCTGCAGCGGTAGAGGAAAATCTCATTCCAATACGGCTTGACTTGGAGCTCGGCAACGACTACCGTCTCAAAGATGTCTTTCTATGGAATTTGAATGAAGAGCTCATTACACCCACAGAGTTTGCCGTCAACCTCGTCACGGATTTGCAATTGTCTCAGGGATACGTCAATGAAATCGCCAGGGAGATTCGCAAGCAACTCGAGGAGTACGCGCCTGTTGCCAACCTTGCCGTGCCAGGCCAGGAAGCGCCTGTGATTGTTGAATTGGAAGTGCATCTATCGCGTCACCTCATCACAGACAAATTTGAGTGGGATTTACAAAGTACAGCGGCGGTGGAAGCTTTTACGCGTCAAACATGCCAGGATCTTGGCCTGTTTGGTGAATTCAATGTCGCCATGTCCTGTGCCATTCGCGAACAACTCATGAAACTCAAAAAGGAACTCGTTGAGAGTCCACCGGGTCGCACGGCAGAGGGTCATGTTGAGATTGAGAATGAGTGTGCCTTTGACAGACCGATGGGATTGCGCGTGAGTCCTGATACCCTGGGTCTTGACTGGGTTCCTAAAATTGAGATTTTATCGCGCGAGGAGATTGAGAAGCGCGATGGCGAGCGTGATCGGGTGGTGCGTCGCTTACGTCGCGAGACGGCCAAGTTTGGCAGATCAACGGGTCATATCCCAGCAACCACAATGCAACTCACTGCAACAGGACGTAAGCGTGCGCGAACACAATTCGATGATTTGACGGAAGCCATGCCGGAGCATGAACGGGGTCGTTGGCGGTGTGCGTGGTGTCGTGTCTCTGGACAGGATACGTGGGAGATTGGCGGTGCAAAGAAGGAGTATTGTCGGTTCTGCATGCCAAGTGCTGTTCCTGCTGCAACGAATGGGACGTCTAACGAGACCATCTCGATGACTGCACCGCAGCAGGTTCCAGGTATTGCAGATGGTAAAGGATGGCGACGTGGCTTGTACAGTTCTCGCAACCCCCTCAACACGCCTGTTGTTCAGGCTTCTTATATTGGCGCACGGTAATTAAAGCAATTGCAAAATGAATCCTTTTCTTTTTCTCTGCAGAATGAAACTAGGCTACGACGCTAAGAGGCAATGATGTCTGTTTGCCTTATTTCGATTACAGCAACATGACCATGCCTGCCAAGCCTGCAACGCCCAAGGACACAGCAATGGCTTCAGCACCACTCTTCTTGGCGAGTGGCAGGGTCGTAGGGTCTGGCAGAGTGGAAGGCATGGCGACCATGGAGTCAGTCAGGTCTGGTGTGGCGGAACTGTCATCTGCTGAGGTGCTTGTCATGGCACCGCCTGTGGTAGGTGTCATAGTGGGCATAGGCATATCTGTCACTGATGCTGAAGCCGTAGGTGCCGGTGGAGTTGTTGTCGTCTGACGCTTGTTCTGCTATTAGTCATTGATGGATGGTCGTGATGGTTGGCATACCAATGCTGCATTGGCTGATGCCGAAGCGAGAAGGGATGCGGTGAGGACCTTTGAGAAGTGCATGATGGACTTGTTTGATGGGAAAGAGACAAGAGGATGCTATGTGGCCCTTTATACCTGGGAATTGCTCAGGGGTATCCATGGGACCATGTCAAATTTCTTTTTATATGACCTTCTGTTTACAGCAAGCACGCCTCCTGAGTCCTAAGCCTCTCAACCTCTCTGCATGTTTGCTTGCAAGGTTATGAGGAGGAGCACACTAAGCACGAAGGTCGACCACTAGCAGTGACTAGACCGACCATGAGTTTAGGCTATTCACTAGACAAACAACTCATTTAGCGCTTGGCCGAGCTCAAGCATGGGACTTGTTGATCAACACACGTCAAGTTTGCAATCTCGGACATGCTTGCGGATGAATTGCAGCCATACTCCTCAACAACAAGTACCTTCTCGCAAATTCTCGCTGACTTCAGGGGGTTGACACATTTGCGAGGTCAATTTTTGCCCATCTGAATGTGCTGTTCCCGAACTTTATGGATCCTGACTGTGAATCCTGATTTCTGACTGTCTGTCTGCATTCCGGATTCGCACAGCAACTCTTATCTCAGACCAAGACGCACGCCTCAGTAGATAGGGGCAATCTGCAATCAATGGGCCAGGCTGATATGCATTCTCAATGCTGGATAGGCTCCCTCGGAAACAGACCGGGCTTGCGTCTGGGATGGACCTGGTTCCTCCCTCCCATCACAATGCTCTGCTTCCCCGTCTTTTAGACTTCTTGACTATCAATCTTCTTGCATACTGTCGAGCATGACTCCATCAATAAGCCTACCATCTGCACAAGCATCAAGACACAAGGACTCTGCAACGACTGCCATGTATCCCTTTCCCATGCCAAGGCCACACACATTGCCCACAAAAGTGGCAGAGGTCGATTTGAAGACCAACGACAAGCATGTCTGTCGCGATGAGCGTATGATTCGTTTGACTGGCAATCATCCCTTCAACAGCGAAGCACCATTATCAACGCTCTTCGATGAAGGATTCTTGACGCCGCCTGAGCTATTTTATGTCCGCAACCACGGCGCATGTCCAGCATATACCGACCAGGAATGTCTCGACTGGAAGATTGAAGTCTCGGGTCTCGTCGACAACCCATTCACGCTTTCCCTCAAATCCATCATGGAGGACTATGAGCAAATCACCTTGCCTGTCACCATGGTCTGTGCCGGTAATCGCAGAAAGGAGCAAAACATGGTTCGCAAGGGATCTGGCTTCAATTGGGGTGCTGCCGGTGTCTCGACATCCCTTTGGACAGGACCTCTTCTACGAGATATTATTGCAAAAGCCAGACCACAACGAGCAGGCAAGTTTGTGTGCTTTCGAGGCGATGATGATTTGCCCAATGGCAATTATGAGACGTGTGTTCGCATGTCATGGGCTAAATCCTTCGACAGGGCAATTCAACTGGCCTATCTACAAAATGGTGAACCTTTGACACCAGATCACGGTCGTCCCATTCGTGTGGTGATTCCTGGTGCGATTGGTGGTCGTTCCGTCAAGTGGCTCTCAAAGATCATCATTCAAGCAGAGCCATCGACTGGATGGTATCACATCAATGACAATCGCGTCTTGCCTACTCAAGTCGATCCAGCCATGGCGAAGGCAGAGTCGAAATGGTGGCAAGATGAGCGCTATGCCATTTATGACCTCAATGTTCAAAGTGCAATTGTCTATCCTGCACATGATGAAATCATTCAAGCGGAGGAGAATAAAGATTACACTATTCGTGGGTATGCTTACAATGGTGGCGGTGTACGCATCGGCCGTGTTGAACTCTCTATTGACTCTGGACGAACTTGGCAGCTGGCAGAGATTGAATACCCTGAAGACCAGTACCGCGACTTTACTGGTTCCTTATATGGTGGCAAGATTGACATGGCCGATCGCGAAGCATGCTGGTGTTGGTGTTTCTACGCATTGAAAGTACCGACTACTGCGCTAGCACAATGTACGGGTATCGTCGTGCGTGCTATGGATGAAAATATGAACTTGCAGCCACGAGACATGTACTGGAGTGTTATGAGTATGATGAACAATTGCTGGTTCCGAGTAGCTGTACACAAGACGCAACATGACAGCTCGATTACGCTACGCTTTGAACATCCCACACAGCCTGCATTGATGCCTGGTGGATGGATGCCGCGTGTCAAGGATGCTGGTGGTGATTTGCAAGCTCATGGCTGGGGAGAACTGGTTGATCCGGGAGTGCCTGCCAAGACTGTGGTTAAGCAAAGCATCAGAATGACCAAAGATGGCCTGCACAACATCATCAAATTGGATGAGGTGGAGAAGCACAAAGATGCAGAGTCATGCTGGTTCATCAACGATGGCGAGGTATATGATGCGACGCCTTTCCTCAAAGAACATCCAGGCGGCATTGAATCCATTACTGGTGTCGGTGGCGAAGACTCAACAGAAGACTTTATGGCTATTCACAGCGAGACTGCAAAGCAGATGCTGGTGGACTACCACATCGGTACACTGGAGAAAGCTCCACTGACACCACCCAAGACGCCTGCAGAATCTGCTCACGGTGACGACGATGAAGTGCCGCGCGATCAATTTCTGGAAGCAAAGAAGTGGCATCCGGTGCAGCTTGTCGAACGGCAGGAGATCTCCTCAGATGCTCGTATCCTACGCTTCAAGCTCGACCACGACGATCAGCTTCTCGGTCTTCCATGCGGTAAACATCTCTTCATCAAGACCCAATGCCCGACCACAAACGACATTGTCATGCGCGCGTATACGCCTGTATCTGAGCAACTTGCCAAAGGTTTCCTGGACATTCTCGTCAAGGTTTACTTTGCATCAACTGATTGGCCTACTGGTGGCAAGATGACACTGGCGCTCGAGTCCTTGCGTCTAGGCGACACAATCCAAGTCAAGGGCCCGACTGGGCACATTGAGTATCTTGGTCGAGGCAAGCTTCTACAGCACGGCCAAGAACGGACAGTCAAGCGCTTTTTGATGGTGTCTGGAGGTAGCGGCATCACCCCCGTCTACCAGATTCTGCGAGCGATTCATGCTGATGAGGCAGATGCAACACCTTGTGTCTTGCTCGACTCGAATCGACATGAGCAGGATATCCTGTGCAGGGAGGATCTTGACATGTATGGCGAAAAGGAGACGATTGATATCTACCACACATTGTCAGGTAAGGATGTGCCAGCAGATTGGCAACACGGCAGGGGTCGCGTCACGGAAGCACTCATGGAGAGCAAGTTTGGGGATGTGGATGTGAGTGGTGGTACTATGCTTCTGTTGTGTGGTCCACCTGCGCTCGAAGCACTTGCCAAGCAGTGGGCATTGGGTAAGGGTATGAGCCAGGAGGATATTGTCGTATTTTGAGTGTCCGTAGGTAGTCTGTAGATATTCTGCAATTTGCCGGATTGTTCAGGGAGATTGTCAAGTTGCCGGACTGGGATTGTCTGTTATCTCTTGCGCAGTCAAAGCGTATCTCTTATCTGCTCACAGCACTCTACGGCCGCTAATCGTTCTCACTCGCTGCGATTTGCTGCTGCCATGTAGACAATCGCGTATCGTGCGGGTACCTCTATCTGCACAGCAAGTCTAGACCACTGTGATTACTGATTACACTCTGTATCCCCCGCGTTGCCGTATCTCTACGGCAGCCAGGAAGCTTGTGATGGTCAGCTCGTCTGACTGTGTCTGATTAGTCTGAGTCTGAACAGTAACCACTCTCTCCATCCCCCTCTTGTCATATCTGCGACTCTTCAACGCAGACTAAACACAGTGCGTGTCAGCGATGGCTCCGCTTGTTGGACGTGAGTACGCTGCCGAGACACCAGCGACGGAATTCCAAGTCGCACAAAGCATGGTCGAGGGCGAGAGACCCTCAACGCCGCCAGAGACACGACCTGTCTCGCCGACAGATCCACAGAAGCGCACGCGCATCGTGGTTGTTGGTCTCGGCATGGTCGGTATCTCCTTTATCGAAAAGCTGCTTGAGCGCGATGCCAAGCAGAAGCAGTACTCCGTCATTGTGCTCGGTGAGGAGAAGCATGTAGCCTACAACCGTGTTGGCCTGACCTCATTCTTTGGTACACTCCACTCTATCTTTAAATAACACTCTCTAACTTGCAGAACACCGCTCGATCCCAGACCTGTACCTCAATCCAGAAGATTGGTACACGCAACTCGATACACAGACATTCACCTACAAAACTTCCTCTCCAGTCACTGCTATTGACAGATCGGCAAAGAAGGTCATTACGAATGACGGAGCTTATCCGTATGATTTGTGTGTCATGGCGACAGGGTCTGAAGCTGTACGTCCAAAGCAAACACCGAATTATGATGCAAAAGGTGTCTTTGTGTATCGTACCATCGGAGACCTTGAAGAAATGATTGAATATGCTGAGACTGTGAGCGTGGCTGAAGGCAAGCAGAAGAAGGCGATTGTCGTTGGCGGTGGTCTCTTAGGTCTTGAAGCAGCACATGCAGTCAAAGATATGAAGAAGTTTGATCACATGACGGTGGTGCATCGATCCAAATGGCTCCTCTCGCAGCAGCTCGATCAGCAGGGCGGTGATTTGCTCACTGCAAAGGTTCGCGAGATGGGCGTTGAGGTTCTGCTTGAAAAGCAAATTCAGCGCATCAATGTCGACAATGAGGGCGCTGTGGTTTCTGTTACTTATCTCTCTGGCGAAACCGAGGATTGTCAGCTCATCTGCTTTGCTATCGGTATTCGAGCTCGTGACAATCTTGCTGTTGACTGCGGCCTAGACACACATTCTCGTGGTGGAGTCGTTGTTGACGATGATCTATGCTCCTCCGACAAGAACATCTACGCTGTTGGAGAATGTGGCAATTGGAAGGGCAACACGTTTGGCCTCATTGGCCCTGGTATCGAGATGGCGGATATTGTGACCTGGAATCTGACTCAAGCGAAGCTGCATGCTCCACGAGCATTCACCACGCCAGACCTGTCGACAAAGCTCAAGCTCATGGGCGTCGATGTCGGCTCATTTGGAGACTTCTTCGCTGATCGAGATGGTCCACGCTCTATTCCCAAAACACGCAAACCGAAGTCTGGCTTCACTGCAGATGATGTCCGCGTATTGAAGTATCATGACCCGTTCGAGGGCATCTACAAGAAGCTCATCTTTTCAAAGGACGGCAAGTACCTCCTTGGAGGAATTTTGGTCGGCAACACTAGCGAGTTTGTCAAACTCAATTCCATTGTCAAAGGTGGCAAGGAGTTGGCAAAGCCACCATCAGAGTTTGTCCTTGGTGCCAAAGCATCTGGCGAGGATGACGGTGCTGACCTTGACGACGATGCTCAAGTTTGTTCCTGCCACAATGTTACGAAAGGTGATATCGCAGAAAAGGTGTCGAGCGGCACATGCTCATCTATGGGCGAAATCAAGAGCTGCACGAAAGCCGTGACTGGCTGCGGTGGCTGCGAACCGCTCGTCAAAGCCATCTTCACGTCAGAGATGAAGAAGCTCGGCAATGAGATTAGCAACAACATCTGTCCGCACTTCAACTACTCGCGAGCTGATCTCTTCAATGTTGTGCGTGTCAAGAAGCTCGAGTCGTTTGATGCCATTATGCGGGCATATGGCAAGCGTCCAGATGCACTCGGTTGTGAGATTTGCAAGCCTTGCATCGCTAGTATTCTGTCTTCCCTCTTCAACCCACTCATCCGCAACCATGAAGTCAACCATCTACAAGATACCAATGATCGCTTCTTGGCCAACATTCAACGAAATGGAACATTCAGTGTTGTGCCAAGGATGAGTGCCGGTGAAGTGACGCCTGCTCGATTGATTGTCCTTGGGCAGGTAGCAAAGAAGTACAACCTCTACACGAAAATTACCGGTGGTCAGCGTATCGATCTGTTTGGTGCACAACGCCATGATCTGCCAGACATCTGGGAAGAACTCGTCAATGCCGGTTTCGAGTCTGGACACGCCTATGGCAAGTCGCTCCGTACAGTCAAATCGTGTGTTGGATCGTCCTGGTGCCGTTACGGTATTGGCGACTCGGTCGGTCTTGCAGTGCGTCTCGAAGAACGTTACAAATCCATCAGATCACCGCACAAATTCAAGGGAGGTATCTCTGGCTGTGTTCGCGAGTGTGCAGAGGCGCAGGGTAAGGACTTTGGCTGCATTGCGACAGACAAGGGTTTCAATGTCTATGTGTGCGGCAATGGAGGTGCATCGCCAAAGCACGCCGAGTTGCTACAGGCAGATGTTCTACCGGATCAAGTGGTGCCTCTCTTGGATCGATTCATCATGTTTTACATTCGCACAGCCGACAGGCTGCAGCGCACTGCCCGCTGGCTCGAGCAGATGGAAGGCGGTATCGAGTACTTGCGACAAGTCATCATCTCAGACAAGCTTGGCATATGCGAGGAGCTTGAAGCGCAGATGCAAGAGCTCGTTGGCAAGTTTGAGTGCGAATGGACAGCTGTTGTGCAAGATCCGGCGAAGCGTGCTGAATTCAAGCAATTCGTCAATACCGACAAGACCGCACCGAGCAACGTTGAGCAGATTCAGGAGCGTGGTCAAGTCCGCCCTGCCAATTGGCCAAAGAAGTCAGACACCACAGATTTCAAAAACACCAAGTGGTCTTCGCTCAGTTGGGAGCCAGTGTGTTCTGTCGAGGCGCTCAAGTCGACTCCTGCTGGTGCGTCTGCCACTGTGCTCAGAGGCGAGACACAATTGGCCATCTTTCACGTTCAAGGGAAAGGCTACTTTGCCTCGCAAGCGATGTGTCCCCATCGTAAAGCCTTTGTACTTGCGCAGGGCCTTATTGGAGACGATGAGAATGGCGAAGTACATGTCTCTTGTCCAATGCACAAGCGCAATTACGTGCTTGACTCACAGGACCATACGCGTCTTGGCGGGTGCAAGAATGATGAAGACGTCTCTGTTGCTACTTTTCCTTGCGAAGTACGCGATAATGAGATCTATCTCAAGTTGCCCCCAGTGGCTGAGTTGGATGAGGTGCTTGGTACAAGCAAGCACTTGATCAAACAGGCTGACCACCAAGACGAGGGCATGAAAGCGCTTGACCGACGCTTCAAAACGTTTGGCAGTATGGCCAAAGTTCTGCCAGAGCCTGTCCTTTCATGGTAGTCATTGATCCATATGTTCTCTACGTACTTCATCGTTAAATATTGCTGTTCTGAATGGGATTGCCTTCATCGTTACATTCACCTTCTCCTTTGCGAGTAAGGAACTTGGTGAGCCCATCCTTCATATCGACCACTCGCTTGCTATAATGCATGTGGTGCTTTGCCTTCCAAGCAGCAGGTATCTCTTTGCGCCCAGTCTCGCTCTCGTGGGACTCTCTGGCATCGTCCTCAGAAGCAGAACTGCCTGTGTGCGTCGCCGGTTGCGGAGCGCGTGGAAAGTCAACATACACTGGGAGCATCAACATCATGTTACGTCCTTCATCCATGAGTGGTGCACGACACTTATTGCAGGATACTTTGCATGGTAATGTGCGATCTTGCACAGCATGAGCCATCTGCTTTGACGGCGAATGATACCAACTTAGATGCTGAAGTGCGTCAGGCTGGAACTGTAGAGCGTCCTTGGGCAATACAGCAGCCCATTGAAATGGACAACCATGTAGAGTTTGACAAGTCTCACAGTGACAGTACATGCTATCGAGGCAATCTTGTGCAATCTCGAATTGCACAGCTTTGCAGTAGCATGAGCCAGTGTATTTCACCTTGAAGTCTTGGCGGTACGCATACGGCGCCTTCAGTTCAGCTTTCAACTCTTCCTTCATCGGAGCAGTCTGATTGATCTTGCAGCTGGTACAAGTAGGAGCACAGATGATCTGCTGAGCAATGTTTGAAGTGAGTCCCGAGTGGCCGGGTCAAGATCAAGTTTATGCCGTACGTCATCCGGCTCTACTTTCGAAAACACGACTCGCTATGAGCTGCACTTGGCACGAGAAAGCTGTCGACCGCTTGATTACCGAAGAAGATTTGTATCTCCACGTATGCCTCCAGGATGTGCTTGCTTCTCAATACAGACACTCGGATCTTGCGACGCTAGGCATCGAGAGTTCTCTGTCACAATGCATATGTCTCTTATAAAGCGAGCCGTCAGGTACAACTAGAAAACGTATGATGTGCTTCAACAATGCTATTACTTGAATACGCGCCGGTCTTCAACCCAGATAGTAGCACGAAGGGCGAGGCATGTGAACGCATTTTCTGGTTTCATCTCAATGTTCTGTTTGCATTTGCATTCGAACAAGCGAGATGTTTGTCTGTCTACTTTGCGTGCCTCTGCGGATCTGGGTTTCAATCTAGACCGCTCGATTGTCTCCTGAACCAGCTCTCCTGACCTACTCTGCGGACGACGCAGCTGCTTGCTTATAAGATATGCGCAACAACCACGTCAGCTTTCTTGACCACTCTTATGAAGTTCAAGGACGCGTGGATCTCTATGAAGCTACGCTCAAAGCTAGTTTGCTTTACTTTCATCGCCCTGCTCCTCTACCTCATGTTGTCGGGCTCTCAGACTCTGACGAGGTCCGCCTCAAGCGCTGTATCGCATGGTAGCGACCGAGGAGGAAATGAACCTTCGGCGCATCATCTCAAGGCCAAAACTACCCCTGTCTCTGTCTTCATTGGCATCTTCTCGACCCCAGAACGCAGCGACCGACGTCAACTCTTGCGAAACGTCTATAGTCGAGTGAGACGAACAGGCTTGTCTCAATCTCAAGACACCCTCGTGTTCAAGCACATCATTGCTAGACCTGATTCCAACGTGTCATCGGATGCCTTGGCCGCGGAGCAAGCAGAACACAACGATTTGCTCTTTCTCGATTGCAACGAAGGCGCGGAGGGAGGCAAGACCTGGTACTATTTCGCCGCGCTGGGAAAGAAACCGCATATCGCTGACCACGTCGAAGGATACGATGACCCGCAGACCAAGTTTGACTTTGTTATGAAGCTAGATGATGACACCTACCTCAATCTGCCACGCTTTTTGGACGCCATCAGACTCTTCCAGGGGACGCCAGAAGTATACTTTGGGCGGATTTGCAACCTCCCCATCATGCCGTCTGGATTTCATCATTTCCCTTATCATTGTGGCTTGGGCTATGCCTTGTCGACTGATTTGTGTCAATGGCTGTCCGAGACGTACGATGAATCGCCTCCCATTAAATATCTGTCTGCTGAGGATGTTGAGACTGCAGGTTGGCTGAGAGATGGTGGAAAGCTGTTCGGATTTGCTGCTATACCTCAATCGCAAATGTACTCCTTCTGGGATCGAATGCCAGCCCACCTTCGCCATAAGGATTGGTATCAAAAGATGACGCCTGAAAATATGCAGTACACAGTCGATCATCTCAACAAACGGGACATTGCGATCCACGGCTTGAAGGATGAAGAATTTATGATTGCAGTCGCTGATTGGTTTCATCAACTTGAAAGACAGATGCAGTGAGATGAACACCGACTTGTAGTCTCGAGCTAAATATGTTGATCTTGCAGCTTGTTAATGTTCTTCCAGCTGATATCCCGATGTGCTAGCTGCAGATATATGTGGCCGTATAGATGTAGATGCTCAGCAAGAGCAACTTCAGATGACAAGGCAGGGTTTGACGGCGAACGCTATCCACTTGCCTCTGCAGCAGTCGTCTCTCAACAGCTTCACTTGCTCTGTATACTTCGCTCACAACTGTCCTATTACTCGACGTAGAAGCACAATATGGCTAATCGGGTACGCCTGTTGACACTATTCACAAACCAGCAATGCTCTCTTTGTGCCAAAGCTAAAAGTATGCCTCTCAGTCTCATCAACCTGCTTGTATGAAGATGAGTGATGATCTTCCACATCTCAGCTGCTGATGACTAGATGCTTTGATGGAAGCTCGTGCCGTCAACCCTGCACGCTTCCAATGGTCCGAGGTAGACATTCACAAGGCTGAGAACAAGGACTGGTTTGATAAGTATTGCTTCGATGTATGCATTCCTTGAAGGCAGAAGACGGCCTCCGTGTCGATATCAAAGACAGACAGCAGCTGACAGACAGGTACCTGTCATACATTTTGATGCGTTGGGCAAGCACAAGATCATGCACCACATCAAGAAGGAGGATATACTCACGAAGCTGGCTGAGGTTGATGGTCTTTGATGTTCTCCATAGTCTAATGCAGGGATTGAATAATGTGACTGCGCTTCTCCCAAGTGACGCCAGCAGGAAGCCGCCAGAGTGAAGCAGCAAGTACACGTCGCCCGATACAGACAGCAACGCACCAGGCCTCTCTAGCCCTCTTGCAGTGACAGCAGGCTCTCTATCTGCAATCAGCAAAGCACTCTTTCGCATCAAGAAAAGAGGCAAACGACCAAGCATCCAGCATGTCCTACAATAGGAATGTCGGCTACGGCGGCCCCAACATCAACCCGCCTACTGCCAACGGCGCGTCTGTGGACTCCCCCTTAGATACAGTCAAGCAAATGTCTAGCAAAGTGGAAGATCTTCTAGACACAACCTTTGAGCCTGTCAAGCCGTATGGACAACAATCAACCTGCACATCTACAGCCGGCTAACCAGCAGATACCTGCCTGCATTGGGCCGTTTCCTCATTTGCGTGACCTTTATTGAAGATGGTCTGCGCATTGTGACGCAATGGAGTGACCAGCTCTACTACCTGCAGACCTATCGACACTTTTGGTGGGGTTTCTCACACCTCTTCCTCCTCCTCAATGTGGCCACCATGTTTAGCTGTTCCTTCTGCGTCATCAGCCGACGCTATACGGAGTATGCCATTGGTGGACTCTTGGGTGTTGTCGTGTCTCAAGCATTGGGCTATGGATTGTTGTTTGATCTCAACTTCTTCTTCCGCAACTTGAGTGTTGTGGGTGGCCTACTCATGGTACTCTCTGACTCGATGGCACAGCGTAAGCAAATCTTTGCAGGCTTGCCCAGTATTTCAGAGACCGACAGGCGCAAGTACTTTCAGCTCGCTGGCCGTGTCTTGCTCATCTTCCTGTTCATTGGATTTGTCCTACACGGCCAGTGGACCATCCTACGTGCCCTCTTCTCCCTCGTTGGCTTCATTGCTTGCGTCATGGTCGTTGTTGGATTCAAGGCTCGTTTGTCGGCGACTTTCCTGGTGATGGTCTTGTCACTGATGAACCTCGTCATCAACAACTTTTGGTCCTTGCACCATACCTCCCCTGCACGCGACTTTGCTCGCTACGACTTCTTTTCGACCTTGTCGATCATGGGTGGTCTTGTGCTGCTGGTATCGTCTGGACCAGGTGCACTTGCAGTGGATAAAAAGAAGGTATACTAAGTGTAGCTTTTGTAAAGCTTCTGCAGGATTTACCTTTTATGTGCTATGCTGTGATGTGTAAGATGCTGATTTGACCAAGAACATCGCCGACGAGCAGCTTGGTGATGCCTTGTTGCTCGATGCTTGTGATGCAATTGATTTTGGGTGGCTGTGTTGCAGCAGCACCCGGCAGCGTGAAGGTTGCAATCTGATGGCCACTCAGCTGGCCTTGCTCATCTTGGCGGACACGCCAGAGCTTGACGGTACAATCGCTAGAGCCTGATACGATGCTGAATTCTGTGCTTTCTGGATCCGTATCTTCAATGATGCAGACGGCACCAATGGGTAATGTATGGTCTGTGAGTCGTAATGTCGTCCATGTATGCCGCATGACGCGTTTGTTGAGTCGTTTGTTCTTGTGCTTGGATCGGACAAGTGCATGTCGAGCTACAAGCAGAGAACCATCTCCTAGACCTGCAGCGTAGATTGGGAGACGGCTGTGGCTTGCAAGCGCTTGTACGAAGGGAGGATTGAAGAGCTGCGGTGCATTGGGGTCTTGATGTTCAGCTGCATTCAGACTAGAGACGAGCTGCAATGGTGGCAGATCTGCGTCCGTGTCGTCTGTTTCTAAGGGCATAGTCAGTTCCCATTGCTTGATGAGACTGTCCATGCCACCAGTTAGGATGTGTAAGGTTGTCCCTTGTTCGCTCATCAAGGCAAGTGGTGCAAGACTGGTACAAATGTGGGCGTGACCTAGGCCTTGTCCAACAGTTTCGCACTGTCCAGTCTTCAAGTGTAAGAGAGAGACGTCCCCCGAGTCGTCTCCCAAGATGGCCACTCCTGACTCTGACAGATGGATGAAGCTGTTGATTTCTTCACTGGCAACATTTGGCCATGAGGATGTTGATTCCTTGACAAACAGCGACGCGCCACTCGGCTTGTCTAGCTGAAAGAGCGACGTGCCTGCAGATACTAGCAGAGTCTCACCCTGCCACGCAATGCAAGTGACAGCCTCTCCATGGAAGCAGCTTGGGAGGAAAGCATGTTTGACTTTGAAAGTAGCCAAGTCCCATACACGGACACAGCCGTCTTCAGCAGAGGAGGCAAGCTGCTGCCCAGTTGCATCTACAGCGATGCATATGACTGGCTTTGAGGCTGCCTTGAGTGTATTCTTGAGCGTGAGTGTCATCTGAGTCTGCGCATCTGCTGTGTCGTATAGATCCTCAAATCCAGAAATAGTTCTCCCCCAATTTGCCTCCCAAACATCGAAAGCTGCACAGTAACACACACTCTCTCTCTCCAGCACATCTATCCATAATGCGTCTCTCCCTTCTTCTCTCTTCATCTGCATTGCTAGCAACCGCAGCAGCAAGCGGCACAGGCGCCCTCATGTTCTGTCTCGGCGTCAAAAAGGCAGACGGCTCCTGCAAATTCCAAGCTGACTACGCATTGGATTTCGCGGCATTGGGCCCCTACAGCAAAGCAGTCCGCATCTACTCCACCTCAGACTGCAACACCATGCAGGAAATCATGCCTGCCGCCAAAGCTGCTGGTTTCAAAGTTCTCCTGGGTATTTGGGCCACGGATGCCGACCATTTCGCTTTGGAGAAGACCACTGTTCAAAAATTCCTTCCATTGTACCGTGACCAGGTCTCTGCTATCACTGTTGGTAGTGAACATCTATACCGCGGAGACTTGACCGGCACGCAGCTCGCTGCTCAGATTACCGAGGTTCGAAACCTTGTCAAGGGTCTCGGATACACAGACATCCCTATCGGCACTGCAGACTCCTGGAACAAGTACAAAGATGGTACAGCAGACCCAGTCATTGCAGTGTCTGATATCCTCCTGACAAATTCTTTCAGCTTTTGGGAAGGTCAGAGCAAAGCCGACATGACTACAAGATTCTTCAACAACATTGGTCAAGCATTGGCCAAGATTGAAGCCATCAAGGGTACCAGCGACTTTACCTTTTACGTTGGCGAGTATGTCCATTCCAGTTTGTAATGTCACAATGCTAACAATGTAGGACTGGCTGGCCCACTAGCGGCAGTGCCTACGACCAAGCCGTACCGGACCTGGCCACCGCCGAGTTGCACTGGCAGTCCACCATCTGTGGTCTCCGACACTGGGGTATCAATTTGAGTGTCTTTGAGGCATTTGACGAGCCATGGAAGCCCGCTGCAATAGGAGACAATGGTGTTGCACTGCCAGAGACATCCTGGGGTGTCTTTACCTCTGATAGGAAGCTCAAGTACAAGTCGCTTTCTTGCTAGACGCTTTTCAGGTTGACGCTCTACCTTTATAATCTCCTTTTATACTCTCACGATACTGGTAATCGACACTTGGTTTATGCAGAAGAGTTCTTGTTGAATCTGTTTATAGGCCTGCACCACTCTGCTGTAACAAAAGAACAAATCCTTTGATATTGGCAAGAATGGACTATGAAAGGAACCAAAACTGCCATGGTTCTTCCATCGTTCTGCTTGGGTTCTGCTTTCATACTCTACTTTCTCAAATTCTTGCCAATATCAAAGGATTTCTCGATTCTGCTCCATGATCCATAGCGAGGGCTCTCCTACTCGTCTCGATCATAGAAAGGCGTTGTGCTTGATTATCCGGAGTCAGAAGCAAATCTGAGAAACATCTTGTGATATCACAGCTAGCCGTGTGTAGTATGCTTTACAAGTACAAGCTGAGGCAGGACGCTCCCGCTGGTGACGATTCGGTGACTTCAAGTACACTTGGTTGCAATGACTGGTTAGAGCATGGCTGGACTAGAATGCTCTGATTGCTCCGCGTATTGGAACGATATGACACTGCAAAACCACCAGGTCTCTTCAGTCACCTAACGCGCGAGTCAGGGACAGTCGACAGATGGAGTACGACAGCCACTCAGCCCCTGCCGCTTCGCAAGCATCTGAAGACGACTTTGGCAACGTCCTAGAGCCAGTCATTGCATCCTTTGACTACAAGGACAAGAAGCTAGGCATTGCCTTCTACGCTCGTGAACAAGCAACGCTCTTCATTGCTCAAGACATCCAGCATGAAGCACCACCGTGCTTCGACGCCATGAAGCGTGCACGCTTCCAGATCGAACCAGATGTCATCTTACTCTCATCACGCGCAGACGATGCCTTTCACAGCACAGAGGTGAATGACCTAGTCTTGTCGGATGCAGATGAGACGCGCAAGCAAGTCAGACCGAGTCCAGAATTCTCCAGCATCAGTGCCATGGGACGATCATGCGAGCTACGAGCTGCCAAGGACGCTGTACACGCTCATATCGCACCACGCATCACGTTTGGTACCAGTTTGACTGACAGCGAGTCTCATCATCGACTTGCAGGTATCAAGCTCGGTGGAAGTATTGACGATAGCGCCATACTCTCACTTGGCTGTGCAAACGCTGTCTTGTGCTACATTGAAAAGCACTGTGCTACTTTGCATGGCGACGAAGAGTTGTCGACCTATGTCCATCAAGTAACGATGTATGCCCCGAAGAACCATCTTACCATCAGTCCAGACTCGTTGTTTGCGCTCGGCATCTTTGGCGATGAAGCACACCCTAATGTCCATGCGAATGGAAGCAAAGAATCTCTGACACTGTTCGGCGTTCTCAACACTTGTCGAACGGCGCAAGGAAAAATCTTGCTCAGGAGCTGGTTTGCACAGCCTGCTATGGACCTGGTGACCTTGAATGAACGTCATGATGCAGTGGCTTGTCTCCTGATGCCTGCAAATCAGCACCTTTTGGGATCTATTGCATCTTGCTTGCGCTCTTGCGCAGACATGCGAAAAGTGCTTGCTCTGCTGCGTCAAGGACGTTTCCATCACGGTCTCTCAAGCAGTATGCGTGTAGCAACGGAGTGGCAGCGTATCCTTCAATTCAGCTTCAACCTCTGCAAGATTCGTTCGAATCTAAAGGACCTATTGAGCGGTCAACATGCAGTCCTCTTGGACCAGATTGTTGCTGCTTGTCGTATTGCAGATCTCAATGCCGTCGGCTCGCTTATCAACGATGTGGTTGATTTTGATGCTTCCCAAACTGAACAACGTGTCGTCGTTCAGCGTGGTATCGATGATGAGCTCGATCAACTGAAGGAGACGTATGATTCGCTCGACGGCGTTTTGAATCAAGAGCGTCAGCGTCTCAGCGTCGCAGTCCCGCAAGCGTATAGCGCCAGCGTACAGTGTGTCTACCTTCCACAAATTGGCTTCTTGACAGCGATGCCAGCATCTGGCGCACCCACAACGAGTGGCAAGAATAGCATTACTTCGACAATGCGCTTGGAAGCTCCAGTCGTTCCTGTTTGGCAGGACGATAGCTGGATCATGTCCTTTAGCACTGCCGAGAACGTCTATTTCAAAACACAACGCATGACGGAGCTGGATGAGTACTATGGCGATGTACACACACTGGTTGCTGATCGAGAAATCGAGCTACTCTACCAGCTGTCTGTGCGTGTCTTGAAGCACAGCGAACTTTTGGTGACGCTCTCTGATCTGGTCGCATCGCTTGATTGTCTCGTTGCTTTTGCAGAGGCTGCAAAAAAGCACAAGTACTGTCGGCCTGAAATGGTTGAAGCAAGTGTCTTGGACGTCAAGGGTGGTCGTCATCCTCTGCATGAGATTATCCTGGCGACCTTTGTCGAAAACGACACTCTGCTCAGGGGCGGCCCATCAGATGATCAGATGGATGCGATCAATGCAATATTGCTGACTGGAGCGAATTACTCTGGCAAGTCAGTTTACCTCAAGCAAACTGCGCTCATTGTCTACATGGCACATATCGGATGCTTCGTTCCAGCAAGTTCTGCAGTCATTGGTCTGACAGACAAGATCCTCACACGCATCAGCACTCGCGAAACGGTTGCAAAACCATCGAGCGCCTTTCTACTTGACCTGCAACAAGTCGCCCTCATGACTTCAACCATGACCTCACGCTCACTGCTCATCATTGATGAATTTGGCAAAGGTACAGAGAGTACAGATGGAGCGGCATTGTTTGGGGCACTTGTTGAGCTATTGACTGGTCAACTCGCAGATCATCAAGATACACGACCTCGCACACTCATTGCTACACATTTCCATGAAGTGATCGAGTTGGGATTCATGAAGCAACCTCCAAATCTCAAACTCCAGCATATGCAGATCCATATACCCGATGCAGGAGACGGCGTGCAAAATGCTGGTGAGGCCAACATAGACACGAAATTGACTTACTTGTATCGTCTCGCTGATGGTCCATCGCATGGGAGTTTTGGTCTCAACTGCGCCATGATTGGCGGCGTGCAACCCGATGTCCTCGCTCGAGCGGCTCAGCTGCTTGCAGTGACGAGTCGAGGGGAATCGCTCGTTCATGCAATGACAGAGCTGACTGAAGATGAAAAGGAAGACTTGCGCCGCGCAGAGAAGCTCGCAAGGGCATTCTTGAGTTGGGACTTGACAGCAGAGCCGGTTGAGGGCATCAAGGGCAGATTACAGTCTTTGCTTACGCTGTAATGAATCAGCGCTTCTTGTTCATACCGCCATCCAACTTGGTACTCTTGATGACTCTGGAAATACCACTCGTCTCACCACCATACGAGCCAGTAGGCTGCTTGAAGATTGCCTTTTGCGAAGCCAGCTTCTTCTTTGCAGCATCGTACTTGACTCGCTTCTTGACACGCGCATTTCTGTTTTGCTTATTGGGACCCTTGGCGCCCTCGCGCGTTCCCTTATTTGCAAGAATATCGCGCGTGACTCCGCGCTTATCGCCATTGACTGCATCCTCCGCAAGCGTATAACCTGCTCTCTCCGCACGAAGCGCCTTGAGAGCGCCATCGTGCGCCTGTTTCCTTTCCTGCTTCTCTTGCTTTGCAGCATTGGCAATCAAATCGTAGTACTCTTCGTCTGAATGAGCATCCTTCTCAGCCACCGGCTCTTCGTTGTCGAGATCAGCACCGATCGTACCTCCCTTGCGACGCTCTGCCTCTTGTTGCACACGCATCTCGCGCTCTTTACGTCGCTCCTTGTATGGCACATCCGCATCACCTGACATGAACGCATTTTTGCCCGCATCGCGCCGTTTGTTGGACTTTTGCGCGATTTGGGAAGCGTAGAATTGTAGAGTCTTGCGGCGTTGTGTTGCATCGTCTGCTTCTTGACTGTCGGCGACGGCATCGCCAATATCGGCCAGTTGCTGACGAGGCTTGATCTTCTTGACGGATTTGAGGGCGGCAAAGGTGGCTTCGAGCTCGTCATCATCCTCTTCAGGGGCGAATGATTCTTGAACCACTGGCGCTGATAATTGAATGCTCTTTGACTTGTTGCCTCGCTTCCGCTTCTTCTTGTTGACGATTTCTGGCTCTTGTTCAGGTTCTGGCACATGCTCGACCAGATCTGAGGCATTTTCATTGATCAGGACATGCTCGATACGTTGCCAGGCAGTGCGACAGCGTACCAATGAAATCATGATTTCATGCTCCTTGATCTTTACTGTCGCATTGCCATCTTGATCAGTGGACGACAAGAGCACAAAGTAGAAGGCAAGCACAGCGAGGTAGGAGCGAAGTGCACCGCGCTTGAGCTGAATGAGATTCTGTTCAGGATGATGTGTCCTGGCAGCGAGCAAATCAAGGTGCTCGAGCTGTGGCGACAGCTCTTGCAGCTCCCGCGCAAATGGTTCAAACTCTGGATGACGCAGCTTGAGCATTCTCTGAAGCTCCAGCTTGGGTAAGTCTTCAGAAACTTGGGCAGGAACCTCATCCACAGCATCTTGCTGCTCTGCTTCATCGTTCCACTCGTCGAGATCATCGACGAATGCTGTCGCATCGAGTTTTTGGAGATTCTTCTTTTGTATCCGAAGCGCCTCTGCTTCTTCGGCCTTGAGATCTTCTTCGTCCGTCATATCTTCGGCATCGTAGTACTCCTTTTTGCTGTCGCCCCAACCTTCCTCGACTTCCTCAGCGTCTGGGTCTTCCTCATCACTTTCAGACTCGGAGTCAACGCCATCCAAGCCCAATACTTCTTCGTCAGAGAGCTCCTCCATCTCTTCTCCACGAATGCGAGCATCTCGACGCGCTCCATCTAGCAGAATCTTGTCCTGATCAGCGTCAAAGGCTTCCTCATCAGATCCTGCAATGTCGCTGTATTTGTTGATGGCAGCGCGCTTTGCACCTCCGCCATCAAACTGGGGCTCTGCATTAGTCTGCTTCCGTACTTTGCGCTTGATGGCCATAATATATGGGTCTGCACAGGCTCTCGTCTCGACGCTGCTGACTCGATGCGACGAAATGCACAAAAAAGTGGAATTTTCACACGGGGCATTCAGATGGAGTTCACTGCTGGTTGCCTTGTACTACATATGTAAAGTTACTCAATGAGGTGGCCGACCAGGTTCTCAAGGTGATGACAAGCAGAAGGGTAAAAGGATTTGCTACAAGAAGAGAAAAAGATCCTATGAAAGGGTATAGCAATCATGCTGCAGCTGAAACCGTCGTGGTCACTGGGTAGACCGACACGCAGCCACAAGCGCTGATGTACCTCGCAAGTCGCTTTTCGACGCCTTGACCATCACAGACATTGGCATTGGTAGGCAAGCTTGCGGGACCAGTGATCGTCTGCGTGCTGGTAGGTCCGGGAATGACTGTGATGGTGGGCAAAGCAGTTTTGCAGTCATTGTAGTTTGACTCGATAAAGTTACCATTCTTCAGCAACAGACCGCGCAGGCAGTTATCACGGGCGCACTTGGGGTTGATGGTTGGAAGAGGCGCTGGTGTTGTCGATGTTGGAGCGACCACAGCAACTCCTTCACAGTTGTTCTGGCAGGCAATACCCTTGACAAGAGTCAAGAAGACGGCGCTGTCAAGTGCACCGTCGGCAGCGTCACAGACAGCAATTTCAAGCTTCACTGTACTGACTCCGACGTCAATTGGGGCATTTGCTGTGAGTATGGGTGTTGAGCCTCCGTAGACGCTGTCGTCGTTGGTCGCCACCTGGTCGGAAGCGAAGAAGCCGTTGTTGATGGTTACAGGTTTGCCGACGTTGTCCATCGCCACGTTCTTGCCGTTGACAAATATGCCGAGGACGTCGTTGAAGCTCGATCCAACGTAAACTGGATACTCCTCTGAGCCAAAGATAAATGAGACTGACAATCCATTGAATTTGGTCTTGTCGACCAGGAGATTGAGCGTCAAGACAGCGGCATCAAAGTATGAGCTTGAGCCAACAGCACTACACAGAGCGCTTCCAGCACCAATTTCATTAGTAGAAGCGTCGCTCGATTTAGGCTTGCTCGCATCGATGGCATTGCCGGAAGAGAGAATGATACCATCAGCGATGCCTTGTGGGCCGCTTGAGTATGTGCCAGCTTGTGTGGGGACACCTGTAAAGGTACCATTAATCAGCGTCAATCCGGAATTGGCGGAAATCAGTCGCGCTGCCAAAGCCGAGAAGTCAGCTTGAGTGACTGTGAGGGACGAGACGAGGCTCGCGGAGGAGACCAAGAATGCGGCCATAGTCGACGAAAGCTTGAAGTGCACCATGATGTGTGCCTGAAATTGTTCAAAGAGGACTGCGATAGAGACTTGCAAAGGCAGATCGACAGGCTTTATATAGTTTCGCAAAGTTCTTGCAATGGCCAGCGGTCTCCAATGCATGCAAGCCAAAAGCACAGCTTGTGCAAAGGATCCAAGCGAATCGTAGCTTACCCCAATGTAATTCCCCGGATACTCTCGCCAGGAAGAAGTTGTCGGAGGATGCTACCGAGCAAGTTAAGGTACCAGTGAGACTCGCGTATGATACCGGCGCGACCGTGCATTGGGATAAGCGACGACTTACAGGTCATTGAAGAGGTTTGACCCGCACCTGACCTCTTGTGAGAAGCTGATAGGACACTTCAGCCAGCAACTGAGTTCAGTGAATTGACGTTCGGGCAAAAGTCCATTGTGCTCGAGCCAACGGTATTTTTCGTCTTATTCCGCCCGCTGTCGGTATGACTTGGACTGGTAGTTTAGCATGCATATGCGAGAGACGTCAAGACATCCGTCTACAAGATATAGTTATGGGCCATATAAGGCCCTTTAGCTGGAGTCTGGAGCAGCAAGTGGCTTACATTGTAGGGTGGTGGTCCAAGCGGAGCCTCCTCATCAAATCTTGTGCGTCCTGCAGACTCCTGCTCGCCCGCACAACGGCACAGGCGCAGCGTCACAGACCAGAACTTTCATAAGCGCGCATAGTATGTGCCGTTGGAAAAGCTACGACTTTGCTCTTTTGACTGGGTCCGGCGCGTAAATTTGAACGGCTTGTCACTTGTAAGTTGTCACTGGGGCTTAAGCTTGCAACTGTTGGTGTATGATTCGTATCAGCTTGTTTGAAGTCGTATCATCTGCATAATCCCAACTACCACTCCACCAGTCGATGGCCCTACCAGCGACGTCCAGCGTCAGCCCTCTTACATTCGCTTATGAGAACTCAGGTTCTCGCGGTGGCTCTGCCGTTTCAGATGCCGACTCCACCTTGAGTCAGTTAGCAGCTATTAGCTCAGAAGGCTGTATACACAGTACATCCGCATTGGAGAGGCCCATGCAAAGCGTCAGACCATGAAGTTTGCAACTTTCTCACTGTATGTAAGACTGTGGTGTGCAGTGGCTTTGAAGGCCTTCCTTGCAGCAGAGGTCACAGAATTCACAGTACTACCAGCAGTTGGCAAGTGTGGATCGCTATGTATAGCATGCCTCTTTGACAGATTGCTAGCGGGCCCGACCAATTGCATGGGCCGATCGAGTCAGGCAGCATTGAATCAACTTGGCCTGTTCGCTATAGATTCAGACAAAGCGCCAAAGACAACGCAGATGAAGTGATGAATGCATGAGCTAATAGATGACATGTGGAGCATTATGAAATTACACTAACGTGCCATTGTGGCACTTGCAATGATAGTGGTCGTTACTGGAAAGACGGATGCACATCCGCAAGCGCTGATATACCTAGGCAAGCGCCTCTCAATGCCTTGTCCATCGCAAACATTTGCGTTCGTCGGCAGATTTGCAGGCCCAGTGATTGTTTGGGTGGCAGTTCCACTTCGAAGGACAGTGATAGTTGGCAGCGCGGTCTTGCATGCCTCGTAGGCTGCCGTGAAAAATACGCCGTTTTTGAACAACAGACCGCGTAAACAATTGTCATGCGAGCACTTCGGGTTGACTGAAGGCACAGGCGCTGATGTGGATGATGCAATTGATGTTGATGTTGTTGATGTGGATGATGGATATGTGGAAGTTGTTGAGGTCGTGGACGTTGTCGACGACGTTGAAGACGTTGACGATGTCGATAATGTAGACGACGTCGACGAAGGAAGGACAGCAATACCGTCACAATTGCCTTCGCATGTGATGCCCTTGAGACCAGTCAAGAAGACGGCACTGTCGACATCTTGATCCGCATTGTCACAAACCACAATCTCAAGTTTCACGGTGCTGACGCCTGCTGCAACCGGTGTATTTGCAATCAACTTTTGGGTTGAGCCTCCATACGCGCTGTCGTCGTTAGTTACAACATTGGCTGAACTGAAGAAGCCGTTGTTGATGGCAACGCGCTGGCCTGCACTGTCCAATGCAACGTTTTTGTCATTCACAAAGATGCCCAAGACGTCATTGTACTTTGATCCGACCCAGGCTGGGAATTCTTCTGAAGCAAAGATGAATGACAAGGATACTCCATTGTACTTTGTTTTGTCGATGGCGAGGTTGAGTGTCAGAACAGCGGCGTCCCTGAAGTCGCCCTCTGCAATCGCGCTGCAGAGTGGACTTCCACCACCCATATACCTCGAATTGGCATCGCTTGTTTTCGGCAATGCAGCATTCTTGGCGTCTCCTGTAGAGAGCACAACGCCATCTGCCAGGCTTTGCGGGCCATTTGTGTATGTACCTGCCTGCGCAGCATTACCAGAGAAGGAACCACTCAGTAGTGTGAGACCCGAGTTGGCTGTGACGAGACTGGCCGCCAATGCGGAGAAGTCAGCTTGAGTGACGGTGAGGGAAGAAACAAGGTTGCTTGATGAGAGAAGCGACAACGCTGTCAGCAAAAACCTGGACACCATGATTATATCTTGACAGAGACATACTGACGACGCCGGATGCGGATGCTTTATAGGTAGTCAGCTCAAAGAGTATCAAATAGTTTCGGATACCCTGGTCGTGCCGCTTCTTTCAGTCCATGCCGTCCAATATTCTCACTTTAGGTGGATGAGCCATAGTGTGGGGAGGTCATTCACCTCGTGTCAGACTAGCACCATGACAACTTTAAGAGCTCATGACAGTTCGGGTAGTCAGACATTGTGCCATTGAGCCAAAGTTTCGTGCGATAGACGGGTTGCTCCATTGAGCGCGCTAAAGCGTTTGGGCAACTTTCGGGGCTCGGTTAAGCGATGTTGCCCACTGAGAAGCTTTTGTTTAAAAGTATCTTTACTGAGCCTTCTCGGTCTAAGTCTGTGTCAGAAGTCTTACCCGGTGATGACAGCTGCAAGTCTAGATAGCGAGGACAACGAGTACAGCATTGAGCAAGGCCTGAGACTGTCTTGCAATTGACATGCGCACCTTTCGGTGCCTTCCAGAGAAGGTGAGACCAGATGCTACAGCGGCCAGGAAATTTACGAACGACTGCAGCCGAGGATCTGCTCGTTTATCTGCTAGGCAGTCATACACTCACAGAGTCATAGCGCATGTAGGCTGAGTCATTGAACAGTCCAGCCGCGCTCCCATGTCCAGGACCCTGCAACTGGAGCCGCTGCGCCAGTATTGGGCCTGGTAGGCTAGTACGAGCTTTGTTGGTCAAATGAATGGTCATGGGACGGAGCAAACTTAAAAGTTGCGGCAATTCAGAAATCCCCGTTGCGGGCTGTACACTTTACGACAGTCGCAAGTATATAAATGTACATCTTGATTGCATTGTACTGGTCTCTTGGTCAGTAGGCGATAGAGCTGAACAAATGATTCAAAGATCGACCTCGATGGTTCTATCGCATCCCAAGCTTTACACCTCGATGCATACAATCAAGAGCTCAACGTGATGGACGGCATTGTATACTGGCCATCAGCAATGGCCGACGTTGCACCATAGACCCTCAGTGTCACGATCCATGGGCCAAGTGGCACTGGAAGCCAATTCATGATGCCTTCAGCAGGTGGATTGACACTGGCAACGATACTGAAACTACCATTGCCACCAGACGCCAACTGTCTCAAATTGTCACGACTGCCGAGGCTATAGCGATCGATTGCATTCTTGACGAAATAGTTGTCGCTGTCATAGGCCGTCAAGCTCCAGAATCCCAGAGCTCGGCTTGGTGGCTCGCCATCTGGGAAGAAAATGACATGGCGAGATGTGTTGGTCGATGTCAGCGCACCAAGTCGAGTTGGATAAATGGCTTGCTCAGGAACAAGAGCACCAAAACCAGTATTAGCAATGTATGCCCTTGTGATGTAGTCCGTGCCAAAGTTTGCAAACTTCTTTTGTGCAGGCAAGAGCCAGCTATTTGACAATCCTTTGAGAAAGCCACCCAATAGTGGAGCTCCTGCTATGGTACCATTGGCAGCTGCCTGAGATGCGTTCAATTGCTGTGTCGTCAAAAGAGGTACGAACGGCCTGTCTGGCGATAGACCCACCGAGGTGAAGTTTGCACGGTAGGCTGCAGGGTCGACAGGGTTGTTCTTGATGGCTTCGTTAAGCAAGTAGTAAGACTGAAGGACCTGAGGAGTGCCACTGCTGAATGATGGCTGTAGAATCGGCTGAGAAGGCAAAGTTGGCGCCTTGACAACCTGAAGCTGGTCTTGAATGCGGTTCACGATATCTGAGCGTTAGCTATGCAGGAAAAGTCGAGCAGCTTTACCATAATCTGCGGTACCCGTAGTGTTCAGCACATAGATACGACCAAGGATCCACATGTCATCTGTTGGGCTGACAATGTCAAAGGGAGACGATGCGTTGGCGCAGCTAGCATATCGAGGGCCGTAGAGAGTGTAGTTTCCCGAAGGACTACCGAGCAGGTTGCCAGGGTTGTGGAAGTTGTTGGAGTAGGCATCGTACATAGCGGCAACAAAATAGCGATCAGTGACATTGGGGAGATAGAATGTCACTGGGCCAGCGCTCAAATCGAGCCAAGCACTGGAGTAGGTCGTGTCTGCATTCGGTTTGACAATGGACCGCTCGGCAGCTGTTGCAAGTCGACGAGCATGACTGAACTTGTTGATTGTTTGGTTAGTTCCAGGCTGTAGCGCTGCAGTACGAGTCTGATAGAATTGCAAGGGCGGGTTTCCGTATATCCAGGCATTGGCCGCTGCTTGTGTCGCATTGGCAGCAGTAGCGTTGCTCGGACACGTCTGAGCAGCCGCCAGTGAGAACAGTAGCACGAAGGATGCTACAGTGTGCATTATAGCTTGTAGGACAGAGTAGCAGAGGCGACGTACGGTATATCGGCCTCGGGATGCATATTTTGTCATTCTCCAGCAATTTAAGGCGAGTCCACTCCATCTGAAATCTGACTTCCCCAGATTTCGTCCATTTTGTGAAATTCCGAGCGAGCTGCCAGATGCATTCCTCTCACGGTCTCTCGAGATGGGTTTCCCCGTTGTCCCCTGGCTGTCCCGTTGCACAAAGAGCCAAAGACCAGAAAATGCAACAACAAACAAAAGCTCCAGTCTCGAATTTCATCCGCAACGACCTTGCAGTGCCGTGTCTCACCATCACTGCTGCTTATGCGCCATTAGGAGTCCGAACGCGAATGCTCAAGAGTCCCCCAGTCACACCAACAAAGGTGCAGCGTGGCCTCAGTGTAGCAACAGAGAGCGAAGCAACCTCACTCTTGTCTCCCGCAACTGCTGTCGTCTTGTCACTGCCACAGGGCCCAGCGTCGATTAGCACTCTTGTGCCCTCTACCTTCAAGGAGCCGGCCGTGTCTTCATCTTCCTCACTGCTGAGTCCAACACGCACAACACTCGACCACGATTCAGCACGCCTCTTTGAGGATGACATGCGCGTAGTCTGCTCAGTCGCCGACCGTATCAAGTGGGAAGCCCACATTTGTTCTATCCGCGAAGCAAAACTCCGTCAACTCGGCCTCGGTAGCCCAGTCATCAAAGTCAACATGTCGAATGTCAATAATCAACCGACTTTCGCTCCGGCAGTAGCAACGAAGGTACAATCAACCCTACCGCCCCCGACGGGTTTGCATACCCCAGCCGAATCTGCAAGCTCTGTGATCCTACCACGGGTTGCAGAACTGGCGAAGGAGGAGCCACAGAACATTGTTGCTCAGCTCGCTCGCCTTGCTGAATTGCGTAAACGCCATCACGCGCTCTCGAAAAGTGTCAGCGACTTGCAATGGCAAAATGCAGATCTCCATGCACGCACGATGTCGCATGACCCAGCGACCTTACCAATGGATGCGCGCATGTTGGTACACCAGCGTCTCAATAGCCTGCCGCCAGTCTTTGTGCCAAATGGCAAGCGTATTGTGAGTACGGTTGAGTCCATTGCTGAAGAGCCAGACGAGCAGGTGTCTATAGAGGAGCACAGCTTTCAGCAGCAATCTCGTCAACATGGCACGCAATGGACTGACGTCGGCGAACACGACTTGCAATATTACGATGACTTTGCAATGCCAGACTTTTCCATGCTTCCTGTCCAGATGCAGCCGCCACAGAACCCATATGGCTACGAGTACGGCCCACATGGCTTTGCTGATGTCTATATGAATGGTCTTGGCTCACCTGAGCAGCCATTCCTCAATACTGCCGGGTCCATTGATTTCGCAGCACAGAATATGCCGGCCTTTGACTTTTCCCTGCAGCATGGACCTTCAGCTTCATCAGTCTCTGACTTCATCTTGCCGCAGCGAGAGAGCAAGGCGGTGCCTATTATCCGCCCAGTTGACGCGGAGATTGGCTCTGAAGCAGGCGATGCGAGTCGATCCTTTGACGCGTACGATGGCTTTGACTCTTGCTCTGATTCTCAAGGCTCGCCGCAGCAACAACAAGATCAAGAAGAAGAACAAGAGGCCAACGACGAGCGTGTTCGAGCGTTTGTCTTTCCCAACGCCAAGTCAGCGCCTGCGACACCGTCTATTGCTCGTACTGCTGTCTTTGAGAGTGTCGACATGACACGCTCTGCCTCACCACTCAAGCGAGCATATGGTCAATCTGCTTATGCTCCAGAAATGCCGCAAAAGTCGCCTGCACGCCGCATCTTCGATAAGAGTGTCAATATGGCTGACTCTGAATTGGATCAAATCATTCGTGGTTTGTCTCATTCGCAAATCGCCAGCTCACAAGCTTCGGGTGGTGAAGAGAGCGCTGAAGAAGATGAGTCTGACTTGTCCTCGCAATTATTGTCCTCTCCGCCGCTTTTATCCATGCAACGTCTACCACAGGCACTGCGCAGAACGGATGGTCGATCCATTGCTGCTGATAATGCACAACGATCCGCCAGTGCCAAGCACCTTCTTCTTCTGGGTCACCAGGATGCAGATGTGGGCCTTTTGCTTGACAAGATGCTCACCACAAAACTCGCTGGTGTGTCTGAAGCAGTGCAAAGTATTCAAGAAGGTATCGCTTCGCTTGAGCAGCAAGTCCTTGCATCCCTCGAACAATCTGTCATGACGAAGCATATTGATGAGTTGACGGAAGCCCTTCAAGATGCGCGCACAGCACTGGATGTTCGAGATGCCAAGATTGAGGGGCTCGAAGAGACGGTTGACCTGCTTCATGAGCAAGTAGCCGACTTGGAGTGTACAGCAGCGGAAACCTCAGTCGTCCTACCGTTTGCACCGAGTGACTCTTCCTCTGCAGCAAAAGTGGATGCAGCTGCCCTGACTGAGCTAGTGGAACGTGTGCGTGTTTTGGAAGGTGCTCGAGCAGGCTTACAGGTCGCTGTACGTGATGGCACCATGAAACGGGCACAACTGGACGTTCAATGTCGGGATCTCGAGACGGCACTACAAGCCTCCAAGGCCGAGACAAGTACTGCCGTGAATCGTGCAGAACAGGCTGAACTAGCCTGTGCTGCATTGGAAAAGCGCTTGCAACAAGCACACGCTGCAGAAGCTGACATCACACACAAGCATGGCAAGTTACAGCAAGAACTCCAAGAAGCTGCCGTGTCGATTGCACAGGAACAGACACGCTGGTTGACCACTGAGTCGACGCTACGCGGACAGGTGGATGCAGCCCACGCTCGTGCAGCACGCGATCTTGCAGCAAAGGAAAAGGCTGAAGGTGAAGTGGATCGTCTGCGACGTGTCGAGCGTGCCTCGCTTGTTCCTACGGATGTCAACATCCTCAAGGCACAAGTCGCTATGCTTGAGCGAGAACGACAAGCAACGGCTGAAGGCCACCAAGCTGAGCTGGCGATGCGTGACGGTCGTTTGGATCGAATGATGAGCGAATGGCAAGAGATGGCTCGTCGACTTGCAGCTGCTGAACAGAAAGCTGCTGCTGCTGCTTCCGTGCGCACGTCGTCTGGCCTTGCAGTCTTACCAGATGATGCGCCACAGACGCTAGCCGGCAGAGATGCATCTGTTTTGGCACGCACAGAGTGGTTGCTCCAGTCTATGCAGCAGATGATGCAGCAGCAACAACAACAGCTTGCAAGTCCTACAAAGGATGTGGATTCAGCGCATCGTGCAGAAATAGCTCAAGTGCGTGCGCATGCTCGCCGTATCAGCCAGAGTCAAGCTGCTCAAATTGCAGAGCTAGAACAGACTGTCGCTGCTACAGAAGTTGCAGCGTCGCGAGGTCTACGAGTAAGAGAACGCGAAATTGGACGGCAACGAAGTATTCTTGAGACCATCACAAGTAATGTTGAAGTGATGCATCGCGTTTCACTTGCTCAGGGTGCTTCTCCTGCGTCTGGCGACCCAAAAGCTGCTATGCAAAAGTCAACAGAAGCATTGCGGCGTATCCGGCTCGAGCTTGAGCATGCGTCCAAGTCGAGTGCACCGCGACTACAGACGAAAGCGGCTTCCAGTACAGCATCAGCTGGATTAGTGGCAGGTGCACGACTTGCTCAAGTTGGTGGTGCTGTGGCACATTTGGATGCGGCTGCCTCTGCAGATGAAGCGCAAGGCAAGGAACGCGCACTAGCGCAAGCCATGGCGTCCTTGATTGGTGGCGAGAGCCCAATTTCACCGAGCAGGCGCATGCGTTGACCTGGATCATGTCTTTTTTAGCAAATTGTCAAGATTTTGTAGTTTGGTTATGCGATGATATGAATATCAGTTGGCCTATTGCCCCTTTTGCGCCTTTTCACGCTTCTTGAGGGCACGTTTGCGGATGGAGAGGTGCATGGCCTTGTTGCCAGAGACAACAACTGAGGATTCACGGCCAATCCATGTCAGTGCATAGGCCATGAGTCCATGTGCCCAGAAGGGTGTGATGACAGGACCACTCTTGATGCCACCCAAGACTGCTTTGACGAAGACTTTCGGGGTAGGAATGGTCATGGTAGGCTTCCTGACTTTGGACATCTTGGAGGTAACGAGGTAGGAGTTGACCAGCTTGACGGTGACTTTCGAGTCTGCCAGTTCGGAAGCAAGGGCAGTAGACCAGGTTTGGAGGAAAGCCTTTGAGCCAGAGTAAGTGGCTAGCAAAGGCGTAGGCAAGAATCCGCCAAAGGAGCCCATAGTAAGGATGAGCGAGCGGCGTTGCATGAGCTTGGGCAGAAGCGTCTGCGTTGTACGGAGTGTGCAGGTGACATTGATGTCAATGATGGCCTGCATCTCAGCCTGCTCCGTCTGATGGAAAGGCACAGGGATTTCGTGCGATTGTCCGACATTGTTGATGAGGACACCGACTTCGAGATCTTGCACCAGCTGAGCAAGCTTGGAAAAGTCCTTGTCCGTGGCCTTTGATGCATCCATTGACAGTGTCTTGGTCGAGATGTGATATTTGCTCTCTAATTCACCAGCAAGTGTATCCAGCTTTGACTGAGTTCGCGACACCAGGACAATATTGAAGCCGGCCTGAGCCAGTTGGGTTGCATACTCTGCACCGATACCATCACTTGCGCCCGTCACCACAGCCCAGACCTTCTTGTCTGTCTTGCTTGCACCAAACTTGCTCAGCGGCGTACCGGGAAAGACCAAATCTGCGACAAAGGTTGACGCGGAGTAGGAGAGGACGAAGAGTGTAAGGAGGCCGAGAGCGAGAATTGCGTTGGAAGAACGCGCGAGTTCAACCCAGTGCAGAGCCGTGGCTCTGTAGTCTATCTGCTGGGACATGGCTGCTGGAGTAGCTCTCAATCTTCCGTCGGAGTCTGTCCTGGTGGCAGCTGTTTTTGCTTGTGATGCAGACTTCACTTCAGATGGGGAACAGATGCCGAGCGTTGGGACGACAACTTGCTCAACCAGCTCAGCAGCTCAACCAACATGTGAATTGTGGAATCCAAGTCTATCCGTCTATCCTTTATAGTGTCTATGCTGTCTATGCCCCAAAGACACGGCTCAGCAGATCCCGCGTGAATGCTTCAGACCCAGGCGTCTCCTTGACCCAGGCCACCCGATTGCCCCTTGAACTGCTCAACCAACCATCATGGTCACTCTCGTCCTCTTCCAATCCTTCTGCAAGTCTCTGACGACCTCGTTCGTCCACAATACACATACCACGCGTCCAGCGGCCCTCACACTCCATTCGCACATCCAGCTCCTTCTTGATCTTCCAGCGCGCATCGTCGCGGTCTCGCAAAAGATACCAGATACAGGCTGGATCATGCATCGAGAGTCGCAGCTTCTCAACACTTGCTTCTGTAAAGAGGTGTTTCATTGTTTCAAATGTCCGTTCAATAAAGACTGAACACCAACGAGCAAGGAGTGTTTCTTTGACGTTCGGTAGAGACGTTGCGTTGTGCCAGTCTCCATATGACAGCAAGATGAAGGTCGTTGTGTCGAGCGGTAACAATGTCAGCTCGAGCCGTTTATGCAGCGACTCTGGTGATGAATGCCAGGTACTTTGTGGTCTCTTGGAAGACAAGGAAAGGATATGCGCCCATGCTTCAGGATCACCGAGACAATTGAACTCAGCTTTAGGCGTGACATTGCCAGGGACAGCCAAAGCACCTCCCATGATGACAAATTCCTTGCAGCGTGCAAGCGTCTTGTAGTCTTGCGTTGCCGCAAGTGACAAATTCGTCAAAGGACCCAGCGCAACGATGGTGACGGTATCCTCTGGCTCTTCAGCAAGGATTCGCAAAATCTCCTCATGCGCTGGCCTTGATGACAATTGCAGTCCTTGTGCAGCCTGTAGAGGCTTGTCATCTGCCGATGCGGTCGGCACCGTGGAAAACTCTTTAGTGAAACTGTCCCCGGGAACATGCTCAGGAAAAGCAGCAGAGACATTCCCAAGTCCATCCCTACCGTGGAAGTACGCAGCATCTACAGCCTTCTCTGCAACAAGCGGATGAAGTGCACCAGCAGCGAGCAATACAGGCTTGTCACGCTTCATCCAGGATTGTGAGCCATCTGCTTGCAAGACATTGAAGAGGGACAGCGCATTGCGGGTTGTATTGTAGAGGTCGATATTGCCATGCACGGTGGTGATGGCAAGGAGGTCGAGTTCTGGGGATGCGAGAGCCATGAGCAGGGCGAGCACATCATCCACGCCCGGGTCTGTATCGATAATGATCTTCTGCGGCATCCTTTAGCTTTAGTCGGTTGCTATTATGTAGATGAACTAGTAGGTTGCTATTGATGCAGATGAAGCAAGAGTAAAAGAGAGAGGGGAAAGAGGAGATTGTTACTGATGACCGCTGTTCTACTTATACCTTCTCCAGACTATACTCGGGTAACACTCCTCCTTGTCGGATGGCCCGGTGGTGGACGTCGTCGACTGTTGCTCTGTCGCATTAGGCCGAAGACACGAAAATCCGGGGAAGGAGAGTTTATAGAGGAGTGCTCTGACCACGGTCCTCCGGCGTACTTTGCGCAACATCCTCTTGAGTTCTGATCGAGACAGTGGCATCTGCTCCAGAATACCCTTTTGCTTGTAATTGAGCTAGCAATGACCCTTGTGCTTGAAGTTCGGCCTCTTGCTTCTTAATAAGCAGCTGAATCCTGGTCAATTGTGCCTCATAGACCGCGAGGCGTTCTCCAGACTTGGTTTTGTCCATTCCTTTCAGACAAGAGAGAAGGTTGGTGCCTTGCATGGTCATATTTATGTTGGCCATGCTGATGGCTAGCTTGACATCCGATATCGCTTGCAGTTGGGCGCTGTTGGTCATGGTGGTCTGCTGTACTACACCATTGTCAGCTGCAGCTTTTGCAGTCTCTTCACCCCTTGGTCGTTTGTGGGCGAGTAGGGTCACTTCCTTAAGACTGTCTTCGGCGTCGTTGTCTTGCTCATCCCGTGTTCTTCGTCTATGTGCTTCGGGTCCGGCGGTGAACTCCTGGTCCTCGCCCAATCCTTGCCACATCGGCTGCGTTCTCAGGTATCCCCAGCAAGTATTGACATGGATAGTGTCTGGGAATCCGTCCTCTGCAAACTTCTTGATAGCCGCCATCATAACTCCAAGGCCGTTGGCGCCGCTGACAGTTGCCGCCGCTGCTCTTCGGTAATATGGAGCAAACTGTGAGCACTGTCCGAATAAGTCTGACTCGATGGATGACAGCCGACAGCTTGCGCTTCATCAAAGGAGTGCCTGGCTGCCCTGTCTTGGGTACGCTTTTGCGCATCGCGACCGGGTGCTCCAATAGGAAGTCATCGTAAATCTGGCCGTATAGCATCTCTGTGTTCTGGTCTGCGCCGATGGTCGGAGCGAGACTGTGAGTGACCATAGCCATGCATAGAGTAAGGTCTTCACAATCCATCCATTGTGGTGCAGAGGGCATGTTGCAGTAATTTGCACTGTTCGATAGGCTGCTAGAGATAGTCAGGTAGCGGGCAGATGGCCCATATATCAATGGCGATGCAGAGCTGTGAGTCGCACAATCAAAACAGCCAGGAGGCCGTGCTACGAGGATTGTCGGCTTGTGTGTGCCTGTGAGTTTGTTTGCAAGGGGCCTGTTGTGCTGGGGCTGCCGACGCGACGCGACTCGCTTTATTGTCGGAATTCGCTTACTCGGCGACTTTTTCCATAAGGCCGTTCCATGGACTCTTATGGTCTCCTAGTCCCAAATCAGCTTGCCATCCACGACAGATGCACTCTGACCAGCCCCGACCTTTTTCTTGTTCACCGTCTGCCAGTCCTCCCCACTCGCAGGCCATGCACTACTCGATTTCGGCGCCTTCATCTGCGCCTGTTGAGCCAATTCTGCAATCCTCTCTCGTTCACGCTCCTTCAAGTGTTTCCGCAGAGCTTGTTCTTGTGCCTCGCTGGCAGCGTCCTTCTCTGCTTGTAGTTTAGCCTTTTTCGCTTGATTTTGACGTTGCTTCTTTGTCAATTCGCCTTGTCCTTGTTGCTGCTGCTTCTTTTGAGGGGCAGGCTTTTGTTGTTTTGTAGAAGGTACAATCTTGAGTGTACGGGCAGCAAAGGCCGTATCAGGATCAAGCATGTCATCTGTAATGTGTGCTTTCCTCTTACTCGCAAACGCTTGCCCTGCTAGATGCTGTCCCTTGGCGGAGTCTGGCAGCATTGGGAAGAAGCGATTGCCTTGGAGCATTGTAGAATTATGTTCCTCTTCGTCGTCTTCTTCGTCAGATATTTCGTGTGGCTCGGAAGACTGAACTGCCGCTGGTGTCTCTGCCTTGCCCGATGACTTCCAAGCGCTTTCGTTGTCTTCGACTTGCTTGACATTTGACTGACGTCCAATAGGCGTAGAGGTCTTTCGTGGACGTCTAAAGTGTTAGTGCACCCAAATCTATCGTGCATTATGCGACATACCCATTCATCACTGCTTGTACAGGTGATTCATCCTCTGTGTCAAGTTTTGCATCTGGCTGATACCACGAAGCAGTCTTGACTTTGTTCTTGCTCTGTTGCTGCTTCGCATGGGTAGCATTCCCATTGGACTTTGATTCTGACTTGGCCGCCTCGCCAGCCAGCTTCTTGTCTTTCTTCTGGCCTGATCGTTTCCCTTGCTGACTCGCATCCTTGACTGTAGAAGCTGCCGCCTCTGTCACCTCGTTCACTGTCTCCTTGATACTGCTCATCACACGTTGTGCCTGCTGAGCCACTTGCTCGACTTGCTTCTGTGCAACATGCTGCACGCTCCCTGCTGGCTGTTGTCCTTTTTGCTTCGATGCAGCATCCTTCTTCTTCTTGCCTGATGCACCTGACTTGCTCAATGCAGCTTTCTGAGCCTGTGGCGAGCGCGCCTGTTGCTGTTGCTGGGACTGTCCGTCACGCGCTTGTTTGGGTTTTGGAATGCCAAAGACGGCGACGTAGGCTGCTCCAGCGACACCAATGAAGAGGGTCCAGGAGAGGATTGGGTTCATGGCTGGCCTTGTATGCTCTGTCCCGGGGTTGTGTTGCGTTGTGTCGTTGTGTTCGTGGGATGGCTGCTACTGCTGCTGCTGCTGGACTAGTACTACCACTACTCCTATCGTTACTGCTAGTACTACTGCTACTACTGCCACTACTGCTGCTGCTGCCACAAAATCAAAGACGGACTCGCTACCATGATCACCTTTGTCGGCATCATCGGCAAGCATGACAAGCCCCTCTACCTCAAAGCCTTCACGGGCTCCCTCTACGACGATGCACAGCTCATCGAATGGACCTACGCTGCATGCGACGTCTTTTACGAGCGTTTACAAAATGCAAGCACTGCTGCAAAACCTCAAGAAAGCTACTTTGGGCTACTCACTGCATACCCTCGAGTCTCGCTGTATGGACTCCTTACGAATACGCACATCAAGATCGTCTTGGCGATACAGGAGACAGAGTTGTTGATTAGTGAGAGTATGGTCAAGAGCGTGCTCACTCGTATCCACGCAGCCTACATCAGGGCAGTCCTCAATCCATTCCACCTACGGCGTGTGGATGACAATGAGCCCATTAGTAGCCTGGCGATGGATAAAGCCATCAGTCACATCATCTCTACCTGGCCAACACCTGCCAAGAGACAGCCAGTGCACGATTGAGGTGATCATTGACGGACCGACACCCTACTCGTCATCATCGTCAGAGTCAAAGATCAGCCGCCGTGCCTTCTTTTTGCTCTGCTCCTCCTGCTTCTTTGGCTCGTCCTTGTCCGTCATCTCAGCGGCTTCTTCCTCAGAGGACCGACCGGCACGTTCGCCTTCCAGCGCTGCTTCTGCACGATCCAACGGATCTTCAGACACTTTACGCTTTCGCGACGCATACGCTTCAGCACCCTTAGATTTGAGCGCTTGCAGTCGTTCAGCCCCGGCTTCCTCCTCCTCTTCATCCTCATCGTTTTCAATGAACCCATCGTCGTCGTCGTAGCGATCCAGATTCCTTCTATTACCAACACCGAGTTCTTCATCTGAGTTATCATCGAGTGCAGCCGCCGTGAGACGACTACCCATTCGGCCATCGCCCGACCGTCCCAATGCACGTTGTTTTTGCGTTTCAAGGCGTTTCCGTGCCTTGATACGATCTGCTTCTGCTTTTGCTGCGTTTCGCGAGAGTGCCTCCGGGTCGGCTGAGGTGTTGAATTCCTTGACGCCGCGGTTCTTGCTTGATTGCTGACGACGTGCGATATCGGCCTTCAAGTCGGCATGCGATTTTGAGGCGAGTCCGGAAGGTAGGATACTGAGGGATGTGGCAAACTTGCCTTGCATCCGCAAGAGTCCTTCTTCCGGATGCATGAGTGTGAGGTAGTTGTGCTCAGAGGGAATAGACTTGATGCGACAGTCAAACATCTCCTCACCCACTTGTAGACTGAGACTACCATCCGACCAGCGTACAAATCGAGCATTCGAGGAGCGCGTCGCTGCCTCTTCATCGTCTGGTTCCTTCCAACGTAGAGTATTATCGACTCTCAGCGTCTTGCGGCGAATCTGTTCATGCCCAGACAAGTCGCCACTGTCGATATCTGCCTGAATCTCATTGACGAGCTGTTCTGGGTCATACGCGTCTGCTGCAATGCGCAAGAAGTTCGGAAGCTTTGTCAAGACAAGGTCTTGGTCCTTGTCTGTGCCAGGAATCAAAGGCATACCACGAGGCCGTTGAACAAGCGGTACGGTGAATGCCTTGACGTCGACTTCAGGTTCAGCCTGTTCGCCGTCACCCTCGCCCTCTTCACCGTCTTCGTCCGGCACAACAAATCCTGTTCCTGTTGCTGCTGCTTCGCCTACTTGTTCCTCTTCGTCACCAAATAAATCAAGATCCGCTGCATCGTCTGCGGGTGTATGCGCCTGTGACGGCTCGGCGCTGTCTACCATAGATACGTCGAGTGCTGGTTGTTGGGTTGCAGACTCTGTAGCTTGTGACTGAGTGACAGTCTCTGCCTCATCTCCAAACAGATCCTCTGCGAGATCTTCTGACATGGCAATGCTCTTCTTCTCTCTTGCCTCTCCGCCTGCCTGCCTGCCTCTATAGCTAGCCCTGCCTCTATAGCTTGTGGTTGTTGTCTTTGTCGCGGTTGAATGTTCGTTCACCGTGAGCAGCCTACTCCCTCAGCGTATTGCTCGAGAAGACTTCCAGCACGACCAGCAGAGTCAGCAGACGATGGGCCCTCCTCCGTATGCCTCCTCCTATGCCTCCCAAGCCATCACTGACCTTGTAGACCACCTCCACCGCGTAAGCGCATCATGCGACTGCCTCGGTGACTATGACGATGCTGACACTAGCTGCTATAAGCACCAGGTCCACCTGCTCCTCCACGTATGGCGAATCTCCGGCAGATAAACAGGCAGTTGCTGACATTCTAGCTCCTCCTGCTGTAGGCGCGCCGCTTCCCAAAGTCACGCCAGATAGGAAAGGCCTGCTCAGTGATATCGCCAAGGGCAAGCAGCTCAAGAAGGCAGTAACCAGTATGCTTTTCTGTCAATTCGCTGGAAGCACTTTACTCACTATACAGATGATCGCAGTGCACCGACTGTCGGTGGAAGTGTTGCTGCTGGTCATGCACCGGCAGCGTCAGGTCTAGGACGACCGCCTGCGATACCAGGCTTGGCACCACCTGCCATAACGAGACCACGCGCTGGCAGTGATGTTCCTGCACCTGTTCCATCCAATACTGCACCGCCTGCACTCGGCGGCTTATTTGCCGGTGGCATGCCGACATTGAAGAAGACGAGCCATGCTGCACGGCTTGCTGGCGATGGACCAGCTGCAGTCTCTTCAGGGAATCGCTCCGTCTCGCAGCCAGTCGCGAGACCACCGCCGCTGCCTGGTCATAATCCTCCCTCTACGATTCCTGCAAAGAAGTATGCCCGGGTCGTCTGTTTAAATTGATGGCTAATACTCTCTTAGACCGGCTATGCCTAGCCATCGGCCAAGTGCATCTCTGAGTAGTGCACCGCCGCTCCCACCATCTGCTGCACCACTTATACCTGGTTCTGCGCCGCCTGTTCCTGGACTACCGAGCAAAAGGCCGACGAATGCACCCCCAGCACGGCCTACAACGATGGCACCACCTGCACCGAGAGCTGGTGGGCCGCCTCCGTTGCCTAGTACTCAACCGTATGTGTTGATTCCATTTGATCTCGTTGCTGACAGGACTAGACCATCACTACCAAGCTCAGGGCCACCTCCGCCGCCCTCTGCACCAGCAACCCCTGTAGCACAGCAGAGTATACCACCGCCTCCTCCGCCTCCTTCGGTCTCTGCTCCTCCACCTCTACGTGCGCAACCCCCTCAACCGGGGCTTTCTGCTCCCTTACTACCGGCTGGCAGGGCACCCTCACCGAATCGGGCGCCGCCATTACCTAGTACGAATGCACCGCCGCCGCCGCCCTCTGCACCTGCTCCTGCTCCTCGCATTGCTGCTAGTCAAATGCAAACACATGATCAGACTGGCTTCGATGGGCTCTCTGCGGCTCTGGCAGAACGTAATGCCGGTCGTTCACCCAATGTCTCACGACCAAGTTCTTTACCCCCTGCAGCGTCCAACACGGCGAATCATGGGAGTACGTATGGGAATGGAGCGGGCGGTGGGTATTCGCTGAAACCGGCACAGATCCAGCGTGTGGAGGATGGGGGTCGCTTTAAATTTGAGGCGGTTGGGTCATTGCCTGTGCCGCGTGCGTATATGAACCGGCCTAAAGTATTTCGGAGTGGGAGGCCTGGTGGTTCGACTGTTCCGTTGGATCTGGGTAGGTATAGGTAGGTAGCTTCGCATCACTTCCTGGCGTTCCACCCTCTGTATCCCTCTAACAGTACCTATATGATCTCTGTGTGTTGCTTGCAATAATTTCCCCTGAGTCAAGTTTGCGCAGAAGAAAGCGCAACGACCACGACACAGGAAGGCATCCGGGAAAGAGCCTGCTATTGCAGAGAGCAGGGTACAAGCAGTGACGGGTCATTGTGAAGGGCAGCAGGCCGCCGTAGCATCCATGTCCCAGCAACAAAGACGCACATCCACACCGCGTTCCACCTCCAACTCACCCGCACCGGCTGAATACGACTCAGGCACAGGTGTTCAGACCCCCATCCACGCTGGGGAACTGCTTCTCTCTGCCTCTCCACGGCGCACAGCACTCCGCAATACGGCCGCGCACTCACAAGACGTGCGCCGAACATCACCCATGCAGGTGGCACAGCAGGAGAAGCAGGAGGTGACGACACAAACGACAGCAGAGACGATGATTGATGAAAAAGATGCAATACCGCCGGCAAAAGTATTTCAAGAGGCGGTCTTGCCTTGGTCTGGTGAAGCCTTTGACCGCAGACTACAACCGGATTATTATGCCTCAAGGGATATTGTCAACTGTGTTTGTGGGACAAGTATGGATGATACGCTTGAAACTCGGGAGATGGTCTTGTGCGACAATTGTGAACAATGGCAGCGTAAGTGCTTCTTGTTTTCCATCAAAGACACGAGAGATGAATATTGACTGACCTTGAACAGATGTACCGTGTATGCAGCTCGACTCGGAAGACTTGCCGGATGACTACTTTTGTCATCACTGCTTGCCAGACTTGCACAAGCATCTCTTGGACGGCTCTTCTAATCCCTCTACCGCTACACTCCCTGCATCGCTACCAGATGCATCCACCCATCGATTTGGGCAGCCGCCCAGTCGACCCATCGTTCATCACGGTGAAGCCTCCATTCCGCATGCAACACTACCAAGTCGTACAGCAAGCCAGGTGAAACCACCGACCCTTGTCAAAATCAAACTGTCTGCGTCACACCGACCGTCACATCCACGCTCACAACGTCTGACGAAAGAACAAGCGAGATTGGTGCAAGCGGATGATTCAGAGCTTGATGGTGATTTAGAGGCTATTTATGAAGGGTTAAGTCGGCATGGTATTCCGAATGGACGGCACGTCTCACCCTCGCCGTCACCTTTGCAGATGCAAGAAACGCAGTCCACTGATTCACGAACGAAACGGCGTCGTGTGTCTACAGCAGAGGAGGAAGCGATGCAGACTCATAAATCGAGGACAAAAAAGGCCAGAGTCCAGGATAGCACACCGCCGCCTGAACAGCAACAGCAACAGCGCGTCCAGCTGTCTCCAGCAACGACGCGCCACAGAGTATACAACGTGCCAGCCCAGGTATGGGCCAAGCAAGCGAGAAATGACGATCTCAAACGAAGCACAGAACTCCTAAACAGCAACGATATCCCACCCTATATCATCGACAATCGCGATCTCAATCAACCCACTGAACGTGCCCTCAAACGCATGACGGCGTCTGAATTCCGACGTGCCTTGGAGATTGGTGATATCGCGTACCGCGACATGCTCGAATTCGCACAAGACACACTCCGTTTATTCAGTTTGCTCGATTCACTACCCTCTGGTGTGTCAAGGGGCTGGTCGCAATTGGATGAAGGAGTGCGCGAGACGGCCATTGCACGTATTGCAGAGGAATTCGAACCGACTTTTACCGGGAAACGGTATCGTCAGCCAGCAATGTGGTTGTTGTTTACGGCATACAAGCAGCATCTCATGGCTCAGCAACGTGCTGCAAAACAAGCTGCTGCCGCTGCTGCTGCTGCCACAACTGCTGAAGACTCGACACAGCAGGATACAGAGATGATTGATGCTGTTCCAGTCACACGTGGTCGACCAAAACTTGCTGCAAGGGAGACACCGTCGGTATCTGCCCATGCCTCTCCTGTACGGTCGAGTACGAGAGAAGCGGATATGGGTGCAGCAGGTCGACGGAGTGGTCGAGTGAAAAAGGCGAGTGCACGAGCCGTTGCTGCTGCAGCGGCAGATTTCAGTGGTGGTAGTGCATCTCCTGATGCAGACAGAACACGCTCCGTCTCTCGTGTTTGCAGTGAGTCTGCTGTGGATACACCGATGGATGGTGAATCTACTGGATCTGCCAACGCTTCAGCTGTTCATGCAACAGCGAAACCTGGAAGGGTGAATGAACATACTTGGCCATCTGCAGGGACAGTCCAGCAACCTCCACCACCACGCGTACCCGTCCCAATAATGGCACTCGATGTAGAAGGTCCGGCCATTCGTCATCCTTGGCATGGTGTTACTGCACAGACACCACTACGGCAACAAGCATCCTCTAAAGTTTTGAAGACACCGGTTGAGCCTTTTACAAAACTGCCGCCACCCAATACCGTTCCTATCGCTTCACCCTTTTCAGAAGCCAGCACAGCGAAACCACTTGTTGGGTCGAATACAGGACAGAGTCCCATGCAGCCTCGACCACCGCGACAAGTTCCGTTCAAAGCGACCAAGTTCTCTCCTGGTGCTGGTCTGTCTGATGGATCACATCTCGGTGTTCAGAATGAGTCGGAGAAGCAGCATGCACGGGGTAAGCAAGAGGTGGGTACAACAAGCACGCATGCCTTCTACGGTAGCAGCAGATGAAGGCGGCCATTGCGGTATTTATCAATGTGTGTCAGGTTTGTAACAAGAAGAAAGCATAGAAAGTGAGGGATAGAGTGTGGACATGTCTTCTTTTGAGGCTTCAATGCTAATGTGATGTGTGTGTGTAGAAGTAAAGAAAACGATCAGCTCAGACGCGTATCATTTCCTGAAAGCATTCTAAGCAGATGCCTCGACGGCAGAGCGAGACTCAATGGTACGCTTCTTGCCGAGTTGCCTGGCATTCAACCTAACGACCTGTCCGTCCTGTGCCTTGGGCACTTCAGCGGCCTGTTCGGCAAGGATGATCTCGACGTGCGAGGGAGACGAGAGGTAAGGGTTGATGCGACCGTGAGCACGGTATGTCCTGCGACGCTGCTTGGGTGCCTGGTTGACTTGAATGTGCTTGACAACAAGGGAGTCGACTTCCAGACCCTTGGTGTCTGCGTTGGACTCTGCATTACGCAAAAGACCCAAGAGGAAGGTAGCAGACTTGACGGGCCAACGTGCCTTGTCTGTGCCGAACTTCTTGGCTTGACCAGTCCGGCCAACACCACCCTGGAACCGCCTGAAGGGAATAGCCTGCTTGTGTTCCTTGACATCCTCGAGGTATTGAATGGCTTTTTGCAAAGTCAAACCGGAAATGGCCTGCGCTGTTTCGCGGGTGTTTTTGAAGTGGGTGCGGAGGTAGTCACCGCGTGCCTTGGCGGTCTTTTCGACGTTGGCAGGCTGCGCTGCGTATCGGACCATGCTTGAATGTAGGAGTGCTTGTTCACTGGTCTCTGGTCTCTTGTCTCTGTCTCTTGGTCTCGTCGCCTGCTCGCTGTCTGGTTGCTGAATTTCGTGTTGACTCGGAAAAGCAGTCCAGCGCACGTGCTCAGGCAGACAGAGCAGCAGCACAACCACCACTACCATCAGTCATACCAATACTACCAGTCATAGCAGCATCAGTCATACCAGTACTACCATCAGTCATAGCAGCAGCAGCAACCTCTCTCCGCTGCTCCATCTCCCGCGCAAGTGTCTACCAGCATTAGCCCGAGTTTCTGAACCATAGTCGCTTACATAACCCACACTCCCCAGCAGAATCACCGCAAGACTCGCTACCCGTGACGGCGACATCCGCTCCTGCTTCAACAGCAGCACAGCCAGTGCAGACTGCAACACACCCCGCGCACTCGATGAAATCATATGTGTCGTGGGACTGGTGACTTTGATTTGTAAGAGTGTTGCCAAGCTCAGTACACACGATGCCGTGCTTCCCAAGAGGATCAGACATGCCAGTCGCATTGCTGCCCTATGCTCAAGCTGCTTCATCACATAGATCTCCTTGTTAAAGAGTAGAAGGACCAATAAAACTGGCAGTGCAGCTATGGCCGTGACACGCACCAGCTGAACCAGTGAATGCCCACTCTTGCTCGTTGTACGCTTAATGACAATCGTCTCGAATGCCGTTAGCAGGGAAGAAACAATCCCAAGGAAGATGCCAAGTGGTGAGGTCTGACTGACTGCCTCATTACCCACACCGAGCATAAATCCAGCTGTCGTGACGCATGCCGCAGCAATAGAAAAGACTGAGAAGCGTTGCTCTGGCAATAGGCATATTGACAGCAAGAGTGTCGAGGGGAGCAACAGACCTCGCGCGATCTGGTAGAATGCAGCATGGACGTGCTGAAGGCAGACGGTCTTGCCGAGTTGCGCAATGAAGCGCATACTGAGCATAGGCCAGAGCTCCCTGAGCAACGAAGGCGTGACTCGTGGCAATGGATCGAGCTGGCCACAGAGTACAAGCATCTCGATAGCTGCGATGGTCAGGCTAGCATGACAAGCGAGAAGAGCAACAGGAATCGGCGCAGCATTCAAGACTGCCTTGGACAATGGTCAGCTTCTGTATCGCATGACTCGACGCTTACCTTGTTAGCCAGGACGGAAGTCAGTGCGCTCGTCACATGAAGAGCTACAACCAGCGCGATTCGGCTTCTTGATATCTTCGACATATGGATTGCAGACTACAGGCACAGGTAGTCTCTCCTTGTGCGTTGTGGCATTGCAATTCAGGGGTCAGGAGCAAACAGGATAGATTGCCTTGTCCGGCTCAACTACGTCCTCTGCAATACGAAGAATCTCCAAGGACACTCAAGCGGGGGGTGTCAGCATTTGCTTGGCTGCAATGAGAGCCTCCTCCATGCTGTGGACCAGCGTACTCTTGCGTGTTGGCAAAGAACAAGCAGTCAGCCAAGCAGTATGATAACGCTCAAGCTTCTTGTACTCACCAGTCTCCAGTGCAACATGAGGCAGGTTCCACAGAGTCGACAGAATGTGTGCATGTAAGCGGTCTGTAATGGCCACATCACCTTGCGTCAGAAATTTCCATGCAAGACCCAAGCGTATCTCTGCTTTGGTATCTTTTGACACATCCAGCGCTTGCACAGGATCCGTTGCCAGCCAGTCATCGAACTTGAATGTTGCCCCATCTCTCAACAACTGCGTCTCAATCAATTGCCGTTCGTTCTCGCTGCTATGCACTTGTCCACCTTCATAATCTTGTCGCGCATGCACCAGGTACGTCACCTTCGAGGCATTCCTGGAAGCCGGTGGAGGCTCAGTCACAAGCATCGTCGCCATATCTGGGAGCAAGACAGACTTGTGCTTACCGAAATGCTTTCGCATTTCTGCCAACGATTGCGCATCGCGTGCCGCCAACTGCAAGTCTTTATGCTGTCCACACACCTCAATCGCCTGCTTGAGCTTGTCTTGATCTTGAAAGAAGATAGTTTGTGGGAATGATCGGATAGGATAATCGGGGAAATCTCGAATCAATTGCTCACGCTGCACATGCTCCAAGTACAAGTCGCCAAAGTTGCCGCCACCATGTAATAAGATGACAGCGTGCTTGCGGTAAGGTTCAAGAATTGCGCGCATCTCTTCGGCGTTGTATGTGTCCTTGTAGTTTGGGAAGCAGACTGGCTCATACACGACTTTGATACCGAGTTGATGGAGCAAGCGCTTCTCACCTGCCCAAATTGCAGAGTCTCCGAGGTTGGGATGGACGGGGAAGGACAAGAGAGCGACGTGTGTGACGCCAGCTAGTAGGGTACTGTAGTGATTGACCAGTAAGTCTACCTGTCCTTGCAAGGCGATTGTACAAGCGTCTGGTGCATAGAAGGAGCGGATCAGGGCATGGGGCCATTGAGCAGAGAGGAACGTCCATGCGCCGAGGAGGATGAAGAGGACAATGCCTGCACAACGCCAGAAGCTTCGAAAGACCATTGTTGAAGGGAAGAAAGATGGAGTGTTGGATGAGAATGCAGCCTTGCCTCTCGAGCTCTTGTGTCGCCAATCCTGCGGAGTGCTGGGTGGCTGCGTATGAGGGCGGAAGTTTGATCCTACGTCACCTCTTGGCCTCCTTTGGATGAAGCAAGCAGCAATAAAGAGAGCCCATGACGACTGTGTCTGGACTGAATGGACCAGGAGCCCTGTATGCCTTCACTAGACAAATCAACCCAAAGCTGCGATATCAGCACTTTCCATCTGAAACACGTACCCCTGACCAGGTAAGTAGGCTTAAGTCTATGTAGATGGACACTTCTAGCAGATATCTAAGCCCATTTCCCAAGCACAGACATGATAACAAGACCTGCAACAAGAGCGCCAAGACCGGCAAAAACTCGCAGGCCACTCGCACGTCGCATATCACCCCACAGCCACGAGCTTGCAAGTAGCTCCACAAGGCCTACCCAGAGCAGAATACCCGCCGAGACGGAATCAAAGATGCCAATTGTCCAAATCGTAGTAGGATCATTGCCATTGAATTGATTGAGCACACCGATACCAATACCCATACCTAGTGGTGTGATGAACATGAAGCCCGAGCAACAGATCATCTTGACCTTGAAGGAAATATCAGCATCTGCGATACGTGCAGCCAGCGCCAAGCCTTCGAACATCTGGTGAAAGATGATGACAGCAAAGATTTGTCCAAAGCCACTATCAGGTGTGACCACACAGGTGATGCCAATGAAAATGGAGTGGAAAAGAATACCACACTCCATGACAAGGACAGAAATGGCATCGAGCTTGCGTCGATTTGCCACAAAAATCGAAGATCCGTCATCCTTCTCCATGACGGCGACGGCTATCTCTTCATCCGCTGCCTTGCCGCTACTCGGGGCTGACTTGGTGCTGCTGCTTTCCGATACACTGTGCTTTTGTTGACGATGAGCGACAAGTCTCCAACCGGCGTACTCGATCAAGAATGATAAAAAGATGCCTGCCATGACAAACGCAGCCACCACGCCTTCATACTGCAAATGGCCTAGACACTCGGATGCAAAGAGCAAGGTGGCATGCGTCATGAGATGAATAAGTGCCGTTGAGATGACCACACCTGCACCAAAGTTCTTGACAATGATGAAAATGACCCCACTTGTGCTCAGTCGGGTGAAGCGTGTCAGTAGCACCGGTGAAAAGATTGCAAGTGCCGATGTCAGGAGGACAATGAAAAGCGCACCAATGCGGAGGGGAATGTTGTAGTCCCGCTTGGTACCTGCACAGCTGCGAGAAGACTTGGCTCCTCCGACGCAGTGTTCCACTCCGGCATGAAAGTGGCAATTGGCCTTTTCCTCCTCCGTGCTGGTTGGTCCTTGTGTTGCGTTCGTGCTAGACGTCGCAGCAGCAGAAGCTGTTGAGTTGACCGAGAATGTGCTTTGGCCACGCAAGAACTCTGATGTATTGCCATAGTCCTGACACCAAGTTTGCGACCCTGTAACATGGCATTCCAGGGGAAATTCAGTTCCATTGGCCAGCTTGCACCATTCTTGCGGGCCTTTGAAGTAGCACTCTTGTATTTGTGCTGCAACAATGGCCAACAGAGAGACAAGACGTATGGCGAGTCGCATTGTGAGAGTTTTGGCAACGATGAAGCCAGAGCAAGAATCTTAAGCTGATGCTGCTGAACAGAAAGGGCACCTTGGTGGTGGCGATGCGTTACATGAATTCTCAAACATATGCATATTGCACGACTCTTGGGCATTAGACTGTTGAGAACCTTGGTAGTTTTTGCTGCGCAACGAACCAAAGGACAAGATGATCATGAGCAGGGTCCTTACTGAAGTCGTGGGTCATGCAGGTTTGAGATGGTCATTGAAGTGACAGTTTCCCTAAAACACCTTGATGGTCATGCACCGGCACGGGAACCACACAATCGGGTGACGATCCCACACTGTTCAGCTTGCTCATCTTGCCTTGGTTGACACAGAGCTTACAATATGAGCTGAGGCTGTGCAACGACCCATTTCTGTACCTTCTGTAGTCTACCGACAGAGAGGCTAAACTGATGCGAATGACCGTATCTCGGCACCTTGCTGGTCAGACACAGCCTGATTGTCGCGGCAGACATTTACTGGCCTTGCAACACGGGCCATCCTGAAAACACCTTGGTGATGATCCTTGAAAATACAAAAGCCTGCTCTCCGACTATTCCAGCAAGCCATCAGTATGCGTCTCCCACTCGTCTTCATTGCGACCGTCTCTGCAGCAGATGTCATCACCTACACCGGTGGCCGCGATGCGTGGTCATGGACAATGAATGTACCTACCACCATCCCCATTCACAACTCCTGTAATGCTTCAGAGAGCAACTTGATTCAAAAAGGCTTCTCTGATGTGCGAACGCTCGCCCAAGTAGCTATCGATCACATCCACGCACACGGCACGAATTCATCCCTGGTTCGTCGACTGTTTGGTAGTGGCAACCTTGCTGAAGCCGTTGGTTGGTACCAAGGAATCCTGTACGCCAACAAGGCCGGTACGTTGTTTCGATGCGACGATATTGATGGCAATTGCAAACAACCAGAATGGTATGGTCACTGGCGTGGCTCCAACGCCACACTCGAAACAGTCATTTGTCCATTAACTTACACGGGTCGCAAACCGCTTGAACACGTCTGCATGGGCTCGGACGCCCTGCGCAATGTATCGGCTAGTGCTTTTACAGGCACAGACTTCCTCCATCGCATGTTTCACTTGCCAAAATTGAATGGGAATGACCTTGTGAGCCATTTCGCAGACTCGTATGACGATTGTGTCACGCTCGCTCAAACGAAGCCAGAAGAAGCGGTGCGCAATACGCATACGTTGCAGTGGTTTAGCGTCGAGGCGTTTGCATTTGAACTGGTGGTGCCGGGCGTTGGGTGCAGCGGCTTTCAAGACAGCATCTCACTAACGGACGCAAGCAATGTGACAGCACAAGCGGCAGCAGCTGCGTCGGGTAAGCCAAATAACGGATGCACGGCACACGAGGATCACTGGCATTGTCCCGCTGGTGTCACTGAGCCAACGTCGCCGCCCGGTAAAACGTAAAAAGAATAAATAAAAATAATTGAATGCATCGCTAAGTGAGGTCAATAATGTCGTTGAATTTTGTTGTGGTTGCCACGGGTTTGCGCTTGAGCGGTGCTTGCTTCCCTGGTGTCGCTTCTGGCGAGGAGAGTATCACAATAGGGTCGTTGAACTTGGTAGCTCGAAAGTGGAGGCGTGTTTGTTTGAGTGAGGACTGGGTTGTCGACGTGATGCGACTGTGCGCGACAGGCGACAGGGTGATTGTCTTTTTTTGCAATAAAAACGAGCGTAGGTCCTCTGGCAAGTCATCTTCCTCATCAGACTCAAGTGGCGCAGCCAACCTTTTAGTCACAGGAAGACAGTCTTTTAGCGAGAGTTGACTTGGATCGGCCGATTCACTTTGCTTCCTGTCTGCTGCAGTCAGACGCTTCTCTGGACTTGCAAGAACGCGTTTCTTGGGCGTCTTTGGCGCAACTGAAGCTCTCTCCCAAGCACGCACGCGTTCGGAATGAGCGCGTTCAAGCAAGTAGCGCGGGATCCAATGCAGTTTCGGCGCAAGCACATCGAATTCGGATGCGGCCTCCACAGGTTGGCCCTCGTGTTCAGTCAAGTCTTCCTTTTCCTCGATGGGGATAGGCACCCAGTCTCGAGGCACAAGGCGAACACGCAGTTCTTCCAAGTCATCAGTACTTGGGTGTTGTCGCGGCTTGTTGACAATCTCAAAGGTCGCTTCCTGCTGGATGCGAGAAACAAGGGCCAGCATGAATTGAGGCAAGGCCATGGTTCGAATGAGCTTGAGATCGCCCTCGCGGCTGACCATGTCGAGATACTCGGATCCCAACTCGCGCAACGCCATCAAGTCTGGTTGCTGGTACCAATTGAATGCGCCAATCTTTTCATGCATTGCTTCGGATGTTGTGACGGTTGGGTTGAGGTACTGGTCTGCAACCATTGTATTGGGGAATGAATCAAGATGTGCTGCGATGGCTTTATGCTTGCCAGAGAAGAAATTGCTCTTATTGGTGATGAGCTCTTCACGCAGTTGTTCACGCCATGCATCCACCGTCCCGTTTTGCAGTGCCGTCACGAGTGTCTCGCCGAAGCCAGCAACAGCAGCTTGGAAGGCAATCATGGCTCCACATCCCTTGAGACCCTCTGTATCATAATCACCACCCGACATGAGTGCCACGAGAATATGCCCAGCTCGAGCAATCTTTGTTCGTTCTCGTAACCGTTCAGCAGTGAATAGCTTTGCATGCGTCGCTGATGCCTGACCAGAGACTTTCTTGCCATTCGCATCCGTCTTGCTGCCAGAGTAATTGAGGGCTCCCCAGTTTTTAAAGACTTTCGTAGCACCAAAGGCGAGTGCGTCGACATCATCCGAGAGGACGGCATCCACGAGGCCGCGTTGCTGGAGGTAGGCACACTCTGCCTCTGCCTCTCCTGGCGCTTGCCATGCCTGAAATCCACAAGCGCGAATGAGCCGCTTATAACTCGGCATCTCACGAAACGCACTACTCTTACCGGATCCTGTGGATCTGACTTTATTACGCTTGACGCGTGGTCTGTGTTGCCCATCAAAGACAAAGACGGCATGGATGCCGAGATTCAAGAGCCGCACAAGACGATTGAAGAGGGTGCGTTCAGCAGGACAATCACCGCCTTCTGCGCTGCGTACATGAAAGGCCCAAATACTGATATCAATTGCTACGCGCAACGGCCGTGTGAGTTGGCCATCGACGCGGACTTGTTGGGCTGCGCGTTGCAAGGCGATGAGTTCACCTGCTGCGTCTATCTGATCCCAGAGGCCGCTGATGCCCATGAATAGTGTGGCGCGCTGTGGGCGCTTGTGTTGGGTGTCGTTGTCAAAACAAGTCGGCAAGTCAAGCTACGCTGCTACAGCACCAGTAACTTTGTGAGTCAAGATCAAGGCAAGAAGTCTTTTGAATCGCTGGAAATGCTAAGGACTGTAATGAAAGAGCCACGGTCTACTAAATATCAGAGACTACACGGGCACGGGAGAAACGTAAGTGTGCCCATTGAAGTCCAACAAGTCTTCAGATAGACATCGCATCCGCCCCTTGTTTAGTACAGACGGAAAGGCGGTCCCATAGAGCTCTTGATGATGAGAGAGCCTACATTTTGCCACGCCTTCTTGAGCAAGGAGACGAGGAAGTTGACGGCAAGCATGATGTTGCTGACGGCCTCTGAGGCGGTAAAGTCGACGTTGGCAATCGGCACCGCAAGACATAGCACCTTCTTGAGCTGGAATTTTACGGTAGAACGCACATCGGTGATCTTGGCAGCGAGGTCTTCCGCGTGGCTGACGGGTGTAGGAAATTTGCCGGCCTTTGAGAGACCAGGACCGAGGAGACGTGGGATTTGCTTGATGAGAACTTCCGAGGCAACAAAGGCATCGTACTTCTTTGCAAGCTTTTTGACGAGCTTCTTGTTCTTGTTGAGCTTCTTCAAGTCTTCAACAGACATGGCGTCGTTGCCAATGTGCTTTGCGCGGTCAATGTCGTGTGCATCGCCGAGAATGCAGATGGACATGTTTGGGCGGGGAACTTTGGGCATCTTGACGGTACCAGAGAAACGTTTGTCACGCTGCGGGTCGTAGTTCTTGAGGCCGATTTGGAGCTCGATGGTCTCTGTGAAGTTGCGCTTCTTTGCGGCTGAGGCATCGAGGACCTTTTGAACGTTGTCGCGGACGGATCCAACTGACTGCGGTGGGGTGTTAGTCTATGCTGCTTGTGCGAGCGTCTGAGTATGCATACGATCTTGGACATGGCTGCTGTGTTTGCTGGGTGGATGGGAGAGCGTTTACTGGTCCGAAGTGGTTCAAAGTTGCTCTGAAGCCGCAGCACGTGACTGGGCTGTGTTTATCCAGAGAAGCAGTCCCGCATCCTTTGATTTTGGCAAGAATTGGAATGAGTTCAACTTTGTTGCAGCTTCCTGGGCTGTCGGGTCGAATTCTTGCCAATATCAAAGGATAGATGCACACCACACCTCCTCGAAGCTACTTCTGCTTCCACACCGTACTGATCCATGGGAGACATAGAACTACACAATACATGAACACAGCTAGCTGAAGCAACTTACTCATACCTTCTCCTGGTGCGACGCTGACCCCCCATGCAATGTAGCGTCGTCCTTGGCTGACTCGCGGTCAGACATCTTCCCATCTGACGCACTCGATGCATCTGCCTCGGCCGCTTCATCCTTGGCTAATTGCTGTGCAAACTTGCTGTGGCGACAGAAATACTCCCCGTTGAAATAAAACACATACACAGGGATCACCAAGACCACTGCTATGCACGCCAAGATGGTCGTTGGATACTCCAGTGTGTTTCGTTCAAAATAGGCGAAAAAGGGGGCGGAATAGAAGGCTGCAACGCCTGCGAGTACGTCTCGAGCGAGCGCATTACCTCCAGTTGCAGAGGCACTGTAGCTCCCGTACAGAACAACCAAATAATCGATCGTAGCCATGTAAATGGCTGAGTTTGCCACGCCAATCAGGACTGCAGCAATGGCCGGCACAATCCAGGGTACGTAAGCCGGGCCTAGAGAGGACCAAGAGAAGAAGAAGAGACCAGCGGGAAGTAATGGCACTACCCACAATAGACCGTCCAAGCGAGTCTCCGGCTTGATCTTACCTGGACTGGCTTTCCGCTTCTTGATGTCGTGCGACACGAACGGCAAGAAGTAGATGTATGCAATCAAGTAGCCAACCAGCAGACTGATGAAAAACAAGCCATTCTGGATGATTGAAAAGCCATATTGCGCGGTGACTGGACGGAAGCCTTCAATAAAGGTGAAAATGAGACTATCGGAAAATCCAGATAGCAGACAGAGCAGACCCACGACTGGTTCTGTCGCGAACATGATGAATGGACGTGCCCAGATACGACGAATCTCCTTGAAGTCAAGTGTTGTCTCTTCTGATGGACCCCAGATGTTTTCATTGTTTTCGGTGCGCCGCCGACGCGCTTCGCGGTCCATGAGCACCGTAGGATTGGTCTCTGGTACAAGCAGAGCGTGCATCAGCTGTGTCACCCCGCCGAAGATGAGTTGTACCCAAAACACCCAGCGCCAGTTGAGGTTGGCTTCGATGAATCCGCCAACAACAGGTCCTAACACTGAACCAGAGACTGAAGAGAGCACGACATAGTTGAGTGCATAGCCGTGTACATCCACATGGTACAAGTCATTGACAATGCCAAGCGTGACGGATCCACCTGCACTCGACGCACCACCGAGAATACGACCAATCACCACAGATGCAAAGTTGGGGGATGCAGCAACAAGGATGTCCCAGACATTGACGAGGAAGAGAGAGCCTTGCAAGACTTGCCATCTGCCAAGCAAACCTTCCGACCATGGCGCCCAGAGTTCACTGCCAATACCATATGCAATAAGAAAGAGTGACTGTGCAAGACGTGCTGCAGGCAGACTGACTCCGTACTCGTCTGAGATGCCCGTGACTGCATTACCGACAGAAGAGGCATTGAAATTCATGGAGAGCTGTACCACGAAAATGACCGTCAAGACTGTCCACTTCTTCCAACTGGACCACTCGTAGGCAAAGAGGTGCCTGCACTCTGACTTGGTGATGGTGCGACGCTTACCCTGGAGCTTCTGTACATCGTAGGCTGGCTCCCTGGTGAATTTGCGGCTGATGGAGTTGAAGAGCAGCTTGACTTCCGACATGCCTTGCTGTGAACCAAGTTGGGAATGGGACTGATACAAGTTGCTAATGCGACAAGAGAAGGAATGACGGGCGGTCCTTTTATGTACACAAGTCCCCTGCGTCTGAAAGAAGCCTGTGTATGATCTGGTACAGCGGATGACTTGAAATGACTCCCAATGTCTGATCTACTTGAAGCAGTGTTGCAAGTTTGCTGCCTCGAGTGACGTCAATTTCATCTGATCTGCAGGCGGGAATTGCCGACGACAAAAATTGGCGACCGCTGCAGGGTGAGCGTAGGCGACTCCCACACCACACTTCATATGCATCATACTGCCATCAATATGCGCACAAGGGGAGCGTGGTCGATTCAGTCACAGCTGCTCAAGCACATGTGAGAGCTCCAAACAACCAAGATCGTCGTATGTTTGTCGCTGAAGTAGCTTGTTCTATGTCTGGAATAGCTAACTTCACTAGTGATCCAGCCGAGAGCTACGGAAAAGCTTTCTACTGTGCCCCTGCTTCAGAGGCCATATATGTCAGTCAAGTCATTCTGCCCATTTCATGTTGGAAGGTTGGAATGGTCTAACAAGACATCGCATCGATGCTGCTGACTAAATGAATCTTGTAGTCCCCATCATGGAGCTTCAGCCCGCAATCGGACCAATCTGATATTGAAGTGGAATCATGCTTGCGCTGAATAGAGGCAAGAATGGTGGTCTTGCAGCACCCTTTGTCACTGACTTCGCAAATTCCAGCTACAATCATCGTCGTCATGCTGACTTCTTCACGAACTGCTTTTGCACCTATCTTGGTGACCGTACCCCGTCTGTGATCACGAATCATTTGGTCGGTCAGAAGTATTGCTGCACAATTGCTATCTGCGAGTCATGAGGGCTCCACACTTGCCCCTGCCCAAAGCTTTGCACACTGAATGAATCAAAAGATGGCGCAACTCAGACTTTGTTCCAATTCTGTATCGCTTTGCAACTACAACTACACCATTTGAAGCTGATGAAGACAAGCCTGTGTAGCGGTCTTTCAGACTGGGTCAAATGGTCAGACATTGCCGATGAGGGCTCCCAGAGACTACTGCGAGACGGTGATACTGCCGATTCAAGCCTCAGATGGATGGAGATGTCACAGCCAGACTCAACAGCCATTCAGTCACAAGGCCCACGCATTCAAAACAAGGGCATTCATGTATAAAGTAAGAAACTGATGGGATTAAGGATACGGAAGAATACTGAAAAGCATTTCTCCTGCGCTGAGTTGAAGTCAGCGAGGTCGAATGAACGAAGACGTCGTCAAGTCATTTGAGGAGCAACATTACTTGGCTGTCTGATCGAGTCTGTGGCCCGTGACCGTGATCTCTTTGCACTTGGGCCTGACAGCTGCAGGAAGCTCATGAGTGTACAAGAAGTAGGTGGGCGGATGATCCAAATAAGCGCTGCTAGGGCAGGCAAAAAAGATTTGGGAGATCCATTGGATCGAATCGCTCCCTGGGGGTGGCGGAGCGGTATAAGTCAGATATGGTTCCTCAACATCAAAGGGTGTCAGGCTCAGACTTTCGTAATCATGCTTCTCTTTGTTCTTTTCAATGCTTGTCGGTTCCAACGTGATCTGTTTGGATGCTTTGTCAATGAAGACACGAAACGAACCCTTGCCCTGATTGAAGGTCATGCTTCCAGCTGCAACGTGTGGCGTGAACTGAACGGTTCGTGGTTGTCCTTCGGCCGCGCCCTGATGAAGCATCAGCTGCAACCTATGCGTATGCTCCGTATCAAACTCGGCTTGAAAGTTGTAGATCAGGTGAGGCGGTTCAGAAAGGTTTGCGACCAATGTCCATTTGGCTGGCTTGGAGGCTGCAGTTGACAAAGCAAACACTTGCGATTGGATGTTCAAAAGCAGCAAGACTGCAGTGGACTGGACGATGTTCTTCATTGTGTTGATGATTGAGGTCAATAGTCAGAATGGCGGGCGAATAAGGCTTTTAAAAGCCTTAGCTGCCGCCCAGTCGCTGTCCATCTGTTGCTATAAATAAGTGGCAGGAGTGAAGCATACATGTTCTGACTTGTCATGCGCGACAGCTGACCCCATGCATGCTGATACTGATGACACTACTGCAGATCCACTTCCCAGAATAGAAACAAGCAGAAACGAGCGAGGCCGTGCGTATACGACACGATGTGCGTGGTGTCCAAATTCAGGGGTAATTTCCTCGCAATTTTTGCGCCGCGCGGTTGAAACACAATTGGCCACGTGTGCACTAAGGCCTGTGTTTCATCAATGCTTTAGACCTTTGGGATGAACATTCGAATATGCTCATACTCGATCTCTATTCTTGTATCCTTTCGCTGCGCTGCAGCTGGCCATTGGTCATCAATCCTCGAAATTCATACAGAACGACTTCAAAGAATTTGAACGGAACCTAGCCTTGCCACGTTTCGAGATCGTACTTAACAACATTATGTCGTACGGAGACTATCGGTCTAGAACTCAAAATAACCATCTGCAGAGTCATTCTGCTGAGCAGTCAAGTACCCAGTCACATGGCTTGACTTGCTAGTGCACCTCTTTGCCACGTATTGCGTGCTTTCACGCGAAGGCTACCCCTTCTTCTACTCTATGAATGGACCAATTCTCTGCTGCACATCCGTTTCAGTTTGTTCTATCTAGGCTGCTTGTGTTGGCCACCTCACCACCACACCGGCATCGCTATATGTACGCAGGATCTCCGATGACATACCAACTCTCAGAGTTTCAGATCAGTCTTATAGAACCAACTTAGTCATCATTCGAGCGTCTATCCCTAGCTGCGGTTGCGCGAGCGGTTATGCACCTGCAGAAACTGTAGCATATCTGTTCGAGATCAAGTGCAACCCCTGGTCAATTACTTCCGCGTTATTCCTTTGCCACGTCAGAGCTCACGCACGTGATCTTTAGTTCATTCACAGTTGGCAAGAGTACTATACCCTTGTTCCTTCGAATCGGATCCAGTCTTGTTCGCCGCCACCCTGCATGCCTATATCAATCGCGCGCTGTGACCCAATTTGTGTATGGGACTGATACAAGCTGCTAATGTGTTAAGGAAAGGAATGACGGACGGTCCTCTTACGCACACAGATCTCCTACGACTGAGAGAAGCCTGTGTATGGTCTGGTATAGCGAATGACTTGAAATGACTTCCACCATCTGATCTACTTAAGCTTGAAGCAGTGTCGCAAGTTTACTGCATCGAGTGGCGTCAGCCAGTCAGTCGCAAGGCCCACTCGCGCAAATTACTAGCAGTCATGTAAAGAGTAGGAAACAATGGGATTGAGGATACGGAAGAATACTGAGAAGCAATCCTCCTGCGCTTCAGTTGAAGTCAGTGAGATTGAATGAGTGGAGACGTTGTCAAGTCATTGGAGGAGCAACATTACTTGGCTGGCTGATCGATCCTGTGGCCCCTGACAAAAATATCTTTGCACTTGCCTGAGTTCTTTTTGTCAGAAGGCTCATTGGTGTACAAAAGGTAGGTCTGCGTAAACGCAAGCTCATTGCCGATAGGGCAGGCAAGGAAGCTTTGAGAGATTTGAAGGGTCTGATTGCTTCCTGGGGGTGGAGGATACTCAAAAGTCAAATATGGTTGCGGGACATCATTGGGTGTCAAGCTCAGACTTTCGTAATAATGCTTCGCTTTGTTCTGGTCAACGCTTGTCGATTCCAACGAGATCTGTTTGGATGTTTTGTCAACGAAGACACGAAACGAATCCTTGCCCTGAGTGAAGGTCATGTCTCCGGCTGCAATGTATTGCTTGAAGTGAACAATTCCGTGTGATTGTGCTTTGGCCGGGCCCTCATGAAACACCAGCTGCGTCGTACCATCTACAGCGTCTGCTTCAATGCCGAAGCCCTCATAGTTCTGCTCTGTTTGCCAATTGGCCACCAATATCCATATGACTGGCTTGGATGCTGTAGTTGACAAAGCATACACTTGCGATTGGGTCTGCAAGAGCAGCAAGAATGCAGTGGACTGGAAGATGTTCTTCATTGTGCTGATAGTTGAGGTCAATAGTCAGAATGGCGGGCAGATAGGGGCTTTAAAAGCCGTAGCTGTCGCTCAGTTGCTGTCCATCTGTTGCTATAAATAAAAGGCAGGAGTGAAGCATACATGTTCTGATTTGTCATGCGCGACAGCTGACCCCATGCATGCTGATGCTGATGACACTACTGCAGATTTGTTTCCCAGAATAGCAACAAGTAGAAGCGAGCCATGCCGTGCGTATACAACACGATGTGCGTGGTGTTCAAATCCAGGGGTAATTTCCTCGCGATTTTTGCGCCGCGCGGTTGAAAAACAAACGGCCATGTGTACATGTACTTAGGCCTGTGTTTCATCAATGCTTTAGACCTTTGGTATATATATTCGAATTTGCTCATACTCGATCTCTATTCTTGTATCCTTTCGCTGCGCTGCAGCTGGCCATTGTCCTCAATCCTCGAAACTCATACTGACCGACCTTAGAGAATTTGAACGGGACCTAGCCTTGCCACGTTTCGAGGTCGTACTTAACAACATTATGTCGTATGGAGACTATGGGTCTTGAACTCGAACTACGAACACCAAAGTCATTCTGCTGAGCAGTCAAGTACCCAGTCACATGGCTTGACTTGCTAGTGCATCTCTTTGCCACGTATTGCGTGCTTACGTGATGATGAACTCTTCTCCAATTTATACATGGGCCTCTTCTCTGCTGCTCATCCGTATCAATCCTATTTGTACTATCTAGGCTGCTCGTATTGGATGCCACACTGTCACGGACTGACTGATCAAAGTCCTATTCTGGTTTCAGATGTCTTTTCAGATGTCTCACCACCTGAAACCCCTGGTTACATCTCGCGGCTATCCTTCTGTGCACAACCACAGCGACCGATCTAGACCTCGCCATCTAGCTCATGGAGCAACCCGTTCAGCATCTTCAACAAGTTGCTTGCTTTCTTCTGGCTCAAGTCTCTTATTCTCGCCTGACCAATTTGAGACATCTCTTGTCTCTTCGCGCGTCTGGCTAGACGTCGCCCACAGTCTTTGGTACTTTGGCCCTGTTTCTTGTCTTACTCTTTTATGGGTTCTACCTCTTGTCTTTCTTGCTTCTAGTTCTCGTCTGATGAAGATAAAAGGACAGCCTTCTGCTGCCTTGTTCTTCATTCACCAACTTCGTACACAGGTAGAATTGCTACTACCTAACAGTCTTGTTGTCTAGTGTCTCCGAAGTAGACTCGACCAGCTCTGCCTCGTACCTCGTGCTGACGTCTCAGCTTCCAACGTACCTCCGTCAACCCCCTTCGAGCCCAGTCGTTACACTTTGGTGAATCAATACCAGAGTCTGCAACACCAAGACAACACCACCAGTACAGCTCATGTCATCCGACCCAGTCATCCCTGTGGGTATGACCCCCGAAGAAGCCATTCAGGCCGTGGCCAGCGACCAGCACCAAGTTCATCATCAGGTCGACGCCTTGGCCAACGACATGGCTCAGCTCCACCGTGCCCATCAACTTGAGCTGCAGAGCCTCCGTCAAGAACTTCTCGCTGCTCAAGCCTTGGCTGCCCAACCTCCTCCGGCACCCTCTTCGCCCTTGCCCTCTTCGCAGGCTCGCCTGAAGGCTAAGGATCCCGAGACCTTCACGGGCAAGCCGGACAAGTCCAACGTCCGACACTTTGTTGCAGCCTGCCGTACGCGTCTCGCTAGCCCTTTCTACCGCCTGGCATCTGAATTCGACAAGATGGTGTGGGTCTCCAGTCTGCTAGGCGAGGCTGCCAGCCTTTGGCAACAGTCCAAGGCGGACTTTCACCGTGGAGGCACCGACTTTGGGTTCGCGTCCGTAAACGAGATGCTCACCGAGCTGGAATTTGCCTTCCAGGTAGGTGACGAGCAATCTGAGGCGACTCAGAAACTGGACCGCCTTCGTCAGGGCACCACACCAGCAAGTCAGCACATTGCTGACTTCAACATGATCATTGCTCCTTTGAAGATGACTGAGGAGTCAAAGATATTGTCCTTACGTCACTCGATCAACGAGGACATCAAGGACGTGCTCGCCCGGTCTCTAGATTCGACCAAGTCGGATTTTGCACTGTTTTGTCGCCAGGTGGTTGCCGTTGACAATCGCCTCTTGGAGCGAGCATACGAATCCTCAGGAAAACATTACACTCTGGCGGAGAACCGTACTGTGCGTCCCAGCACACTCCCAAGTCCTCGTCCTCCTCTTGGCCCCCTGCCTCCGATGATACCTTCGCAGTACACTATACCTGCCGCTCCTGTTCCAACGTTCCCTCAGCCCATGCAGCTAGACGCTGTTTCCGCTCGACCAGATCGCGGTGCTATCCGACAGCATCGTCTTGACAATCGTCTTTGTCTGTACTGCGGCGATGCCGATCACATCTTGCGAAATTGCAGCAAACGAAACCCAAAAGGCCAGGGCAACAGGAACTAGGCCATCCTGCTCGCCCAAATCCTTCGCCTGCCTTCGCCATCAACGCTGTCACCCTGTCATCGCCTCTCTGTTCTTCTTCTGCTGTTCACCATGTGCTACCCATCGTCCTCATCGTCGGCGATCGACTTGTGGAGTCGTATGCGTTGGTCGACAGTGGAGCCACCGGAAATTTTCTCGACTCCGCCTTTGCAGCGCGCACCGGTCTACCACAACAACCGTTGCCGCAGCCAGTAGACTTGGAAACCTTCGATGGCAGCACCCTTGCTCCTGTTACGCATGTCTCGACATCAGTGCGACTCTCAATCGGTACGCACCACGAACATGCCTCCTTTGCCATCTCGAATCTTGGACGATACGAGATGATTCTTGGCTTGCCTTGGCTTAAACTCCACAATCCTTCTATCGATTGGGCCAGCAACAAGATCACTTTCCCAGACTCGTGTTCGGAACACTTGTCGGTGTCTCTCGGTGGATCTATTAGATCGTCACCGCCCCCCTGTACCACGGCTCTGGATGTCTGCTCTTTGAAAAAAGGCCTAGCTAGCACGCACGATGTCCTCCAGCCTCGCTCCTCGGATCTCCTAGGCAATGATCCTGCTCCCAGTGTCCCCAGTATTCCCGGTCTGTCCGGTCAACGGCCTCTCAGGCCCGCTCCCAGTGCTCCCAGTGTTTCGCAACGGCTTTCCAGGCCCGCTCCCAGTGTCTCTCGATCTCCCAGTGTCTCTCGGTCTCCCAGTATCCCTCGATCTCCCAGTGTCTCTCGCCCTCCCAGTGTCTCCCGTCCTCCCAGTGTCACATGCAACACAAGTTCAGCTATCCCAGAGGTATATCATCGTTTCCTACCGGTATTCTCTGCGAAGGAGGCTGCGCACCTTCCGTCCCGTTCCCAGTTTGATCACAAGATCTCCTTCAGTGTTCCCCATGGTCCCGGTGTTCCCCTCGAGCTTATTCCCTTCAGCCCGACGAAGCCCTCATTCATCGAGACTACCGTTTCGAATGTCGCCTTTGGCTGCACGCTTTTCCAAATGGCCGGCAACACCTACATGCGTCCGATTGCATCTTTCAATCGCGCCTTGTCCGCAGCCGAAGCCGGTTACGACGACTGCGACAAAACCACCCTGGCTATCGTTACTGCCTTCAAGACTTGGCACCAGTATCTGGATGATGCAACACATCAAACCACAGTCTTGGCAGACAACAAGCATTTGGAATGCTCCGATACCAACTCTCAGCTCACCCCTCGACAAGCTCTTTGGTCTGAACTTCTTGCCAACTACAACTTTCGCGTCATCACTCGTCCAGCACCTCCACGCCCTTCATCCTTCCCACTGCAATCGACTTCGCGCATCGAGGACGATGCGCTAAGGGGGAGAATCGTGTCACGGACTGACTGATCAAAGTCCTATTCTGGTTTCAGATGTCTTTTCAGATGTCTCACCACCTGAAACCCCTGGTTACATCTCGCGGCTATCCTTCTGTGCACAACCACAGCGACCGATCTAGACCTCGCCATCTAGCTCATGGAGCAACCCGTTCAGCATCTTCAACAAGTTGCTTGCTTTCTTCTGGCTCAAGTCTCTTATTCTCGCCTGACCAATTTGAGACATCTCTTGTCTCTTCGCGCGTCTGGCTAGACGTCGCCCACAGTCTTTGGTACTTTGGCCCTGTTTCTTGTCTTACTCTTTTATGGGTTCTACCTCTTGTCTTTCTTGCTTCTAGTTCTCGTCTGATGAAGATAAAAGGACAGCCTTCTGCTGCCTTGTTCTTCATTCACCAACTTCGTACACAGGTAGAATTGCTACTACCTAACAGTCTTGTTGTCTAGTGTCTCCGAAGTAGACTCGACCAGCTCTGCCTCGTACCTCGTGCTGACGTCTCAGCTTCCAACGTACCTCCGTCAATCCCCTTCGAGCCCAGTCGTTACACACACCACCACCACGTGCACGCCATCGCGATATCTACGCACAATCCCCAATGACATACCAGCTCTCAGATTCTCAGATCAGTTTCATAGAATCGAGTTAGTTCGAGCGTCTATCGCCTAGCTGCGGCCGCGCGAGCGGACATGCTGCTGCAGATATTGTAGCATATCTATTCGGAAATCAAGCGCGACCCCTGATCACTTGCTCTGCTTCTTCCTCTGGCACGTTCGTGCTCATGCGCGTGACCTTTCGTTCAGACTTAGCTGGAAAGAGTTTTATACTTTTATTTCTTCTAAGCTTTACTCGAATTCCGTCTTATCTGCAGCGACCCTGCGTGCCTGTGTCTATGGCCTACGACTACAGCTGCCTCGCATCCGCGCCAATTCTACAGCATGTCATTCACAAGCGAGGAATTGACGGTCTTGAAGCCATTCCAGGGCTCTTAGCCACCTTACCTGGTGGCACATGATTACGTGACTCTCACATGCAGGTTGGTTGTTGAAGACCTAAATTGAATACATTCTAGGCGAAAGACTCTGTATGCGTAAGCCTCCTTGCTCTATGCTAGTCACAGAAAGTGATGCAGTCCACTACCTTTTTGCCCCATTTGCCTTGTTGACATACGACGACAGTTGAGCCCTACTTCGTTGAAGCAAGAAATAACAGCATTTACATGCATTATGATGAGAAATGAAACAGCTGCTCAAACGGAATCTTGGAGGAAAACGGAGACAATCAATAGCAAAGTTGACAAGTACCTGTCGTACCGAGGACAACAGAGGATGCGCAAATAAGCAAGCGTATCAATGAGATATGCCGCGTTCTTGGACCTTACATCAATCTGCACAGAGCGATCGCAGAAAATTGGCCCGATGGTTTTGACAATCAAATTCTCATCTTGAATTACAGAGCACACTTAGTTCTACTGCTGACTTTTCACGCATGAGAGAGTAAGAAAAAGAAGTGAGTTTAACGATACGGGAGAAGAATTGAGACCTCGGCCTGCCAGGTCAATCGGAGTTAAAATAGGATATTGTTGCTCAGCGCTTGCCATCTGAAAAGCAGTGTTACTTGGATGTTTTAGCCTTCTTGGCTCCAACAACGACCAGCTTGCACTCTTCTGCGGCGTCATCAGGAAGGGCTTCATGATCATCGGTGTACACGATGAACTCCACGTTCGGTTTTGCTGCATTCGTGGGCTGAGCGCTGCAGACGAGGAAGTTCTGAGAGGACACTCGGCCGTCAATTGGTGCAGAGTAGGTGTAAGTCAGCTCTGACTTGGAGTCTGTTTGTACGAGGCTCAGGCTTTCGTAGTCATGCTGCTCCGTGTTCATTTCCACATCAGTCTTTTCGACTAGAAGCTGCTTGGTCGTCTTGTCGACGAACATGCGGAATTGCTGCGAGGTATAGCTGCTCTGATCACCTCCATCGCTGCCCTGGTCGCCTCCATCGCTGCCCTGGTCACCTCCATCGCTGCCCTTGTCACCTCCATCGCTGCTCTGATCACCTCCATCGCTGCCCTGGTGACTTCCATCGCTGCCCTGGTCACCTGTATCACTGCCCTGATCAGCTGTACTGAAAGTAATGGTGACAATGCCAGTTGTTTCCTTTTCGAATTGAAGTGCAATCTCTCGTGGGTGCGCGGTGTTCAAGATGTCCCAAAGCACGAGTTTCTGGCCGTCTGTACTACCAGTGAGCGTCTGCTGCCCCATCATGGACAACAGTGACCACTTTGGAGACATCGTCTCGTTCGACACTGGCAAAGCGAACACACCCATTTGGAGTTGCAACACCGATTGGATTGCGATGGCCTGGAAAATGTTCTTCATTTGCTGCTGTGGTGAATTGCTGTCAGTAGAAAGACGAGCGAGTTCGTCCTTTCATGTCGTTTATCTGCTCTCCTGGTCGAATTGATGCCTATTGACTGCTATAAATAAATGACAGGAACGCACAAACACCTTGCTATGATTGATTTTAGGCTGCGGCCATTCTACGCTTTTGGGCAGTACAATTCATGGCACGTCTGCTTGATGTATACCTTTTCGTTTGTATCCTTCGGTGCATGGCCAGAATAGCCTCGAAGTCCGATGCATTGATTTAATTCGTACGATAATCAGGGGTAATCGTGGAAGTAATTGCAGCGGTTTCGAAAATGAGTGAAAAGGGCAATATCTGCGCCCTGCAATGCTGCGCTTCAATTGTTTCCTTCTATAGCATATGCACGCACGCATGCTATTGACTGCTCCAGATCACTGACAGGAACGTACGCTACTTTGCTTTGATTGGTCCTAGGTTTCGGCCATTCAGCGCTTTTGGGCAGTGCGAGTGATGGCAAGTCTTCTTACCTACATTCGTTCGGAGCCGTCGGTGCATGGCTAGAATAGCCTCCAGGCCCGATGCATTGATAGAACTTGCATGCTACCGCAGAACATACACGCACGCAAGGAATCCTCAGCTGTCGTTGCCTTGCTTGGCGCCTGGTTTTCAGCTGACATGGCTTGATCATCCTCTAGATTTGTCCGCTCTCAGCTCGAGGATTCGTGCAAATGACACTTCGAAGCGTTTGCAAACGCTTACACCTTCAACTCATACGAGCTTCTTGACCTTCCAAGCTTGCTGCGCGGCACATGCGGAGGGACCCGATTGCATCCGCGGTTTCTGGCATCTGCACACGGACCCTCTGCGCGTCGTTCGTGTCAAACCTGCTGGACACCAAGGACTGCTTCAGCGTAGCCACCAAGCCGATCAGTCTTTCGAGCTTGGGTCATCTGCAAGCACAATAGACTCAGCGTCATTGAACAAAAGATCCGTATCGACATTGCACAACATACGAAGCAAAGTGATGAACTTTCGTAGGTCTTTTGATGTGGCAAATGTCTTGATAGCAAGCTCAGCAGACTGTACCAAGCGAATCTTAAAGCCTTTCAAATTGCAAGGACTGTCTTCTCCTGATGAAAGCATTGATAGCCTATTGCCAATCTGCCTTGTCGTTCCACCATATGCTGGGCCAAGCTCAACAGAACGCCTCGCGCTACGTCTCGCCAATAACAACAATCTTTGCGCAAATGGATGTCAAAACCCGCCACTTGCTGATGGACTCCAAAGACAGCGAAAGCGGACTGCATACGCTTCAGCGTTGAAGGAATATACCTGAGACATGGCAACTGGAACCCACTGATTCAACCTAGTATGGGACGCAATGTCGACAGCAAGTGACCTACGCTGAGGACAGAGCAAGATGCAACCGTGATATAGCCATGGTATCGTTGCGATGAGGTAGACATAGATCGATGAGCTCAACCATACTGTCAGTCTGCACGAGATGATTGCTTGACCTGGCCTCGAGTTGATGCCATTGAGAAATCCTGTCCGTTGATTTGGCATCTCGACGAGATCGGTCATCGGCTGCTCGACTGAACCGGACGTAGATCGTATGCTAGTGTCTTGAGTCGCCGAACTTGATAGTAGAGACCATGGAGAAAGCCCAAAGTTGAAACAGTATGAGCAAATCTGCTATTAAGCGACGATTAGTTCGAGGCGAGACCTGGCTCGCCTCGCGTAGTATTGAAGATATATATCTGCCAGTCCTGGAGTCTCAATCGCTGAAGTAGGTGGCTCTCAATGGTTGTGAAGCCCTCGGAAATTACGTATAGGGGTATCTTACGCGCAGGATCTTGAGTGTGAGGCTGCTCCACAGCGCATTGTAGCTGAAGCAAAGTTCTGTTGCACTCGTAGCAAACAATATCCCTCAGTACGCTCTTTGGCTTGCGCTTGCAACCTTTGACACTCCTCTTGAGTGATTCATCATCCAGCACACACGTAGCGCTGGACTAGCCTCATTGTTTGCTTTGAGTCATACCATTTGCCGGCCTAAAAAGTCCATACCATCCAGAGACACGTTTCTCGGGAATCTATTTAAGCCTTTCGAAGTCGAAGGATGGAATATGTGCAGATCCCGTTGGCGGTCTTAGGTGCTCATCAACTTTTCTGATGTCGGAAAGTGAATTGCTTGAGCTAGACTCCTTGTCCCTGTGCTGCTCTGCATCATACGAGGTGGCTGCCTCGCACATGGGTGCGAGGCAGATCTCGTCTTAGGCTCCATAGAATCTCAAGGATTAGTACGATGGCTGATTGTCCTGTGGGACTCACGAGTCGTCGCCGGTTTCTCAGCCTTCCGCTCGATCATGTAGTGAGCTGCAGCTCTGCTGGCGAAGCTACAGGTCGCAGCTGATTTGGACGGCAGACTGACTGCAGAGCGCTCTAAATCAAGTAGCTTAGGAGAGGCTCGCAAGAGCTGCTGTCCTGATGTTCAAGAGGAGAGATCGAAGACCGCATGTGAGCATGTATTTTGCTCCTTTGTTGCGGTACGAGCACGATCATCAGATATCCTGGGGAGCTGTATCTGCTGTTGTAGAGTGACAATTGTTTTAGACGGTCAGAGCGTGAGCACAAGCCTTATCTTAGAGGAGCAAGCATGAGAGTACAAAATTGTCGTAGCCGTGGTCGCAGGAAAGAAATCTCCTGGTGAGATGATCTGCAGTCTGTCTCTAGCCTTTGCTGGCCGATGCTGCAGCATAGCTTAAATACACACAAGCGAACCTGGGTAAGAATCTTGGCGTCAGCAACATCATCTCTAGACAGTCTATAGTTTTATGATGCTCATAGCCCATGCGCCTGCTGCTTTTCGGCGGCGTCCTCACCGCCAACGACCGTTTCACTTGCTGAGACAGTCGTCTTGAGTACCGGCAGTGTCGATCGTGCCGACTGCCTCGACAATTGAATCATGAGCTGGTCCATCACCACCAACGCCGCCATAGACTCAACGATTGGGACGGCACGGTTGACGACACACGGATCATGCCTGCCTTTGGCCATCAGCTCGCCAGCAGCACCATCATAGTTGCTTGTTTGCTGGGCACGACCAATCGTAGCCGGAGGCTTGAATCCAATACGGAAGAAGATGTGCTCGCCGTTGGTGATACCGCCTTGAATGCCACCAGAGTTGTTTGTCAGAGTTCCAAGACGCTGACCACCCTTGCCATCATCCTTCATGCCAAAAGCATCGTTGTGCTTTGACCCTGCTACTTCAGCACCAGCAAAGCCAGATCCAATTTCAAATGCTTTTGTTGAGGGAATAGAGAGCATTGCATGCGCAAGAGAGGCTTCCATCTTATCGAAGCACGGCTCACCCAGACCCACTGGACAATTGCGAATGACACAGGTGACTGTTCCACCAATAGAGTCATGGTTCTCCTTGGCACGCTCAATGCGCGCAATCATCTTCTCTGCAGTTTCTGCATGCGGGCACCGAACAATGCTGGCATCCACCTGCTCGCGCGTCATATCTGCCAGAAGCTGCAAGTAGGCTGGGGAGATGGGCGAGTCCACATCATCCTCATCATCCGGGTTGGCAGCCGGCACGACTGAGGGCACACTCACTTTACCGACACTTGAGACAAAGGCCACAATCTCAATACCATAGGCTTCCTTGAGGTACTTCTCAGCAATAGCCCCAGCAGCCACACGACCAATGGTTTCACGCGCACTAGAACGGCCACCACCGCTCGATGCCTTGACGCCGTATTTCTGCAAGTATGTCCAATCTGCATGACTCGGACGCGGGTATTGGGCTGTATCATCTGCAGAATAATCCTTTGGCCGTTGATCCTGGTTGCGTACAAGCATCATGATGGGCGTGCCAAGCGTTGTGCCAAATTCTGTGCCAGAGTGGATTTCGACCTGGTCCTTCTCATCACGCTGTTGTTAGTCATGGGTTGAGAGCAAAGGGACTGTACCGGTGTAGATAGCTTTGACTGCCCTGGCCGACGACGGGAGAGCTGGACTTGGACGTCTTGCTCCGTGAGACGCATGCCTGGAGGACATCCTTCAACGATGCACGACACACTTTTGCAGTGAGACTCGCCGGCCCTTTTGGTCAGCGATAGAATGACCATGTGCGAGAAGCACTCACGTTGTGACCCTGAAGAGAGAGCCGAAGCTGGAGCCTGCAGAAGACATGGTTGCTTGTGAAGTTGTCGCAGATGTCAGATTACGGCGATTACGAGAGAGAAGACTTCAGATGGCGGCAGCGAGGATGGTCTACACTGAGTCTACAGAGGCCTACAAGCATGGAACTGCCACAGTCAGTGTGCATGCATATTCTCGATATTCCAAACATCCAATTGTAATGTACATCCGACTCTCGAGTAGCAGCCTGGTATATCAAGGTCCAAATTTGAACTTGGCAGCACTGGCACGCCCTTCAATATTCTCCACTGCAATGCGTAGCCGACTCGCCTCAGATCCGACTGCTTCTTGACCAACGTAAGCACCACAGACCACAAGCAACTGACGGCCAAGTTCGCCATAAGCCTCTTGTATAGAGGGACCGCCCAACTGCAAAAAGGCCTCAAGCATAAGGTAGGACATTTTGCGCAGTTCGTCGTTCTCGAGTTGGGTGTTCAACAAACGGCTAATTGTCCGCCAGCATAGTCCAATGTGAAAGGCTGATCCTTCGAGGTCGATTGTCGTTACTGCAATAAAAAGAGTAAACACGCCCTTTTGCTCCCGAGCATATGTCTCAAAGTCCGTGTACCGACCATTGTCCTTGGCTTTCCAGCCTAGAGCCTTGCGGCCGCCCTCCATACTTAGATCGTAGTCGACGTATGGAATGGTCCATGGGCACTGCTTGGCAAGACGAGCAAGGAACAAATCTTTGAGTTCCGGAAAGGGCTTGACGAGGAGGATGGTGAGCAGCGCCATGGGATATGCAGCCTTGGATATGGCTTCCGCTTCCCGTCTCGCCTGAGTTACCACTTTCTTGCACGTAGCATTCAGTAACCAGCGCAAACAGCGAGGATCTGTTTCTCCAGCCCTTGTTAATTCTCTGTGGATGTCTTGTACAATCACTTTGAGAGCTTGAGTCGAACCTGTCATCGTGCCAATCCTTCTGTTGATGACCATTTTGGCTCGCAGACAAACGTCCTTCAACTTTGCGTCTTTCGCAATAGGTTGCTTGACTTGAACATCAACCTCCTCCAAAAGTCTTTGGTACTGCTCTGCTTCAAACTTGGGCCCGGATGCGAGTGCGGCCTGTTGCCGTCGAGCCTCTTCTGCCTGAGCAGCCTCTGCAGCTGCCTGTGCTTGCCGCGTGTCTTCTTGCGCCTGCAACTCATCAGCTTCACGCTTTTCCTCTGCAGCCAACTTGGCAGCCCGTCTTTCTTCTTCCTGCTGGATCCGTGCACGCTCTTGTGCAGCCTTTTCTTCTTGGCGACGCTGCTCCTCTAGTATCAAGCGCCTGGATTCCTCTTCTGCCTCCTTTATACGACGTTGCTTCTCTGCTTCAATAGCTAAAAGTCGTTGCTTCCGTGCCTCTGCATTGCGTTCAGCCGTGGATATGGCCTCATCGACGGCGAGCTCCAAGGCTTGCGTCCTCGCCTCCCAGGCGGCCTTCATGGCTTCGTCTTCTTGACGCTGAGCAAGAGAGACTTGCTCGAGGTGCAATGATATAGTTTGCCATTCTGACTCTTCCTTTGCGCGACGCTGTGCTTCTTGGTCGCGCGCCCAGGCCTGTACGAGACCCGCGACCTTGTCGACTTCATGCGCTTTGAGGAGCGCAGCCTCACGTACGGCGATGCGCGTTTCGCGATCATACAGCGCCCAGGATGTTTGCGCATCTGGAATAATTTGGGATGTGTCATATACATCAGAGTCTTCTGTGTCGTAGTCATAAGCATATGCATCTACATCGTGGTCGTCGAGCGCAACAACAAGAGGAGAGCTCAGTTCGGTTTTTACAAAGACGCCTGATTCATCACTAGCGGGCGTTCCCTGAGCTTTGAGATCTTGAGCTGCGTCTTCATCGTCTGAGAAGAGATCGTCCACGAAGAAGCGCATTGCACATGAGAGTGTAGGCTGTGTAGCTGTTGATGCTGGAGAGTCGACGACATTTTGAAATTCAAGCAGCCGTGTTCCGTCCTGGACCTGACTCTGTCCAATAGTGTCTGCTATCGTGCACTAGAGTCTGTATACTGCTGTCTATGCTGCTATGGCGATGAACAAGCCGCACACTCTGCTCATGTTCCAAAAGACAGAGTCGGCTGCACAACGGACGTGGTCTGAGCGTATGCTGCACAAATCAGTGCTATACTTGAATACTGATGATGCTAGACTCAAGTGCGGATGCGGCCGTTCAGTACATCATCGGCGTCTATGCTGGAGGTTTGTTTTTCTCTACCTGTTCTGTCCCGTGACTGTATGCTGACTGAGCCCCAGGCATCGCTCGACGGAATCCGCACAAGGAGATCAGTACGACGGATGTGCTCAATTTTGTGGACCAGCTGCATGATGTTGTGGTATGTCTGATCGATGCTCATACTTCGCGAGGCTATGACGCTAATCTGAGCAGGCGATGGTCTATGACAGCAAGCTGGAGTCCTATGTAGCGCGTGACTCTGGGTGGCTCAAGAAGCGGTAGGAGATGTGCCGACTTGCAAGGACGATGCTGACTATGACAGGATATCTGGCTACTGGGAGAAGCAGGACCAGGATGCCGTGCGTAGATAGTAAATGGCAAGCACCAGACTAGTAGACAAGTAGTAGACTGACTAGTAGTAGTTCCAGTCCCGCTGTCTCACCCAAATTTGAGATTCGCCCGCTCCATATCCAAGACCTCATCCTCCTCTCTCTCTCCCTACGATCATTCCTACCCTCTCTCTTATACCTACAATCTCTTCGTCCGCCCGAGTACCCGCCCCTCTCCAGGCTCCCCGTCCCAAAAAACGCGCAGGAAGAGGCCCGGAAGACGCGTCAAACCGCGCACTTCACATCTCCACAGGACCACAGACTACGACATACCCAAGCCAGACCTCTCCCTCGGCCCCTGATGCAGTCTAATCTAGGCGGACCAGGCAGCAATGGTCAGCGCCCTAATCTGCGCATCGCACACAGAAGGACACCCTCCGAACTCACACCGCTCATGAGTAAGACCATTCTTTCGTCATCATCCGCAAGAACGCGTGGTCACTAACCTCTTCCTTTCTTCTAGTGGAGCAGTACGCTATCCAGCAGCAGATCGAAGCACTCCAGGCACAGCAGGCCATGCTGCAGAATCAACAGGCAGGCCTCGCTGCAATGGGCCCACCCCAGCCAGCACAGCAACACTACAACTACCCTCCACCCGCTCAGCAAAACGCAGGACATCGACGTGGCCAGTCGATGAGCATGCAGCAGCACCCGGGACCCCCGCCTGCGCCGAGTGCTGGTGCCTCGGGCTTCACTGAAGTCACACGTCGTGGTTCACAGGGCAGTCATGCACGCAGACACTCTCTTGCTCTACCGGAAGCCAAACGCGCTGCTGAAAAAGCACAAGCCATCAAGCAAAATCCGGGCTTTGCCTTTCCCTCTGGTTCTGGCACTGGTAGTCAGGATGCCGGTCAAAACCAAGCCGTCACGTCGTCTTCATCCTCTTCGCCACCGCATCGCAGTACGAGTCCTCGACGTGGAACACATCTTCGCTCTCAGAGTATGGCTTTGCGTCAAGCCTCGCCTGTGCGGGGCTTTCAATTTCCTTCCTCCTCGAGCAGCGCCAATGAAGCGGCACTCGGTCGATCCGGCAGCGGCGGCCATAGTCGCAACCCATCACGCAACGTTGATGGCAACTGGCGTCAAGGACCCCCTGCACAAAATGATGTGCCACCTATCCCTTACTTCACACCGGGTCATCGTGCTCGAGCAAGCATGTCCAGCAGTGTTTCGTCATTGCAGCAATTTGGACAGCAATTTGGATTTCCTGGACCCTCGATGCATGGCGGATTGCCTATGATGCCCATGGGCGGTGGCTTGATGCCTGCACAGATGATGCAGCAGCAAGCACAACAGCAACAAGCTGCTCAACAACAACACGGTGTCCAGCAGCGCAAATCGCTCTTCTCGCCATACCTGCCACAAGCCACGTTGCCTGTCTTGTTGAGCGATGGCCGTCTTGTTGCTGGTATCTTGCGTGTCAACAAGAAGAACAGGTCAGACGCGTACGTAACGACAGATTTACTCGATCAAGACATCTTCATCTGCGGCTCCAAGGACCGTAATCGTGGTCTTGAAGGTGACTATGTCGCTGTCGAACTCCTCGACGTCGATGAAGTGTGGTCTGCAAAGCGTGACAAGGAAGAAAAAAAGAAGCGCAAAGATGGCGGCATGTCCGGAGGTGGTCTGCGTCGTCAAGGCAGTATCCGCGATCGACCTGAAGCCAAGAAGAAGGACGACGTTGAGGTTGAAGGACAAGGCTTGTTGCTCGTGGACGAGGAAGAAGTCAATGATGAGCAAAAGCCCATGTATGCCGGTCACATTGTTGCCGTGATTGAACGAACAGCCGGACAAATGTTTTCTGGTACGCTTGGTGTCTTGCGTCCAAGCAGTGCTGCGACAAAGGAAAAGCAAGATGCTGAACGTCGCGAGCGTGATCCATCAGCAACGAGCCGACCCGCAGAACGTCCCAAGATTGTTTGGTTCAAACCAACCGATAAGCGTGTTCCTCTCATTGCCATTCCCACAGAGCAAGCGCCGCGCGACTTTTGCGAAAATGAGGAAAAGTACAAGAACCGCATATTCGTTGCTTGCATCAAGCGCTGGCCCATCACATCTCTGCATCCATTTGGAACACTCGTTGAAGAACTCGGCGTTATGGGCGATGTATCCGTTGAGACGGAGGCGCTCTTGCGCGACAATTCCTTCATGGCGGAGCCCTTCACTTCGGCCGTTCTCGATGCCGTTCAACAGTTGCCGGATGACATTGACATGGATGGCGAGGGTCGCAAGGACTTTAGAGGCGAACGTGCCATGTCCATTGAAGCGGATGCCAATCAAGACATTGCTTCGGCATTCCACATTCGCAAAACACACGAAGGCTACGAAGTTGGCGTACATATCGCTGATATGGCGCATTTCGTCCGCTCAGGCTATGCACTCGACAGAGAGGCCAAGAAGCGTGGATGCGCCGTCCATCTCGTTGAACGTCTCATTCCAATGCTCCCATCGACTCTGACACATGACAAGGCTTCCCTTCTGAACGAAGCTGACCGACGCGCTATTTCCATTGTTTTCAAAGTCTCTGAATCTATGGAGCTCGAGGATTCATGGATTGGCAAGTCTGTCATTCGCAGTACTGCCGCGTTGACGTTTGAGCAAGTCGACAAGGCACTGGCAGGTGAAGGTGACGAAGAAGTGACAGAAGACTTGGCTGCCCTCAAGCAAGTGGCTGCCTCTCTCCAGCGCCTGCGTCTTGGCAAGAGCAGCGATGTGCTGAGCTCACTCACCCTTTGCAGCCAGCTCGACTCTGAAGCAAGCAATCCATCACCCGTCTCGGCTGATGTGTATGATATGCAGCCAGCACGCTCCATGAAGGATGAATTGCTGATTCGTGCAAATGCCACCGTTGCTGCAACATTGCTCGACAAACACCCGGATGTTGCATTCTTGAGAAAGCAACAAACGCCGCAGCCAAAGAAGCTAGAGCAATTTGTGCAGCGCGCTGCAAGGCTCGGTCTAAAGCTGGAAGCACGCGATATGTCATCCATTCTCAACGGCATTGCAGACGTCAGCGACCCAGCAGTGCGCAAAGCCCTCGAGATTTTCCTCATCAAGGCGTGTCAGTCGCCAAAGTATATCGTTGCCGGTGGTGACACAAAGCATTATGGCTATAATCTGCCGCTGTATTGTCATTTCACCAATCCTTTCAATCGCTATGCTGACTTGCTAACGCATCGTCAATTGTACGCGGCACTGGATGATGAGCCATACAACGAGGATGCTGAAGCATTGCTCAAATCAGCCGAGCACTGCAACACCAAGAAGGATGCTGCTAAAAATGCGCAAGACCAATCAGTACACCTCATGCTGTGTTCTATGGTCGACAAGCTCTCTGCTGAAGGTTCAGTCATTCGTCAGGCGGTGGTTATTAATGTAATGGACTCGAGCTTTGACATTCTGCTACCTGAGTTTGGTGTGGAGAAGCGTGTGCATCTCGATCAGCTGCCTCTGCACAAGGCTGAGTTTGACAGCAAGTCGCGAAAGCTCGAGCTCTACTGGATGAAGGGCGTCGATTCAGCGACTTTTATTCCGGCAGACCAACAGGGCAAGCCCCAAGTGCATATGCGTGGAACAACAGCTACAGAGGAGAAGTTGTTGACGCAAAAGATGCAGGAGCTGTCGAGCCTGACGATTGATGATGAAGAGGCTCTCTTCAAGACGGCTCAAGCTGGATCAAGCAAGAGCGTGCCCTCTTCGTCGCCGCCACGTCGATCAACCGAGGAAGAGCGCCCGGCGTCTTCTGATCCGACAATCGGCACGGGGCACTCCAAGGCGACGCCAGCCTTTTCATTTGAGGACCTCGAAAGAAGGGAGACTGGCGACGTGGTGCAGCACATCAAGGAACTGGCGCGTGTGCCGGTTGTGTTGCAGGCAGACTGTTTGTTCAAGAGCCCGCCGCTGCTTCTTGTGCGTGCCATCAACCCGTTCACGAAGGAATGATCTCTCATGCTAGTTTAGTCACTTTGTCGTTTTGATTTCTGACTGCTTTTTCATGTGTCGTCGCCGTCTTGATGAATTGCCGTCTTCTACATCTTGATCAAAGCTGCATCTGCTCAGAACTTCAGAAGGGGCCCTTAGAGAGTCTGCAGCAGGCGGCAAGACCTCAGTATGAGTCGCCAGAACAATACAACCCCGACCATCAGCGAATACGAGGAAGCCATTGGCAGTCCCGCAACTTACCAGCATGATAAACTTGTCATTAAGCCACGGCGCGACTCCAGCAGCCATCCTGCTGGGGCCTCTCCCTCTATACGTCTGAGCAAGGCCATTGACTTTGATGGGCTTTCTTGGCCTGCACGGGGCACGAAGGAAAGGCTGAATGAGTCTGCGGAAGCCAAGGAAGCGCGGCTGCAAAAGATGTCTGGCGCGATACGTACTGTACTGGAGTGTCTAGGCGAAGACCCTGAGCGGGAAGGACTGTTGGATACGCCAATGCGGTATGCAAAAGCAATGATGTACTTTACACAAGGCTACACGGAAGATTTGCGCTCTGTGCTCAACTCTGCCGTCTTTGAGGAAGACCACAATGAGATGGTCATTGTACGCGATATTGAGGTCTTCAGTATGTGTGAGCACCATCTATGTCCGTGGTTTGGCAAGATGAGTATTGGCTACATCCCCAACAAGCGTGTCATTGGTCTATCCAAGCTTGCACGCATTGCAGACATGTTTGCACGCAGACTGCAGGTGCAAGAACGCTTCTCAAAACAAGTTGCACAGGCACTGCTTGAAGTACTGCAACCAAAAGGCGTTGCTGTGGTTGTCGAAGCAAGCCATATGTGCATGACGATGCGGGGTGTGCAAAAGACATCTGCAACGACCGTCACGAGTTGCATGCTTGGATGCTTTGAGAAGAGTCAAAAGACACGCGAGGAGTTCCTCAGTCTTGCTTTGCGGCGTTGATTCTCGATTCATGCAATTACAAGAGTCTACGATACAATCCTCGCAACTTTATGAAGAGATCTTACGATCACTTGGTTTCCGGTCTGCGACGAGTGCCGATAAGCGTGCCTTTTCTACACTCGCCCAAGCCCATGCCACGGCTCCTCCAGGGCCCAGAATCAGTGTCCCGACAATGGCAACAACGACTGCAGCCAGCGGACTCGCCCGGCCAAGACCAGCGAACCGCGTCGTGTCATAAAAGATGAGAGTCCAGGTGGCCGTCAAGCAGCCAATAAAGTCAAACAGGAAGAAGGTCCTGTAGACATCTGTCGCTGTGCGCATATCCAAATTGGGGATAAAGTCCTTGAGGGCGGGTCTGAGCGTCACAAAGAAGTAGATGGCAAGGCCGTGTGTCAGGAGAGAGCAGAGCACCAAGAAGTCGGTGGTGCTCACCAGAAATGAGGTGGAGATGACAGCATCGCTCGCTGTGAGCTGGCGATTAGAAATGGCGTAGAAGTAGGAGCCTAGCACGGCCATGAGTGCTGCCAGGTAGATTGGGAAGGGCTGCCACAGCTCCATCGTCATGCGCAAGGTTCCTTTGGTGAACATGTCTGGCACCAGCATGGGTGCAGTCAGGAAGAAGTACCCGACGACGATGGCAGGCAGCAGAGCGCGTGACACGCCAGAGGGAAGGAAAGAAGCGCGTGCCGATGCGCTGCTGCGCCAGATGATGAGTGCATAAAAGATGGGCATGATATTGGCGACGCCGAGCAGCTGGCCAAGGACGAGAACAATCGTTGCGCCGTACTTGACGGGCCAGCTAGCAGATGCACGATTGGCAGCGATGTGAGAAATGACAGCGACGGCTGCAATCAAGACAGAAAACTCTGCCAGGACAACCCGACATACAGGGTCACCCATGGCAATCTCAAAGGCATTCGAGAGAATGCAGCAGATCTTGTTGAGAGGCGGTATGAGGGCGAAGGCGCCTGTGCGGGCTGGGCATCCCTGTTCGACAGTAGATGCGAGCGGGTGACCGAGGACAACGTGGAGCAGGTGGTAGTTGTCGAAGGCCTGGATTGCCAATAAGACTGCGATGGGGAAGTAGGGGCTGATGCGGCTGACTTGCTTGGACATCGGGAGCCTTTGTGTATATAAGTGCTATGCGTGTTGTCAAGTTTCGCGACGATAAAAAGATATGAAACGCAGCATCAGGCCGCATAATCGGACGTGTCGCATGTCCAGAGCTATTGAGGCCGGTAGTCGTGCTCACTCTGCATCTGTGCAATGGCAGCCATGATTCCAGCCTGCTCATCTGTCTGGCCCTCGCGCTCCTGCTGCCGTATCCGCGCACCCTCGGCAATTCTGTCGGCAGCATCGTCAATCGTCACCTCTTCATCCTCATCTTCCATAAACAATGCTTCTTCCCCTCCTTGAACAGTCGACACAGCCGTGACACGAGAAGCACTGTGGTCAGCGCCTGGCTGTGTCCGCTTGGATTGCTGAGCAGCTGCTTGTGTTAACAGCTCAGCCTGCCGTTGCCGATTCGTTCCTGAATCTGTCCTGAAGGGCATCTGTAGTACAGATTGCAGATTTTGCACCTTGCGCGGACCCCAGCCTACAATCGTCTGCATCTCCTCGGTGCTGGCGTTCAGTGCGTTTTTGATGGAGCCAAATGTACTCACGAGCGTATGTGCGTCGCTCTTGTTGACGGCACGGACTGCAGTGAGAAAGTCCACTACTTGATCTTGATAAGCTGTAGATGTGTGGCCCTGAATACCTGTGGGAGTTGCATTCTCGAGTGACTTGTACAGCTCTAAATACCGACCTGCTTCGGTAGAGTTGGCGGCCACAATCAGCGTATAGTTCTTGACGACGCCCATCTTGGTGAGCTCTTGCAGGGCCTGCTTTGGATTCGAGACATCACACACGACCATGAGAAGACGCAGACCATACTGTGTGCCGAGCTCAGAGACGCGTCTGTAGATGTAGTCTGGATGCAATGCATGATACTTGAGCGATAGAAAGAGAGCACAGCACATCTTACCAAGCACAAAGTCTGGTAGAATTTCGCCATACTCCCAAGGAACGGCTTTGATGTGCTTGCATACAGGATTCCCCGCTTGAAGAGCATTCACAATGATGGCATTCGTACCTGGCCGTAGAATCTTTTGTGGCACAGGTTGGGCGGGTGCTTGAGCAGGAGCATTTCTTGCTACAGAAGCAGCAGGTCTAGCAGAATCAAGGGCAGCAAGAGCATCGAGGCCGAGAGCGTCAAAGCTCGGGTCATCAAAGTCATCGGCCATTCAGCATGATTGTGAAATGTGTATCACAGCGAGACTGAGCGGGTGCGTCCCTTGATCATTGACTGCGTTGGTCGTGGGAATTTCATCACTCGCGAATATATTTTGCTCACTGCGACGACTTTGGGTCCTTGACTAGCAGTATATATGTCTAGCCGTCAGAGTCACTCTTGTTTGCTCGTCAAGCCAGAAGGACTATGCCGTGCTGCTATACACAAAAGGAAGCACAAAAGGATGATTGAAATTGGTCCGTGTTTCCGATGGGAATTCAAGACTCCCGTCATGAGGAAAGAACCAAGAACTTCATGTTCAAATCTGATTATACTGCTCTCCATGTGATGCTCTATGCTAGACGTAGCGAAATTCCCCAGCACCAGGTCCAAAGTATTGTTCAGGCGCCAATGAAATGAGCGGGCAGCCCTTCTTATCGCAGCCATGCTGGCCGATGCTGTTTCCTATCCAAGATAGCTCGATACCAGGATTCTGTAGACTAGTGATTAGCATTCTTCCTTTCAAGAGGTGTCTTCTTACGCAATGAATGCCACGATGCCGGTAATGGCAATGCCTGTGGATAACCCTGTTGCAATGACATAGGTGTATTTTGCCCACCAAGCATAAAAGCGTTGCTTGATTTGGACATGGAATAAGTAAGCAACAGGCACAGCGGCTGTAATGTAAGACAAGTTGACGGGAGCCCAGCTAATCATGCCTGCCAACAAGATGGGTGGATGTACTTTGCTCATCAGCGAAGAAGGGTATCGCTTTGCAGCAAAGTAGAAAGGAATGGGCAAGATCAAGCCAATCAGGGCACCCCATAGGAGATGTCGGTACAAACCCTGAGGACCGTAGCTCTGCTTGGGCCCCAAAACACCCCAGATGATGGACGATGTAAAGAATGTATTGCTCCCGGGGCATGTGAATTTCTGCTTCTGGTCGGGCGTGCAGAAGCCCTCGAGATGATCAATCTGCCAATTGGTGACAAAGACCGTCATGAAGACAGAAAGGAACGTGCCGATGACTTGTGCCGCGAAGAGTGTACGTGGCGGAATCTTGCTGTAGTGACCCAACTTGAGATCTGCAGCAAAGGAAAGACCTTGAGCTAGTGACAATGTCCCGTAAGCTTTGAAGATCATCATGCCTGACGGATTGCCTGGCATAGCGAGGCCTGCAATCATCTCCGACAAGACATTCAGTCCAATCTCAACATTGCTAACGGCGGAAATGAGTCCGACAGGCAAGATGAAGAGCGCGCCCAGTGCAATAGATACAGCAAGACCCCAAATAGGCATGCCTGTTGGATAGAGTTTAATCATGAGGAGTGCAAGGACCGTGCCCAACATCATGACGCCGAGGTACCACCAGCCAGGAACTTCCTTGTAAGCTTCCATGAGACGCATGTGGATATCCTTGTGCATAACGCGTCCCTTACCAAACAAGTTGCGAAATGCATCAGCAATCTCTGTGCCGTGGTAGAGATAGGCATAAACAAGCGTTGCTGGGTAGAGTGCGAAATAGCCACCAAAAATGAAGGCATTGGCTGCAGAGATGTAGACTGGGCTATACGCTTCATACGCGGCAACATCCAGGCGAGCGTCTTTGAGGATACGCGTTACGTTGTAGGAGTGACCGAAGCGATCGAATGATCTGTTGGAGACAATAGGCAAGTAACTGGCAAACCACGCGTTCTTGAACCATAGTACGGCAAGTATGGCTGCACTCAACAGCATGCCTACCACGACATTGACGGTGGCAAAGAAGGGCGTGATGAGAGGATCAACAATTCCACTGACGATATTGTAGTCGAGTGTCGGGAAGGGGTTGATCCCGAGTCCAGTGTAAGAACCAGTCATGGCCGCAAGTACGGCATTGTCTTCTTTGATCCATGTAAGCCAATTCATCTGAGAGATGCTTGTAAAGAGGTAATTTGGGATGAAAAAGTAGAGGCTGCTGATGAGAAATACTCGGGAGAAAAGTGTGAGTCTCGAGATGCGCCAGCCATGGACAGATTCACTGTTGGTGTCGTGGAAGGAGCGATTCAGAGCGAGAACGGCTAGGTTGCCTGGCCATACGGCTGCGGGTGCATAGACGAGGAAAGGCCGTGCTAGTCCTGCGAAGCCATACCCAATGATTTGCGAAGACAGACAGAGCAGTAGTTGGTAATAGAGAGACGAGGCCCATTGCATATTGTAAAATTGTGGCAGCCGTTGTGCGATGATGATGCTGCTGGCATACGAGGAGGAGAAGGAGACATTGGCAATGATGGTGATGAGCATGTGCTCCTTTGCATTGAAGGGTCCGGGATTGAATGACCAGACCTTGCGGTGAAAGGTATACTGCCTGGTGGGTAGGATACGCTCGAGCAGCTTGCCCGAGGGAAAGGCGACGAGTTGCGCTACGAAGCCGCTCAGAGCAATGCCAGGCAGGCGTTCTGCAAAGAAAGTATTGACGCCTGCTCCGACCAGTGAGAAGAGGAGACCAAGAGACCATGCACGGAAGGTATTGACCGGCAGAGTCGGATCATCGGTCTGCGGGACAATACCATCCACATCGCTGATGGACCCTTGTATGTCCAGCAAGCATTGTTGGATTTGATGCTTTTCATTGTAGTTGAGCTGGTCAATACTCGCGAGAGCTGCTGAAATTTGAGCATGCTGCTTCTCGTTTGCCGTGGGCAATGCCTGCCGCAGACTCAAGACGGCTTCAGGCACAGAGATGGCTGCGTTGCCCACCTCGAAGGGCCCGAAGCTCGATGGCTTTTGCATCTCGACGCGGCAGCTTGACGATGGATGCACATGGCAGCTGTTATATGTAGCATTGAGCAGAGCAGGACGAAACAGGTGGTGTCGTGTGTGGTGAAACAGACAGACGTAGCTGGTGCTGACTGTGATGAGGTGGCCGCCGCGTCTGGACTGACAAACACGCTGCAAAACAAGGTTCAGGACTCGGGAAGAGCAATTTCTATGAGAACGCGATGATAGGCTGTCGGGTCGTTGCTTTACTACAAGGGATCTGAGATCCGCATGACAACACAAGGCCAAAAGCCACCTGCAAAAGTCGTCGCTGGCGACTTTGCAAAAAAAGAACTTGGGGTTTGCTGACGTGGACGGATGGAGGAACCCAGATTTTTGGCTTTTACTGCTGACGCTTCTTGAGGTTGCTAGAGAGCCATTCGAGACCCTCGTAGAGACCGTCGCCTGACGTAGCGCACGTAGCCTGGATGAACCACTGACGCTGACGGAGGGAGTGCAGGCCGAGTTTATCGGTGATTTCTGCTGCATTCATCGCGTTTGGCAGATCCTGCTTGTTGGCAAAGACGAGGAGGAGTGCGTCGCGGAGCTCATCTTCATTGAGCATGCGCTGGAGTTCCTCGCGTGCTTCGCTGACACGCTCTCGGTCATTGGAGTCGACTACGAAGATGATGCCCTGGGTGTTTTGGAAGTCTGACGGATTAGCCATATAGTGGTTGAGGAGGATGGAAGATACAATGACGCCAGAGAGGACGGATCTTGTCCTGGCCGCCGACATCCCAAACGGTGAAGGAGATGTTTTTGTACTCGACCGTCTCGACATTGAAGCCGATTGTGGGGATGGTGGTGACGATTTCGCCGAGCTTGAGCTTATAGACTAGCAGGTAGGTTAGTGGTGCAGGCAATCGGGAGGATGGAGGGGCGGGTACGGATGGTGGTCTTTCCTGCTGCGTCGAGTCCGACCATGAGGATGCGCATTTCGCGCTTGCCAAAGAGGCTTGAGAGGAGCTTTGAGATGGAGAGACCTGATGTGAGCGGTGAGCAGGAGACAGGAGGATGTACCCATGGCTGACTTGAGTGGTGAGGATGGGTTGGGATGGGTGATGGTTGATGGTTGCTGCTGCTGCTGTCTGTGCTGCTGCTGTTTGTGCTGCCCTAACCCTGGCTCTGAAAATATTGAACTGTCGCTGCATACTCTGAACACGATACTTACTATATACTAATAGTCTACTAGCAGCATGGGCTTCGATCTATCCTCCCTCGACTCCCATCTCGCATCTGCCTCCTACATCCAGGGCTTCGAACCCTCACAGGCAGATGTCGCAGTCTTCAAGGAGCTCAAGCAGGCCCCAGACGCAAAGGACACACCCAACGCAGCACGCTGGTACGCCCACATCGACTCCTACAAGCAGGAATTCGACTCCCTCCCCGGAGACGCCTCCAAGAAGGCCTCTGCCTACGGACCAGATGCCTCTTCCTCAAAGGAAGCAGCACCCGCGGCAGCAGCAGCTGAGGAGGATGATGACATTGATCTCTTTGGCTCAGATGACGACGAGGAGGAAGACGCAGCTGCCGTCAAGCTCCGCGAAGAGCGTCTCGCAGAGTACGCCGCAAAGAAGGCAGGCAAGGCAAAGGTCACGGCCAAGTGCATCGTCACAATGGGTAAATTTACATTTCCAAACTTCACTTCAACTAACATCCAACAGAGGTCAAGCCGTGGGACGACGAGACTGACATGAAGAAGCTCGAGGAGTGCGTCCGATCCGTCACCATGGACGGTCTCGTCTGGGGCGGTGGCAAGCTTGTGCCCGTCGGCTACGGTGTCTCCAAGCTCCAGATCAACTGTGTCGTTGAGGATGACAAGGTCTCCCTCGATGACCTCCAGGATGCTATCGCCGAGTTTGAGGACTACGTCCAGAGCTCCGACATTGCTGCCATGCAGAAGCTTTAAGCGGACGGCACATACACTGCTCATTGACTGCACAGCTTTATAGAAAAATTCCACCATCTTCCCTCCTTAGCTCCGACATAACACATGAGTTGAGCATGTGTGGCATTTTGGTCTCTTATAATGCTCAGCATCCTCAGGATCTGCTCAAGCTTGTTGCCTCGCGTGGACCAGACGCGTTGCACTCGATCCACATTGGCGTGCTGACACTGACAGCATCTGTGCTTCATCTTCGTGGACCAGACATTGTCAAGCAGCCCCTTGAACAAGACCATGGAGTCCTCCTCTGGAATGGAGAGATCTGGCATGTTCATGGAACGACACTAGATGAACACTTGAATGATACGCTATTTCTATCAAAAGCTCTGGATGCTACAGATGACGAAGGTCTGCTGCATCTATTCGGTTCCCTGCGTGGACCTTTCGCTTTCTGCTACTGGAACAAGGCAAAGAGACATCTCTGGTATGGCAGAGACATTCTCGGCAGACGTTCTCTACTCATCAAGCACACAAAGGATGGCTTCATTCTTAGCTCAGTCGCTGGTCGAGACCCTTCTTGGAAGACTGTCGAGCCGGGGCTCTATCGATTCGATGCAACGTCTGGCAAGACAGACCTCTTTCCCTGGCAGCCTTATGACTCTGACGGCCCTCTTGCCTGCTACTATCCACCAGTCAACCCGACAAAGATACACATCGACCTGCCCCTTGATGACCATCATCTCGAAGCGCTTGAACGCCACATCCAGCAAGCATTGAAAGTGCGTGCGGCCTCCCTTGCAGACAGAGATCTAGCCATCATGTACTCCGGAGGCGTCGACTGTGCAGTCTTGGCCTACTATGTCGACACTCTCCTCCCGCATGACATATCCGTCGACCTCATCAATGTCTCCTTCGAGAACCCCAGAAGTCTCAAGGGCTCAGTAGATCTCTACACCACACCAGATCGTCTGACGGGTCTACAAGGATACAAAGAGCTCAGGCAACGCTGTCCACATCGTCATTGGCGCTTTGTCTGCGTCAATGTTCCTTATGCAGAAGCGCTTGCCGCAAAAGAGACTGTCTTGGAGCTGATGTACCCGAATGAATCTGTCATGGATTATTCTATTGCTCTAGCCTTCTACTTTTGCGCTCGTGGCAAGGGCTTTGTCGATGACGAAGCATACGAGACGCAAGCCAAAGTCTTCATTAGCGGGTTGGGCGCCGATGAACTGCTCGGTGGGTATAGCCGCCACAAACGCGCCGCAGAACAAGGTCACGATGCACTGATTGCAGAGCTGCAGCAGGACCTCGATCGACTTCCCTCTCGCAACCTTGGTCGTGATGATCGCGTCATTAGTCATTTCGGAAGGGAAGTACGCTGGCCTTTTCTAGACGAGTCGCTTGTACGACACCTGGCTGCATTACCAGTTTCTGTCAAGATGCAGCACGCCGTACCTGGTGGCGATAAGCTGCTGTTGCGTCAACTTGCCATCAAGATTGGCTTGCCAAAGGCAGCAGCTGAAGCGAAACGCGCTATTCAGTTTGGTTCACGCAGCGCCAAGATGGACTTGAATTCTGGAAAGATCAAGGGACATGAGCTACCTACTTGATGCGCGCAAGAATGGCCATGAATGCTGCTTCTGTTGCCTTGAGATCGCCAAAGAGACCAATGTGGCCACGATCCGTGGCAATATCAGCGCACACCTCGTAATTGGCGCCGCCCTCCATCATGCGAATGTCTGCAGCATTGTACGTCACAACGCCGTCTCCGGGACTCAAGATGAAGCGTGTATAGTCACCATCAGCGATGCCTTGTTTTCCATTCACCTTGCAACCGCGCACTGTAGGCGTTGCTTCGGAACGTAAAATGGCAAGAGGCGGATATTGGATGTCTGGATCATGCCGCAACTCGTGCTTGAACTGCAATGCAGCTATCAGGATCTCCTCCAGATATCTCCGGGCTTCAGATAGTGGAATATCAGTCTTGTCCTTTTCGATGCGTGCGTTGCGTTGTCCATTGGTTGGTGCCGCTTTTGGACCTGTGACGCCACCTGTGGCCAAAATGCCATTCAAGTCTTCTGCTTCGCCAACACCGGCCTGCCCATCCGAAGCTACCATAGGCGAGAGCCCATACGCATACCATGCCTCAGGGTCAAACAGGTCAACTGGAATTTCCTTGTTGGTGGCGCTATCAACAAAACAGCGCTTGTGTGTCGGTAGAAGCATGAATGAGGAGCGCATGCTGAAGTTTGTGCGTGCACTCAAGATGGTACGGTTGAGCAAAACCGAGTCGCCGTATCGAAATGGTCCGAGAATGTTTGGACAACCACCCCAGGGTGTGCCACCGTAGATGACGCCAGCAAAGAGATCAGGCCGTCGGTTGAGGGCGTGGCCAGTGATGAGACCGCCCATGGAGTGTGCCACAACCAGCGAGGGACCTTGTAGACTTTCAAGAAATGTGATGAACTGGCTAGACAAATAAGCACCGCCGAGCCGCCAGTCGTACCCAAATTCATGTACTTTGCAGTAGCCTTGTGAAGCAGCATCTCTCAGTCGCTTCAACAACTTGCGCGAAATATCGATGGGTCCGATGTTTGTGAGCATACCATCAGGGTAGATAGTCTTGCGCGCATCCGCTTCGGCATCTGCAGAGAGAGGCAGCTCCAGATTGACCTTGCGCAAACCGAGTCCAGCCTTGACAGGCACCCACAGCATGCGATCATCTTGTGTTGACCTCAACACTGAACCGCGATAACCTCCAAGCACAACGATATTGAGGTTGGCAGTTGCCTGCGATAGCCCCGCAAATGGTGGTGGAGATGCGGGCAATCGACCTGGTATCGTTGGGATGGAGGGCGCCGGTAGGCCTTCGATGATGGCACGGAAGCGATTATTCTCCGGCCTCATCTCAAACCTGGCTTCCAGCTCAAGCGATGTCAAGCTAGCATTATCGTCAAATACCTCTTTGGACGAATCACCAGCGAAAGGCAAGGAAAAGCGAAAGCTGGGTGCTCGATTGAGCAGATCTACGACGGCGGCATTCGTCATGGTGATGGCCCTGTTGCGTACATCACGCCAGATAGGTAGAGCGGGCTCACTGTTGCTTCTGCCGCGTCTCAGTACAAGCCGGTCCAAGTCTTCCTCCAGGAACTCTTCCCGCATCGTTGTTGCCGGCCTTGCATCATCCTGTGAGGCTTTGCGCGAGGGCAAGAGGCGCGATGCTCGACTGCTGAATGCTTGAAGTGCAGCAACACCTCTCAGACCGAGTCTCGGCAGCAGAGCCTCTTCTCGCCGCTTGTCCATGGGACATTGAAGGAGCAGTTTGCTGGTCAGGTCACGGTCCTGTAGACGAAACTTTGCGACGTCAGGGGACTCGCGCTTGGAACAATTCAGTAAGCACGACGGCAATAGCTAGGGCCGACATTCTATGGCAACTGACACATGGCAGACTACGCTACACACGGAGCTTCATCTGGTTGCGCTTCTTGACGCGCCGCTTCTTGCCCAACTCAAACTGGCGAGCATCTTGATGGGTGCGGCCGAGCTTGTCGAGATCCTTGACCTTGTAAATGCGCACAATCCAATTCTCCGTTGTGTATGCCTCCTCGAGGGTATCAAGCACGGGGCTTTCATTTGGAATCACCTGTCCACGGACACGATCTTGTGCCTGGCCAGGCGGGAACAGCTCGGCAAATCGGTGGTAGCTCATCTTGTACATCAAACTCTGCTTCATTGTTTCAGTGGCTTCGCTGTCAACCTTGTACTCCCCTCTGGGCGTGAAAAAGTTGCGCTCCTTGACCTCATCAGGCCAGATACCCTCGGCGATACGCACCATCCACAAGAACTTGTTGATGTCGTCGCCAGAGTAGCCTAGGAGACCACCAAAGACAACAAGAACATAGTCGACGTCATGCTTGCGCAAAATTGGGTAAGCAGTCTCCTCGCTAGTCGACATGGCCTTGCCAACCGTCGCAATATGCGTGTTATTCCAAGTGTTGTTATCGACGAGCGTGACCTTGTCTCCCATGCCGGCAATTTGATAGCCATAGTCCCACCAACTCATGATGCGCGCATCGCGAGGCGTGTTTTTGCGAAGCCAGTAGTACGCCTCACGGTAGTCGTCAATGATCCACTGGGAACCATCCGGCAATCTGCTTGCAAGGACGACCGAAGGCGACGAGTACGCGCTCGAGGTGACCCACGTAGAGTGATACACAAACAAGACGAGGTAGACTGTAAAGACGCCAGCGACACCGAGCTTGGCCGGGAAGGAAGCAATGCCGTAGTATGGCGCAGACAACGACAATCCCTTGAATGCCTTGAATGCACCTGCCTTTTCCTCGGGCGTCCTGATGCGCGACTCGTCTGATTCTGAAAAGTCGAGGTAATTGTCGAGGATCTCCGAGGTGGCGACAGCTGCGGCAACAACAACACAAGGCGTCAGCGTCAGCATGAGACGCACCATGACACCAGCGAAGTAGCTGGCCAAGACGGCATACACAATGATAAAGACGTGTTCATCGCGGAGCTGGCGGAAGCAGAGATAGACACCTGCAGGGAAAAGCCAGATGAGCATTTGCAAATCAAAGAAGAACGCAGGCCAGGCCGTTGGCTGATGCTCAGAGACGGAAGCAATGATAGGGATGTGAATCTTGGCGTAGCCAGTGTCCCAGAGCGAGTAAAATCGTCCGGTCCAGGGAGCAATGGTGCCCGTCATAGAAAGTCCGACCAATGCACCAACAGCCAGAATGAAGATGCTGGCGACAATGACGCGCAGCAGCACTTGAGCCTTTTTGGATGGTAGATGCGACCGGAGGAGGTCCACAAAAGCAATGATTTGCAGCAAACCAAACACACCGAGTGCCGACATGTGCTCGCTTGTTCGGATAGGCTGGAAGCCCACAAAAGGAACCTGCATTGAGAGCAAGGTGCCGATGGCGTAGTAGGACGAGTAAGCGACATAGATCCTTGATGAGAAGCGGCCCATGAGCAGCAGTACAAAGACATGCAGAGGAATCATGTTGGTGATGAAGACGTATCCTCCCCAGGCTGCGACCATGTAAAAGTAGAAGCCTGCAGTGATGGCTCCATACATGGCGGACCCTTGTTTGAGGGCCCGAATCCAGCAGGCAAAAGTGGTCATGAGCAGCGTGATGGCAATGGCCTCATTATCATAAGAGCCAGCAACACTGCGAGAAATGTAGCCAGGTGCGATACCAATGAAGGCTGCAGCCAAAAGACCTGCTGAGCTGTCCTTCATCTCCTTGGTGAAAAGGTATGTTGCAACGGCCGTCAATCCACTGAAGCCAGGAGCGAGCAAGACACAAATGTTACGGATATCCACAGGGTAGTGGATGCGGTCCAGCAGCCAATGAATGGCTCCAGAGGTGAACATGAGACCAGGGTAGAGGGTTCCTCCTGCAACGCGGCCCAATGGGTACCACGACCGCTCATCAAACCAATTCATGAAGTCATATTGTCCATTCCTGATGTCAGCCAGATCTTGGTACTCAAGTACTCACTTGACAAAGTGCTTCGTGGCCCTGAAGTTGAACCAGGGATCAAACTCGTGGATGATGGATTCGAAGCGGACGATGGAGAAGAGCCTGGCGGAGATGGCTGCACCTGCGATGACGGTGAGGATGACGAAGCGCAGGAGCCGCTTCGTGTCTCGTGCGCCAGAGGCAGAGAGCACAGTCATCTGGCAGACACTTGGTGGTCGTGGTGGTGGAAGTGGACACGTCGCGCTCAATTCACGACCGCACACCAGCTGCAGCGCACGACGGAGCCCTGGAGGAGATACAGGAGCTAGCGCCAGCTGCATGGCCAAGCCTCGACGAGCTCAAGTTTTCGCGTCTCAAGCAGCATGCGCCGGGCAAGGAGCTTGAGGCAGCCTTGAGCCAGATCAACGCGGACTTGGAGGGCTCCTGGTCGCAAGCACTGCACCGCTTGCTCAAGCACCAGGAAGAGCTCAACCAGCAGCAGGCACAGCTGACCATCTTGCTATCTTCTACGCAGACACGAACAAACAAGGCGATACAGGCGACGCGGTTGGATGTGCCCTCTGGGATGCACGAACAAGTGACAGGCTGCTACGCGGCGATGCAACGCTTGCAGACGCTGTGTCTCTCGATTGACGCTCAAATGCCTGCATCATGCAAGATGGGGCAGTACCCTCGACTGCGAGACGCGATGCAGCAGCCCTTGTCAGTCATGGGTGGTGATGGATCAACGCGACCGGCACGACAGCGCCAGGCTTCCTATCAGCCACGAGGCCCGCGTCTCCGGACCATTGCACCGGCTCCTGCGCTTCCTGGCCATGCACTGCCAGTAGCAGAACGCGACAGTGTCTCGATGCGCACATCGATGGTCAGCCGGAGTGTCTTTTCCATCCGCCGCTTCTTCGGCCGGGCAGCGCCTGCAACGGCAGAGACGCAGCTGCGACGTGTGAGTGAGCAGCGGTGAGGGCTTGCTTGATCATATCTGTATCTATATAGTATATAGGAATGCGTGAGTGTGCGCTACCTGCGTCTTGATCTGTCCATCGTGTGTGCTTCTCTTGCTCTGTCTACTCCTCATGCCATACGGTGCGTCCTCTAGAGAAGAAGCCAGAGCTGATATCAGACAAACACAGCCTGCAGAACCTGGATGCAGCGTATGCGGAAGCCAAGCTGGGTGCACTCGACGGCACCCTTCGCTGGGGAGCAGCAGGCATCGTCGTCTTCACCATCGCCCAGTTCACCTGGCCGCTCTACCGCAACCTGACGGTGCCCTTCAAGACGTACCTCCAGATGAGCGCCATGATTGCAGGCGGCGTCGTCAATGCAGACTCGCGGATGCAGGCGGCGGAGAAGCGCATACGCGCCGAGCAGCGGTACCGACTCTATACCCTTCTATTCTACAAAATGCTTACACACCAGGACCATGCGGAGACAGGCCTTTGAGGACCAGCTCGAGCGATCATACAGCAGCATGGAGCGCAAGCGCAACTCGTAAATCATAACCCTCGTTGTGGTCTCCGCGGCCAAAGCGGTCGGCCCAGATGCGGTCGTGTATCCACCACATCATCTTGAAGCAGATGCCTGCAAAGGCAGGAAGGAAGGAGGGAACAGGCAAGCCGGCTTTGGAGAGAAGCTCCTGTATGCCAAAGATGGCCATGATAATAGGCAGCCAGAAGCCGAGAAAGATGGCCGCACCCAGTTTCTGCTTCTTGCCGTGCAGCCTGAATGGCTCCAGCGAGTCGAGGTAATGTTGATAGCCCTTGGGAAAGTCATGTTGCCGTGCGCCTTGCTGGATGAGTCCTAGATAACGCTGCGACGGCTGACAGTGCCGCCGTGGATGCCGCGCCTGGAGTGTCGTGAGCTCGAGCAGCTCGCCGGCATCGGTCTTGCCCTCGACGTGTATCTGCTTGTAGGAGATCGAGCCGCCCTCTGTCGCGATGATGTGGTCAAAGTCCTTTTGAGTAACGAGGTAAGCCATGCCCTGCAGCGTCGGCGCATGCTCTGTGACCTGCTGGATAGACCCAAAGGCAGGCTCGCCATAGGGCACACCGGCAATGTCAAAGGTCAGGAACCAGCCGTCGACGGTGACATGCTCCTCACGCAGCGGGCGAATGGCGCGTCTGCCCAGGAAGGTTTCTCTATTGAGGTTGGAGCCGTAGCCTAGATACCACTGCGACATGCAAAGGTCTACGAAAGGGCCGCGAGTCGTCGCTGTGCGTAGGCTGCGTAGTCAAAGTCAATTTTGCTGATGGAGGCCTGGACCAGCGCCCACACGCCCCAGCTGGCTTGTTAGCAGAGCGTCGCATAGAGCAGGAGGCATACTAGAAGTGAGAGACGCGCTTGTACGTGTTGACCTTGGCCATGGTTGCGTGAATGGCCGCATCGTCCGGTGCCCGTTGGTGGAAGCTCTCCAGGTACGCGGCGACAAAATGGCGCTGGTGTGCTTCGCTCGGCAGCGTCTCCCAGTCGCAGTCCATGCCAGCATACTCGAGAAAGTGGTTGGCAATGTCAAAATGTGGATCATGCGTGCATGCATACTCATAGTCGATAAAGGCCACCTTCTCTGTACCGTCACTCTGCACAATGATGTTAGCCGGCAGCAGGTCGTTGTGTGAGAAGACGAGCTCGTTGGATGCCTGCTCTGCCTCTTGCTGCAGCACGGCGAGCTGCTCCGTCAGTCGACGTGTGCTGTGTGAATCTCCCTCGGGGACCAGCTCTACCCACTGCTTGAGCGTTGGCCAGAATGCGTTTCTCTCGCTGTGAGGCATGACACGGTGCCATTCTCCGAGTAGTGATGCTGTTGCATGCGCGTACCGCTCGTCACGCACCGTCTTGGCGTTGAGCACCTGGCCAGGAACATAGCGATAGACAAGACCATTCTCGAAGCGATTGAGCACCTCTGGCGCATATCCCTGCAAGTAGAGCGCGACAAAGTTCTCGAGCTCCCTCGTGCGGGAGATGATAGTCTCTGTAGAGTCGCCATAGACCCGCACGAGGACCGTCTCTTGGTCGTGTGTGCACTTGAGCAGCAGGTTCGTGACGCCGTCCTTCTCTTGCATGAGGGAGACATCCTCCCAGCCCAAGACAGCACGCAGCAGCTCCCGGGTGTCCTGCTCCAGCCTGTCTGGCTCCACGCGCAGCTCCACAGGCGGCAGGCGGTCCGCGACGTAGGCCGCGACATGCGACATGGTGGTGGTCCCAGGCGACGGAGGACATCCACCGACCAACACAACCACCACAAAGGCGCATGAGGGTGCTGCAGGGGCTGCTGCTGGCGGCGGCGGCAGCGGCTGAGCAGATTGTCTTCCAGCGCAAGCTCACTGGACGCTTCCTACATATCTCCGACGTCCATCCTGACCGCTTCTACACGCCGGGCGCCAAGCTCATGGACATGTGCCATCTAGAGCCCTCTGATGCGAAAAAGAAGAAGGATCACCATGATGCGCGTGCCGGATACTGGGGTCCAGATCCAGGCAGCGAATGCGATACACCAATCCAGCTCGTCAATGCAACACTGGACTTCATCGACCGGGCCTTTGTCCAGCAAGGCGGCGTGGACTTTGTAGTCTGGACAGGCGACTCGGCGCGCCACGACAATGACAACCGCTATCCGCGGACGCTGCCCCAGATCTATGAGCTCAACCACATGATGACACAAGGCATGCATCGCGTCTTTGGCACGGATCGTTTCAAGGAGAGCACCATCCCCGTCATCCCAACCATCGGCAACAATGATGTCTGGCCGCATAATCTGATGTTCCCGGGACCTAGTAAGACAATTGCCAAGTACAAGGAGCTCTGGAAACTGTGGATTCCACCGGAGCAGATACACACATTTGATCGCGGCGCCTACTTTCATGTCTCTGTTGCACCAAAGCTCACCGTCATTTCCCTCAACTCCATCTTTTTCTACGAGAACAACGCTGCCGTGGAGGGTTGTAGTGTATATGAGCCAGGATCGTTGCAGCTAGACTGGCTAGAGATTCAACTTCGCATCTTTCGACAACAGAACATCAAGGTCTGGATCATTGGGCATGTTCCACCGACAAACCGGCAGTGGTACGATGACTGCTTTGACCGCTATGCAAACCTTGTTGTTGAGTATCGCGATCTGGTCATTGGCCAGCTTTTTGGTCACGTCAATATTGACCACTTTTACTTCATGGAATACCAACAGCAGAAAAAGGTGAAGGCTATGGGCAATCCTCTCCAGATACTGCTCGACGTGCGAGATGACTTTGATGCGCTTCCACCAGCCACTGACAATTTGGAGCATCTCGCTGTTGTTAACGTTGGACCGAGTGTCGTGCCAAACTTTTACCCTACACTGCGCGTGTATGATTACGAGACTAACCCTTTGGCAATCGACAAGAAGAGAAAGAAGAAGCGGAAAAAGACAAAGCTACCACCAGTGGCTCATCTTGGGCCTGCCCATGAGCGGCAACTCTATACGCCACTCAAGTATACCCAGTACTATCTCAACCTCACTGCAGCTAACGCTGAGCCAAAGGCGCCAATTGAGTACCAAATTGAATATGATACTACCGCGCAACCATATGCCATGCCGGATCTGACGCTCTCTTCTTGGGTCAAGCTTGGGAAGGAGCTGAGTGGTTTGCATGGCCAGGGCAAATTCACAGATAAAGACTTTTGTCAAACAGACCCTTTACTTACCGCACTACCAGTCTGTCAAGGGCACAAGTCAGGTGTGCCTCCGCCTGCGACACCTGAATTGACGGCAGCGAAAAAGAAGAAGCGAAACGACGATTATTGGGACATCTTCATTTATCGTGGTCTCGTCAGTACAGGCTTGGAGAAGGAGCTCAGGGATGACCTGTGAGCTGTTTCTATGAGATCACTGGAGCAGAAGAACATCTTTTGACCAATTTTTGGCCATGTCGATCGGTAGGCGGCTATGAAAGCTGCTCGTGTCGCAGTCTGCTCGTGGTAAGTTCATCCGTCCTCTTCATAGAGGGAGAGTCATGCTTAGAATTGGTTTTATCCAGCTTGCTCTTCAGGTAACCTCAAACATCAATAATTGGATTGCCTCGCTCCTTACCACGTCGCCTGCACGCCTCTGACTCAAGCTTTGCCAACATTGCTGCTTTATAGAATCTCATTGCGATGCACAGGCAATAGCTCTGGCCGCACCGGCCGTAAACCCTCGTTCATGGCTGGTACATCAATCTAGACTGCAGTCGCACAATCACAAATTCTGGTGAACAGCATGGGCAGTCGGCTGCTGGCGCAAAAAGAGACTTATGGGAACTTGAGAACATGCTCTGTACGGACTTGGCCATGGGCTATTGCCCATTTGTGTCAATTCGGCTCTGGAATTGACTCGGTCTTCATCGACAAGCAAGAAGAGGGAAACAGCGAAGAAGAACAAGCTGCAATCCGTGGTCAATCTCTTGCACTACCACAAGAAACAGTTCTTCGTTGTCCACAGTGACTCTTCACCACCATCAGACACGCGCAATACCACATCAATCTTACGGCAGCCGAAGTTGACCACGAAGCACAAATCCGATGCGACTTGCCTCATTCGTCAACTTCGGTAGGGAGTGTCGCGTCTCGCATGGCCTCTGCCAGCTCTAGACACTTTGCAAGAGCTTGTTTCTTCCAACAGCCGACTAGGCAGTGCTGGCATGCAGGCAGTCAGACCGGTAGGTGATTGTCAGGTTGAAACAAGCTAACAATGGTGAAGCAAGAGAAAGGCAACGAATACTGCTAAAGTCACTTTGTCTGTAGCAGATTCAACAGTAACTAGAGATCTCAAGGACGACTTGTAAGCTGACTGGCCGGAACCATGCACGCATGCATGCCAAGCAATTCACGGAACATAATGAAGCCGTCTTTCCAGAAGCTCCTGATTGAATGTCTTCTTGATAAAGTCTCCCGCCGAGCACAACACGGCGACCACATCATCATGTATCTCAAATTCGCAAGCGCACTCGTCTTCCTCGCATACATGGTCATGAGCCGGCCAACTGAGCCGCTCGGTCATTGCATCCCGCCCAGTGCGCAATGTCCTGGCAACCCTGATGCATGCTGCAACTCCGATTCGGTCAGTGTAATCTCTTGCTTATGTGACGACTGACATCCCAGAATGGCGGTGGACCGTGATGTCGCCCATCCTATGTGCTGCACGCACCAGACTAGTGGTTTGTAGGCTGATTGCAGAATGATAAGAAGGGTCAGACATAGGTTTGACTCTGAATGTGGACTTTTGCTGCTTTGACGTTTGACATTGGCTTTATGAAGTGCTGCGACTAATGTCCAATTTCCTAGCAGGGGCGCGCACATTGAATGTGTCAAGGCATTGGTGCACGACTGCTCAGTTAGCTTAAGGCCCATGACAAGATATTCATACTTTTGTACTGGCGCGCAAGCGGGACTGCGTGCGAGAGCAGCATGATGAAAGCTTGTCGTTGCAAAGAGAGTGAAACGCAGCAAGATTGAGAGTGAGTCGTTGCTGCTGGTGAGGTGAAATTTGGTCGTGATTCTCCTGAAAATTGACCCATGCTGCAAGCCTGCAACTGCTGTCACTGCGAGAGACTTAACATGGAAGAGATGCTCACATCGTGCTTTGAGAAAAGCCATTGAGGGCGCACTTATGGATACTTGTTGCTCTCTATCCCTTTCAAGGCTCAGTGCCATTGAGCTGATTGAACCACAAATAGTTGGGCCGCTTTGGCGCACCCCTCTTCTTCCAATGCTGCTCGTTCCGAGCGACATCTGGCAATCATACTTCCTTCCCTGGCTCTCTAGAAAGAGCTAACGTATTGCTCTCAGAACTTGTTGTTGGCCAAGGGTTCATGCGCAAGAACGCCTTGACCACGCCTCTCTTGCAGCCAATTTTCGGGCTAACCTTCCATGTACTTGAACATCTTCACTTGCGACGCACGAACAATCAGCGTCAAGCACGGCGCAGCTGGACTTGTGGCGAGACTGCAAGTAGAGGGCAACTACAGATGCGCCACATTGTGCACTGTCTTCTACAAGGGCGAGAGGCCTGAGGTCAGAGCCCAGTAGCATCACTGGTGTCCCCATTAAGTCCGACCCCGATAGCCACACCGGTCTCTTGCCATCTTGACCGCAATGTTCGTTTTCATGCGTCAATGCACAATGCGCTGTCGCATCTGTACACTTGAATCTTTCATATCGAGCAATCCCTGTGAAGTGGAAGACAAGGCCGGATGTGGTGCAGCGTCTAGGTGATCTAGCTGACTGCTTCCCAACATCATAGAAGCCACAGAACCAATCGCAAGTTTCTTTAAAATTTCCATTTCTGAGGTTAATTAGCGATGCATGCTGCCGGGAGTGCATATTACCCATTTCAGACCCTAGAATAAGGCGTATTGGAGGTACACATATCGGTCTCGGTTCGGAACTCGGCGTGGTTTCTGCTCCAGAGCGACACAAGTCCAACATATCTGTGAGCTCCATGGTTGATTGAAAGGATAGCAATTGCGTCGGATGTATGATCGCAAGGACTTGCTGCGGCAGAAGTCTGCCGCATGTAGATATAAGGTCATTTACCGTCAGATCGAATTCATCAAGCTCGGGTCTGGCACGCCACAATGCATGAATGCGCTAGAATTAGCAAACGTGGTACAACAGAATAGAGATCGGTACATTCGCTCGGGCAGGTACATCCAGATGATGTTGCCCGTTCTTTGGAAAGATATATTCGTGGAAAACACGAAAGATGTGGAAGCTCGAGGGCTCAGTGTTTGGCAAGAGCTCGATCTGACCTGAAGAGCCATCCTTTCGCAGATGCACCGTATCAAAGACGAGCTCCTCGAAGAGCAATTGATCAGTCGAGATTGGTAGTTGAGCAAAAGCGGGATCAAGCAGCACGTACTTGTGCCAAGCTGTGACGTACTGAAGTGTACACCCGACCGAAATGTCGAGAAGTGGGGGCGAGATGTGTGGCACTCGATTCCGCGCACAGCCATCCATTTGGTACTTAGGTATGTATTTTGGTCTGCGCAAGAAAGCTGATTGATTAGCACGACAGAATCAGAATCGCGAGAATACCGAGTCCCTTGATAAGTCTGAATGCCCAATTTGACTTTTCTGCAAATGCCTCTGAGGTATGCTCGAGTCGCCAGGCTGACCATAGCTCCACTAGCGTGAATCTTCCCGAAGCTGCATATCGTGCTCTGGGTGGATCACGCCGATTGCACCGCGCATTGTAGCCTCCAATTGAGTGATGAGATGTTCGATAGAGAGACACGCCTCATCGAAAGTCGGAGCAGTCGAGTAAAAATCATTGACGATCTAAAGTCAGCGGGTTTCTCCAGCAACAAGAACAGAATGTTACATTCGCCCTTGAGTCGCGATCGCGACCGCGTACGTCCAAGTGCGCTTCTAGCAGGTCTGGAAGGCTGAAAACAAACTCTGCATCCTGTATAGACAGCTTTGGCAGCGTCGGCTCATTGTCCAGGCGCCAGGGAATCAGAGAGAAGTGAAGCTTTTCAGGCGCCTGTAGTTCGTGAGGACTCACCCAAACGTCTTTGTAAGTAGAATCTTGCTCTACATACTTGCGCCAAGCTCGAATATATTGAGGTGACCATGCCAAAGCAGGCTGTAACCTTGTCATATGCGCGCTGTGCGCTTTTGCATGTTTAGCAGGCGCGTCGTCAAAGCAAAATAAGACATGGTGGTCGGCGCTCAATGTGGGCGTCCCTTTTTGGAAGGGAAACGGGAGTTCAGGCATCTATCAATCTTTTGAGCTCGGTATGGGATGTGGTGGTTACCATGAAGTGGCATGAACTGCTGGTTGTTGCATCATCGGAGAACTTGTGGCTAAGGCTCAAAGGCGCGGATGAAACACAGCAACCAACGCCGGAGCGACACATCACAGCGCCTTCCATCAGTAGAGCGTTGCAGTGGGCACCAGCTGCGACCATGCACGCGGTCCCTTCTCGTTGTGTGTCTTAGTAGGCTCTTTCAGTCTGTCTCGCCGGCCTCATGCAGCAGTCTTTTTCTGTGAGATTGGCGACTGGCTGACGGAACATCGCGCCTTCGTTTTTTTTTTGACACGGCCATGCGGCAGAAATGAGGGTCTAGGATAGGGCTTGTGTGCTTCTGACTGTAGCCTCTTTTGCATTGGTTGCTTGTGCCTCATTCGCAATCATGCAAAAATGGGGATTCGGAAGGCAGACGTACCCTACTTGGCAGTCAAGTGCACAGGTGCTACCCAGTATGAAGTGACGGCGATTCAGACGCTTCAAGATGCTCAATGCAGTGCATACAAGTGGCTCTGTAGAAGTCCTTCAAACAGCGAGACCGCCATCTTGCCCGCTTCCGAGCGCATTTGACAGAATTGTAATATGGGTGCGGCTCGATCGACTCGCTTCTCACAAATATATTGAAGACTGTCGCACCAATGGCCTTCTGCTTGCTCTGTGGTCGCTGAGAGAGAGTACATGAATATGCTTGCTCAAGTATTTTGCAAGCTAAAGACTTGCGACGCGGCCTTTCCCATCGTGTTCGTGTTCGGGTCCATGCTGTGCGGGTCTGCTCCTTGTGGAACCCCATTGTCAAGTGGCTAGGATAAGCCTCCTTTTTCTGACGCAGAGATTCCTTGCTGGCTCGACTTGGCAGCGCGTCTCAATTTGTTCTGGATGCTGGCATGTCTGATGCGCACATTCAGGAGAAGCGATGGCGTGTCTGGCAACCATTCTGATCGGCAATGGCGGCAGCATACTACTGGCACGATATACTTCAGCGATACGATGCACATCCGCAGTGCTGTTGTACGGAGCCGATTCGCATTCCTAGGTAGGGTGACCTTGGCGACTTGGCATGGCGAGATGTGCAGCGACGCATCACGGGACAGGCAAAGTGAATGACCTGAAGGTGCAGTCTGGCGAGTTGTTCGCGCTTGGAGCTTGGAGCACAGAGGGACACTTTACGGCGATGGCTAAGATCAGGTTACACCAGAGGGACGGCAACATGGAGGAAGAAGCCAAGAAGAACGATCAAGAAAAAGAGGGAGAGAGAGCGATCTAACGTACGCAGCTCTGTGGATTTGCGCAGCTGCATAGTATGGACCGTTTGCTTCTGCGCTAGATGCACTACCGTGCCTCTGTCCGTCGTTGCTGAGTGTGCCGCCCTCGAGGGGTATAGAAGGCGTCGACCGCTCCAACACCTCTTCCTCCTCAGACAACATGCCGCACAAGAGCCAAGAGCAGCTGCGCAAGCATCAGCTTCCACTGCCAGCAGCGTCTGCAGCTCTATCTGCGCCTGCGTCTGCGTCTGTTGCACCAACAACACCACCACCACCACCACCACCACCGTCACCATCACCACCACCACACTCACCACCACCACACTCACCACCACCACCACACTCACCACCACCGCACTCACCACCACCACCACACTCACCACCACCACCATCTGCGTCTGGGTCCGTGTCTGCTCCTGCTCCTGCTCCAACCTCCTCGCCATCATCACAACTTCATCAGCCTGTGATCGATCTCTTGCAAAAGATCATTGAGACACAGAGGCATCAACAGCAGCACGCTGATTATGTGCTGCACCTGGTGGCAGACCTCGGCAAGCAGGTCAAACTGCTTGAGCGGCGGCTTGAGCGGCGGCTTGAGGAGCAGCAACCACAATCAGCCCTGGTGGCACTTGTGGCAAGTTTCGCACCCCTGTGACCAACCGGGGTCTGTTCATGCTTTTTGCTGCATGGTTGATTTGGACATGCCTTTACGGGCTATTTCAGAGTTGGCGCTCTGCAAAGTAGGCACCTCTTGTCACAGCATCAGCAGGTAAAGTGGGCATTGAGGGGTCTTTGTACACATCGTAGCAGCGCGTGAGAAGACACGACAAGACAACGCAGTGCCAGGGTCCATGCACAACCTCGCTTAGGACTAGCTAGCTATCCAGGTAGCCTGCAGGCCAGTAGAGCCATAGTCGATGAGCTTGCAGAGCATCAAGACATCGCTGTAAGCCTCAAACTGCCAAGGTATGGTGACTCCGGCTTAATACGCTCATCAAGCGCCTAGTTCCCAGCACTGCGTCAAAAATCAGTGGAGACGAGCACCCACCTTCATCGTTGAAGGACAAGTCACGCGCATCGGCTCAGCGCTTCAAGAGAGAGCAGAGGAGGCCATCTTCAACCCTACGCTAGGACATGCAGACCAAACTCGTGCCGAGCCGGCCGTGTTTACTCTACGCCATTACTCTGGGGTCTACTGTACTGGACACGTCTCCGTAGAGCGACTCTTCCTCTCTGAAGCAACACATCATATCATGCTGGACTTAGGCAAGCTGTCTTTCAGGCAGGCGCTCCAGCAGTTCCTCGACGTCTGCCTAAATGGCACCGCGCCTTTATGGCCTGGAAGGCAGTCAGCCTCGCCATGGACTTCGAACTGCCTGCCCTGGTCCTCCTGTCGGGCTCCACGGAAACAGCCGTTCAGCTCGGCGATTTGCTCTTCATGATAAGCCTGCCCTCAATGGCCGACATTGGCGACATCGTCGGCTACATTATTCAGGACCGCTCTATTCACATTGTTCACCGCGTCAACAAGAGCCACATTCCAGCGCAGTCGGCGATCAATGAGCTACGCAAGCCCATCAAGTTTGTGCATGGGTTCATCAACAAAAGGAAGACACGCGTCAACTTGTCAAAGGGGCAGCAGGCAAGCTTGCGTGGCTGTCGCGTCAACTCACTCAGCCAAGAGGAACCAAACCGCGGCCCATCGCAGAAGCTTTTCACTAAAGGCGACAACAACAATGACGGCGATTTGACGCTCTACGCACCTGGGCAGCGCACACTAGACCGCAAGGGGGACGTCACTAATGTGGTCTATGGTTTCATGCCGTATGTGGGTATGGTTACGCTCCCTACCAATGACTATCCAGCACTCCACTACCTCATGCTAGGCGGCATGGGCCTTACGGCGCTCATCAGCAGAGAATAAACAGTAATCGGCGTCGTTTTCTCGTTACTCCACAAGGCAGATGGCGTGAGTGAGCCGACAATGCACACGCACGCAACTCACAGCCCTCTGCACATGCGTGAAGCCAACAGGCGAGCTTTCATGTCACTCGTTCAGTGACAGTCTAGGGAACAAGGGGTATGACAGCCACAATAGATTTGCGACAAGCTACCTCTGCGGCCGAGAACCTAGCGTGAATGCGAAGGCGATGCTATGATTGGTGTATGGCTATGGCTATTGTTACGTACTTGCATGTATGAGGTGTGTGAGAAAGTCAAAGTAAGTGTCAACCGCATAGGCAAGTAGAGCTCTAGCTGATGCATGTCTTTAAACACATTGCTGCAGGACATGCCTCCTACGTCTATGGAGGAGTCTGTCTGCGCTATTGACAAAGCAATCGAGAGCTCGGATACAGATTTGGACTTGTCCTGAATAAGATGCAGGAGACATCTCCGAATGAGCGCAAGACACCACATTGAAATGCGGGCACGCCACATACATATCAGTATGGCAACTTGCTGCTAGCCCACCCCTGCATGTAGCCGTAGACGAGCAGAGCTTCATTTCGCTGATCAATGCCGTGACATTGGCAAATGTAGTCTGTCCTGTGATAGCACCTCCTCAAGCGGTTAAGAAAGCGCCTGCGTCAAATGCAGTAGCGATAGCCGACAATTGTTGATTCACCTTAGTCGCAAGTCAGCAGCCACGTTCTCTGCAACCATGCGTGTGATGGACTCGTGCTTTTTAGTGACGCCGTCTCGGAAGTTGAAATGTCATATGTTCATGTTGCAGAAAGCATGAAACAAGGGTACCATGTGGAGAAAATCGAGTGACGCGGCGAGAGCTCGGGGATTGATATACACAACCTTGAAGGCAGGAGAGGTTCAGCGCAGCAAAAAATGTGCGAAAGTTCATGCCCCTGACATTAGACACGCGCACATGGTGAATTGCGCCACCCGTTTGAAAATTTTACAAGGCTGTGATGTGGATGTGGATTCCTGCACTCTTCAAACCACAAGATGATTTTCTTATTGGCATTGTTCAGCTTGCCACACCTCTCTACAGCACTCAAAGCGGTCGGCCCAGTCCTCCATCCATTTCCAAGCAACAAGAAGATCTGGTATTATACTGACCAAACTGAGTTGCGGTTGGACTCGTATGGAAGCGGATATTTTGGAATGTCATGTCAGTTTGGGGGGCTAGTAGGAAACTACTGCAAATGTATTTCTATGACACTTTCATCGAGCCAGACATCAGGGATCCATTGAACGTCACAAGTTGCTGGTTGGCAAAACCGGATCCCAACAATAATGTGTGGAAATACACGCAGACGGATGAAGAAATCAAGACAACCAATTCTAAGACAACGCACACCAATAAGGGCGAGATTCTCTGTTGTGGCACTCTCATCGACTACCGACCAACCGGAATGTTGCCAGGACCAGAAACTTCGGGGCTGGGATGGAACTTGTGTAAGTTTGGGAACGCAACTGATCGACACGGATATACAGTTTCTTCTTGTCAGAAGTATGAGCTTGAACAGAAAGATCCACGCCCTGCAACTTGGCACTTTGTTGGAGCACCTTTCAAATCTGGAGTTTCTGAGCAGTACGAGATCTTTTTTGTGGAATACGACAAACAGGCAAAGCGTCCAATGCTGTCCAGTATGATCACAACTGAAAGTCTCACGTACACCCTCCAACCCAAAAACGATTCCGCGATGCATTTCTGGCTAGCCAAACCAAAGCAGAGCGACAATTTTCCAGCATCATGGCTGACCAACGGATATGCTCTCATTGGCGGCAAATTGATTGACATGAAACCGGTTGACCATTTACCTCCTCCAAACACATATTTTCGAGACGATAGTATCGAAGAGCACGAAGGTCAGGAAATTGGCAATTTGTGTTTCTTTGCATTGGATAGCTCTATCGAGGGTATGCGCGATCGCTGGCGCCGGGAGTTCCGAAGATACCGCATTGCCGACCTATTCGTCGAAGGAATTTGTCGTGAGGTGCGCAAGGGAGAAATCCAGTTTTCAGGGCCTTGACGTTTACAATGACTTTCTTGTTTTATCTTCAAACGTATAGCTATCCACATTGAAACCTTCACCTATGTCACAATCACGTCTTTGGGAGGCAATGTAATGACCGAGCAGATTTGATCACCTTAGCCCGCAGCTGTTACACTGCCTGGTTCGGTCTTGTAATGACCACGCAGATCTGATCACCTCAGCCCGCAGCTGTTACACTGCCTGGTTCGGTCTCGCTGGCAGTTCCCTGTTTCTTTGTTCTCTTTGATGTGGATGGTGCCCTTGGCCATCCGCAGTTTGTTGTTAAGATAGGATTTGTAAATTTGAAGTATGAATTGAGAGTGCTAGTCCAGATGCGAAGCCAATTTTTCGGGCTTATAGAAGGCTCAGAACCCCGCAATGTGTTGAGCTTGATGTGGATGGTGCCCTTGGCCATCCACAGTTTGTTGTTAAGATAGGATTTGTAAATTTAGAATGTGAATTGAGAATGCTAGTCCAGCTCCGAAGCCAAATTTTCGGGCTTATAGAAGGCTCGGAATCCCGCAATGTGTTGAGCTTGAGCAACAAACGCGTAAACAGTCGAGAGACGCGTTCAATCACCCACAGACACCTTTATCACCCTGTAACATGGTCGATCGTAGCTTCTGGGAGACGTTATCATTTGGACTACGTCTCAAGCGCCTCAGAGCAGCAGAACAGGCAGGCGAGACCGGGCTGGAGGCAGAAATTGCTGAGAATGAAAGCGCCAGGGACGAGCAAACACGATCTAAACGCTGTGAGGCGCAGAGGAAGCGTCGTGCTGCAGCTTTTGCGGAAGAGTATGAGCTAGAGGAGCGCGCCAGACAAACCCAGCTTCCGAGTAGCGATGACAGACGGTTTGAAGGCCACAAGTATCGGCGAATACAGGAAGCGGCGCGACAGCGACTGAGGTGGTCGAGTCAGAGCAGTAGGCGCAGCCAGACACCACAAGCTAGGCAGGCGCTGTCGAATCTCTCTTCCAATGCTGTGAATGCAGGGACCGGATCCTCAGCGTCTTATGTGACGGCGCCAAACACCCTGCCATCACAATCAACCTACACCAGCACTCTCGATCGGCAAGCCATGGTCAATCAGCTTGGGTTTGCAGACATGCCTTCATCGGATCCATTGCCAGTGCTGGATGACTCACGGCCCAGTCAAGCGATGAACGCGAGCAACCTCGACAGGCAGGCCATGATGGAGCAACTGCGGCGCTCGCAGGCTTCAATTTTTGCGACAGCGCCAACACAACAGCCGCCGCCAACACCCAT